AAAAAAAAAATATAATCTAACGTTAAAACGTTTAATTTTCTAAACAAATCTAGGTACTTGCTTTTTTTTTCCTTACTATAGTATTCAATTGTGTATTTGATCAGCGGACTATGCTATACAAATTAATATTATCGAATTTATTTATTACACTGAAAAAAATATTTGACTTTTTAATAAAACAAGAAACAAAATATATTAATTAGTTCGGAGATTTTTCGTCGAATCCAAATCTGGCGTAAGATTTTTTTCTAGCACGTTTATTTATATCTTAAATCATCTCAAAAGTTGTAAGCAACTTACAAAACAAAAATCAAAATTTTTTAGTTTCCTATTGTTCTTAAAAAAAACCACTAAAAATTCTACATTACACCTGTGAACAATTCTAAATTCAGCAAAAAAACACTATTTGAAATAAATGTTAGAAAATAATTCAAAATGTCAAAACAATGTTAAAATACCACAAAACGTTTACAAATGTCCACAACTTTGGAAGCGGTTTAAAAAAAACTAGTCGCGCTAAACCAATTCTGAAGCCAGATTTGGATTTAATTAATAGAAGTTAGTTTTAATTTGATAATAAATAATAATATTTGTGACTAGAGTTAAGAAAGGCCAATCCGTCATTTCGAGCAAATTTGGTAAACAAGAACTTGAAATTCCATTTTCTAAAGCTGAGCGCATGGTTTTAAATTGTTTTCGATCTCATATCATGTAACCACATGTACTTAGATAATTATTTAAATTAAAGTAACACTACACTTTGCTATACGTTTTATGCATTTAGGGTATAGACCACATTCCACTGTTGAGTTTATAAGATTGATAGTTGTCGATCCGTCATTGAGTCATGTGCTCATGTGTACATATCATTATAAGCGAGATATTGCATAAGGTTCACATGCGATACATTCGGTTTGATATCAACCTTCGGGTCCGGGCGTAGTCCATGATATAAAATAATACCTAATGCATACTTGCGCCGATCTTTTCCTGTAAAATTTCTTTTAAAAAAATATAATACTCTTAATTGTATATTTTACGCAATAAAGATGACGAGGTTTGTATATGGGTGCAAGTGGTAGAACATGAATGACAATAATGAGAACAGTATATTATGCGATATAATATGATTGAACCTACAATACATATATCAAACTACAATATTAGCAGAGGAAGTGAGTAGTTAGTAGTTATTATTATAGCTAGCTATGTCAAGTATAATACTGGATCTCTTAATTTTTTTCGCCATTGGAGGAGCGATTTAAATATGTTGCCGTCCTCGATCGACTTACAAAAGATTGACCCTGCAGCTGCCCGAAATGTTATATAATATGGAATTTTGGTTTATTATCGTTCATTTTTTTTATTTTTCGTTCGATTAGTATTGATAAACCATGCGATAAATATAATTTATAACGTTTTAAGCCCTGATTTGTTGTCAACATAAAGAAATCTTGTAGTTCAAAATTTATAGGGAATATATGTATAGTTAAAACATCATTATAAATACTTTCTTAGCTCCGCACTGAATTGTTTTTAGGCATACCAAATTTTAAATCGAAAATCAGCTTCCTAAGAAACCTAGACAATTTGTCAACAAATCCATACATACTTACATACAAAATCCAACATTGGGATTTATGTCTAATTTAACATCGCTTAATGGTCTAAAACGCATGAAGACTAGTTGTGCTCCAACCCCGCTTAAAGAGTAGATTTACCAAATTCTCACAATGTATAGAGAAAAACTTTATCTATGGGGTGGCGTTTTTATTTTTTTTATATCTATACTTAATATTTTTTTGTAAAAACCATGCTGCGTAAATGTTCGACTACAAATTTTTGAGGAAATTGAATGTGTTATAGCACCATTCTAGATCTACCTTTGGTCTAATTTTCATACATAAACCCCTAAAACTTTACATGAAAAAGTGAAAGAAAGAAAAAAATTCCACCCCTTCTAGGAGAAAGCGTGTACGATAATGGTTTAGGTTGTCAACGTTTGTCGGTAGTACTATGTCTTAACAATATTCTATACAAATTTGGAACTAATTGGACTATTTTGAAAAAATATATTGAGCGCCTTAATTTTAATTTGAAAAAATGTAAATTTTGAAGGGGGGGTTTCTCGATTTTGAAGGGGAAGGGATGAACTTTTTAAATATTTGGTCTAATATCAGGTACGATTTCTGATCTTAAGAGCTGCTACACGAAGAAATCGGTTGAGTGGCTTGAAAGATATCGTGGGTACAGACACAAAAATATAAAAATAAAAACACATCATTGTAAATACAATATCTTCTCAGCTATCGCATCGAGTAATTCATTTTTTACAAATTTGTATGTTAATGAAGGGGATTGAAACTTTTGAAATCAGTCTGTTTTTTTACCAAAAAGCCTGGCAAAATTTGACTACTTGGAATACGGACTTTTTTTTTTTGCTTTATTATGTAAAATTTTGTTTTTTAATATTTGAACATTTTCAAAGTTAGTTTATTTAATTACAAGAAACTGAATTTTTAAAAATGAAAGTCGGTTTTCTACATAACCTAGTAAAATAGTCAATCAACTCGAATCAATTTACCAAATTTAAATCTAAAGTAGGCGTATTTTGACAGGGTTTTAGGTCTAAAATACCACCAAAATGGCGCTTAATCATTGAGAAATTTTACAAGTTAAAAATAATACTTTGGAGCTTATTAAAACCCCTTTTGTCATAAACATTGCCTATATAAAACTCCTTAAAACCTGTACGCTCTCGATATCCTTTAATACAAATTTCTCGCTTGGGATAGTTCTTGAATAAAGATAATTTGTACCTATTCAAGTTATATGAGCCTCCAGGTTAAATTATTTGGATTATGGATGAGGTTCGTTCATCATTCAAATCTTTCAAAAATATATGAAAAAATATAGAACAAACACAGACGATAGTAAAATGTCTCGATGACAATGGTTGTACAAACATTTTGTTTAAATGCGGTTATTAAATGTAAGATTCGTTTTGTCATTCGTTATTTTATTTAATTCTGCCCAACTCTGCGTTTAATACTCACTTAAAATCTAATAAAATGAGAGTAGTATACCATTGCGTAATTGTTCTTTTTTTCTGTTAACACCCTAACTTAGGTAGATATAACCAGTATCTAGTGAGTAAGTATTTGGTAAGGTACATATTTCTAGGTTTTATTTAGTAAGTATGTACTCAGATCTCGCAAAATTGCATGATTTAAAATCGTGTTATGTTTTTAAATTTAATTTAAAAAATTGTGCCATAAAAAAATTAACTATCTACTTTTTAGGTATAATAATAATATTCATCATTGCCTCGCATACGGCTTGTATAAACCCTCACTTCAGCGCTAAAACACATATTATACTCGTTTGGTTTAGCAATAAAACAAACAATGTTAGCCCATTAGGTGTAGCACATATTCAGAACGCGAGTTCCGAATTTATATAATCGATTTAAACTAATTTCTTGACCTTTCTAACTGATCTTGACCTATTCAGCGAAGTACCTATTATACGTATTGTATAATGATCTGTAGAATTCATAATACACCCGCTAAGCTTATAAGTTATGTCTATTATGTTATATACCTATAGGCTATACGATCTATATACATTTTAAGTAGGTACTTATGTGCGAAGTAAGCGGACATTAACTTGTCTATGTCTTTTCCATTTTGAACTAATAAAATATAGCACATGAAGTAAAATCCGTATACCTACAAAAGGCATTGAATCAAATGTAAACAAAATAATATTAGAAGTAATAAAAATCCGTAGGCATTGCCTTTCCAATGCAATTACTGAATTTAGACTTATGAAATTGTATAATTTAAATAAGAACCTATATAATAAATTGTTTTCATAAAATACACTTAGTGTGAAAAAACAACTAATTAGACGATAGTTGCGCTTATTTAAGTGTGAAAGGGAAATTATAAGAGAAATTCTATTGAGGACGAAATACTGATTAACAGTAGATTTTTTTCAATAATAAATAAACAATACTATTTGATTTATTAATAACTAAAAAATAATAATTCCAAAAAATTCGTTTTTAGAAACAAGTACCACGAGTCTTGAATAACGAATTATTTCAACATTTCTTTTTAAACATAATTAGGAATATATTCCTTGTTAAATTAAATAGAAACAAAAATAATATTAACCCTTTTTACTTAGGTTCATAAGTACATAGATTTCGTAGATCGCTAATTCACTTTTTATAGTGTTAACTTTTATACTTTTCAATATAAATCGAATTTAGTAATTTTGTTTAGAGTACGAGTTTGTTACGAGTTTACCTTTTGAATATAATATCATTTTCAAATTTGTTTAAGGTATTCAAAAATTAATTGCCCGTTTTAAAAAATAATCTATTTAAATTTTTTCCTCTAATGTATGTGGTTTTTGGCGCTTGAGATTTTGATGAAACAAGATTTTACTACCTGCCCAACCTAACCTTAACTTACTAGCGATTAGTTGAGAAAAAAATATTGAAAATAATAGAAATGGTAAGATAAGAATGATTTTTTTAAGAGTGGACGAAAAGTTGGAACATTTTGTTTTATCTAGACTTGCTCAAAATACTATCACAAAGAAATTCAGTAAAAATTAACTACCTCAAGTTAAATAAAAGCAAAGAAATACTTTATATTAATGGACTTAACGGAAAGATTTTATGCCACCACACTTAACGAGATTTCTTAACAAATTCATTATTCCGAGACAGGTCAGATCTGGACTCCTTAATCCAGGTTAGACATTTTCTAGCCTTATCTGTTCAGTCATTTGTCCTTACAAAACTTTTGAAAATAAAGCCAAGGTTAAGTGTGAACAAAAATAGCACTATAAAGGAAAAACTTAAATACCCCATTTTTAGACAACTTCAACGTAAATTCAATTATCAAAATGGTTTATATAAAATAAAATAAAATAATTTTGAAAAAAAAAAATTTTTATTTACATTTAAGAATGAGTTCACATAAAAAACCACTTAAATAAAATAAACAACATTATCACCATTACTTAAATCTAGACAGTAGTTTTTAACCTTTTTTTATTTTTTTGTTTTTTTGAATCGTCTAGTTTTCTTTTTCCTTTTATCGCAACCAATTTAATTGTATCTTCATTTTTTAAATTATGTTTTGTTGATACTTTATTTTTAACAGGTTTCTTTGATTTGGCAATGTTTCCTTTACCATTTACAGATTCATCTTCAGACTTTGAATCATTTTTATCTATTTTTGTAGGTCTACAAATAATGACGAATATTTAATATTGGACAATATCCCACAGCGTCTAAACTGGGTACTTACTTATGATACCTATGAGGCTTTGCTCTAATTTCATCTCTATTAATGGACTGTTTTTCTAATTTTCTTCTGGTATTTTTGTGTAATTTTTTCATTTCCAACATGTAATCTGGAACTGGACACCCTGAATCTTTCATGACAGTAGCAATACTATAACAGGTACAGTTTATTTTACATAGCAAAATACCATACAAAAATCCAATAATTATTGAAATTAAAATAAATATGCCCAGGTTTGGTCTTATCTTAATTATTTAACTCAATATAAACGCGGTTGGAATCCGGTCATGGGCGGTCTCGCTTACTGGCAGGGCAACCTGACTAACAGTAGAGACTGCGCTATGTATGGTAGAAATACCATGCGCCCCCCTCGGCGACCGAACTAGGCCCCAATAGGGCCTACTCCTGGTCAAAATGCCATATCCTAAAAATAAAGAAGTATAAACACCTTCTAAGCATGGGTTTATCGTCGTTGGTGAAGAATGTAACAGCGTTGCCAGGACGTCCAGCTCTGCCAGTTCGTCCAATTCGATGAATATAAGAAATGGCAGAAGAAGGAAAGTCATAGTTTATTACCAAGTTAACTCCTTTAAAGTCAATACCTCGACCCATCAACTCGGTACAAATTAATACCCAAATTTTTCCTTCGCGAAAGGCTTTTACAGTATTGTCCCGCTGAAAACAAATAAAAACACGACAAACGTTTTATGGTATATTTTTAACGTTTGATATTATGATACAGTTGCCTAAGAGAAAGTGGGTATAAATGAAGACACAATGTAAATATTTAAATATTTTGTATTGTTAATTAAAACTAAATTTGTATTAATAATGATACCTGTTGTTGAGTTCGATCAGCGTGTATTACGTCTACATTAATCCCATCGTAAATTAGTTCACTAAATAGTTCTTTTGCTCGTTCTTTAGACTGCAAGAAAATCAAAACTGGAGGCGATAATCCCTAAAAATGATAAACTAGTATACATAAAATTCTAACATCAGTAATCAGAATTTTGACATTACTTTTTTAACAAGATCTCTCATTGCAATTAACTTGCCTTCTTCATTTCCAACAAATACTAAATCCTGTTTAACTGTTGTGGCTGTAGTGTTTCTAAAACAAAACAATTTGGTAAAAACTAACAAAACAACTCTGACTCTCTTCTCTGCAATGGTACATTATAATCAAATACAAATTTTGCTAACCACTTACCTATTACCAACCGACACCGATATTAGACCATCAAGATTTTTTTTAGACCATTTTGCTACCTCTACAGTATATGTAGCGCTAAACATAGCTCTTTTTGTACTTGGACCACACGCTTTGTATATTGTTGCGAGTTGATCTCTGAATCCCCTCACACCAGTTTCAAACAGTTTATCCGACTCGTCTATAACCAACCACTCAACACTGCAAACCAAAAACACTTGTTGAAATTAGTTTTCATACTCGATTAAATATGAATATTTTACAACTACAATACATTACTTGTTTAGCTCAACGGATGGTGGGTCTTGCTGCAATAAAAACACTAGACGATTGGGAGTTGCTATTAAAATATCTAACATTAAAAAAAAATAAGTATAAATTAACCCATTGCAATACAACCATTAGAAGAAAATTATTTTGCTTACCAAACTTTTGTGTAGTTTTAGGATTAAATTTCTCTTTATCTTTAGTGATTTTTGTAAATGTCTGAGCTCGCAGTCCAATACCTTCACACAATCTCATGCATTCTCTAAATTCAACATGGATAGTTTGACAAGTTGTTCAAGTTTTAACATTTAACTCACTAAAATCTAATATACATACCTAAACGTTTGCTTAGCTAACTCTCTGGTAGGACTGACAATTAACGCTCGGATTCCAGTGTTCATAGGTTTTTTCAAATGATGTATAATGGGTACCAAGAACGCAGCCGTTTTACCTGACCCAGTCGGTGCACAAGCAAATATCTGTCTGTTCTACAAATAATACTACACATTACTTATTACTCATTAGTGTAAATTTGACGATAACACAAAACACGTAACATCAGAGTACATTTACTTTACCAAACACTTTTTTTTTCTGTTAAACTATAATGTTCTTACGCAGATTTTGGATTTAAAATTAGAAATCTAGCCAGTTGAAAAGTTATAGTAACAAATTTGACGATTATTGACACACAAGTGAAAAACCTTGCTCTTTGCGTTCACTTTATTTGTGTTTTTTTAAATGAACTTGAAAAGTTTTTAATTTAATTTTAAAAACTGATTGATGTACATTTTATTTACTATTTAATAATAATTTTGTTTTTTTATTGTTTCTAATCAAAATAACACCAGATATTGTTTTATTTGTTATAAATGTACAAATAAAAAGGATTTTGGATAAATTAAAATATTTCCATATACTGGTTAAATAAAAATTAATGAATCTCACTTGTAACATGATTGGTATTGCTTGAGATTGTATAGGTGTTGGTTCGTTGTAACCAGACTTAAAAATGTTTTCAATCAAGACCGGACTCAAAGAATACGTCGTTTTCATGTTTTCGAATGTTGACAACAAAACGGGAACATTGTTACCCACGGTTTTTATTTTTATTTGTTTTTCTTTCGACTTTTCATTCTAGAAAAATACAAAACAAACAAATGTTTATTTTTTTTATTTAAATGCATAAGATTTTAAAAGTATTTATTTACGGATACGCTACTTAACAGCGTATCTATTTACTATAACTTCATTCATAAATATTTTTCAAAATAATTTCTCAAAACGGCTATTCATAATCTTACTTCATCCAGCATTACACGCGGCGGTTTTTTAAACTTGGCACCAACAGATAATTTTTTAAAAATGTCAAATGAATCCATTTCTAAAAAACAACAACCGTATTTTTATGTACTAAAGAGTAAAGAATAAAATATATAACATAATTATTCGGGAAATAATTCAATTTGTAAGTTAAAATAACACGACACACGTGCGATTTGCAAGAAATGCGATATTTCATATCAACTTTTGTTATTTGTTTGTGATAATAAATTGTTATCATGTTATGTGTGACAGGTTAACAGCATAGAATAGACCAAGGCAAAAAAGTGACGACCATTTTGTAAAAAAATGTAGTATTATCAATTGACAATTATGTATTACCTATATCTATACACGACTAAAAATATTAATGTATAGTATACATATAACATTATGTGATATAACATTATGTCAGTGGTATAGACTATAGTGATATAGTGGTCAGTGGTGTAGGTGTAGACTGTGGCCTAGAACTTGTCAAGAAGTACAAATTATGATTTGAAAAAAATTATTTAAGTTTTTTACAATTAAAAGAATTTGTGAGTTTTAGCTGAATATTTCTTCACGCAAGTCTCTGAAACCGATAAACGGGTTTTGTTTTTAGGGTCTTATTAGAATCACCTTGGCATGTAGGAATGCAGTGAAGAGTTTCAGAACTTTATCTGATATAGTAGCCAGCAATGGTCTTGGGATTTTTTTTTTTGTACGTTGTAGAAATACTTTTAAATTGAATGTCTCAACTTCGGAATACAACAGTTTTTCGGCTTGATTAGTGGGTTTTTAATAATAATGCTCGACAGCGTTAGCATGTCTGTTTCTGTCTATTTAATATACATAATAATATACTATGACGGTTAATAAGTTTAGTAAAAAAATTTTCTTAATTTCGTTGATTTAACTCTACTACAATACAATATTATCAGATGTATTGAAAATCTACTATTTTAAAGATAAAATAAGTACATTTAATTTTTGCGTTTAGCGTGATTTCTCTGAATTTCTTTCAATTTCTATTGAAGTGCAGAAAATGTATTACAATCCAGTGAAATTTCAAACGAATTTTATATTTAATTTTGTTTTGATAATGTTGAAAGGGCAATATTTTCTAGAAACAAACGATGACAGAATTATTTCATTTTATACTTCAATGAACACACCAATAATTATGATAGTAATATGTTTATTATTCGAGCACTGGGGTGTTTAAAAGTTCTGCTATCCCTCTCGTGCATTATTTGTACCGCTCTCAATCTTGTCTGTGACAATTTGACAATTTTTTTTTTTTGCATTTTTTGTAACTAGATCTAGACAGTCCAGCCAAGTTGACTTCTCACATTTTGATGTGGTGCGTAATTTTTAAAAAACTTATGAGCTCTTTAAAGTAAAATTACTATAATAATTATGTACAATAGTTGTACAATATTATTTATTACTAGTTTATAAATTATTTAAAAAATCATCCAATTATCGTACATTGTTTTCCTTACCGATGCATTAATTAATTCATGCATTTTTTGTTATGTATTTAATAAAAAATAAAACGATTTATGAACAATTTTAAACAAATACATACATTTTTGTAATAAAATTGATCAAGATTTAAAGCAAATTTATTTAATATAAAGTAATTTTTAATATTTAAAATAAACATTATTAAATAAAACCATTTTTAAAAAGAAGCTATTAGATATTATGTTTATCAACTATTAAAATTTAAAAGAAATTTAACTATAATATAAAGAAATAATTTAATTTAATTTAAGCACAAATTAGATAAGATCAATATTGTAGTTTTTAGCAGCTAAATTCACTTTTACCAAAAAAATGGATTAAGCACTCAGAATTTAATCTCAAATTAAAATATATATTTATAGTATACGTATTGACAATCTAATCACAGTCATCTAATCTCACAGGATGTTCTAAGGGTATTATCGACTTTTTTTCTACGTCTCTGGATAGCGCTTTTCTCATATCTGAAAAATACAAATTATCGTTATTAAATTAAATTCAAATATTACAACAAAAAAAATATGAGACAATAAAACAAATTTTACCATATGCATCTTCATCTGGGTCTCCTGAATAGTACTCCAACACGGTACGATAAACTGTATATCCAAGACTCTTGTACATAGATATGGCCACTGTGTTGCTGACTCGAACATAAAGATCAACAAACCACGCGTCTTTCCTAAAATAAAATAATACATATATATAATTATTATTTATTAATTACATTACTTATAAAATAATAACTTTTTTACTTTTCAGATATTTCTTCAAGCCAATTCATTAAGAAGCCAGCTACCCCCAGTCTACGGTATTCTGGAGCGACAGTTAATGCCGTTACATGACCATGCCAGTTGTCGAGTTGTCCTTCAGCTTTGCCCATAACTAAAATAATACAGTTTTAATAAATATTAGCTTTGATGTGGAACGAATACATTATTTAGACCTTCAAACAACTAATAAATAATGAAGAAAAATAAATATTTGTAATTAATATCAAAATAAATTTGTGTAAAGGAATATTGAAGAACAAGTTAATATTTAATTTATTGTTTCATATAGATAGAAAGTAATAGAAGTAATGCCCCTCCGTCCGGTTTATCAGTCGCACTTAAATTAAATGTGACCTTAGGTAAACTTTTCATGTCAGTCACAAACTGTATTATGTGACTGGGGTAAATTTTTACCCCGCGAAACCTATATAAAATAGTAAAAAATTGTACTGCAGTATATTACTTACTATAACCCATTATTTCTCCAGTAGGTGATTCTGCAACTTGGAAGTACTCAGGCCAATGAGCTAAATATTGCATGTAAAAAGGTATTGCATACTATATAGTGAAAACTAAAGTCAAGGAATGGTATTTGATTTTTTTTTTTTAAATATAATTTATTTTACTATAAACTCATATAAAGCCCATATAAACCTGAAGATAGGACGAGCCAATATTAATAGATCTATTCCATGTTAGATTTATGCAACATATTGGGATTTTAGATGTACTTATTGGTTAATATTTTATAGCAAGTCACATTTAAATTAGTATCATATCTCAGAGATTATCAGATATGAAAAATACTTATGCCTCATGGCCAACAAAAAAATCAAAAGTATTATCTTTATTTAAATAACGTTTAAAAAATAATAATAGCAATAATAAAAACAAAAGGATACGGTTTCTGTAAGAGTGTCTAAATTGCTGAAAAAAGAATAAAACATTAATAAAATAACACTAAATTAATAAAAAAATTCAAAAGATCACTTCATATTAGTTTGACTTATATTTAAAACAAAAAAATTCAAAAAAGCAACTAAAACAAGAAAAAAGTGTGAGGTTAAATTGTGTATTATTTTATGTTAAAAACCCTTATTTTTAAAACTAAAATTGATAATTTCATTAAAAGATTAGGCAAATAATGTGAAAATGATAATAATTCAATGATGCTCAGGAAATATGTGCTAAGTCTAAAATTAAAAATTTAAAGTACAAAAATGTATACAGTATAACAACTGATCAAATTGTTGTACGACTTGGATAATTTTAACCAAAAAAAAAAAACCTGATTTTTTTTTTAATCTAGGTATGAAAAACTCATTTTTGATATAAGTAAAACAATTTTTCTGACGAACATCAAATAACATAAAAAATAAACTAAGCATAAGTTGATAAAATATACTCATTTATAATATCGAGGAGAACGAGTGGATAAGATTGTAATGTACAGGGTTATACAGGGTTATGTACAGGGTAATGTACACTGTCATAGCCTTTTTTTATTGTACAAGAAGTCGACTAATGGAAAGGAGCCGCTATCCTCCTCTACCGCGACAGATAAAAGAACTGTCTCAAAAACAAGCAAAATCATCACTGCCTCCTCTTCTGAGGAGACAGCGATGGTCTATTATGGGTAGCTTAAGTTTTAATCAGAAATATTAAGTATATTTTCTTGTAACAAACAAATATAATTATGTAAATAAATATCGAACATTGGCTTCAAATACTTACACATTATTAAATTTAAATAAATCGTCACAACTGAAAGGTCGTAAAGTAGTCATCTTACGATTTTTTTTACAAAATCTTCAATAGACGAAACGATTTTATGTAAGTTATCCGAATGCAAATTGATCACAGAATTACAAGTAATAAGTAAGGCTCGCAGCTTGTAGCCTGTAGGTATATTAAATTATCCAAGGATTGTTATCACCAGACACCAATGTTATCAAAGACCAACTAGTTTTGGTTAGCACAAGAACAATGTGTAGCAACTGTAAAGCAAGAGCATCTTTCATCTTTGCTCATGGTCTTTGAATATTGCTTTGCATTTTAAATTTTGGAGTAAAAATATTTTTGAATCTTGCGAAAAAAAATTGCATTATATTTTACAGTACTTGCATAGTTGCATACAATACACTAATGTATATTTATAGTTCCTAGACTAGATACGGGTTGATAATACAATTTAGTCTCAGCTTTATTAAGCAATTAAAATAATATTAGTACCACCCATTTATGATATAAATTTTGTATAAATAAGTTGACAAGAAACCAACTAAACCTGGTACGTTTCCTTTAATAAATCTATACCAATAACAACAACAGTAGTTAAAAATGTAATTTTACCACATTCGAATGATTTAATGAGAAAATAAATAACTTTTAATATGTTATTAAATTCTCAGCTCAACAAAATATATATTTTTATCACTGAAATTAAATATAGAGGAAAAATGGTAACTCTTATAATAATTTTGAAGACATGTATACATCACAAAAAATTGTTTTCAACTAATTATAATAAACATATGTAAATCAAATTTTATTTCCAATCTCAAAAATTAATATTTGTATTATTATTATTATACAATTGAAAAAATAATTTTTTTTAAAATAATATATTTTTATATTGAAAAGTTATTTACAAACAAATGTTATAGATTTATTTATTGTACACAAACCGTAATTTTTACAAAATAAACTCAGGGTGTTCTTTAAAATACTGAATTAAACACATGATGACGTCTTTTATACCAATTTGTTCAATGTTAGCATTAAAACTTACATATATTGGTATTGTAGTTTTTAAATTTTTCGTCAAAGCAATGGCGATCGACTCAGATTTACTATCTGGATCTGTACTAAAAATAGCATTAGATATTATGTTAGCACTATTTCGTTGCTTCATTGCTAAAGACAGACATGAAAAACTATTATCTTGACCAATTATAATAAAAATACAGTTATTGAAATGAAATATTTGGTTGTATAAATTTACACCCAATATTGTTGAACTATATAACGCAGACTTGATTTTGGGTTGTACATATTGTATTATTGCAACATCTTCAGTATTATTTGAAATATCCATAGTTTTATATTAATTAATCTAAAAAAAAAAAAAAAATTAAATCAAATAAGTTTATAAACATAACAATTTAAAATTGAATAATCAGATCTTGAAAAGTTCATGATATTAAAACTATAACCAAAAAATACACATGTTTATGAGTTACACAAACATAGCACTTCCAGTTTTATTTCACCATTTTTTTTATAAACTAAACAAAATTCGGTTTAACAGGAAATGTAAAATAAGTATTTTTTATAAATAGAACATAACAAAATATAAGGGTCAGTTAAAAACCTTAACTTGGCAATGACTAATTTTAAAATAAAAAAAATAACAAAAACAATTTTTAATATGTTAGTTATGACTAGAACTGAAACGTAGTTGCAAACTTATAAACTATTTGGTCATAAATAATCGAAATTACTATAATGTAAAGTATATGTATATATATATATATATATATATATTTCTTTTTGTTAGACAATAAATTAACATTTTTTTCAAACAGTATGGCAATAACTTATAAGATCTTTTACATAGTTCATTTAAAATCTTAACTTATTAAAAACATAATTTAAAAATTAGTTAATACTAATAATGTTAATATTCATATTTTTTTTAACTCATTAGATGTAAAATTTTTAAAAAAATATGGCATACTAACACTTCGTTGTCAATATATTATATGTAACAAGCTATTATAAAGTTACTTACTTTAATTAGTTGTTTTATATTTTTTTTATTTTTTTAACATTTCCATCAACGACGACTTTATTTATAAAATATATTTTCTTTTAGCATAAGCCTTTTTAATTTTTAAAAATCATTCTCATTCAACAGATTATTCATATGTGAAATGTGAATGAGGATAAGCGATAACACTACAAATAATCAGCTCCGTAACTATTGATAAGAAATTGGTTACCGCAATGATTACCTCGTACATTGATTAAATATACATGAATATACATAAATATACATTATGTATATTTAATCAATGCCTCGTACGTTATGTTGCACTTTGTTAATGGTTGTAGGCATTGATTTTAGAATATTTTAGTATATTCTAAAATCAATGTTGTAGGGTATACCGCCGTTTCGATCAAAACTCTTTAATACAAAATTATGTTGATTACAAAATAGATAACAAACCTTGAATAATTTAAGTTTTAACTACAGAACGACAGGGCCTCAGAGTGAAATATCGATTTTGATTTTTACACTGTTGAAAAACTTGGCCTTTATGAGCAATTGAAATAATAAAACACAGTGCTTAAAAAAAATCCCCATTTCAGCTGTAACGCTCTTAGAACGCATACCGTCCGGCAACATGCCGCTATGTAAATTGTCATATTTTTTCACACAAAAGTCAACTGAAATATTAGGTTCACTTGCCCAAATTGTCTGTAAACAAGAGTCATACCGTTTATATTATTCATATAAATAAATAAATTTACTATTATTTATCTTACAAAAACGTGTTCCTTATACTATAACAATGCTAATCCATTATATTTTTTTAACACAAAATATAGATAAAAAACTGATAGGAATATCATATAACAACGGTTTTGATGAAAGTATACAACCATAATATTATATTACACTACAATTCCTATCAGACTTAATGACAACTTATTTGTTACGGTAGCCTCCCCCCCCCCCCCAATGAAAAATCCTGGGTACGCCACTGAAGACAATAAGGATTAATAAGTGTTGACATTAATAAAAATCAATTACCCAGTCCTAGAAAACGTTAACAGGAAACAGGTAATTATATAGAGGGATATTTTAAAGAAAACAAAAACCTGCATTATTTTTCGGACAACTCACAAAATCCACCTCCCCTCTTAAGGGGGCTTAAGAACTAACTTTTGGTGTAAATTGTAATATAATTATCTTGAATTTGATTTTAATTTGTCGTAAATACGCAAAAATTCACTATTTTTTTGTTTTAACATTTTCTTTGTGAATACATTAGTAACCACGGATTTTAATGTAGTTTTTTTTTATTCACAGGTTTTAGTGTGAATACATTTTTGTGAATAGGTACAATTGTATTAGTATTCACGTATGTGAATACAAATGAGTGAAGTATGAATAAATTCGAATTCGTATTTATAAATAGAATTATGCCCAACTCTGGTTGGAGGGAAATAGGTACTGAGGCAACACAAATAAATTATCATTGACCTTTCCGTATTTTCAATTATAGTATTTGAAAAAATGTAAGCACAAAGTAAATTAAATCACATCATACTTATTAGCACGAACTAAGATACTAGTTAAATACTAAATTATTTTAATGTATTAGAAGTAACATTACACTGATTGATAAATGAGAAGTACGATTATAAAGAACTTCTGTTATAATTCTTCATATTTACTTTAATATTATTCTTTATAATCGTGATAAGATCCATTAAATGTCTGCCATGTTTTTTAGATGATAAGTTTAACCAGTGTTAAATTTTGAATGTTTACCCCCTGATTTAATTATTTGGTTTTTGTAGTGCCAATTTAATTTTGATATATTTGTAAGATATTATAATATTAAATGTAATACCAAAAGAAGTAATTACCAAAATAGTAACTGATTGAGTAACAATAAAAAATATGTTGCGTACATCTCATCTTACACCAGACAATAATATTGTAACCAATATAATTACCCTTTATTGAAATGACAAACAATATAATGTTAAGTATTAAGTGCTTGAACTCTTAAACTCAAGTTTCAGTTAGAACTGTAAAAAATAAACTTATACAATAGGTTTATAAAATAATCATCAGTCCAAAATTAAAGATATTATTTTTTTTATTTACGACTCCAACTTTAATTTGAATGTATTTGTAACAACACGAAAATATATTAATAACTAAATATTTTTTACAGTAAAGATAACAACAATACACCAAAACGATAAGAAAATTAAAAAAAATATATTTTGACATATATTATTGCATTATATCAAAATAAAGGGACAAAATGTTAAAACAATGACTGCTATTTATTCACGTTGAACGCATAATTCGGAGTAACTAGATACTTAGAAAACTCAGAAATATCTTTGACCCCTCTGACTTCTTTATCTAATAGTGGAAGCTTCGTAACGTGGAAGTCGAAATATAGATCATTAATCTGAAAAATTAAATAGTATTATTAGAAAATTTTCAAAATAATTATTTAATATTACAATGTTTACCTGCACAAGGTATGTGCGCTGCAATGCACGTCTAGACGCGCATTTTTTACAATTTGGATCGGAATCTCCATTGTTCATGTACAATTGATTAACGACAATATTATGAGTATCAATTCTGTTCTTAGTTAGCTCTTGTACCAGTCTTTCGGTTTCATACAATGACAAGAATTCAGCAATACACACACACACAAATGTTGTTTGATCCTAAAAATTGAAAACTTTTAATTTTTAAAAATAATTTATATTGTCACCCTAATTCACAATTGATTTAATTCAAACTTTTTAATAGTCAAAACAACTTTTAATGTTAAACACTTAAATATCATTGAGAAGGACGTTTGAAAAAGTTTTTTCAGACTTTTTTCGACACCTTTAATTAGCAAATGACAAGAAACTTTGGCTGTCATTGCAAAACTTTGATTTTTATTTTTTTAAATGAATACAATTTTTTAATGTACTTACTGAATTTTTAAACTGTTGATTTACAGTCTTAATAGTGGCCAATAATTCTTCTAACTTAGCTGATATATTGTCAATATTGATACCTGCACCAAATAGCATTGACATTTGATTCAAATAAGGGCCAACTCTGTTTTTTAGTTCTAATATTTTTCCTAATGCTTGTTCAATCATCAGTGGAAATGTTAGAAGTCTCAGAGTGTGACCAGTTGGAGCTGTATCAAATACGACAACAGAAAAATTCATGTTTTTCACCAACCTATTAATAACAAACATAAATATTATTCTAGTATATCATATTACTTTTACATTTATGTTTTAATTTCAAGTAGAAAATAATCAGTTTTAACTAATAATAACATATAGATTATAAGAACGCTATTTGACTATTTATATCTTTAATTTCCATAGCTTATCCTTATGGATTAACTTGAATCTTATCTTTTACTTTTTGTCCGAATGTTCTTGACCCTTTGACAAGCAATGCTGTTTATATATGTTCTTACCGCACATGTGTTGTTGTTTTCTTTATTTTATAGGTTGTTATTTAATAAACTGACGTTATAATACCTAGGACAAATTATCTTCCTAACTCTGTTATGTATATATATGTCATTGCTCCGAATTCTGTATTCTTAATTCACTCATCAATGAGTTAAAAGGCTAAGAGGTTTTTAGAATGACCCATATATAGTGAATATATACCATTATTCTTATTAACATAATATGTTAGAATAATCTACTAGATATTAAACACTGAATATGCACTAAACTTACTTCATTACTTGGGCATAACTCATGGATTCATCAATACCGGGAAACGCTCCAATAATGTCTTGCATAATGCTTTTACCCAGTTGTACGGTTTCAGAATCATCATTTCCGCTCAATAAGTGCTCCGTTTCCGTATCGTGAACAGATGGATCTACCTCCTAAATCAGAGTAAGAACATCAATAATCCATTTTTCACCTACTTAATTCATCGTACCATTGCGAATAAATTGTTGAATCCATCGACTTTGGTAGGTGCTTTGGTGAATCGTTGTCCAAAAGCATCGGATATATTATGTGCGGGGTCTGTTGAAATGAGAAGAACCGATTCACGCACCTTAGCCAACTGAATGGCTAAACTACAGCTGAAAAATGAAAATAATAATATATCAAACTTTATTTTATTTCTACCGGGTGCTGTTACTTACCTGCAAGTCGTTTTACCGACACCTCCTTTACCGCCAACAAAAATCCATTTTAGTGTCTCTTGGTCGATTACATTTTTAAGGGACGGCTCGAGTTGGTCTTCACTCAAAAGTTCACTATTATCCATGTTTATAGTATACCTATTACCTAAATACTTGGTAGGACTAATTAGCCGATAAGAAATAACAATTATTTTTAAAGCTGTTTCTTATCTAACCATTAAATCTGAAATTGTAGTTATATGTCTTAATTAACTACAACTAGAAGTGTATACAAAGCTTTAAACTACAAAAGCATAATTGAAATTGAATCACACGAAATGGAGTAATCAAAAAGAATAAGTACAGAATTTGAATCCCGATAAAATTATAGTGGCAACTTTAATAATATTATAGATTCATAATAAAAATGTTATACATATCTATTATTTATGGTGACGACGACATTACAAAATTCGGGTTGTCGCCAATTTTACCAAACATCACTTTTTCCTACTAGAAGCTGAGGTACAAATGCAGTTTAGCGCCAAAGCAATATTATTTTGAAAATATAGGTATGTTTATGCTACTTAAAAATATGCATAGAACTTGGAAGACGGAAACTGACTATCAGACTTACTTTATAAGTAAAAACTTTGTTTTTACTGTTTTTTAAATTGTCAATATTTGATATTTTCAACACTATTTTTTTTTCAGTCTACTCGTATTTTTATTTTTTAGTCTGGACTCACAATATATTCTAAACCCCTGAACCGATTTCTTCATGTAGCTAATCTATAGATCACTGATTAGATATCGTACTTAAAGCGTACGCCTACACAAACAATATTATTGCACAGTATTGAAGGTCTAGACTCTAGAATAAACAACAATCTTAATTGACTTAATATCATTGTGCGTGCAGGGGCCGCTTAAAAGGTACTTTAATGAGCGAATCATATTTCATACAATTCGCTCTTTCCCCTTCAATTTTTTTTATATTTTTCAACTAAAACTACTGCGCGCAAAAGCAACAGTTTTGAAAACTCGGAAAATATTGGAAAAGACGATAAAAACTATGAACTTTATCAAGGACCATAATTTATATGAACTATATTTTATAAGAACAATATATTATATCAATGGTTTTACATAACGATCTGCTAAACAGTTTTGTATACTTTTGGTTTGATTTAATTTACGTTATTGTTTAAGTGGACGTCACACACCCGTTATTTTCTTCAAAAAACCAGCCTAGCGGGGATTAATTTTACAAAGACTGTAATCAAAACTAAGAAACCAAATTTTCACATAATATAGACAACATTGTCTGTGCTCTACCATGGCCCTTTTTTTTAAATATTTCGACCAGTTAATGATTAATTAACTAATTAAGCGTCGGTTTTATTAGGTATAACGATAAAATACGGACGCTGGAGCACAGATAATTTTGTCATAATATATAATATGTATGAATTTCTTTCCTTAACTATATATTTTGAAGCCTGAGAAAAATTAATCGGCGTAAAACTCAATTCAACAGACATTTTTTTTTAAATCGCTGTCAAGGATGCTGTGATAGTCTGAAAAATAATTTAACTACCAAAAAAGAGTCCCACTGACTAATAATTACACATCACAGTTTAAACTTAAAGTTAAGATTTTGTAAAAAATTGCCTATACTTTACTTCTTAAAAATGGTCTGTGTGGCGTCCTCCTAACAGTTATACCATAGAGCAGGGTCTTAGAAAATATCTTCTAAGACTGTGCCATAGAGTATTTTTCAGTATAGACATCGTTTCAGAATAATGCTATTTTGATTGCTTAATTTGGGAAACACTGTTGTTGAGGGAAAAATTCTATCATTTCTGGTATTATCATTTAAAGTATTTGGTGATAAGCAGCACGTGTGTTCAGCTTGAATGTTTTTCGATTAAATAATATTCCGTTTTCGGTTTAATGTGCCTTCGATTTAATTTTTTACTAAAAACAAATTGATTGCTATCTATTTCATTGTTAACTATGTGTAATTTTACATTTTGAAATTCTCATAATCATTAATTCATACCAATTTAGATGAATTTGTGTAAGTTATTTTATAATTTATTGTTAGTTGTTAATTCGTGCTTGTGCTAAGTAAACAGTTTTTTTCCGGCAATCATTCAACTTGTTTTTCGTATTTTTACTTGGTTTAATTTTAAATCCAACAATAACTGTATTCTTATGTATCTGTTTTTTACTAGGTATACTAAATTAAAATATGATGGAATCCGAAGATCATACTAAATTTTTCCATGTGGACGAGTTAAGGTAAAGCTGATTATTTTTTATTAATTATGTTTGTTAGGTATCATAAGCATCTAAGCTATTGATATATATAACATTATATTAATATGACGTCAAATAATTACATTGAGTCAAACCAAGATAAATGAAATGATTGACTATTTTTTTTTCTATAGACATTTTTTAAAAAATATTATTGCTTAATCGTCAGTAGCTAATCATAATATAAAATAGTAGGTTTTAAAAGTTTTGCATTACAGCATTTTTTTCAATGATTTCAGATTGATACTCGACTACTATTTTGAACACCCTCCGCCTTGGGCGCAACACGATTCACCACCATCGGTGAAAAAGAAAAAAATGTCTGACAAAGACGTTAAAGTAGCTGAAGAAGTATTACAACTGTTAAACTTAGCTGCTGAACATTTTCGAGATTTATGGAATTGGTCGGAATTTGCCGATCAATTTTTAAATCATCATGATTCATACGTAGTTTGGTAATACCTATTAAATATACTAATAATATTTACTGTAGTTCCTAATTATTTCTGTTAAAACAATATTAACTTTTTTAGGTTGGCATGTCAATGTATGGCTATTGTTTTACAATTGACTGAAGCTGATAAATCGTTGCTTGTCAATCGATTTATGGATTCTAAAACAAATTTGGAACACAACCTTTCATACAATCTGAAATTCAAATTTAACGATAAAAAACACTTACAATCTTATATAACTCAAGAATACGTCACTATTGAAGAAATATCGCTGCCACTAGTTGGTTCTCCTAAAAAGGTTTAATTTAACAAAAATGATAAAATGTTTACAGATAACTTACACGGTATATTTCAATTTTCTCATTTTAGAATAACGAGCTTATACTCGTTAATTCAACAAAAAAGAACTTAAGAAATCTGTCTCTTGCCGTTTCTGCTGGTAAAGTTGTGTGTTTAGTCGGTCCTGTTGGAAGTGGCAAAAGTGTTTTAATACATTATCTAGCAAATATTACCGGTATATCTTTTTTTAAATTTTAAAGTATATTTTATTTAATTAAATAAATACTTTTTATTAATAAAAAAAAGCAATGGGGACTAAGGCCAATGTCTGCAAATTACATTAGTTATATTAGTTTTCAGTATTTACAATAAAATGATTATTTACAATGCTTAGTAAACAAAGAGTTTAAACATTAAATTACGTTTGCATTTGTTTTTATTATTCAGTGATTTTTCCAAAAATGTATTGTTTAAGTTGTGTATGTTAGATTTGAACCAAAAGCTTCCAAGATGTTCAATGGAATCTGGCATATTGCATGTTGATTCTTCATACACTCATTCATAATTTTACATTCAGTCAATAAATGTTTAACTTATATTTGATTGTCTACCACAGGTTTCCCATAAGGGTGGATATTCACCTATTTTAGGTGTTTGTGTTTTTCTCTTGGTTATTGTAGAGAAGACAACCACTTGTGTATATATATGGGACAGTCTGAGTCAAACCACGCGGTCATCGGCCCGACCTCAACATTTTTGGAAATTTTTATCATTTATATTTTAATTATTTATACCCCTAAAATAAAGGTTTTTTAAGTTATTTTTCACAAAAAAATCGTTAAATAATAATGCAATTTTTATCATAAAATCAGACTCAAATCAAATTATTTTGTTTAATAACGGAAATGGACAGAGATTTATTTCTATTTTTTTTTTTCATAATGAAAACTTTTTCTTTTAAAATCTCACAAAAAATGAATAATTTTATTTTTAATTTTATTCGTAAGACACATTTTTTCAATTTTTAGTCGCAAAATTTGCAAAAAATTAAATTCTACAAGAAATTATAAATTTTTTTTTTAATGTTGAAAAAAAATATAGAAATAAATCTCGGAATATTTCCATTATTAGACCAAAAGATTTGATTTGAGTCTCTGATTTTATGATAAAAATTTCATAGTTTTTAAACTGGGCGAAATCGATTTTTTATGAAAAATAACTTAAAAAACCTCTATTTTATAGATAAATATGACCGATAAAAACTTCTAAAAAATTAAGATCTTAAATTAGACCGAAAGAAGTAAAATAAAATAAGATATAAAATAAATGTCCAAAAATGTTGAGGAAGTTGGGATGACCGTGTGGTTTGACTCAGAATGCCCCATGAATATACATTTTCATATATTTTTTGTGTTTTTATTATTTTAGTGCAGGTTCCATTCATATATCAATTTTGTGTGTTTTTATAAAAATAGAGTAACTGAATATATGTTTTATACTGATGTATAATCAGTATATAGTAAGGCCTGTCTAAGACAAAATCGCTTTGGACCATGGAAAAAATACATTTTAAAGATATTTTTCCATGGTTTTTCCAATTCAGAGAGACGGTAAAATAATTTCAAATCGTATAATTTAACTAGTTTATTTAGGGTCCGTCTTTGACAGGTTTTATTGTATTTAGTTTTAAAATTGGTATTTATTACATTGTAACAAAATACTAATCTCAAAAATATTACTTTTGTCAGGACATAATGATGGAAAGTTATTGACCGTTCAACTTGGCGACGAAACCGATTCTAAAATGATGCTTGGTTCTTATCATTGTACTGACATTCCAGGGGAGTTTGTGTGGCAACCAGGCGTCTTGACTAAGGTTTATTAAAGAAAAATATAAACTGTTTAGCAATTTAGGGCTAATTTGAAATTGAACAATAAAAAATATTTTATTTGGGAATAAAATTGTTTGCTACTTGATAATATTTTTAAATTGAATTTTTCAAAGTAGCGAATAAAAAATTATTTATAATTGGTTTTCAATTAAAGATGAAACAAAAGTTAAATCAAGGTCTGGTGATCGAGCAATCTTGGGTTTAATTTCTATCAATATTTATGTTTACCCAAGCTCATTTAAGTTCTAAAGAGCGATAGATATTTCATTAAAAATAATTATGCATTAAAAAAAAAAAAAACAATTTATTTGTAATCAGTAGATATATTGTTTAACCGAATAATTTGAAACAAAATAATCAATCATTTTTGTCTTAAATAATTAAATACCTAATCATGATTAAATAAAAGATACATTTTTATTTATTGTTTTATCTCTATAATAAATTATTTGTGTGATGCCCAATATTTTTGTTAGACTTTTTTTAAATAATTATTTCACCTAAACTTTCGAATTGTTAATTTTTCTCAGGCTGTGACTGAAGGATTATGGCTTTTACTCGAGGATATAGACTCAGCATCCAGCGATTTGGCAGCGGTTCTTGTTTCACTTATAGAAAGTCGTTCATTGACCGTTCCTGGATTTAGAGATAGAATTGTTCCCACCACCGGATTTCAGCTTTTCTTTACTCAACGAATTTTAACTACCGCAAGTGGATACCACCAAAAACATAATATCGCCACTGATTTATTAGGAAAACATTATGTTCAAGTAAACGTCGAACCTTTGAGCAAGAACGAACTTATTGAAGTTGTAGAAATCAAGGTAAAAAAATTGTATTGTAAACACTAGCTAATATTTATTCAATTTTATGAAAATTTCAGTTTCCAGTTTTAAAGTCTGTAGCTGCTAAAATTATAGACGTTTTCTTATTGTTTTCTGCTGGTTTTCATGATAGTGATGATTCTGTAAAAATAAGAAGTATCGGACGATTGACGTCAACTAGAGATTTGATGAAATGGTGTGCAAGAGCTATTAACAATTACAATGTAACATCAAGCGAATCGGCTTTGAAAGTGATTCAAGACGCCATAGATATATTCTGTTGCAGCGCTGTCGATTCAAGTACAAATAACCACTTTTTAAATTATTAGACTTTGTGCAAATGTTGCAACAATCATAGCAATGAATTTAAAATGCTACAAAATATTTTTTAGAAACACGGATTGAGCTGGCATGTCATGTCGCTTCTTTAATTGGTGTAATTAAAACAAAAGCTCAGTATATTTTAAACGAGTATAAACCTACTGTTGTCCTCGATGAAAAATTTTGCATAGCGGGGCGTGTAACATTGCCACGTAGTGGATCGTTTCTTACAGATAACTCCACGTAAGAAATACATTTTTAATGTAATATCGTAAAATTAATTTTCTGTTTTTTAATTAAGTGATACATTTTGTTGTAGATCACATTTTAAATTTGCTTTAACACGTTCTTCATCATGTCTACTTGAACGAGTTGCATGTTGTATTACTGCACAAGAATCGGTGTTGCTCGTCGGTGAAACTGGTACTGGTAAGACGTCAACACTTCAGTTATTGGCTAAGCACACTGGAAACAAATTGATTGTCTTAAATATGAACCAACAAAGTGATAGCGTTGATCTCATCGGTGGGTACAAACCTGTGGAATTAAAGTTCATTATCAAACCTATTCGAGAACAATTTGAAAATCTGTTTCGAGCTGAATTTGATATAGAACAAAACACCAAATTTCTGGGCCACATATCGGTAAAAAAAATTGTTATGGTTCATCAAACATTTTCAATGAATACATTATACAATAATAAATAATACATAATACAAATTATATAACTTTAGACTTGTTTTAACAACCATGAATGGCATAGTTTGATAAAACTGATGAAACATGTAATACAAAAGGCTATTAAAAAAAATACAAAAAATGGCAAACCAGTTGAACGATGGTTAGAACTAAATGAAAAAATTTTACGCTTTGAAACTCAACTTAAACATTGTCATACGGCAATGGCGTTTGCTTATGTTGAAGGAAGTCTAATCCGTGCAGTCAGAGAAGGTAAACAAAACACTTTGTATGTTTATGAATTTTAACGATAATATTTGATATTAATCTATTATTTTAAGGTTATTGGGTTTTGTTGGATGAAATAAATCTTGCATCAGCTGAAACGTTGCAGTGTTTATCGAGCTTACTTGAATCCGATGGTACTATTACTGTAAATGAACGAACTGATACTAGGCCAATAACAAGACATGACAATTTCCGATTAATGGCAGCCATGAATCCGGCTACTGATGTTGGTAAAAAAGACTTGCCGCCGGGCATAAGAAATAGGTATATAAAATAATAAAATAAAAATAGAGGCTGTAATAAATGAACAATTAAAGTATCATTATTAATTTTCAGGTTTACTGAATTTTTTGTCGATGAGCTGACTGAACGTTCTGACTTAATTACAATGACGGCGTGCTACCTTCCGGACTATCCAGCTCAAAAGCTAAACGCGTTGTCCAAATTTTATCTGCTAGCTAAACGTGAAGCGGAAAAGTCCTTAGTCGATGGAACTGGACATAAACCTCATTACAGTCTACGAACTTATTGCCGTGCCTTGGCTATAGCTTCGTCAAATCCCTGTCAATCTGCACCAAGATCGTTGTATGAATCATTCTGTTTGAGTTTTTTAACACAATTGGATAGTGCTTCTCATAAACTAGTAGAGTCATTAATTGCTACGACAATATTCGGTGAAAAGTTAATTCAAGGAGTAATCAATCAACCAATATCTAAACCGGTCAATGGATCTTACGTTCAATTCGAAGGCTATTGGATTCATAAAGGCGACTCCAAACCTTTGGTTGCTAAAAATGTAATACAATATTTTGTTATTTTGATTTGTTGTAAAAAACACTAATTTAAATTTTTTACAGTATATACTGACAGAAAGCGTTAAAAAGAATTTGCGTGATCTTGTCAGAGCCGTTTCTTTAAGCTGCTATCCTGTTTTAATTCAAGGCGATACTTGTGTGGGAAAAACAAGTCTCATCACATACTTGGCTGCTGCGTCTGGAAATGTTTTGGTGCGTATTAATAATCATGAGCACACAGACTTGCAAGAGTATATCGGTTCGTATTCTGCTCAGTCAGTAACGGGTCAATTGATATTTAAAGAAGGTCAGTAATATTGTTAAAAATAGGCTTAAGTAATTTTCCAAAATTCGGATTTTACATGTTATTACTCTTATATAGGTGTACTCGTAGAAGCGATGCGAAAAGGTCACTGGATTGTATTGGACGAATTAAATTTAGCACCCACTGACGTATTAGAGGCTTTGAACCGCGTCTTGGACGATAACCGTGAATTATTTATACCCGAAACACAAACTCTCGTTAAAGCACATCCAGGATTTAGATTATTTGCTACTCAAAATCCTCCAGGATTATACGGAGGTCGTAAAGTATGTATTTAAAGATACATTTTTACTTCCTGATATATAATACATTTTACAATAGTTAATATTCGTTGGGAGCAGACCTGAGAATTTTTAAGTAAAATAACATAATAATTTGAAAAAAAAATTATATATGTAACAAATACAAATTCTACCAACATTAAAAACTTAGCATGACGCTTAAAAGATTGCTCATAGGCCAAACAAAAAAAAACACATTCTTTTCTTCACGGCAAAAATTTTATCTCGCTCCTATTTGCATCAATTGCTAACCCTAATATTTGTCAAATGGTTTTTCCATGATGTTCAATAATTATTATATTATTAAAAATAAATTTAAAATTTACTTTGATACATCAAAGAAGTATTGAAAAATCTGTAAAAATGTTGTTAGCATAAGCTTTTTAGAGTACGGTTAAAATTAGAACGAGTTTTTTCTGAAATAGTTACAGTCTACTTAAAGCCTAAAGTTATAATACATGAAACATGCTTTAGCCTGCTGGCTCCTGAATAGTGATTATTTCTGATCTACAATCTCACGATTTATGACAATAGTATAGTCTTAATTATATGTTCTGGCTAAAACATGTTTGCATGACGACAACGACGACTCACTATTATTGTGATATATATTAATATATTATTATATATATATTACTCTGTGTGTATGAGCGCCGCATCAGAGACGTAATCATGGTTGAAATATACAGGTTAATGCACATCGTCTTGAATTGTTATCTTCAGAAATAAAATGACAATGGGATATCAATTTTATTATACACTTTACTATTACTATATATTTTACTGTGTATTTATGTACTTGATTTTGATTGCCTGCCTGTTATGCTGACATATTTTATTTTATCATTGAATATTTGATGAAGAAGGGGTATATGTGTAATAACCTTGTATATTTCAATCATGGATGTAATGAGTCTTGCAGCATAATATGAGTAGAGGTGCTACTAGAGGTGCTGTAGAGGTGAAGCAAGAGGCACAGAGACCGACCATATCAGAATGATCCGGTGCATTCAAATTAATCTTACTAAACTAGGGCCGATCACGCTATTTTGTGTCATTTTCGAGCTGGGAGTCCAAGGCTAAAGCATGTTGTTCCATGCTAAAAAAAATTGGCCAGCTTTGGTTTCCAATACACAAAATATGAAAAATATAAATTTTAATTAAAAAATAAATTGACTACATACAATTTTTTTAGATATTATCAAGGGCTTTCAAAAATAGATTTATAGAAATGCATTTTGATGAAATTCCTGCTTCTGAATTGGAGACGATATTGTATAAACGCTGCGAGATGCCTCCATCTTACGCAAAAAAAGTAGTTTTAGTTATGAAAGATCTCCAGTCCACTCGTAAAGGTAGTGCGGCATTTGCAGGAAAACATGGATTTATTACGCTAAGAGATTTATTCAGATGGGGGGAGCGTTATCGACTGGCAAATGCTCCAGATAACTACAACTGGAATCAGCATTTAGTGGACGAAGGTAAGAACTACACATTGCTGATTATTATCTAATATTTAAATTTTATAAATGTATAAATAAAAAATATAGAATATTAATATGTTACAGGCTTTTTAGTTTTGGCGTCTAAAGTTAGAAAAACAGAAGAAGAAGAAATAATAATTCAAATTTTAGAAAAACATTTCAAGTGTTCTTTATTATTGGACAGATTATTTACATGTGAGTATTATTTCTTTGTATTAACTATTTTCACGTATATTGATTATTACAATTATATTTTAATTTTTATTAATAGTGACCGACAAATCGTCATACGTTACACGCCACATTCTAGAAAAAATCCAGCGTCCTCCAGTTGGATTTGAACAAATTTTTATGTCAAAAAATATTAGACGAATGGTGGTACTCTGTTGTAAGTAAAATAACATAACATTATTGACCTATTTCATTGCAATAACTGAAAGTCCGTTTATTTATTTTACAGGCAAAGCTATAGAATTTAACGAACCCATTTTATTGGTTGGTGAAACGGGTTGTGGTAAGACGACTGTATGTCAAATGATTGCCGCAATTAGCTGTAAGAAATTATCGACTGTCAACTGCCACCAACACACTGAAAGTTCAGATTTTCTGGGCGGCTTGAGACCCGTGAGAAGCAAAGATAATGAAAATGACCATAGACTTTTTGAATGGGTCGATGGGCCATTAATAAAAGCTATGGTTGATGGACACATGTTTTTGGCTGATGAAATATCTTTGGCCGATGATAGCGTTTTGGAGCGATTTAATTCGTTATTAGGTTGGTATGACCTATATTGGTTTCTTTAACTGGCACATCCATTCCTGGGTATTATTTAATTAAAAACTCAAATAGTAAATAAAATTTAATTATTATACAATAGATTTTTGAACTAATACCCTAGTAATAATTTCAAATACATTTTTATTTGAAAAAATGTATACAACAAATAAAATAAATAAATAACGTAATATACAAATTTTCAGGAATTATTATAACTGAATGTGGTAAAATCATATTCTAATAAATACTTTAATGTTATTATTTTTTTCACAAACAATAAGTGTGTGTTTATTCTATAAATTGTTTTGATTTAAAAAAATGGGTGACTAGATTTTTAAGTTTTGTTTAACCTCCTTGCGCTTGCGCCAGAGATGTTAATAACGCCGTTTTTGAAGAAAAAAAACTTTACATTGAAGTAAGCCTGTTGTAACTTTCTCTATTCTCTAGTTGATAAATTATTAACACAATAGGCAAAAAAAAAATAGTTTCCCATGCCGAGACAAAAAGCGGTGTAAATGTCGCAGCGTGACCGCTAATGGGATTTTCAAAAGCAGGACTGTTTGGAGGTTAAAATATAAAATATACTAAAATATTTTTAAAAGAAACTAAAAAATTACTATTATTTACAAAAATTTATGTCCTATACAAAACTTATCACCTTTTATAAATGACAAAAATAAAAAATCATAATAAGTGAATATCATTAGGTAACAATAATTAATTTTGTAAAAGTTGTATTTTTAAGTGTGTATAGTTATATATTTTTTTGTTTTTCCGAAATAAAAATAAAGTCTGATTACAGATTTTTAAAAATTCTTCAACTATGCTTAAAAAAACAAAATAAAAACATCCCGTTCCCTCTGGGGGAAAAAGCTTATGATATTGTAACTATTAAGACTAATATTCTAATTTTTTTATTTTTTTTAAAGAACCCGAAAGAAAACTTTTACTAAGTGAAAAATTAGGTGATAATAATAGCGATTCGGAGCTTGTAGCGCATACAGGCTTTTGTTTTGTTGGCACTATGAATCCTGGTGGTGACTACGGAAAAAAAGAGGTTTGGTAAAATTTTAAATCATAAAATCGTCTTGTAATAGGTAAGACTTTTTGAACAATATTAAACGAAACACATTTTGTTAACAGTTATCACCAGCTCTTCGAAATCGTCTGACAGAAATTTGGTGTGAAAATTGTTCGGACAACGCCGATTTAATTCAAATAGTTAATGGAAACTTTTTGACATTCCACAGCGCAAGTTTATATTTAAGTGAATCAATGGTACGATTTGTTAACTGGTTAAAAGATACTGATTACATTAGAAAGTAAGTAAACTCTTATATGTTATCACTACTTACTTTTTATAATAATTTAAATAATTTACTTGCATTGGATTTACAGTTATTTAAAACTCAACATTAGTATTAGAGACTATTTGATATGGGTACAGTTTATTGAATCAATGATGGGTCAGTTACCGACAAACAACCCATATTACAACACCTTAAAAGCATTCAGGACTTTTTACAAAGAAGGAGCGATAATGATTTTTTTGGATAAAAAAACGTGTTTAGAACCATCGTAAGTTCTCAAAAAATCTAGAAAAACAATATTTATCTTATAAATTGTTTTACATTTGTTTTAATAGTTATGACGAAGCTATTGACTCTGCTCTACAAGAGTCGTTAAAAGAAAAAAACCAACAATTGGAAATTAAAGAAGATTTATTTGATAATTTGCTTCAGTTTTTCCCATCAAAATGTACACCAAAATTGTTTGGTTGTGACGGATATTACATTCCAAAAGGTAAAATTGTTTTCCAATTATTTCTTTGTGTTTTTTTTAATTGTATTATTTTGTTTTATTTCTAGGTAATTTACCAGAAGTATCAATCCCCGAATTTTCTTTCGAAACTCCTATTACGAAGCAAAATGTCATTCGTTTATTACGATGTATGCAAATTAGCAATCGGGCTATACTTTTAGAAGGTAGTCCGGGTGTTGGGAAAACCAGTCTCGTTCAAGCAATTGCTAAAGCTTCTGGTCATAAACTAATAAGAATTAATCTCTCTGAACAAACAGACGTATCAGACTTATTCGGAGCAGACTTACCGACAGACGGTGGCGATGGTGGTAGTTTCGAATGGAGAGACGGTCCATTTTTGAGAGCGTTAAAAGAAGGCAGTTGGATTCTTTTAGATGAGGTAACCATGAAAGAAACAATAAACTTTAAATACCTAATGTAAAATGTATTAAAGTTTTAAAATAAAATTTATATTAATAATTATTATATTATATATATATATTTTTAGTGTTGTTAATAAAATATACATTTTTTTTGTCTAGTTAAATTTAGCCTCGCAATCTGTTCTTGAAGGGTTGAATGCAGTTCTCGATCACAGAGGTGAATTGTATATTCCAGAACTCGGACGGACATTTTTAATCAAATCGAACGAAACAAGATTATTTGCTTGTCAAAATCCAATGAATGAGGGTGGAGCGAGAAAAGGACTGCCAAAATCATTTTTGAATCGATTTTTGCAGGTAAAAAAGTTACACAATTTATACACTAACTATTTATACATTATGTGTTCAATTCAAATTTGAGCATTATTAAAAATATGCAAGTTAAGAAAGCCCACTTATTAAAGTATAAATTGCCCAAGTTTCATTGTCTCGCTACTCATTGCTATCTTTCATTTCTATTAGTTTTTCTTGTCCTGTACTTACCCTAAAATGTTTTTATTCAAAATTCTAATATTATTAAAATTTTGTTGATTTCAGGTGCATTTAAATGTCCTAGACAGTAGTAACATTGTTAATATAATACAAAAATTAAACATTTCAAATGAAAAGAAAGTACAGTCGTTAAATTTAGATCAAGTAGTTAACTTTACTCTATCATTTAGCCAAAAATATAATATGGACTTGAACTTGAGAGATATATTGCGATGGGTTGAAGTAACAATTAAATTGGATTGTAATATACTAGACCATCTTTCATTAATATATACCAATCGCATGCCCAGTCTAAAATGTCAAGAAGAAGAAGTAAGTTTTTTTTTTAATTCATTAAAAACTTGTTTAGAATTTGTATTTATTATTTTATTTGTTTAGATTTTCAATCGGATGAAAATATTATTAAATGTCGATTGTGAAAAATATGATTACATTAGAGTATTGCCATCTGCGGTTCTATTTAATAGATTTGCAGTACTTCGAAAGCGTACGCTTGGAACCCCAGTTGATCGCAGTAACCAAAATTTAATTCTTAGATCCCACATTCATACGTTAAACTCGTTGGCTGTTTGCGTAAAAATGAAATGGATGCCCATTTTGGTAATTAAAAATGATGCATGTTTTTTTTTCTTTTCATCTACCTACATATTTTTCCCATTGGTTTTAGATGGGAGAGATTCTTATTATAAAATATCTAAATTATCTATTTTATTTTGTTTATAAATTTAAGGTGGGTAGCAGCTGCGGCAAAACTTCAGTCATTAAAACACTCGCTCAATTGTGTGGCCAAGAATTGCGCGTGTTGTCCGTAAACAGTTCCATGGATACTATAGAAATATTAGGTGGATTTGAACAGGTAAAATCAAACAAAAATTGAAATCATATAAAAAAAACTAATATATTTTTATTCTAATACATTGGTGTTCTAGGCTGACTATAATAGACATCTAGAAGAAATAGCAAAACGAGTAGAATACGCAATCTATAATAAAGTTAGCCTACAACTCTTAAAAGGTCAAAGTGATATTTTAATGCTAGCATTGTGGTATGAATTTAAAAGAATGTCAGGTTAGTTTTGAACGTTTCTAAAGCGTTCCAAATACCAAGTTTGAAATTCTGTTCATTGTGTATTTTTAGATGTCCAAAACAACACTGGAACTACTATGGCGTCGGAAACTTTTCTATTTCAAAAGCGGATTTCAGCTTTAGCAAAAATAACCAGTTTGTTGGAGTATTATGACTATTCAAAACAACTTCAACTTCTTGCTGATAGGGTGACCAGTTCCGGTAGCTTAAATGCTGGTGGAAAATTTGAGTGGATCGACAGTTTATTGGTTAAAGTAAATACAGTGTGAATAGTCTATATTAATTTATGCCGTTACAATGATTATATGAATTACAGTGTTTAAAAGACGGTTCGTGGCTGTTGATTGACAATGTAAACTTGTGCAGTCCAGCCGTTCTTGATCGATTAAACGGTTTACTAGAACCAAATGGCTGTTTAGTTTTGGGTGAAAAAGGTATTGGTTCCGATGGAGAAATAACAACTATCAGACCTCATGAAAATTTCAGACTATTCTTAGCTATGGACCCAAAACATGGAACTATATCAAGGTATATGTTGAAACTTATAAGCTATAACTATTTAGAACAAAAAAAAAAAATAAGCATTTTATTCATGTTTATTTTTATTATTTATTATTCAGTTATTTGAGCCGGCGAAAATGAAAGTAGCGTAAGTCACATTTAAGTTGTTTTGAGAAATAGAAGGTTTATGTTTTGTATTTCTATAACTTTGTACTAACGAAATTTTAAGTGGCGTTCTCGCGAACAAAGGCGCAACTTAACTTACTCCATTGACTAAATGGCTCTTTTAAAGTATACTAATATGTCCTAGCGATATTGCAGATTTTTTAAAAATTTGAATTACGTCACTTTCATTCTCACCGGCTCATTTATGAACAATTATTTTTATTCCATTAAAAATATTTTTTTTTTTGTGACTAATTTTTGTATAACGTGTACGTTTATTTGATTGTAGAGCAATGAAAAATCGAGGAGTTGAAATTTACATGCATCCATTGGAAGAACTCAACGAGCATGATATTCATTCGTTGATCAAGTTACAAGGTGTTGACAGTTACTCAATAAGAAGTACAATTATTAAAATTCATCAATTTATTAAAAAATTAGCATCGGGCGTTGTTATTGGCATTAATCATTTACTTCGAACCGCTTATTTAATATCACAAAATTCAAAACGAAATCTGCCAATTTTGGAAATTGTTCGTGAAACATGTACTGATGTTTATGTACGATGTTTGATTGGCAATTTAAAACAAAATGCAATTTTAGAAATTGATAGAATTTTAGAAGAGCATAGCGAAGTGGTTAGTGATGTCTGGTATCCTAATCTAAAAACACTCGATGTTTTGCAATCAGCAAATTTGTGTTATGTAAATCAACTGTGTGATGTTTTAAAACATTATAAGAACTTAAGTGATACTAGCATAGAAGATTTGCTGTTATGCTATTTTGGCCGATCATCGAGTGCAGATATTAGTACTAGATGCAAATGGCTATTGATGAATTTCAATTTTGAATCTGACGTAATTCTTAATTTTGTAAAACAAGTTGAATTTTTACAATTCGATAATTTAACATATTTGCCAAAGAAAGTGGGTGACAATATAGACTGGAATAATTTGCCTTACGACTGTAGATATTTACCAGCCGTCTATTATAATGGAATTAACGCAAATATGCCATGTGCAGAAAACAAAATGCATCTGATGTTGGAACACACATTAAATAAGGCTGTAGATGAGAGTTCTGCTGCATTAAAAAAAAATAAAAAAAGTGAGATTAATATCAAAAAAGTCGTAATTAATTAATTTAATAACTATAAACGTCAATTTAAAAAAACCCCAATTTACAGGAGCTATGATACAAAATGGCGGAATGCTTCACGATTATGCGGTATTGTCGGTCGCTTTTGATGAATTTGTTGATTTCTTTATAAGCGAATGTTCATTACTTATTGATGAAAACAACTATCGGTCATTTAAAGAAATTATATGTTGGACTAGAAGTATCGAGCAGTATATATATACAAATTTGGAAAACAGAGGGGAGTTCCTAACGGTGTTGGTGTATTGCTATTTCAGCGTAATCGTTAATTATTTTGTACCGTTAATGGAATCCATTACAATTGGAGTCAAGTAATGCATTTTTATATTTGCAATTATTTTTCTATAGTATTAATTTAAAATTGCTTGTTAGACATACATACTTGGAAAGATTGAAAACAATGCGAGATGAAGTCCGAAAGAACTATTTGACGCCTAAGCGTCATACAGAGCTCATGAAATGCTATAAACAACAAATTCCATCGCATCAGTGTTGTAAAACTCACGGCGATGAAATTGTCAAGAGACATAAGTTAGTTGATTTTATTTAATCTATTTGTAATAGACAATTTTTTACACACAAAGATTTTCAAGTGAAGATTTGCCTAGATGTTTTAATGCTTATTTTTTTGTGTAATATCTATAGTATTTTTTATTCCAGAAAAAATAAGGACTACATTTCTATAATTAAGTCGAATAACTTAAAGGGATTGATTTCTAAAGAGGCTAAAAACCAAAGACATGAAATTATTCTTATGGCGCATTCCAACTGTGAAACGGTCCAATCGACTACAACTCAATCTATTAGTAAGTTTAATAATAATGAATTTAATATTAATTGTGTAAAATACTAACATGATTTTATTTTTTTTTTCCTAGAACTTGAAAATATTGAAATAAACGATATTGAACTTAACGTTATACCTTTATGGGAATTAATTATCGAACGGAGTTTCCTCACAAATTTAAACCATTTCTTTGATGATAACGATGAGAATAATAGTAACAATGACATGAAGTTTTTTAATTCACTTTTGCAATATTTACCGACTGTATCACCATTATATTGTCATTCATTAAAAAATAGTCAAAGAAGTATTGACTTCCTATTGGAAGCTTTGAAGCATTCGTTCAACTCGGTTGCTGTGAATTATCCAAATAACTTTCTGGAATGGTTACCCAACAACAATGAATTTAGAATAGATGACGAAGAAACTACTATTGAGGAAGTGTGTAAACCTGAGGTACGTTATCCTTAAAAAAAAAATTTTTTTAAATGGTTATTTTATTCATGTACACTGTTTAACCATGTATTTGTATTCATTTAAGGAAACATATTATTCATTCGAACAACCGCTGTTCAGTGTGTTTATAATCAAAATGTTATTGAAAGAAAAAGAACCATACTTTACGTTTGCGCCGATTCCTATTCAGTCCATACAACACACCAATTATAACTTGAAGAGCGTCAAACATTTTATACAGAATAATTCAAAATGGACTACTGAAATTCAGTGAGTTGATAAAATAAATAATTTTCATTATTATATTTTTTACCAATTTGTTTAAACAATTTTTTTAGTTTTAAAAATCTCAAGATTTTGCTTAAACTTGCTGAATTGTTTTTTTCGCCTCTGTTACCTATTGATGATATTACATCTATGGAAGAGCTCTATCTAAGTAGAGATAATGATAAATGCCACAAATCCCTGTGTTACAAAGTTAATTATCACGATACCATGGTTACTGCTGTTTACGAAGCGGCTAATGAGATTGATTACATTAAGAAGAATGTACATCTTTCGGCGACATCAGATGTAGACAATAATTTGAGTAGACAATTGCTATTTAGTGCAGGCCGTTTGTGGGTACTCTCAGGCATGTACTTGCTGGAAGTGTTTTCCGCGTTGAGTCCAGTAGATCCATTACAAAAACTTAAAGTTAAAATTGAATGTTCCGTTTCTGAGGTGTGTTTATTTTTTAAATTTGTATCTACCAAATCCAAAATGATTTTTGCAAATATTACATGGGTTTTTTAATTTTAGAAAATTATGCTAAATGGAAGATTAAACGCTGAAAAAATATTCTCAGAAATGGAAGGTGTTTCTGAACTGTTTCCATTTAAAGAATATTATGTTCAAAGACTTAAAGCTTTGAGCGAAAAAAACACAAATGTAGGCTACAGACCAGAACCTCCTATATACAATGCTATTTTAGAAGTAAGTAAATATTTTATTTTAATCTTATTTAAAACATTCTGATTGGCGCACCATTAAATTTATTTAAAATTAATATTACTTCAATATGATTTTGTTTATAGGAAGTTACTCGTTTTACAAAAATGTATGGTTTAGATGGTAACACGTATAAAATTATAAATTCTGATTTAAAAAATCGTGAATCACTTGTAAATGAAATAGACAACTGGCTGACATCGGTTTCAAGTTTTCATGATCGACTATATGAACATTATGCAGCATACCCGGACATACTTGCCGGAATACTTCTTTCAATAAATCAGGTATATTTCTCAAAGTTAATCTAAAGCCATTCATATTAACCATTTTGTGTCTTTAACATTTATTAGATGAGGTACGGTATGAGAATTTTACGCAACCACTTTAAATGGTCAGTAATGAAAGAGGAACATGTTGCACATAACGAAGAAAAATTATTACAACTTTTTGGTGAATTTCCTCGATTCTGTCCCGACATTATGGAAATGGTCGACATAGACGAAACAGTTTCCATGAATACAAACGACAAATTTAGGCGTGTAACATTACATAATTTGTTTATTATTATTATTATTATTATTATTGTTTATTGTATTTTAATTTTAAAGGTGGTACAAGTTATGTTTGGAAGAGTTGAATAACATGTTTTACCTTAGTGGTCAGCCGTGTGGTTCGGATCAACACATGACAGCTATAAGGAGCGTTGTTGAAAAATTTGTATGTAACTGGAAGCGTCTTCAAGAAGAAGAAGAAAGTAAAAAAATTGAACAAGAAAGTCTGTATAAGCAAAAATCGGACAGTGAAACAATAACCGAAGAGACAGAAATTGCACAAGGTGTTGCACAACAATTTCCGACTACAAAACATACAGATTTTAATGATATTGAAGGTCCAAATACACTTGAAAACACTACTGTCGGGGATAATATTTCTCAAGAGCTTTACAGTCTTACTGATAAAGACATCAATGATATATGTCGATTACATGACCAATTAGTACGACCAGCAGCATTGGCTCATTGGTTATCACCATCCTCGAAAATTGTTGATCAAAACGAAGCGTTCAGCAGAATTCGAAATACTTTCTCCGATCGTTTTTGTATGTTTGGCAAACTTTTATTGTCAAAATTTATGTACTTAGATTGTTCAATGGACAGTAAAATGATTCCATGGATGTTGTTGGCCACTGACATTGCTAGCAATCCAAAACAACGGTTAGATAAAGACTATTACGACTTCTATCGCGATTCCAATGTAGAGTATGCTTTGAAAACTTATGAAGTACTCAAAGAAATAGAAGACAAAATTAAAGGGCTGTTGGAGGAATGGCCAGATCATCCTACATTGCAAACAGTAAGTTGATCAATATTTTCTGTAGGTCATTCGATTAATGTGATTTTTTATTTAATTTATGAAAACTTAACTTTTTTTAACAGATTATAAAAGTTCTAAAGCGCATGATGGGTTTCGATTGGTCCAGTCCAACATGTCGTTTTCTTGTTGGCTTAGAACTTCTTCTAACCAAGCTTCATGAATGGGAAGAAGTTGCTCATCGGGGCATTAGTATGAATGAATTAGTTTTAAAAATATCTTACAGTATCCAAGAATATCGAAATCTTGAGTTGAGCACTTGGAAAGACTGTTTACAGTATTCTCTCAAAAAGTATGTATATAGTTAGTTAAAGTTTATCTTGAGGTGATGCTACATACTCGATTTTAAAAAAAACCTAAATAGTAAATGTTTTACCTCGGAACTAGATGAATGTAAGATACACTATACCAACTTTTCAGAAGAGCATAAAAATGTTAACTGTCTAACATACACTCTTATAAGCCTTATTAGAAAAGAAGAATTTTTAATGGAATTCCAATTGTATGCAAAATCAGATTCTACATGTAAAAACTGTAATAACCTAAAACTTGCCATTTTTGGACTTACGTTCTTTTAGTTCCGAATTACAAGTTATTAAAAAGATTTGTTTGATAATTCAATTCTTAACATCTCATAAGGAAAAGTTACTTAAGTTTTCTGTTGAATGTGTGGTATTGTCTCTTTTTAAAAATAACCATCAATTATCTATTAAATTTTTAATATTTGTTTTTGGAAAGGGTGCAGAATGATTCATCTAAGTGGTGGTTTTATTTGTATTCAATTTTCCAAGCATACATAAACAAGCAAGACAGTTTTCCACAACTTGTATCTGCTTTGCAAAAATTTATGGAGAGTTCAACGTTGGGAGAGTATTCGACAAGATTAGAATTGCTTTACACGTTTCATTGTGATACAATTAATAGAGAAAAATCAAATGAGCAAACTGAACTAAGCAATGCTTCTTGGAACTTGTATAAATATTATTGTCAATTCGAAAAGCGTATTCATACTCGCATTGAAACCCTAACAGCCGAAGTTAAAAAGAAACTACGAGACTTTGTAAAAATCGTTAAGTGGAATGATATCAACTACTGGTCAATCAAAGAAACCGTAACCAAAGTTCAACAAACATTGCACAAGTACACTCGGGAATATGAAGTAAATATATTTTGTATAATTGTAATCAATTAATTGTCTTACCTAATTATTATTTTAAAGGAAATTTTAAAAAATTCTGCATCGTTTGCTATGATGACTCAGTCGACTACTTCCGAGACAAAAGTTGATCCCTATATTCTTCCAACATTTAATATTGATAACTATTTAAATGATTGTGAAATAAATTTGGTAAGAATTATAGTATTATATTTATATAGTTAACATACATTTTTTATCTTTACAAATTGTGTCTAAAAATTGCAAATAATAATATTTCTGTACAATTTCAGGATATATTAGACGGTACAGATATTCTGTTGAATCTTAGCAAATACTCGAAAAAATTAAATACTTTTTCGCGTAAAACAATGACTAATTGTTTCTACCCAAATCACATTACTGAACTGAATGAATTTATAAATGGTATTTTGGAATCGGCTGAAGAATTGCGTGTATTGCAGATTAATTTAGAAGCGCCAAAAGACAAACAAAAATCTCAAGCGAAACAAATTTTACAACAAAAACGTAAAGCGTTATCTGAACTGTTTAAGGCTCTAAAACGCATTGGGTTATCTTTTAAAGCTGGATTAATGGGATGTGAGCAAATAAACAATGCGATTGATTTTGCTCGATTACCGCCGGTGGATCTAAAAGCGGCACTTGATTCGTTATCTCTTACGTAAGATACCATTAGTTAACATTTTTTATACACATCCACTATTTGGTGATTATCTGTATTATATCATTATTTTAGGCCTGCAGATGACGATTTACATTGTGCTTGGTCTGAGAGTGAGTCTTATTTTTTGAAATCTGTATCCCAAATAGCCGCTCTTAAAGTGGCCTCCGAAAAACCTAAGCTGGGTCAACAAGATATGGATCGTGTTAAGGGTTTTACTAACGACCTTATGGTGTGTACTATTTATTTTATCTTTTGTTTTTGGGTTTTAACTTTTAACAACTTTTTTTTTTAGAAAACTACATGGAAAACTAAAAAAATATTGGCTTCTCACGTGGACTCTCTTGTTCAGTTCCGAAGCTTGTTGCATTTATCTGATATTATTACAGATTCTGATAGTGTAGTTTTCAATCCTACTGAAGATCTAAAAGTAATTAGGCTAGATGATACATTAATCATATTTTGAGTTCACTACAAATAATTCAATATATATAACATGATAATAATATTTCCTGATTTATTTTATTTTTTAGTCGCCGATCAATTATGTAGTCAACAGTATTAATATATTGCAACAATTTAAAGTAACCTTACAATGTCGTGATGAAACGACTAATTTGACTACAGCTGACAAGCAGACATCGTTATTCAATTTATTATATTCCGAGAACAATAAGAACAGCGTTCTTAATAATTCTAAGTTACCAGACGATATCTCAAATCTTAATGAAGTCATAGAGTTGGCTCAAAATACTCTTAAAGGATTAGCTGATGAAAAAACAGTTAGAGCAATGAAGTTATGTGATGTAAATTTCATGAGTAACGACCTATACAATAAAGCAGTTAAAATATGTGATCTAATATCCGAATACATAAATAAGTTTTATAATAAAATTTGGATGGTGGAAGACCATTTTGGTAAAATTCAATTCCAACACGAGCTATTTGATTCTAATGCAAGTATCCCTCTTGAACAGTCTTCCTCGTCAAAGGAGGCGGTTAGCCAATTGATAAATTCAATTTTATTATCAGTTGAAAAGCTCTATAAAAAGTATAATAACATTAATGTACTAGAAAACAATGAATCGATGTTACTAAAATGTCAAATTCTCCAGCCATTATTGACTGACTTAGAAGATTGCAACTTGTCCCAAATAAACAAAAAACTAAGAAATGTACTGAAAATGTCTGTTGGTGATAATGTTTTGAGATCATGTCTACCGTTGCTTAAACAATATGCTTTACTTGTACAATATTTTATTGCCCAACAAACGATGACGTACAGAGTTTTATCAAAAATGAGTTTCACTCTCTCCTCATTGTTCACTGATCTTGCTGCAAATGTAAGTAAAATAAAAAAATTGTGTGAAAAATATTAATTTTTATGATTAATAAATTATTTGTCTATAGGGATTTTGTGTACCCGATGAACTGTTAGAAGGAGAAGACGGTACGCAGTCTGACGGTAAAAGTGGTATGGGTCTTACCGAAGGTGAAGGAGCAAAGGATGTATCGGACCAAATAGAAAGTCAAGATCAATTGGAAGATGCAAAAAAAAATTATGATAATGAACCTGAACCAGATAAAGATTTAAAGGTAACGTCAAGAAATATATATCAATCCAGTATTAATTTACTACACTAGTGATAAAAATACGAAATGAATTGCTTTTTTAGTTAATTGACTTTTTGAAGTAATAATATTAATTTAAAGTGATTTATTTAAGATCGATTGTATATAGATTGTAAAAAGTTATATTACGTTGACTATTTACCTATTACAAAGTTTGATGGTTAATTTAGTTCTTATTTTACTACTTAGTATTGATTTTTTTTACTTTTTAGGAGGAAGAAAAAGGCGTAGAAATGTCTGATGACTTTGATGGTAAATTACATGATTTAGAAAAAGAAGAAAATGAAAATAGCAATGATGATGATGATGATGATAATGATGATGATGACAACGAAAATAAAGAAATGGGAGAAACAGGAGAAGGTGCAGAAACTTTGGATGAGAAACTGTGGGGCAGTGATTCTGAAGACGATGAAAATGGCGATGAACAGGAAAATGAAGAATTAAAAGAAGATGACGGTCAAGGAGGAGAGTCACAAGGAGACAAACAAATTGGTGCTAAGAATGATAACGAAAATGGGAAAGGAGAAGATAACGAAAAAGAAGAAATAAACCAAAAAGATAGTAAAAATGATATAAACGAATTAAATGATGATGGTGATGAAGCTGGAGAAGATCATTCAGATCCCCATCATGGAGATTTAGAACCACCACCTGAGCCCGAGCCAATGGATTTGCCAAATGATCTTCAACTCGATGAGGGTGAAATGAATGACAACGATGAAGGAGAAGAAAATCCGTTTGATATAGATGCCATGAAAGAAAATATGGAAAATGCAGCAACCGATGATGAACTTAACGAAGAACCCAAAAAAGATAAAAATGATATGGAAGACACAAGTGATGAAGAAGAAAACGAAAATCAAATTGATGACACTAAAATTGGTGATAATGATGAGGGAGTAGAAGAAAAAAATAGTCCTGATGATGATATGAATAACGACGGTGGTAAAAAAGATGATAATAAAACTGGAGAGGAACCACAAAAAGAGGAAAAAGAAGAACTAAAAAATAATCAAGAAAACGCTAAACCTTCTGATGATGAGCCTAGTAAAGTAGAAGCTCAATCCTCAAATCTGGAAAACGGTGGTTCTAAAGATCAGATTTGTGAAAATGCTGATGGCCAAGACGATAGTGGAGCAAATGAAGAGAACAAAGAAGAAGCAATTGGTCCTGAGCAGCAAGGTATTGGTCGTTCTCAAAAGGAAAGTAGAGATACTAAGCAAGGTCATAGTGCCGATCAAGATAATGGTGCTTCTAGCGAAGAGCCTGGTTTAAAGGAAAAGAAAAGACGGATGAAACCTGGGCAAAAAGATACAAATAGAACTTTAGGTGAGATTAATAATATTTCTGTAATTATTTTTAACTTTTTTGAATTTAATACATTTTTTTTTATAGCTGAAAGTAATGGACCTATGAAAAAAAGGTTGAAAACTGCAGACATTCAGGAAGAAGATGAAGCAGAGGACGACGATATGGATGAAAGCGGTGCAAACAAAATAGAAAATGCCAATAAAAAAGGAGATTTGTTTAAACACGTTAAAGAATCTAAAAAAGATGATGTAGAGACATTAGATGCAGCAATGAATGTTAGTACAGACATTTTTTATCTTTTGTCAAATTATTTTTAATTTAATTTTTTTTTTAGGAACAACTTGAAAACCGACCTATACCTAATAACGAAGACGAAGTCGGTGAAGAACTTAAAGATAATGATATAGAAATGGAAGAAGACATAGAAAAAGAAGAGCCTAAACAAGGTGATGAGTTATTGCCAGAAAAAGTTAAACCTAAGAAAAAAAATAACCAGCCAATTATGAATGAAACTGATGGTTTTGAACATAAAGAAATTAATGATGATGAAGAACAGATTGACATAGAAGGAGATGTTGTTTTGACTCATGGAGTCGAACGAGGAATGGAAACTATGTTTCACACAGCAGAAATAAAAGATGATGAAGAAATATTTGAAATAGAAGTCAAAGACCATAAAGAATTTTTACAAGATCAATACAATAAATGGATGGAGGTAAGTTATATTATGCTTTTTAGAGTATTTTCTCAATGGATATATGTTATATTACATTTGAAAATTTAGGCTGGAAGTAATGATGTTAATATAGACGAAGCTTGGAATAAGTGCATGGAAGCCACATCTGGTTTAGCCCAAGAATTAAGTGAACAACTTCGTTTAGTGTTAGAGCCAAGTAAGGCATCCAGACTTCAAGGCGATTTCAGAACGGGGCGACGCATAAATATGAGACGTGTTATACCTTACATAGCCAGCCAGTTTAGGAAAGATAAAATATGGCTCCGAAGGACTAGACCTTCCAAACGTCAATACCAGATTATCATGGCCGTTGACAACTCTAGTAGTATGATGGATAGTCATGCTAAAGTCGTTAGTATATGCAGTTATTACAATTGTATTATTAATTGTAACTTGAAATTTGTTTTTAGTTGGCATTTGAATCCTTAGCTTTAGTTAGTAAAGCTCTCACCTTAGTGGAAGCTGGAGAATTGGGGGTGATGAGTTTTGGTGAACAAGCCAGAATCGTTCATCCTCTTGGTGAGCCTTTTGCCGATCAAACGGGTGCTAGATTAGTATGTGACTTTACGTTTGATGAACAGAAAACTAAAGTTGGAGAAATGATCGAGTTAGCTACTGCGTCCTTTAAGGACCGGGGTCGATTAGATAACGGGGATCAACCAGCCCAACTATTAGTGATTATGAGTGATGGTCGAGGTATAAAAAGTGAAGGACCTGATGTAGTGAGAAATGCTATTCGGACAGCTAAATTGAATGGTATAATCATTGTATTTATCGTTATAGACAATCCAACCACAAAGGTAAATGTTAAAAAAAAAATCAAAAAATCTATTATGTATTTAATATTTATTATTTGATTTTTCAGGAATCCATTTTAGATGTCAAAATGCCAATATTTGAAAACAATAGTGTACGCATTGAATCGTACATGGATAATTTCCCATTTCCATTCTATGTGATTTTAAGAGACGTTGACAAATTGCCTAGTGTATTAAGTGATGCGCTTAGGGAATGGTTTGAGCTTGTTACAACATAAAGCCATTCGTTTTTCTTACATAAAATTAATTAATAGTTTTACCATGTTTATATATTTCTTGTTTGTTTTATGAATGACTGTTGTTAACGCAATTATTTTTTTTTTTAAATAAAATAACCTTATCATATATATTACGATGAATTTTAACCTTAACCGCTCTTAATTATATTTCCAGTATTCATTTTTTAAGGGTTATGTTAAAACCAGTTAATTAATGAAATTATTTTTTAGGAATAATTTTTGAAAAAGCAATTTTAGGCAATATAGCTATCACTTTTCGTTGTGGTTGTTACAAGTTGTTAGTACTTCTATTATATATAGAGCAATATAATTATTAATTTTATTAGTCTGATGACTATTTGGTATCAATGGTCAAAAATCAAAAACCCTACGATAGGTATATAGATATTTTTTATCTTAAGTTTTGCAAAATCTGGATTTGCATCAACAGGTGACGTTATCATTTTATATATTTACATTTTACTATCAATATTCTTATCAATTGACCAAAATTGTACAATTTATTATTACAATAGAAAAGTTGAACTAAGGTAACAGGATAGAGATACTTTATAGATCTATTCTGTGGTAAGATTATTCTTTAGCAATATTATTACACGATAATAATAACATGCTCATTATTACAGAATACTTTCATTTTGATATTAGTTCAATTAAAAATAATAAACTTATCTGTGATAGTAACTCATAATAATGACATTATATTATTATTACCACGACCAAAACAAATTGTTATTAACTAGATGTTGTTACTTGTTCAGTAAAAAAAAAAAAGTTGGGTACTTTGGATAGTTATTGAATTTTATAGGTTATTGGAATCTGGGTTATCAACTTTTATGTTGGATACGTAAAACATATTTGGTAAAAACTACACAGTTAAAACTAATATAATCATAAATACATCATTCATAAACGTAAGTCTAATCCACATACAAATTAAAAAGTAATCAACAAACTACTAACACAACCATGGTGTTTCTTCGCTATTCGGTCACTGATGTCTTAGGTAAACACTATAATAATTATGGAATTCTCAAATTGCTTAGTTCTAAAATTTCATCGATGAGTAATGCTGTTAAAAACAAGTTCTTATTTCGCCAGGTAAATCATAATAATTAATTATTGATTTTTATTAACATCAATTTTTTTTTTTTTGTGGTATTAGTTGTTCGATAAAGAATCATCAACATACTCTTATATATTGGCTGACAACGATGTGAAAGATGCAATTATTATTGATCCAGTTCTAGAACAAGTCAACCGCGATCATACAGTCATTAAAAGATTAGGTTTAAACCTTTTATACTGTAGTAAGTAAAAATATAAAAAAAAATATCATTAATAATATTGTTATCTGTAAATGTTGTATAAATTAATAAAGTTTTACAATTTTCCAGTTAACACACATGTTCATGCTGATCACGTTACCGGTACAGGCGCTCTTAAAAAACTAATACCGTCATGCCAAAGTGTTATATCTAAGCAAAGTGGTGCCAAAGCAGATATTTACATAAGTTCAGGAGATAAAATTCAGTTTGGCAGTTACGAAATTGAAGTACGTTCGACACCGGGCCACACTAACGGTAATTATCTGAACTAAATTTGTCAACTCAGGTTTCTTTTTATTGTTAACAACTTTACGTTTATTTAAAATAGGATGTGTTACATATATATGTCAAAAAGAAGCAGTATTGTTCACTGGTGATTGTCTATTAATTGGTGCTTGTGGCAGAACAGATTTTCAAGAAGGAAACCCTGAAACATTATATCGTTCTGTTTACGAACAAATTTTCACTTTGCCCAACTACTATAAAGTATATCCTGCTCATGATTATACGGGTAATTCAAAATTGTCTATCTGATAAATTAAAAGCTAAGGTGTTACTTTATGTAAAACTAATCCACTAGACCCATTTTATTCAAATTTGGTTTATCACTCATTTCCAAAAAGGACCTTTTGTGTTACCACAAATGATAAAAACTGATAAATGTATATGACACTTTAATATTTTACTCTTAGGCCAAACCGTTACTACAATCGGCGAAGAAAAGATAAATAATCCACGTCTTACAAAGTCGTTAGATCAATTTATTGAAATAATGAATAATTTGAATTTAGCATATCCAAAAAAAATAGGTGAGTGTTCATGTATGAAAACAATTGCATAATATACTTGAAATAATTAATTATATTTTTAGATGTTGCTATGCCAGCCAACCTCAAGTGTGGTATTCAAGATGAATTGTAAAATATGAACCTTTTAAGCCTATATAGCATGTATTTTATTATTAGCAAAAATAAAATAATATTTAAATTTATTTAATTTATTGTTGTATAATAATAATTTTTTAAATAATTGAATTTAAATTTGTTTAAAATGAATACTCGTTGAGATGTATTAGTCATATTGAAAAAATGTCAGTCTACTTACTGTATAATTACGATGTGTTTATTTAGATGGCAAAATACTTATACTTATTTTTACTCAAAATTGACCTCACAAGATTTATCGAAATTGGTGACCCCATTGATATGACAGTTATTGTGAAATAATGAATTAAACATTGTGTTTCATTAAATAAATATATTTTTAAACAAATTTTATTTGGAATATGTATTAAATGTTACAATAAATGTTTATGAGGTCAGAAACCCTTAATGTAATTTTATTAAGTTTATATACCTTAATTTTTTTAAAAATGCATCTCTTGAAAATCAAGGTTTTTGTCATGCAAGGTACATTTCTTCGAGATCTCTGGAAAAAAAATCTACCAGTTTATTCTTTTACATGTTCCTCTTGCTTTTTTTTTAAGCCCCATGGTAGGAAATAAAAAATGTCCAACAAAATAAATTATAAGCTTTCCTAAAATTAAGCACCATAAATTGAGTTTTTCTTTTATCTTTTTTCCTACAAGCCAGCAGAGATGAAATGTGGCTCTTCAAGACATAAGAATTGTTCAATTCGGTCAAGTAGTTTTTGAGAAATTGATCCACATAACATCCCGAAAACGGCCTCTATTCCAGGACCCTTATCTTAAATAATATCTATACGCTCTATATAAAACCTTAACTATAGTTAGAGTTTAAAAGCTAGTCTTAAATTGTTTAACTCGTTTTTGGTCGTAAAAACTGGTGAAAAATGTCTTACGATACAACCAAAATTATTATTTTTCCTTTCTTACTATTGTCATTTTTTTAACTGTCACAGTTTGTATCAACTGAGACACAGAGCTATTTTAGAGTCTGAGTAACCTATACCTATTACATATAGAGTATAAAATGTATGGTGTTAAATTATATGTCTTTGTGCCATCTCTTTCCTTATTTACTAATAACGATCTTAAACGCTGTCGTCTATCGACTGTTTTGCTGGTAATATTAAGCTTTTACAGAGTTTTACTGCATGGTGCGTATCAATTATGTAGATGATTGCTATCATCTTCAATAAATCCTTGATGAATTTGTCGATACAGCTTAACAGTTAGTTTTGGTGCTGAATGTCGTACCTATTAGCCTAATGTCGTAAGATGATACCTTCCCCAGAGGTCGCTATTCTGTTCAATTTTCCCATACGGTCAACGATGATTTCCTCTGTTCCGCTAATAATAATGTCAGAGATCTTATTGTCACGTTTCTTTTTCCACCCTGCTCATCATAGGAGTGGTCTAAATTATTACTTTTTTTATTGTTTGTTACTGGTACCCTATCAATTTCTTTATTATATTTAAAAATGTGAGTAGGTATAACAATGAGAACACGTCCCGAAAGAATTTTACCAGATTAGAGAATTATTAATTCGTTTGTTCGAATTATTTAACAATGTCTAAAAAAAATTATCATGCATGTTTCTACATTTGGGTCATTTATTGTAAAAGTGGTGTAACTACAATTTTTTTAAATATTATTATATTTGATTAATAAAGTTACATTTAGTCAAAAAAGCTCGTTGTATCAAAATTCAATTACAAAGGGATAATTCACTTTTACAATGAACGAATTTGTTAGGTATGTTTTGTGTCTAATAGAACACTATGATTGGTGTTGTTGCGGCATGTGTTCTCGTGTTCAATGTGTTGGTATACTCGCATTTTTAATGATAAAAATAATTTTAAAAAACTCGCAAGGGTAAGTACCAGTTACAAAAATGTTAAAATTTAGACGACTCTACTGCCTACCGCTAAAATATTAGGTTTTGTTAAAAGAATCTCTTCGAGAGTTCAAAATTTTCATCTTCCCGCTACAAAGGGAATGGAAGTCTTGACTCTTGTCCGTTACATTTTGAGATGATACATGAAATCTTAACATTCTCATTTGTTTTGATATTTTATCAATTTTTTTTTTTTGGTAAAACTCAAATACCTAGTCATCTCCGGTATTAGCAAATGAATCAACTTATTTACGAACTATTGGTCTATATACCTACTGTGTACACGAGTGCCTTCAGTTTCTATTCACCCATATTTGACGATAAAAGTATTTTAAAATCAATAGTTTTCTTAAAATTGTATCAATATTTAAACCTTAAAGTGATATAGGTACCTATGATACAAGCTAAATTCTAGTGTCGCTTGGGTACAAAAAATAAGTAAAAAACACTTTTTTTATTAGCGTTTGTTTCATATTTAAACATAGTTTATTATAAATATCATTATGATAATTTATTCAAAAAACTAAGTATAAAATCTATTAGGTAGACATTTTTAGTATGCGTTATAGCAAAGTTAGGTCAATACCATTATTACATTAGAAACTGCTTTGATGCAAATCTATGTGTAGTAAGAAAGATAAATAGATAACTAGATCAATAAAATCGAGTACAGTAAAAACCAGCACATTGAAATTCAATTTTTCTAAAAAATTTGTCAACCGATGGATGATTTTTTGTCACCGATGGCTCGGAAATGTATCGATACCTTCTTTGTTATTATATTAGAAATTAAAATTTATGTCAGTATACAAATCAAATAGTGTTTCATTGATTAAATATATTATGAGTTTTGTACTTGGTCAGTGATTTGTATTATTCACATTTTCTAGGGCGATACCCATTAGCACTTGGAAAATTGTTTTGACCGTCAACCGAAAGGATGCTGGCTTTTGAACTATTTGGTCCCTAAAAATCAATATGCAACGGTTATCATTTGTTTGCTGGCAACTAAACAAATTTGAAATTGTGTTTTATTTTGTTTACCTTAGTTTGATTTTTTATTTCAGATGCAGTCGGTGAAAAATTTGCGGTTAATTTAGTTGTTAATCAGTTAGATTGTTGATTTGGAAAACTTAGTATGGAACTTTCTTCTGGCCTTCGTGAGAACTAGAAAATGATGACCAGATTTTTTTTTAAAGTTTAGTCCAATTGCAAATCTGTTATTAAAAAATTATTAAATAAACGTTTACTTGCGCTAAAAAGACCAAAATAGTAAATACTGTTTTTACAACTTTGTAGGTGATTAAAACAATTAACAAGACGCGAAAAAAGGAAATTAAAGAACAGACTCAACGAAAAAAATCCCCATGAAAAATAAATTAATGTATTTGTTTTAAAATATTCAAATTTTTTTTCACTACCAAACGAAATAAGTTAATAAATGCGGGTGAGCCGGCATCCACTTGGGAAAAATCATATTATGTACGGGTACTTATTTGCATATACACACGTGTCTTATGTACCTACCAATACTACTGTGCGTGCAAAACATGCGTAAACGTTGCGAATAAATTTGCCGGCATTGCAGAACTGAGCCAACCGAACGGAGCTCCGCCCCTCGCATAAAAAAACCTCTAACTAAATACACACACACATACATTTACTCCTTCCCGCAGATTCAGCCCTTTGTTTTATTTTGTTTTAGGTTGAACCTAATTATCCACGGCGGTATTTTTTATATATTATAATATTAATACTCCTTATTATAATCGTCGTCGACCTAACCAGTGACCGTTTAGGGGAAATCTACCCAGATCAGACGACAAAATATATTATAATACATCATTCTATTACAATTTACCTATTATTATAATTAACTGTAATTTGTTGATTGGCAGATGAAGATACTGCCATCTTCAAATACGGTGAAATGCAGATCACAGTAACTGCAACTTTTGAACACAAAATTATAGCTCGAGTGCTAAAAAATATATTAAACACGTGGATACAATTAAGCATATATTATCAAAAAATACACTTGTTTAAATCTAAGAGGACTTTAATAGTTAATAGTAACAGGAAACAAATGTGTAGACCAGTCGACCACAATCTACAACTCTCAAAAGATAACGGCTAAAATAAAAAATCTACTGTGATTCATTAATAATTTTAATTCAATAATGATTTTTAAATATTTAATGTTCTAAAATAGCAATTAAAAATTCCTTTACTAAAATTTGGTCTTACAGTGTTATTATAAACAAGTTAAATTACATACTAAATAACTTATACTGCCTATGTGTGTTTAAAAATTACAAAAACAATATATTTTTTCTATATAGTTTGATAAATTTGATAAAAATACATATAACAAAAAATAGCTTTATATAAATTAGAACACAAAAATCCGAAGCTTAATAAAAAAATGTAGGTATTTAGCAATTTAAAAGCCTTAATCGTGCAATATATAGGTAGGTATAGTTATTTAATTGAATACACGTGGGGCCTAAATAAAAAATATTCAATGAAATTGTTATAAAAAATAAATAGCTTTTGAATCTCAAATATTCATGTTCAGGCAATTATTTCTGCCACTTTTATAGTCAGTCTGTGAGAACAACCTAACCACTGATTGTGAGTACCTACTGTTGAATGGAAATTTAGATAAGCCGAACCATTGATTAAATAATACAATGTATTAAATATTTAAATGTCATTAATCAATGGCCGAACACTATTTTATTATATAACACCTTTTTTAAGAGAAAAATAAATAAACCTAACAATGAACATGTCTGGAACATATATAAAAAATTAAAAAAAACAATTATTTCGAGTACCTATTCTTAAAATGTTTAAACTTTAACTAAAATACGCGACCAAATCATACATTATTTAAAATAAATAGTAACTCGTCTGACTATACTTTTATTCATCAAAACATAAAACATTTGAATTTATCAGTTTAAATAATTAATTATATTATATAATTTAAAACAACAAATTTAAATAACATCCGACTTAGATAAATACCTACCTATAGTATTAGTGTTATACAATATTTTGACCACAAATAAATTAACAAAACTTATACATTCGAAATAATTAAAATAATCTTTTTATATCAAAGTAACGATTAATACACGTAGGACTTCTGAAGTCAATGAACATACAATTTATAAATTATAAACAATGTGTATCGTTGTTTTTATAAGTATGTAAATGTATAAGTATCGAAATATTGTTTTTTTAGGTTTATCCATCTCAGTTAGACATATGAATGATAAAACGCATAAAATTGCAAAACGGTTTACAAACAATATAAAAAAATAATTTTAAATGTTGGCGCGTGAAGACGAATAGGAAAATTCGTATTCGTATAAATCATTTCTACTGCTAAGACACCACTCGTTGCATCCGTGAACGAATTCGGTTCAAGAATACGAAATTTGTAAACAGACCGTTCTAGTGGTTTCAAGAATAGCCCTCCTGAACGTTTTCAAAGGGTCGATTTGTAAGCGGTCACCCAATATGAGCCATTGTACATTTTTTTGCCGATAATAAATTTGAACAACACACAATTATTTGTGCTCATCTATAATAGATATTATTAAGTGGTAAAGAAAATTAATAGTATTTGGAAAAAATAGTATGAAAAATGTAATTAAATTAACAACAAAAAAAAGCCATGGAAACTTCTGTTCGCGATATTAATTATGCGCGATTTTCTTTTGCTTGCATTGTGAGCTGTTAGTAATTGTGACCTGGTTTTGTCCAATTAAAAAAAAATGTGAATGCGATTTTAGAGTTACAAACTCTAATTACAAAGTTGATTTTTCTAAAGTTGCTGATTTATGATCTAAATGTTGTGTTCTTGCCAGAGTATATGGCACACGTCATACTGTTTATGTGTGTCTTGCATCGAAATGTAAAACTTATTATAATCGACGGAGCTAAGCTAAATATAGTGCTCGCTACTCGTCGTTTTAATAAAACGTATAGTTTGTAATATTACAATAATGAAAATTTTATGATAACTATTTGTAATCAATGCCCAGATCCTAATTCGTTAAAACTACAATTATTTAATAGTGATAGGTAATAATTAATATAACTCGTTTTGGGCAAATTATTTACAAGTAGTTGTTGCGAACAGATCGCAGTCGCAACACTCATTTTAATATAACTGAGACTAACAACGATTTTTTTGAAAAATTAATTTATCAACGGATTACTATAATAAAAACACAATGTGATTAAATATTTAGTTGAAGCAACAGGCAACTGCCAACAATAAATTTAGTTATTAGAACTATATATTTATTGTGTTCTTAAATTAACCATAATTTTTTTAAGTTTTTTTTCCGTATAGAAGCCAAGACGTAAGTGCATTTTCTGGAGAAATTTAGTTATATACCTATATTAACCTCCTACACATTATTTACAAATATTGGAGTTGGAGACTAATTTTTTTTCTGTTACATGAAATAGACGTTTATTAAGTATGTGACATGGATGAATGATGACAATTTTCAAACATCTTTCCTGGACAATTTTTTAAAATGTACTTATAGTGTGCCTATTGGCTTTCCGTGTTCTCGTTTGATAATCACTCAATTTTAATGATTTTTGTTTCTTTGTAAAATCATTAAGACGATTAGAAATTTAATGTATAAAATGCCAAAATAAAACATTTTTCGAGTCCGGAATTCAACTCTTCATGAAATCCAAAAACGTTTGCAACCAGATAATGTACTCCGACAACGTTAACATGGTGGTGTGGTCGATTGTCGGCTCGAGCGACGTTGTTGACGAGCAGGTCATGCTGTTTTTTAATGGTCTTTTGTGGATTTGTTTTTTTTTTCGTTGACGGATGGAAAAATGAGGGTTTGGGTTTCAAAAATTCTTGCTATTGCAAGCTGCATCGACAACGCGCGTTTTACCGGTACTGCGCTGCCGATAAGAGAACCGCGAAGAGAGGGGCAAAGACATCCGTTCGTATGCTCCACCGGTACTCGATTGAGCTAGAGAGCCGCGCGTAAGACATGAATTAATAATAATAATAATAATTATTATTATTATTATTATTATTATTACTATTGTTGTTGTTATTGCTATTATAGCGTCCCGTATATTCGGTCGGGGCGGCGAGACGCACACGCGCATACTAATAAAATAAAATAACGTAGAAGTGCATCATCAAAACGTTGTATATGTTTTATGATTATTATGTATAAGGACAACGCGGACGCCGCCGTCTATTTTTTGAGAGCCGTGCACTGGTCCGGTGTGACGGCCGCTGCCGCTGCACCGGTGTGGCGTGTACGCGCGCGATGGGAGTGTTTGACGAGATACGTGCGCATGCGCCGTGCCGTTCATTCTTCGGTTGGGGGATCTCAGAATGGGAAAAATGCCCCGTCCCTCAACGCGGCTTACGCACTATTTACGCATCGCACGCACGCAAACGCAACCCCGGCGGCCACATTCGGCGTTACACGACAACGTGTAGGCCATCCGACTCGCACGGTTTCCCATATGAAAATACAATATTTATATAATATTATTATACTTACATTGTTGTTGTTATAATGTAAATTTTTGATGTTTGATTAAAAAGTGTTTTTTTTAAACAATTTTGAATTAGTTATTATTATTTTATTTGTATACTTACATTACAAATACATATTTATATATATATATATATATATATATATTTTTTTTTTTTTTTGACGCATACATATAATAATATATGGTATGTGCGTGCATAGAAAATTGCAGTTGTAGAAGAGTGAGTTTTTGAATTTGGCGCGTGCGTTGTATTCCGACATTTTTATTTGTTTGTTTATTTTCTCCAACGAAAACATTTCGTTTCTCAGTGTTTATTTATTTTTATTTAATTGTAACATTTGCGGTATTATATTTTTATGTACTATCGTTATTTGATTTTCGTTTGGCGTGTCCATTTATAATATTATTCATCACAAGTTTATGGTTTTTGGATTTTGGATTTTATTATTTAGTTTTTTAAATTAAATATTATAAAACTTACTGACGTTAAATCCGATAGTCCTTAAATAATCTTATTTATTTTATTCTTTATCTACAACTGCTCACACGGCAAACGACATCATGAGTAAAGCTCAGACGGAAAGCGAACCTTTGTCGATTCCTTCGAACGGAGGTAAGTGTAGCACAACTATACAAATTATATTATGAAATTGTTTTTCTTACCTGTACACAATTTATTCTTCACTACCGTATAGAGCCTTTGTAGCTGATAAAATATTATCATAGGCGTATACTTGACTGCCTATCATCAAGGCCCATAAAGAAACTATTTATAGGCCATGTTTATATTCGTTTTTTTTCAACGTCCAAAGTGTATTGAAAAGAAATTATTACAGTTCTTTCCGGTCTATCTTATCGCAATTATGTCAATATTTAATTACAAATAAAAACCCTATCATTCAACTAAATACATTTATAATTTATGTATATATTATTTCTATTGTTGTTTATACATGCAATTCGTTATCGTTATGATGTAAATAAGGTTCATTCATTAATTAAAATTTAAATATATTATAAATAGTATATATACTAAAACAAAAAATGGTATTATATTATTATACCTATTATCGGTTGACGTGTAAGAAAAAAATATTATTTTGTTTTTCCAAAAAAAAAACGGAAATTAAACGACAAACAACTGTAGCGCGAGAACTACCTGCGAACAGGTTAGTAGTCTTAATAATAATATTATTATTGTCAAACTTGTTTACCTATATAGTTGTTGTACACCTACTACACGGTCTAGATGTGGAATTATAGATATACATATAGACTAGATACGCCGAAGAAGGGGTGGGAAAGCGGGTTGGGAGGTGGGGATTCACGCAACAACTCCGCCTCCTCTTTACCCACGTGGGTCTGAAACCGACGTGACGTTTTGTCTGCAGTCGTTATCGAATTGCGTTGTGCATATTTTTCATATTTTCCCTCCCTTAAAATGTTATTATTAAATAAATAGTATTAAATGTATCATTATTGTTTATACTCTATACTATTGCAAAATTTACCTAGGTTACGTTAATATTGTTAAAATGTACTAGTAAATTCCATATGCCTACTCAAAATAAAAAAAAGTTGTAAACCACCATAAAATTTGTTCGATTAACTAATTTGTATTTCATTATTTTACCCTTCTCGACTGTTCTCTCGAGTTAAGTTTATAAAATGATAACCAGTTTAACAATATTAACATTATAACAGGCCGAGTTGAACTTAGGCGTTAAGCCAAATTGACGAAAACAACCGTCGCTGGCTGAGAAACGTTCGGCTTTCAGTAGTCAGGAGATGCGTATTTTCCACAAGTTTTCGATTTCAATGAATTTATTACTTTTTTTTTTTTTTTTAAGTGTAAACGCAATTAAAATTTAAATCGTTTCAACGTAGGTTGCATACGTAGATTACATTTCTAATGTAATCGTGTTTGTTTTTTTATCGTTATCATTATTATATACGTGTTTTTTAATAATAATAATTTCTATAAACTTTTATTGTGAATATATATTACTAATGCGTAATACTTCTGACACAGATAAAATAATAATAACCTAACCATGTTTATTACTATGATTTCGCGTGCCATTTTTTAAACTGTTAAATTCACAGATTCACTGTTTTGACGAATAATACAATATTGTGTGTATAGAATTTTTTTCCTTTCGGCTTTCTGAGAATTTTACATTGTTTCCTAAAATCGTAGTCGCATTTGATATCATCCAAAACTTAGGAAATATAGCGTTGATTTCGTTTATCAGGTATTGGTGTATACACAGATGAAGATGTACACATTTCAATATTTTATATTATACAAAATCACAGGCATGGCCGAGGGTGGGTTAGGTATAATATAATATAATATTATATTAATGCATAATATGCTGTTAAACGAGCGAGAAGTATTCATAACGTAGAGAGGAAGAGAGAGAGCAGTATAATATTATATAGAAAAGCGTCCGTTCGAATGTAGCTCATATCTAAAACCGTCGTTTGTGTCGCAGCTGGCGTTTGTATATACAAAAATATGTTTTTACCGTATACTATACTGAGGGTTTGGTTTCGCTTAAAATATATTAGGGTAGAAACTCGGGATTGAACAGGTAAACGAAACGGCGAATTACAGATGTTTTTTTTTTGTGTGTGAATGTATCGAGATTCCGAGATACACTGTCATGTTGCCACATGTTGCTATTATTTAAGAATATAAATATAACACTATTAAGCAATACACAAATAATATACATGTAAGGTACTAAGGTAAAACAAGAAAAATCACTTTTTTTTCATTTTTAGAAAACTATTTTTACAAGTGTTTAAAAATGTAGCACGTTAAAACGAATTTTTGACACCAAAATTGCCATTTTTCTCTTATAAATCGGATTATTTATTCAACGGGCTACCGTGAGGACGTGATACTACTATTTATTAAGGAGTTAGGTGTAGGCAATTTTTTGCAAAATCTTAATTTAAAGCTTAAACTATAATGTATAATTAATAGTATAGTAATTAGGACTCTTTTTTTTGGTAGTTAATTTATTTTTCGGACTGACACAGCATCATTGACATCAATTTTAAATATTTATAAACACAGAATGCGTTTTCTAGGTTCATGGTTGTTTTAGAGCAAAAATACCATTTACAAAATCAATAAATAACAACATTTTAAAGACAACTTCTTATCCGAATTTGAAATTAATAACGAGAAAAACATGTTACACCTATTTAAAAAAAGTAAAAAAGCGATTTTAAATGTTAAATATTAGGTTTTCAAAAAAAAAAAAATATATATATATATGTATATGACATTGTCTCTAAAATCTTGTGATATTTCTTATTTTTGCTCTAAAATCATCACGGAGCAAGTAAAACGCATTCTCCATAGGTATGTTTTGTCGCTGAAAAATTGGGTGTATTATATCCTCTTAATTATTGTAGAGACGTTTGTTCAGGATAAAAAGTACCTATTATGCACAATGCACCACCGATCGAAATAATTCGTTAGTGGTCACGACCTTGGAGTTTGTGTACGTGAATAAATAATATGTAGGTTAAATACACTTGGTCACGACTCGCATGATGTATAATATGGTGTTTTTCAAAGGCGTCGAGGTGTTTTTTTTTGGTAATAGCTTCTGCTCACGGTTTATATTGATCTAATAATTTTCAAAAGTAACACCGCGAGATCGATCTATTTCAAAAAATGCTTTAGGGTTACCCCAATGGCACCCCTATATTATATATTATCCTTATATCTATATATAATATCCCTTTAGATCGGTATTGTTCTTATAACCGGATCTCTGTACATTCGTCGAAAATCCGTAACTTGTGATTCATCGGATACAAAGAACAATTAATGTATTCTGTTTTTGAAAATAACAATTAAAAAAAAATATAATTAAGCAATAACATTTTAAAATAAACGTTAATTTTTCACTGAAATATTATAATTTTAAATTCTAAATACGATTTGGTCGTAGCTGAGAGGGTTACCGCGGCAGTGCTTCCACGCACTAGCTAGCCGTGGTCCGTGAATTTATAATTTTATTCACACGATTCCGTATATTTGTATACTCACGTGACCTCCCTTTTACGTATTTATTTAATTACTAAAACACATCTAGCCATTGGTTGAGGGGTGAGGGAGGGTGAGCACTGCCCATTCGCACGGCTGCCGCAGTTCTAAATACATATTCACGTGAATATTATTATTGATAGGTACACGTGACCAAACCTGGGTATTATTTAACTCATTTTTTATTTGATAAAAAATTAATATCTAATCAATTTTTGTGTAAAAAGTATTTAATACAACAGGTTATCTGAAAAATTCAAATAAAATTGTTTTTCATTCAAAACATTTTACATTTTTGTTTCTTTACGATAATACATATATATATATATATATATAATAATTTTTTTCACGTTACAACTAAAAAACGGTAGTGCTTCAACGATTTAAAACTATACTCCAAATTTTAAATTAATTAATTTAATGGTTTTTTTTTACTTTTTGGGGAAATAAATAATATAATACATTTTGGCGAATCCCCATCGACCAGTAGTCTTACTAAAAAGTTTAGTCCCCCCCCCCTGAAATGGTGACTCCGTTCCGCCTATGACCTCGCATGTCAAATATAAACGTTAGATATATTTATTATTGTAGTTCACGCGGAAAACGAAAACGAAACACAGATTATTGACAAAACCGACAACAAGACCAAATCAGATAAAAACGACGCTGACACGCAATCGTCGAGCGATGGCGAAAACCCAGGACCTACCTCGGGCGAATTGCCAGAAGGCGTCCGCAGAGGAGTTTGCAAATGGTTCAATTCGAAAAAAGGATTTGGGTTCGTGACGCCGGACGACGGCGGCAAAGACGTTTTCGTCCATCAAGTAAGCAATCAATTTACCGTTAATGATCAGACATAATTCAATTTTAATACTTTCAGAGAGTAATTAAAAAAGAAGGGTTCAGGTCGCTCAGAGAGAACGAGCACGTAGAGTTCACTTGTCATGAATCGGACAAGGGCTTAGAAGCCACTCTAGTCACTGGACCGGGTGGTACGCATTGCAAAGGTTCGAAAAAAGCCTATCCTCCTAAAAGACTGAGGTAACGTACATTTTGTATACATATATAAAAAAGGGTTCTTATTTATAAATTTCGGATATTTTTTTGGGAAATAGTTTTATTTTATGCTGTTGGGTAAAAAAAGTATTCATATAGAGTTGGGGTCAGTTAGATAATTGTATGAATAGTAGAAAAATTACTTAAATAATTTTTTAACTATTCTATATTTTTAGTTCTATTAAATTCCAGTAACTATTTGAATAAATCTTTCAATTTAAGGTCTAAATAATATTTTTTAAATCAATTTAACCAATACATTTTAACTCAACACAAATTATGTTAAATTTGTATTATTTACGTAATGATCTATATTTTTCTTATCTTAATAGTTATTAGTTAATACATATTTGAGTAAAGTATTTTAAATACATTTACAGTGTAAAAAAGTGACGTAGAATTATAAAATTATTATCGATTTAAAATCATCTCAAGGGTCCCATATTTATATGAAAATGTTTTTTAAAGATATCTGGGGAACGATATCCTTGTTCTTGTTGTCACGTAGAATTTTGAATTTTTTTAAATAATTATTCTTGAACTAGATGTTACAATTGCGGAGATTTTGCAAACCATATAGCAGCCAAATGCACTGAAGGACCAATGCCGAAGCGTTGTCACAGTTGCAAGGCCACGGACCATCTTATAGCCGACTGTCCTTTCGGGCAGACCAAAGAAGCCGCCAGTAAGACGAACAAGACGTCCTCTCGTAAGAAGTCTGATAGACAACAAAAACTAAAGTCTAAATCGAAATCAGACGACGACGACGGCGGCGCTGACTGTGACTTGTCGGTCGATTCGGCCAACAAACATCACAACGGAGATGAGAATAATGAAAAACAAGAAAAAACTGTATGAGTACAAAACTAAATACAACTAAAAACAAGAAGAAAAACAAACGAATATAATTTATAATAATAATTAACTTAACTTGCATGGAGATAATATTTTTTTTTTATTAATGGCGTTTTATAATATTCTTAGAAAAGACTTTATATATACCATTTTGTAAACTATTTTTTTTCTAATATTTAATTTAATTTAATTTGATTTGTTTGTTTGTTTATTTTTTTTTGTAAGACAACAAAGTCAACACTGAATTTTTTATATCTTATTTGTGTCAACACTATAGACATTAATATACTTTTGTAGGCGTGTTGGCGCGTTCAACCCTTTTCTATTTTACCGGAACGATCTCCTTTTAGCCGGTTTTGCGATCAGTAATTTTTCCTTGCTGGGTTTCACTACTACGTTCACTTCGTTCCGACAACAACACCCGTACAAACCGCAAACCACTATACATCCAGCACCGATTCCCATCAGAATTATTACTTGAGTGTGCATCGTGCCTAATACAAAATCCTCTGCCTTACCTGTTGATAACATTAAGACTCCATTTTAAACAAATCATAGTTTAATCTGTGTAAATGTATACAATTATATAGTCATGGTTGCGAAGGGACAGAACCTTTTCGATAATGTATTTATAAATAACTACAAAAATCTTAAAAAATTATTTGATGAAAAAATCAAAAATAATTTTTTTGATGAGTACAAAAAGTAAAAAAAGGTTCACTTTGATAATAGTTATAGTTCAAACATGGCTAGAGAAAAACTAAGTAAATAAAAAGTACTTAATTTTTAAGTATTAAAAGTATCTAGCTCGGTTAAATTTAATGTTGTTTTAATTTTTAAATCGATAAAAAGGTACTTCAGTAAATTAAAAGGTTTTTAACAAATAATCAAATACAAATTTTAATGTATAAATCGTCAGCCTAGTAGCAAAGGGCGTACCTAAAAAACAGCAAATTTTACACTAGTAGGAAAAAATTTAATTTATTCAATTTATTTCAATAAAATTAATTACTGTTTATCACACATTTCATGGAAGAAAATCATGAAATATTAGCATTATTATACCAGCCGACGCACATTTTATTTTTATTTTTAAATGGTGTAGGACCTACACTGTAGGTAATAACTAATAAACCGAAATTTGGTTTTTTTTTATGTTGCACCATTTATCAACTAGGATGGTGAAATAAGAAATGTATAGATATTCCAAGGAAACTTGCGTGTTGTTTCTTCAACGTTTAGTTAAAATGAAAAAATTTCTGAAGAAAAAAAATGTTTTTATTTGAAAAAATAAAATTAGTCTTGAAAAAAACGTGTTTTATTACTAGTTATGATATGATATGCTTTTTATGTATTAATAATATAAGCCTAGTGTCTGCTAGTGTCAGTTGTTTCCGTAAACTTACACGATAAAGTATATTATTATACATCTACATTAATGAAATTAGATAAATGAATAAATTTAAAAAAATTACTTGTTGCCGGTGTTGTAACTGCGGCTTTTAACCATACTTCTAGATCTGTTTTATTTAGAGCGCACTCCCTGATGACTTCTTCCCAGTAATGAAATCTGTAGAACAATTTTTTAAGTGTTTAGACGATTGTGAGTTATAAAAATTTTGTTTAGGTACTATTTATAATTAATGAAAAATGTATTTTTGCAGGGGCGAATCTAGAAATATAAAAGGAGGGAGGGGCTAGAACAAAAAAAATTACCTTAAATACATATAAGCAGTTAAAGTTTACATAGTAAAATAAATACAACTTCTAATACATTATATTAGAAAAAATAAACTTTTAATGCATAAAATTAAGTACCTACAGGCTATATAAGAGGTGGGGGTGCTTTAATTCCAATAATCCTCTTTCCTCAATCTGCCTCTGTTTTTATGTAATAGAATCGAAATTCTGGATTGCTAATGGAACCTTCAAAGTATATCCAATTATATTTCAACATCATGATGAGGAATCGCTCTTCATAAGTACTGTCACACTTATGATTTAAAAATAAATATGTTTTTGATGGCATCTTATTACTAGTAGATAATATGTAGCATTTATGAGGCGAAACTTAAGTTAAATGAAAATGTTTTTAGTTGACTTTTGAGTTTCAATTTTTTTTTTACATTTTTCCTTTTACGAGGTATGAATTCAAAAAATACTGGAAATACTTATTTTAATTTCACAAATTTATTAATAAAAAGGTTGGGCATTAATGAGTTAAAAAGTTAAAGTTTATTTATTAAAAACGTATTGCATACATTATGAAGTAAACGATTCCAATTTAAAAAAAAAAAACTATGAAATATATTTAAACACATTCATTTTTTTATTATTTTAGAGGGAAAATGATCGTTTTTTTAAAAGTAGGAGGGGGGTCTTAAAGAAGGGTGGGGTCCAAAATTGTTTTTCCACTGCGAATAATGTTTAAGCACGCGTATAAAAATACTTGTAACTAGTGCAAATTGCACTGAGTACCTAATTAATTATCTTAAATTCTTAGGACTGTTTACAATTAGCAACTTACTTAGAGCATTGACACTTGGCGATTTCCGGCGGACAATACATTCGAACATCTTGACAGTCGTCGTCGTTGTGACACGAAGTGTTAAATAAACTTCTTAGGACTATATTGTTTGTAGGGCTCTCTGCGAAATCTGACTTTCAGACAATTGTGAGAGGGGAAAAAACAAAAGATAGTCACACTTACCAACAGTGGATTCTTCGGTGTTAGTGGAAAAAATTGTGTACATTAATCTCAACAATACACAACAGGTCGTCGTAGTATTGTTCATGGTAACGGCTGTATGCTTAGATGTTAAACTAATAACGCAAAAATGTTCACTGAGCTCTAGGCAGGTAATATGATGTGTGCAGGTTTTACATTAATGAAATTCATTAAAGTTGTAATTATAATGGAGTAATACAGCGATAAACACGAAATGTGTCCGCAAAAACGAAATAGATGCAAGATAATAATCCAATTCCACATAATATTATTATATAGGTATAATATTAAAATATCTGGTGGGTAGAGAAGCGGTCGGTTATTTATTTAGATATTTAGACAAATGACAGTATCGCGTGTGTTATTATATTTCGGTGCAATAATTGCTTATTTTAACTTAAAATTTTAAAGCGTAGGCATTTTCGTAGATGATAGGCGAGGTTGTTTGGTAATACGCCATTACGAATATTAATACAATGTTATGATTTTACTCTGCGCCGTATATATCTACTCGGAAATGTAATCGACGTACATGCACAATTTCGTAATTAATTATGATAAAAGAACTGTTCATTATACTTATCACTTGTAAGTACAAGTGTACCATGATACATAGGCATAGAAAAACCTAGTGATATCCCGAAGGACAAAATGAAAAAGTCCTCGAGGATCCCTTAAAGAGGCTCAACAAGTTTATCCAGTGGGTTTACTCGTTTAGAACTCTACAAGAGGAACACAAAACTTTCCTATTTTCCTCTGGTTCATAATATTGTAAAGACAAGGAGTCTTGAACGATTCCTAATACCTATAACACGAGGATTGCTTAGACGGAAAATTAAAATAATAGAATTCCTTCAAGCATAATATGCATGTGTCATATGGTGTGTAGTCAGGGTTGCCAGCCGACCGGTTTTTTAATACCTAGGTCGGCTGCCGGTTTTGCATCAAACCGGCCATATAAAAAGGCCGGTTATTTTATTTTTCATAAATAAATGTATGTTGTCAATGATTTATCATTATACTTTTCTACCAAGTTGTTAATGCAATAACCTTTTTTGTTGTCATATGGTAGTACTGCACGACTGCCCAGTGCCGAGCTGCCGACTGACAGCAGCTGATTCCAGACGTACATGTCCATTATTCATAAATAATATTTGATAATGACAAAATAATAATGATTAGGTATACATTTTATTTGTATGATAATAATTTTGTTATTTCTAAATGTTATAACCAATGTAAGTTAAAAATATTTTATATTTAATATATAACATTTATTTAAAGCCGGTTATTTTAAATTTGATAGTTGGCAACCCTGTGTGTAGTTATTATGATAGTTATTTCCCATAGTAATATATGGGAAATAACCATCATTGCCAAGGAGTCTTGAAAGAGTGAAAGAGATCCAACCTAAGCTCATTCTTAAAACGGCGTATACCTTACTATAATGCTTTAACAATGTATACTGTATAACTTTGAAAGTAGATATCTTAAGACAGGTTGGTAGGAAAGAAAATAAACGATGACACACAATGTAACAATTTTTAACAATGTACACCGTTTTCTAAGCTCTTGTCTAGAACAGAGGTTTGAGTGCACATCGGTTTGTAGGCTTATACGGCGCATATCATTGCGCAATGTACACTGCCAGTTTCCGCCCAACGCCAAAATCATAAAAGGTAGCGTCGAGTCCCTAGACACTAAATATTCTGAAGACGAATATCGCTAGAATCGTGTTACTTTGATACTCGCATTAATTATTAAAATTTGTGTGTTGAGGAGAATAGAAACACAAAAAAGCAAACCGTCTGAGAAGTTGATGAAAGTCACTTTTATTGCATATTGCAGCCAAGGTCGAATGAGTAGGTAATAAAATATCACATTTTACCTTAACAACTTAACAAGGTAGAGAGATCACAGTAGATGGATTTAAAAGTAGAGGTAAACCGAATAATAAAATTCCCGAGGTCGCTGCTGTGACGGGAACCAAATTAGTAGATTGAGAAATCTTATACAACTAAACACACCTGGAGGAACTAGTCATAAGAATCATCAAGGGGCATAAACACAAATCGTGTAAGAAGAGAAGAGTTGTCAGTCTGAACTGAAGTGGCGGTGAATCAAAGCCTATTAGCGATATGGTCAACAGTTTTCGGAACCACCGAGGAGTTGTACTCTGGCCCAGCAAAATCGATCGTTTCAGAAGATCATCCATTTATGGATCACAAAGTAATGCGATTGGAACACTGCATCGACCCATAGACCCAATATTCATCACGACGGATTATTTGCTCTGACGACGGTAGTATTCAAAAAGGACCTATTAAGGAGATCTAATCACTGTCTACAATTAACATAATTACGAAAATTATAATGACATCAATAAGAAAAAATAAACATGAAATAATTTATACACAAAGCCAAGTTCTTTATAAAGTTAATTATGATATAAATTTTTTTTTTGCAAATACACAAAACTTTTAGTATAAATCAAACATTTGATTTTAAGTTAAAAAAAAAAATGTATAAAACAGTATTTTAACTTATATTGATAGTTATCAAATATAAGAAAAAAATATATTTTAACTAGAATAATTCACTTTTAAAAGGTATAAATAATAAAACAAAATAAACATTTTTTTATAAAAAATATCAAGTTATCTTTGACAAGTTTTACGATAAGTATGCAATTTCTTTTTCTTGTACAATTGACATACCCCTGCAAAAACATGAATTAATTAATTACTAAGATACCGTCAAGTATAGTGGTAATGAACAGATTTAAATATTATAGTTCATTAATCATTTTCAATAAGTAGTAGAATAAGCGTTTTTTTTCGGCATTTACTATAGTATGTCATTATATCGTTCATGGTCGTATTAAGGAATTATTTAGACAATTTTTTATCTAAATAATTATTTAAAAGAATATTTTGATTTGAATGATCGAATCATTTTTTTTATTTAAATAAAACATCTTAAATTTGGCTGAATAAAAAATGTTTTCGAAGATTATAAAATTATAGGCGGTCTCCCCCTGAATTTGAGCTGTGGCGCCCTTGGTTATACTTATATTAGGTAATAACAATGAATATATAATGCTAAGAAAAACAATAAAACCATTATTCATTTGTATTGTTATCTAAAATAAGTTATAACCCCTGTTTATATCAGAGTTTAGGAAAGAATCAGGTTTGTCATTTTTTTTCTGTTTTTTAACTAAAATACAAAGAACTGGAGAAAATTTATATTTTCAAGATAAATTAACAAAAATAGTAACAGTTCCTTAAAAACTATTTTTTCCAGATTCTCTCGTCATATTTGATAATATTTTGTGTATATAGCCATACACATTTATTTATTATTCTGTATGTTTAAAATTATTTTTAATGACTAGACACCGATCTAGCATGCCCAAATGTTTAACGACAAAATCTCCATATTTGATTTTTAAATGGGCTATTGAACAATTCTTAAAATTTTTTTAGATTTCATACATTTAACAGTTAACACACATAATTTTCTACCAGGCCATTCTGAATAAACTTGCATTGAATTAAAAATGTCTCTTCTTAACACAGATTATACTTACTTGGGACTTCTTTTTACATTATAGAATTTATCAACCTTGTCACTAGCTGATAGCTTGCGCAAGAAATTTGGATCGTGTGTAATAATAATTAATTGAAAAGATCGTTGACAACTACGCCGAGCCACTATACTACAATTTTTAAAAAAAATAATAGCATATTTACATAAATTGTTACAATTTTAAATAAAATGTGTATGTATTTGATTTGAGTCTAATTGACATACTGCGATAACGAATCAGCCAAGTTTGTTATGTTCGGTTCATCTAAATTTGTCGTAGGTTCATCCAGAGCAAGTATACCACAGTTTTTACTGAACGTTTCGGCTAAAGCCATTCTTATAATCAAACATGCTAAAACCTAAACAAAATTTCATAGATTTACATTGATCAAAGCAAAATGTATATAAATATAAGAAAATAAACTATTACCTTTTGACCAGCACTACATCGGCCGCGCATGTCTAATTCAGTACCATTTTTCCATTGTACAACTCGATAATTGTGAATTCTTCTTTTGGCTAAAATTTAGTAAAATGTTGAAAACAAATTTTAAAATGTAAGAAGTCATTCATAGTAATTTATTTTTACTTGTTTCGGTTTGTATTGGTTTGACATTGTCATCGGAAGTTTTAATTTCAATGTAATCTATGTCATTGCCATTGTAGATATTTGCCCATAACTCTTTAATAATAGCGTTGATACTTTGCATGCGACCTTTATGAAACATTTGCAAAGTAGCATCGAGAGCTCTCCAATACTTTTCTAAATCTTTTTCCACTTTATTTAATACTTCAAAGTGTACCAATTCGTGCAAGTAATTTTTCTCTGCATCTTTGTAATCAGGATTCATTAGTTCGTTCATGATCTTCGTTATACCAGTATTTAACTCTAACTGCCTACCTCTAGAAACGTTTTTCTAAAAAAAAAAAAATTAATTTTATTTAGAATTATATTTACATTATGGTAAACATATAATTTATGTAAAATAATTACAAACCTGAGTGTGTAAACTTTCTATTTTTTGTACCACTTTTTTCTTTTCTTTTAATAAAATATTTATGTCGGTGTCTCCAATAAGTGTTTTTAAATTTTGTATTTCATTTATACATTCAATTTCTTCTTTCATTTTATTCCTAAGCTTTTTATTGTTTTCCAAATCAAATTTTTGCATCTACACAGAAAATATTTATTATATATTAAGTACGAAAAGAACAGTTTTTCTAGGTTTTCTTCATGTTGTTAATCTGCATTTTCTATAATATATAGGGTTATAATATCTAAGGAAGGTTTATGTTAGTGGTAAAAACATTAATCAATTTTTAAATAATCTGATAATAATTTTTTAAATAATAGATTAACTTATCAATTTAAAATTAATTTTCTACTATTTAATAACTTATAGATAATTTTGAAATTGATGAACAATAAAGTACCAGGTGAGGACAATTTTAATCCTAAGTTAATACTTGTGGAATGGAATATTCTGGAATTACACATAATGATTTCAGACATATGGAAACATGAACAGGGAAAAAAAATAGAATACCGCAGTTATAGGCAGAGATTTAAAATGGGGGACTCAAAAAAAGTGGAGAATTACCAGGGCATCTCTATTTCTTCCTACTAGTCAAGGTTCAAAAGTTATCTTATCAAGAATAGAAAATATATAGAACCAATATGAAACTCATAGGTGACTATCATTAGTGTAGGTGGTGATAAAAGGCTAGTCTAAACCGAACAAATATTCACCCTTAGATAAAGCATTGAACATTTTTACGAGTATGACAAAGACCTGCACAACGTATTCATTGATTTCCAACAAGCCTGTGTCAGCATTGATAGAAACTGGTTATGGTCAGCAATTAATAATTTTAGAATTCCCAACAAATCAGTCAGCCTAAAAGGATTTGCAGTCCTAACACATTATGTATAGTACGGGACCATGGTGAAAAATTAAAGAATGCCCCTATCTACCATTCTCGGCTCCACATTGAAGTTTTAAGTATTTTTATAAGCACAATAATAGTAAAACTTAATATTATGTACTTTATATGGTGTTAAAACATAAACTAATAAATACTTTTTTTTAAATATTGATAATACCTTTTGATTGGTGTTAAACTCTTTAATAAAATCTATTTTTTTCTGAATTTGCAACTGAACATTGCTGTAATCCTGTTTTTCTTTTTTTAGTTTTTCCATCAAGTCATTAATATCCTGAATGCGTTGTGAATAATAGTTTTTCTTGTAATCATCAATTGATATTTGCAAGCGCTTAATATTATCAAAGTTTTGTTCTAGCATTTTTATCTAAAAAAAAAATTAAATAAATACTTTTAAGTAAACAAGTACAAAATATTATACAACAGCAGTTGTTTAGCAAGTAATTACTTTTTTTCCATCTTGTTCGATTTGTAAAATGTGTTTTTTCTTTGTTTGTTCTAATTTGCTGGCATATAAAATTAGATTACTTTTAATCGGTTCAAGAGCACTCCTGGCCTCGTTTAACTCAACGTTTAGTGTCGTTTCGAGAGATTGTAGATCGATTAACTTCTCCATTAAGCCTTTTTCAGCTTGAACACTACTTTTTATTTTTAATTCTTCAGTTGTAACCATGTTTTTCTTTTGTTGAAGCTCGTGTAAGTTTTCATTATATTTAACTAACACCGAACCGTTGTTCTCTATGTTTTTACAAACAGCAGACAATGTAGACCTGATGGAGCTTTGTTCAGATAACGCTTCATGGAGATTTCTACTGGATCCCGATTTACTAATCTTTGCTACTAACAATTGTTCTTTTTCTTCTAGACGAGCAGTCTCATTGATATAATTATCAATCAATGTTATGTCCGATTGAATAACTTTAGCATTAGATTCATCAGTTTCTAGTTTGACATTATTTTCAGACACCACCGTGAGTTCTTCCCGACATTTTTTTAAATTAAACTCGATACTTTCTAGTTCTTTTCTAAAATTCGAAACGTAAATGACTTATTGAATAAAAACATATCAAAAGATAATATTACATACAATATATTACTTACTTAAGATTGGGTATTTCAGTTTCTTTTAAAACAGAAATCCGAGTGCAAACAGGCATCATTTGTTGTAATTTTGACTGCTTTTCTAAATATATTTCCAACTGACCAACTGTGTTATCCAACTCATCAGGAATTTGTTGGACTCTCATGTTCAGCTGTAAAGCTTTAATAGTTGTAGACATTTGTGTTTTAAATAGTTGTAATTTTTAGATAGTTCTTACATCATTTATCAGTTCAGTAACATCATCAACTGATCCAAAGCCTCGATGACACAACGGACAACATGGTTTTTCAGCTTGAAGTTTTGCTATATACCGTTTAAATAAGTGGCCTGAAGTTGATACAGAACCTTTGAGATCCTTGAAAATAAATATTTTTAAGCAATTACAGAACAAAATACGGTCAAATGAAGAATAATAAAGTATTTACTTGCAACTCTTCTACTTTTTCATTGACTTCTTTTAAAATTGTATCATAATCTTGCCCTTGACACATTTCATACGCGGCATTTTCATCGTCAGAAAGCATCCTCTGTTTTGTACGTATGTTCTCTACTTTATGCTTGTGGTTAGCTTCTAAAGTCGTCAACTTTTTTTGTATTTCAGTAATAGATTTTCGGTTGGATTTTATTGTGCTAGTCTTTAATAAAGTTTAAACATTCATAATGGTAAACTTAATGGAGTTAAAGCAAGTTTAAAACATACCAATTTTTCCAAAGCCGAATTGAATTCATATTTTAGGTTGCTCTTTGGTATAAACCCGAGTAGGTTTACAAGAACATGATTCACTTTGTTTTTACTAAAAAAATAGATTCGTACAAATTAGTTACTAGACCTTTTTAAAGTTACCATATAAAACTTACAGTATCTGAAGTTTATTTTCGATTCCAGATTTATTTGACCTTATAGTATTAAGTTCTGCTTGTTCAATACTCAAAAGTTGCAAAGTTTGTACTTCCTTATCAATATCTTTTTGTTTTGCTTCCAAACTATAATACGTTTTTCAAAAATATTATTGTCAATAAATAATTTCTAAATGCATGATTTGCAGTAGGGAAGTGTGGTCTTATAGGTGGGGAGATAATAAAAAAAAATATTGTATAAAAATTGTTAAAAATATTTGATATTAGTATTAATTGATGGTTAACAGGCAACCGGCCATAATATCTGGCATAAACCTGATTGTTCAGAAAAGCCATAAAGCCAGTTTTCCTAATTTAATAGTTAAACTTGAGCTATGTATATTAGCTTACTTTTAATTGTAAACGAAAGAAAATTGCTAATACATTCATACAATAACGTATAAGTTTGATTTCTTTTTTTATAAATTATTTTTTTATTTTATTATTTAGGTCATTTAGTATTTCCCAAACTAATCATAATATCAACAAAATAAATAATTGTTGCAACATGACCAATAAACAATTATTTTATTTTTCTGGTTTTTTTACTATTTTCATATACTACCAGTTACAAGTTTTTCCTGCCAAATTTAATGTTTTTGTCTTTAAATTATTCTTTAGTACCATAATGGCCTAACTAATCATATTTTTGGGTGTATAACAATTGAATTATTTCACTAAAAAATTAGTAAAAAAAAAAAAATGTAATTTAAACAATCACACTTTTTTAATGGGTACCATTTTAGTACATAAACGAGTCAAAATTGTACTATACAACAATTTGTTCTATTTTATTAATATTATTAATCTAACTATTTTTGCTGGGAAAGTATTAATGAAATCTTTACTAAATTAAATGATCAAAAATAGTTTTTATTGCTCAAACTAAATTTTTTTTTTAAAGTGTAGTTTTAGAGGGTAACTTTTAAAAGTTGATAGCAACTGCTCACATATTTGATTTAACTTTTAATGTAGAATAATGTTATAAATATAATGATTACTTTTAATAGTTAAATTAAATATATTGGTTGCTATTTCACTTTTTAAATTTACCCTCAAAACCATAATTTTAAAATAATATTTTTGACTTGAACAATAAACCCTATTATTCATAATTTAAAAGAATAACAATTTCATTAGCTGAAATAATGTTATGATGCATAAATCTGTTGTAAAGTAGAATGGTGAGTACCCTGCATATTGTCGTTGCCGCGAAAAAACCTCCTATGTGCTAAAACCCAATAATTGTTCAGGAGACATTAAAACGTGTAAAACGATTTATAGTAGGTTTTTCATTTAATCTACAGTGGAGATGGCACGTTAGAGATTTTATCATACGATAGCTTATTTTTTTCTGTATCCAGGGATACCAAAATCTCAAAATCGTAAAATTGGTACATAAAAGGTTTTTTTATGGAAACGACAATATATTTAAGCATTTAGAAAAAGATTTGGAGAAATAGGTTATTTTTTGCCATATTGCGATGCTTTCAATTTTTCCATCTAGTTTTTAGTTTCAAAGTATTTATTTATATAGACTGTAAAACTTATATAGAGCTGTCAATTATAATTAATAAATAATGAGTAACATATTCATTATTTATTAATATAAAATTAGCTGTGATTTAATGAGATTACCTAGTTTTTTCATTATGCTTTTCTTCGATGCATTTTTTAATATTATTTACATCCAATGATCTATTTAGCTCTTCTAGTTTTTTGTCAATTTCCACCATTTCATTCTTTAAAACACCTAATCTATTAGCTGAATGTTTTACCTGCAAACAAAAATTAGTTAAGATCATTTAATTTTTTGAATACACTTAATTTACAGTATTGTTATAGGTACTTCTTCAACGGCTTCTTTGGTATTTTTAATGTCAACTCCAGTTTCTTTAATTTGCTTTTCTTTCATATGGATTTCATGTTCTAATTTTGCTTTTCTCTCTCTCGTTTCATCGATTTGCAATTGTAACTCATGCTCAACTTGCCTGTATTGATTTTGAGTTGATTCCAGAACATTATTCATGTTCTTTAAAGAATTTGTAATCTTATCAATTACTTGAGTTTGGGTAGATTCTGATACTTTATCATTTACTAAAGTATTATAATAATATGTTTTAACATTTCATTCTAATTAGCATTGCAAATAAATATACTCACAATCAATATTCAAATCTTGAGCTAGTTTAGTCAGATTTTGATTTTGATTTTGTATATTACTCATATGTTGTTTCTCTTCATTCAAATACTGTCCTCGTTTGATTTCTTGTTTATTTATTTTTACTTGAAGATTATTTTCATTGTATGATGCTTCCTGTTTTTCATTTTCTAATTCCTGTTTTTCCCTTTCTTTTTGACTAATTGTAAGATAATAGCAAATAAAAAAATATTCATTAGTTTTTTTTAAAAAAAAAAGTGATATTTGATTAGATTTAATTACGGTTGTTTCTATTTAATATTTAACTATAAATAGTATAGGTATAAAAACTCACATCAAGTTATTATCGAAATTAGATAATTCTTCTTCGAGCTGTTGATCATTTCCTTTGAACTCGGATTTAATTTCATTTTTTAAACCTATTTGAGCTTCTTGTATATACATTAATTGTTGTTCAAAGCATTTTAATCCACCTTGATGTATTGACAATTGACTTTCAAAGTTAGAAATTTCTTTAATTCTAGTATCCAAAGGAATACATTCTTCTTCTATTTTGGCAATGTCATTGCGTATAATCTCCAATTTCGTTTTCCTGTCATCTAAGGTAGCCTTTTTATCACGCGCTTCATCTCGAATTTTCTTTTTGAATTGAATATTATTTTTACTTATTTTTTGGTCTGTAACATAAAATATATTTGATCAATACAATTGTTGATAAAAATTACTTTTTTATTAAGATACAAAAACCATTTTAAATTGATACTGTTTATATATTACCTTCATGAACAGTCTTAATTTCTCTACGGATCTGATCAATACATTTATCATATTTTCCAACATCAAATATCGAATCAAATTTTTCTTTCAATTTCTTGTCTTCGTCAAGAGGCCTGTACAAAAACATTTCATTCAACTATGTATTTAATATACACTATATCTAAAATTGAAAGATTAATATGCTAAACATACAATATAGGCTTTATGAACCGTTAGACAGCTAGTGGTGTTTAAGGATGACACCAGACAATACATTTATTGTGCAACAGAGAATTAAAAATATATAACCAATTTTTTTAAATAAGATTTAATAATTTACCAATTTGAATCTTCCTGGTGACAAAAAATTACATCTTTTAAAATTGGTTTAGAAACTCCTAAATATGTACACATTATTTCATCAATATCTGCACACTTATGAGACGCAGACTTTCCCTAAATAATTACAAATCATGTATACATTATAAACATTAGTGAATTATTTTGCTTTGTGTCATACATTTATAGAAATAGTTTGATCTAAGGTTTTGGTAGTGACTTTCTGCTTTTGAGTAGATTCTAAAGTCTTTGATACAACCACTGATGAATTCTTTGTGTCATTAAAGTACAATTTTACTTGACCTTTTACCTAGAAAATAAAGTTTATCGAGTATAGATAAATTTTTCAATTCTTAATTTTATACATTAAAGTTAAATTAAAATAATACAGTCACATGGTCTGAGAGTTTAGGATCCCACACAAAACCACCATTCTTTGTATTTTTTGGTTGATCGGAACATGTAGCATATTTGAGACATTCAATGATTGTAGTTTTTCCACAACCATTTTCACCCAAAATCAAAGTTAACGGCTTTTGGAATTCAATAGTCTGCCTTTCATCCGGATGGTAACTCCTAATGCCTTGAATTGATATTTTATTCAAAGTAGACATGTTCTAAAAATACAATACAAAATGAACTGATTAATCCTAGTTTATAATAGTAAAATAAATACATAACCGACTTATAAATAACTATTTTAACTAATTTGATGTGTTGATGCAGATATTTGTTCTTATTACATTCATGAAAAAGATCATAGAGATACCAAAAACTTGTAGGTTATATGTATAATGTATATGTATTACCTATATTTATAATGTAAATAAAATACATTAACATAATATTTGGTTTATATAATGTCAATAGCTGTAATAAGATGGTTTGAAAGCAGACAAATTTAAGATGCAGGAATGCTTTTCCTTACATTAAGTACCATGCTGAAAATCTTACTTCAACCACTAATTACTTTTTGAACTTACTATAAATTACTTTTGTCAAATAGATTGCCTGAGATAATATTTAGCTTACTCTATTGATAATTAAATTTAAGAATGATCTACCATAAAAATAAAAAAATCATGTACCTAATAGTTTCAATAATAAAAAAATACGTTTTCGTATTTACAAATTTAAAACCATTTCTCTCAGATTATTGATTTTATTACAATACACCTAAAAATGTTTATTCGTCATAATAATTACACAGTTTTATTAACATTTTTAGGCGATAATAATCAGTAAGAATATGGAGTGATTTTGTAATATACTCACCTAAAATATATTTTTCATCAAATGTATAAATTAAAACTTGAATAATAGCTAATAATATTAATTATACTATATTATGTGTATTAACAAGGAGGCGTTACACTTTTGGCATAGGTTTTAAGCAACAAACAATTAATAAACTTAATTAAATAATTAAAAAATTCACATATTTGAATAAACGTTCCCTATCAAGTGCATAGAAAGAAGAAACATTACAATTTAAAGGATCAATTAGTAAATAGTAAATACCAAACCTTAATTGGCAATTTTACATATGGAAAAGGTAAATTTTACAATTACGACATTACCGATAATCGATTATCAGTAATCACCGGTTGAGTGTTCACACTCCACATAGCCGGGCGGCTAGATCAACGGTTCACCCAAGGCTTAAATATACTAGGTTCTTGCATCTCTACCACATCTCTAACGAAAATGTTGATGATAAAAGTAAAATGGCAGCGTAAAGGTCAGCCAATCAAATTAATTTATTTTATAAAGGTATTATCACAGAATCTGTGGAATTACACGATTAATGGTCTTTAATCGTGGTTACACAGAATAATTATCTCCAGCGGCGTTTGCCGTTTATGGTAACAGCCGGTTTATTTTTGAATTAGTTATTATTAAATGAGTAGAAGTCAATAACTCAAAAGGTATATTATTTGGTGCGAGTACCACATATGTTTAAGTATAACCCTATTTAGCATTGAAGGGAACTCTTTCGAACGCTTATTCCCTCCAATATACGAGCCTACTCTTTGAAACTTTCGAGTTTTTATTTTACATAAAGCGTGTATCTTCTTGGAGTCAAGGAACGGATATAATAAAAATATATCGACTGCTTAATCAAAAAGGTGGGAATTAAATTAGTTATTTTGTAATTATAAGATTCTTTAGAGCCATCGTCATAATAAATCGAAACTTAACATTGCTTACTCTGACCCCACACCACCGATTTTACTTCATAAACACATGGCTTAAAAAGTATGTCCGAATTAGAATAATTCCATGTAAACTAATAAACAATAGTAAAGAAATAAAATAATATACAATTTAAATAAACTCTCAACCACAAAAAGAATACTGTGTAGTGTATACTATCATCAGCGCATACAACAGACTGATACTATTTATAACAAATATAATTTATGATGAGATAATAAAACACAATGAATTCTAAATCCACTATTTATATTAATAACCTGCAAACTTATTTTTATTAATAAAACAGTAAACTTTTTTTTTAATAACAAAAATATAGGTACATTTATCTACTATCATGAATATATGATTTTAGATTTTATCATAGTACAAAAGTTGAATAACAGATAAGACTCTTACACTGTATGAATTACGAGTCCATTACATAGATTCATCGCTAGTATATTTAATAAACCATAGTGCAGTATTAATGGAACTATCCATATCTGCTGATACTGTACTTAAAGGATGGCAATCATTGTACATTAATATCCTGAAAATTTAGTTAAACGAATATAATTAAAATAATTAATGAATAATAGCATTGATCATAATCAATGTTAATAGGCATCCCATTAAAAAAAAAATCAAGTTTACTTGGTGGTAACTCCGTGTTTCTTAATAAGATGATGATAAGCAATACCCTGTGATGAAGGCACCCGTAAATCTTTATTACCGAGCAATAATAAAGTAGGTGCCTTGACTTTATGAGCATATCTTAATGGAGAACTTTCAGCCATTTTAACCATAATTTCTTTAGATTTATCAAAGTTATCAACATAAAAGTAGTCAAACCCCACTTCAGTAATGGTCCTGTAAAAGCAAATTATGATTTGATTTTTATAAAATTCAATAAACCCAGTTGGAAAAGACAAGCTCGTGTTCAAAGTAAATATAATTTTCTTACCAATCAGGAATGTCGGAAGTAATAAAGAGTGATAGAAAATCAATAGCAGGATTTCGAGTTGATACAGCTTTAAATTTATTCTGAAACAATACGGTTTGTAATAAAAAATCTGCTAAATTTAAACATACCAATCATTTATACCTGAAGTTATAAACAGAAACTATATCAGTAACAGGATTCAGAGCACTGACTGCATTGAATTTGGATTGTAACACAAGTATTCTTATAGAATATTTTAATATAACAATAATGAAACTCTTTAAATATTGATAAATCAGATCAAAAAAATATTTACTGTATCAAAATCATTTAATTTTTTTTAACAGATTTCAAAGAAGGTTATTAATTCTACCTGTATGTATTTTTAAGTTATGTTCACGCATAACTTTGAAACGGAAAGACATATCTGGACAATTTTTTTGTATGCAAACTTGGGTTTTCTAATTAGTCCCATTACAACTTAAATTCAAATAATTTTATCTAATTAATAGTAATTAACTCTAATTAACCTTTTTTTTTAAACGCTTTTTTGTTTCAAAAGTGATTTATTAAATTATTTTAATATTTAAAAAGGATTCGTTTAATTTTTAAATCTGTACATTCATATTATGTAAATTGTTTTAATTCATATGTTTGATATTAAATTGTACTTTAATGCGTTATTAATAGTTATATAATAATAATGCATATGGCGTATTGACCGGGAGTGGCTATGGCTAACTTTATGCCAGTTCGGTCACCGGGTTGCATGGCATTTCAGCCATGCATCCGGGGTTGATAGTGTGGGTCGCCGCTAAAAATCCCGGGTGGTCACCCGGGTGATCAAGCAGCAACGGACACAGCTTAACCTCAAGTGCCATGCGGCACCTGAGATGTCCACTGCGCCACACCTCCCGGATTAATAGTTATAAAATATATATAACAATAAAAAATTATAAAATTAATTATTTCATTCTTTTTGAGCACTTTTATTATTTTTTTTTATTTTGAAGTCATTAAAAAAAATATTAATTTTTTTAAATAACCGTTTAACTTAAAATCACTATTTAGAGCCGAGGTTGTGGTGTTTTTTGAACAAAAACTTAAATTATGTAAAGTGGTTTCATTTTGACGCTTTTTTTTTTGAAAGAGGAAGACTTCCTACACAGCAGGGGTTGGGCTTTTATTTTTTAAATTAATTAATAATTGTTAAAATAAAAGTTTGAATATTATAACTAGTTTTAGTGTGTTATCAACTCAATTATTTATTTCAGTTGTTTTTTAAAAATCTAAGTTCAATCCTCACAATTTTTCCTCTTTTAAACAAAAATGTGTCAATATTGATCATTCTATAAGCTGTAAGCAGCCATTGTTTTTTTCATAAAATCATTTTCCATCACTAAAATACGGGGTACGGTGTGGCACAGTGGATACCGCAGCTGCCGCAAGGCACCTGAGGTTAAGCTGCAACCGGTACCGCTTGATCCCGGATGGGTGACCACCCGGGTTTTTAGCGGCAAACCACACCAATAGGCCGACCGGTGAGGACCAAGTTAGCTATAATCCCGGTCAATAAGTCCACACGACATTATTATTTTTATCACTAAAATAGCTATTACTCATGGAAAAATTGTATATGTCACTAATAGTCACAACCGCGGACCCTTATTAGCCCTTAATTGGCTAAATGCTTAATAATACATGGTGGAATTCTATAAAATTACAATTACCGGGTATTGTCCACTTAAATGTGTGACTAAAAAACCACCATGTGATCCGCCAAAAAGTACTAGTTTTCTATTAGACCATGAAGGGTTTGATTCTACCGCATTATAAACATCTTTAACATCTGCATCACCAACATGACCTAATAATGATTCTACATAATCTTGACCCAATCCAGTAGATCCTCTGAAGTTAATAAATAATACCGCGAAACCTAAACAAATTATGTTATATACAATTTTAAAATCATGTTGTAAATATTTTTTAACTACCAATTTGAACAAAAAATGCAGCATCTGCTATGTAAGAATCCAATGACTGAGCATGTGGACCACCATGAGGCCATACAATTAATGGACAGTCACTATTTTTTGGACCATAATAAATTGTAGTTGGTTTACCTGAAAATTATTCAAATTAGTAGAAAATTGTGTACTCAAAGGTATAAGTAATCTCACTATATAATGTAAACCCATGTTCAACGACAAATTTATCACTATTTGGAAGACTACGCGAAGGTGATATTTCATTTACAGTTACTTGATTGAAATCATAAATTCCATCACTAGTATTTATCCTGGCTAAAAATAATTGGCCAGGTTTATTGAGTGATGATTTGTAACAAACTATAACGTCATTACATACATCAATTACGCTCAACGAATCTTGAAAAGGGTTTACTATAGGTAGAAAACTGATAGCTTTTGTTTCTATAAAGTAAAAATAATAAATTAGCTACAAGTACAAATTAAGAACCATGAATTACAATTGAATATAAATTAGTACCACTATCAATTGCAAATGTATGTATTGAACCACCCTGAGGTGTACTCAGCAAAATAGTTTTATCATCATTCAACCAACACCTTTGTGGAAATGCCTGATTATATAGCCCATAGAATGGCACTTGTTTTCTATTGATTTCCAATGTTTTATTAACAATATCAACAAGTGTAATAATCTAAAATAAACAGAGTTAATAATGTTAAAGAAATATTTGTAAAAATTGCATAAACAATAGTGTAGTAGTAGGGTGTACACTGTAACTCCCACTTTTGTACACAGGTATGTGCTATATTTATAACAAAATTCGCCTGCCACAGATAGAGGCACAATTTTAGTTACGAGTACTCAAATACATAGATATTTGGGAGATGAGTGCACAGCATATACTCTTACGACTACAACACAGCACATACAAGATAATAATATTACTTTCTTCGTTAACCAATTATAGCACATTAGCTTAAAACATGAATGATGTGGACCCCCTGCTTGGTGTTCTAGCCAAATAAGTTTAGTACCACTAACATTAAATCTAGGAGATTTTACTGATATTTTTTCTGAAGTCGAACTCAATACAGCTAGAAGTTACAAAATTGAGTTAAATTAATAAACGGTAAACTATAAGTAAATTTTAATATACAACTGAGAATGACTTTTAATAAACTTACTATAATTGCCACTTAATGTCAAAGAAAATATTTGGCTACTTCTATTAGTGCAATATAAAAGACCGAGTTTGCGTGGTGTAGTTAAATACCCAACAGCGACAACTCCACTACCATCAGGAATCCAAGTAGCTGCAGCAGGATTGATATCTTCAGGAATATTTGGAAAAACATTAAACTCATCTTTGCTTATATCACAAACCACAAGAACCGGAGAAACTTTACCAACCAGCTGTTCACCCCAATCTTGCCTCCATTCATATTCTTTACCCTAGAATTAATGAGCTGTTAACACATATTCTTAATTATAATTATAAATTTAAATATAAACTATAGTTTTACTGGAGTAGGGCTATCATTTGGTTCAATATTTAAACCTTTGGAAGAAATCGATTTTTGTTTAAAAAATGGTTCTGATTTTGGGACTTTTTTTTCAGCAATGTACATAATTTTAGTTTCATCGGGTGACCATTGTAATGTTCCAAATTCAGCTAAAAAAAATAATACATATTTTATCTTATACTCAATATTTATTATTAGAATATAAAGAAATTGTAATTTATAGTAAAAATCAGAAATTATACAAACCATCAGCATAAACTTTTCCATGAATATCTAAAGCAGTTAAGTCATAATTTTTAATTAAAGAAAAGTTTGACCAAACTTCTAAGTACTGTTTATTTTCCTTTCCTGAATCAATTTCTCTAATTATGCAGTAGTATTTGTTTGAATTGGAATATGCACTTAATAACCTAAAAAAACATAAAAGTTTTTAATTTAGTTAAAATTGTAAATGACAAAATCATAAAATATCTATACAAATAATATCCATTCAAAAATGGTAAAACACAAAATCTAAAGTAAATTATCTATAGTAAATAGGTCATATAATATATCTGCTGCAAAAATTACCAATATATTATTTCAGTAAAGAAGTTTCTGGTAATAACTCTGGTAGAGAAATACAATTGAGATATTTTATAATGCTACGGTTTATGTAAACACTGTTCTTTAACATTATTTTTTGATGAATATTATTTCTTTTACATACTCATTAGTAATATCACTAGGCGGTGATGTTGGTATAAAAGTCTTGTAATCGGATATAACTGTTTGCCGGTATTTAGTCGTTGTTAATCTCTCTAAAACTCGTTGTGTCCAAATTGATTGAACACTAACAGAAGAGGTTGTTGGACAATCAAGTATTCTAGCAGATATTAACGCTGGATATTGAGTGGCAATACGATATGCAGCAACTACTTTATCCAACTTAAACAGTAATACAATTGTTATAATTTACAATATAAATATACTACCCACCTAGTAATTGTATATTCATTTTCTTACCTGTGCCATTTTCCAAATTTCAAATTGTACTTTATTATGTTACCTATTTTTTATACTAGTATTATACTGTATAATATAAAATATCTAAATATTGTAAGTGCGACATAAACACAATAATAATAAGATAAAATTATAACAAGTGAATAGATAAGTATAAGTAGGTAATAGATATGAAGAAGTGAAACTCGACAAAATATAAATACACAATTTATGGTACCTCCGATTAAATTATCTTTTTTTTTTTTTTTTTTTTTTTTTTCCACATGCACCCATAGAACACTGGCTGATTAAATTATCTAGTAATAAAAAATATTTAATACACTTTAGTCTATTTTTTTTTATATATAGAAACAAGTCATAAAAGTATTAACAGTCCATACTCCATAGACCCTTCACTATTAGCAAGTATACCTGTATGCTATGACTATATGCATATTAATAATCGGTGGTTTATTAAGATAAGATAAATTAGACACCTCCATACCTTCCATACCTCCAACTTTGTATACAACTGTTTGACACCTCCAACAAAAAAGGTCGTAACCACAGATTTAAAAAAAAAATGTTTTTGTTTTTAACTGATAACACTCGTTTTCTGTATAACCGGCAAAAAAGGTAGAACTCGAATCGACCAAAGAGGTTCTGAATAACACAATTGAGTTACAGTCGTTGCCAGATAACTTGGCACAGCTGCAGCGGCGCAAAAACGCTAAGCCAAGGGCTCTCAGTATTTTATGTTGTTTTTTTTGTCTATTATGCTTAGTCGAAACATAGTTGATAGTTTATTTTTATAAAATGTATAATAATAATAGTAGTAACAACAAACTCCCCCAAACTAGTCTTTTCCTCGACCGTCCGTCGGTCATAGACAAATTATATACTAAGCTAAAACGAGCGTACTTCGGCCGTGACAGTTCTTTATTTTTGTTGTTACTACTATTATTATTATACATTTTATAAAAATAAACTATCAACTATGTTTCGACTAAGCATAATAGACAAAAAAAACAACATAAAATGAGTTGGGGGTAGTTCTTCCAAAAAATGATAACGCGTGATAAGAAAAAAATGTTACATAACCTATAAAATGTGTAATACTACAGATAGTACCAACATCGATTTTACCAAAAACCCGCCAAGAGACTGTACTAGCTTTTTCGCCGGTTTTACAGAAAAACGAGTGTTATCAGCTTAAACAATTTTTTTTTTAAATCTTAGTTACGGCCACAGATAAGATAATTTACTACCTAAATCTGTGGTTACGACCTTTTTCGTTGGAGGTGTCGAATTAGGTATATACCATAGACCTATAAAAAAATCTCTATAGGTCTATGGTATATACCAAAGTAAACGTGCACCATTTGGTTTTATATAATCTGTGGTTTGGTGGAGAAACATGATAACCGCAAAATCTCTACCAGCGGCACGATGTCTTCTCTACATCATGACCAGCGGCCATGTTGCAAAAATTGATAACGCAAATTGCTGACATTCCATTTATTTTATCATGGTACATCTCGTATCACAGTCAGGTAACAACAATATCACAGAATACAACATTGTTTTTCTTAAGACTTAAGAGATAAGAATATGATTTCTACAATATAAATTCGTAAGGTGGTAAAGTTTTAAACTTTTAGTCTGTTTTTAAAAACTTTTACTATTTATGCTATGCTAAATGCGTGTTAAACGTTTGTCGAAAAACCGCCTTGATTCTAATGTTGAGTTCGATTTTTGATTTCGATTCGAAATCAGAGTTTTCCAAGTTATAATAACTGGGAATGGATTTTGAGTCCTACTTTGTCTAAACGGTATAGTATTTATTAAAAAGAAACAAATTTACTTACCTTATACCTTTTTTAAAAAATGTTGTTTACATTAATGTTGTTTTCCGATGTTTTTTTTATTTGTACGCTAGTATACAGTGTGCAAGATGCCCACTTACTACCCACCAGTCACATGGAGCTTTGCGGCGATCAGCAATTTTCATTTTAAAATTATGTCTGAACAATAATTATGTTTTAAGTAAAACTCGTATTTATTATTTCTGAATTAGATGTAATTTTTTAAAGTATTATCAAAAAAAAAAAGATTTTAAAGGGAGAATGAATGAAGACATCGCTGCACTGACTGCCATGGTTGTCCTGTCATAGTATACTCACATTCTTGCACAGTAGTAAATCCCAAAATTTTAGAAGCAATAACTGTTGAATTAGGAGAGTCCTTAGTGTGGATTTCTGATTGCACATTTAGAATTAGCACAAAAATACAACCATTTTATATGATAGGGTTTCTAGAAAAGAAAAGTTTTATCATTAAAACTGTGAAATAATTTTACTAAACACCTTTTTAAACATTTTTTTTGCTAAATTACAGTGTTTTTTTGCTGATTTTGAACTTTAAATTGGTATCTGCGGACTACTAATTCAAAAGTCAGCCTACACAGTTAAAATTTGCATATAACATATTTGTTGAATTCATCGTTACCAGGTTTGGTAACAATAAATAAACCTAAATTGGCAAAAAAATAAACTGTTGATTTTTATCTACTGATTTATTATAATTAACATAAAAAACCACAAAGAGCAAGCAAATGAGAATAGCTGTGCAAAGAACTACTGTTTTATCAACAGCGTCACGACCACCACAGTGTGGTATAACGGTACACTCGCATAATTTTCCAACAATAATTCTTAAAGTTGAGGTCGCTATACCTTTAGAACTAGAAAAGTCAATGAATTTCTTCAGATACTCTAAAAATCTTTTAAAAAAGGTGTCTAGTGAATTAAAATAATACCAAAATTGTTGTTTCGTGACATACATTAATGATTGTCTATTATTTATTTTAGATTAATCTAGCTGTAAATGATAACTATTTAAAATGGAGACAACATCTACTTCAGAAGAGCCTAAATCTATTGAAAGAACTGACAGCAGTAACTATAAATATGTTGATAATGTATGCATCTATACAGAGCCGAATTCTAAAAAAGAATACACATGGGATAAAGAAAAAAATACATGGATAGAAAATGGCTTTGAAAATTATGAATTTGATGATATTCATAAGACGTACACATACACTGATAAACAAACAAGTAATACAAAAAATCGGTATATGGCTAGTTTACCGGAACTCTCGATTTCATATACTGATAAAAAATTTGTAAAAGTTCATTTAAACTTCTGAACCAGTTATAAGTTCAATGTATGCACACATTATAACAAACCTAGTGAATTAAAAAAAAAAAAAAAACCTGAAAAATCAGAGTTGGAGAAAATAAACTTCTTTCTGTTATATAGAGAATAAAATATAAATAATTATAAAAAAAAAAAATACTTTACAACTATAGTTAAATAATTATTACCTTATTAAATTAATATAATCTAGTTGGCAATTACTATTTTTAATGCGTTTTTTTTTTAAAATATTATTTTCCCTTGCTTCGCAAATCAATAATATATTTTTCGTGCTTAATATTATAGATACTACTTATTTGTGGAATCTAAAGGATAATAAATGGGAGGTCAAAAATAAAGAAACTATTAGTCTTGTTGAAGAAAAAGCAGATGAAAATGTCGATGAAGAATTTGATGATGATGAGGAGGACGACGATGATGGTTTTGATGGTAGAAAAGAGAAAAAACGACGCACAGTAAAACGTCAAGATATGAGTAAAGGAAAGTATGGTCACGATGGTAATACACAAACATATACAGACCCAGCGGACGGCACTGTTTATATCTGGGACAAAGAAAAAAATGCTTGGTTCCCTAAGGTATAAAATAAATTAGTAATTTTTAATATTTAACCTACCTTAATAATAGTAACAACTTATAATCGCTTAGGTTGACTCGTTTTAACATTAGAAACATGAAATGCTCTTAAAAAATTGGCGCCTAAGTGGAAGTACAACGCATGACATTTTGAATTAGTCAAATGCTCTCTCAAATAAACTTCCAAACCACTCCCTTAATCTGTGAACTTGACCTCTTCTAGTGCATCTGTTTTATACTTGTAAAGCTTAGGCTTAAATCGACTCTACCACCCCTGATGCAAATTTTTTTTTAATCAATTTGTTTTTTAATGCTAAAAACGATGGTACAAACAAAAATTTGCGGAAGCGCTTACTTTTGAAGTTACAGCTACTTGAAGCTAGAGAATTACCGTTGCCCCAGACGCTTCCAGAGTAGTATCAGGTTAGTTTTTTTTTATTCTCTTTATAGGATTTTTTGGTATAAATGCACTTTTCTACCCATAAATACCCCTTATTTTATTTGCCATGGTGCTTTTACGCTGATTTCGAATCTGAAATGAAAAATCGAACTCAACATTGGAATCAAGGCGGTTTTTTTTGACAAACGTTTAACACGCATTTAGCATAGCATAAATAGTAAAAGTTTTTAAAAACAGACTAAAATTTTAAAACTTTACCACCTTACGAATTTATATTGTAGAAATCATATTCTTATCTCTTAAGTCTTCTAGACTCTTCCAGTTCAAAAGTTACAAAAGCTACAGAACTTTAATCCTGTGAGCTCCTCCTAGTCTGTAGCCTGCAAACCTAGGATATTTTTAGTTTAGCGTAGCGATCGAGTGCCAAAATATTCGGCGACCTATTTTACAAGATTTTTCATAGCAAGTCGAAAGGTTAGGTTATCTTCTGTCTACACTACCTGCCCTCGTTGCTCTAATTAACTTATATGTTTCAATTTGTTGTCCACAATTTAAAAATTAACGTTTTTATCGTAATTAATCAACTGGTTAAACCGATTGTTAAGTTGGCAATATAACTATATTCTTGTGGTTATTATAAACTACAGTTAATAACAATTCTTAGTGTAATTAATTAGTGTCACTCGACCAACAACTCAAAAACTAGACCCAATTTTTAGACCACTGTTTTTCAAAGACTTATATGAGCGCATCTACATGGTATTATCTGTATATACATACGGGTTTACAGACAAAAAAATCGAAAATTAAAATAATGATTTTCATTAATTGTTTTGCACACAACTCGAAAATTATTTTCGTATAATATAATATGGTATCATCGTTTTTAAAACTTTCATTTACATGGGTATAAAAAAAAAATACGAAAATTTCTAACCTAACAGGATGGCGCCGATGACGGCGAGGGTAGCTCCGCGGGCGTCTGGCGCAACGGTAATTCTCTAACTTCATGTAGCTGTAACTTCAAAAGTAAGCGTTTCCATAAATTTTTGTTTGTACTATCGTTTTCAGCATTAAAAAACAAATCGATTAAAAAAACGAAATTCGTGTCTGGGGTGGTAAAGTCGATTTGTTCCATAACTTTTTCTCTTAACACATATATTCCCTACAGCCCTTGAAAAAAAATATAGGTTAAATTAATACAAATTATAGTTAAATTTCAATAAATATTAGTCAGGGTTAAAATGCTTAATTTTATTATTTATTCAGAAATTGAAAACAATTTCAGATCGATGATGATTTTTTGGCCCATTATCAACTAAGTTATGGATTTGGTTCAAGTAATGTTAACACTGTTGAACAGAAAAATTATTCTCAAACAAACAGTCTAGAGTGTCCAAATATAGGAAATCAAGCAAAACTAAATTCTAATGATAAAGTTAAAACAGTTGAAGAGGATAAAACTGAAGCAGTAAAACAAAAACTACCACAATCTACTGAACCTAGTAAAATGCATTTCTTGACTAGTTTTTGGTTAAACTACATAATTTCTGGTTTTACATTTCATTATTTTGTTTAATTTTAGATTGGTTTGAAGTTGATGAAGAACATAATACAAAAGTTTATGTTTCTAATTTGCCTTTGGATATATCTGAACAAGAGTTTATCGATTTGATGCAAAAGTGTGGCTTGGTCATGAAAGATTTAGATACTGGTCGAATGAAAGTTAAGTTATATACAGAACGAGGTACAGACATCCTTAAAGGTGATGCTCTTTGTACTTATATCAAGGTAATAAAACAGTGTTATGTGTTACTTAATAAAAGTGCTTTGATAATATAAGTGTTTGGTTATATTATAATTTTTATTATGCTAATGACATAACCGAGAGTTAGAACTCAAAACACTTATTCCCTAAACCAAATAATATAACACTCAACTCTCAATTGCTTGCTTTTTGACCTTTTACATAATTTAATAGCAGTGTCGTTAAGATGATTTTTAGGTGTTCAGATTATTGATATTATAGCTTTATAGTGGACAATTGTTCCATTTTTTATTAATTGTTCACTACTTGTTTGAAGGGGGGATAAATGTTCCGAAGTGTAACAAATAAAAAGTAGTATTAGATGGAGTTTGAGGTGTTAATGAGAAATAATATTGGAACAAATGCAAATGTATTAAAACAAAAATCAACTACATCTAATAAAAGTTTAAAAGTATATGTCAAAATGGATAAGAGAGTGAGCTTGTTGTGCTATTAGATAATGAAAAAATAGATTTGTCTCTAATAATATATCTCTGTTTTCATATTATATGTATTTTATACTATGAAATGTCCTAAAAATAATTTCATGCAAGTAGTGGTTTAGTTTTACATGTTATAATAAGTGAGTAATAGATATCATTAGATATAGCCATGTCATTATGGCCTAGTGTCCATTACCAAGTGTAAAGTGGTTACATCTGCAACTAATTTGAGCGCTTTTCAAAGAATATTTTAAAACGGTTTGCATTTCAAGATCGCTTAATTTCAATAAAATTATATAGTTTGTGAAAAATAGTGAACTATATTTACTTATAAAATTAATTTTAGTACCTTATTTTGTAATATAATTATTAGTTCACTTTCACAAGTTTCAAAACAATAAATTAAAAGTTATTACAAAATTTGTAAGTTAAAATTAACTCTAAATTTATAATATATAAAAGTAAAACTACACTTTAAATGTTAGTTAATATTACAATTAAGACAAAAATCATAGTTTACCTATTATAACACAAACATTTATAGAATTTATATTCTACTAGAGGTTAATAATGTTTATTAGATTATCTCACATTGAAATTTGTACTAATGTTTATTGTTTATTGTATGTCATTTGCGCATTCGGGCTGAAGTTTTGATTCACAGATGAAAAAATTTTTTTCTAAACAACTATGTGCAACCCATTTGGATTTTATGTTTGGATCAAGAGTCGTGCATTGCCAATGGCTGTTTGAAATATCATTGAACTCGATTGACATATGAAGTTGATTGGGACTGATCTTACGACCAGAATTCGCCCATTTCCACTCGTATTGGCCCCAGTCGTAAATCCCACCTATCCATCTCTCTTCATCTGAAAAGTACAATATATATATATATATACCGAGTAATTATTTTAACGCACTGTACTAAATTTTTCATAAAGTAATCGCAATTTTTTTCTTTTTGAAAACATTTTTGTTTATATTATTTGACAATATAAAATAGTATTTAAATTGTTATCATATATTTTCATTTGAAACTATTGAAACTTAAATGGTTACGTATGTATTAAATTTACTATTTAAATTAAGAATAAATTGTTGAAAATGATGACTGGTTGATAACCAGTATTGAATAGTTATTTTTAGAGTTATTAATGATTGAAATCTAGAACAGGAGGAAGGGTGGAGTGCAGTATTATTTTCATTTGCGCCCATTACTCACCGCACTCCACCTCCCATCATACATTTATAACTTTTATACTTTAAAAGTAATAACTTAAAACTGGTTATCTATACTAGTCAAAATTGTCAATAATTAAATTAAATACTTATGTTACTATTTAAGCTTCATAAATTGATAAAGATCTGGAAAATACTAAAAAAGATAAAAAAAATTAATACAGTCTAATATTGTAAAATAACATAAACAAACATATTTTCAAAAAAAAAACAACAAAAAAATGCAATATTTTATGAGAAAACTATTCTAGGGCGTTAAAAGAATCACCCAGTAAAAATGATTTTAGATTTGAATGGATACATTTTATTTTATTAAGGAAAAGGTTGAAATGCTTGTAATTTTGTAAATTAAATTTATTTACAAACCTCTATCAATTAGTTTTGAAAATCATTTTTTATAATTTATACAATACATATTGGTAATACTAATGTATTAAATTAAAATTTTTTCTAATTAAATCTAGTGCATTCAGTTAAATTTTAACTAACCTAGTTCAGTAAGTGTTCCAGAGTAATACATTTGGATTAATCGTTAAAATAATTTCATACTCTTTATTTAAAATAAATTAAGATAATTTAATACAATTTTACTAAAAAATATTTATACCTACTTAGTCTAGACTGAGTACTTCATAGTACTTAATAATTCACATTTAAATTGCTCTGGGATTGTCATCAGGAGAATAACACAAACAAAATATAATTGAATACATTTTTTTTTTATAAATAAATTACGAAAATGTAGATAACCCTTTAAAAAAATAAGTATAATATTATAATATATGTTTTTTTTTTAAGAATCATAGTACGGAAAAAAAATTTGAATTTGATGGATAAAACTTGATTTAAAACCCTAACTCAAAGTTTTGTTTGAGTATAATTATAGTCGTTTTTTTAGTTGAAGGCAAAATCATTTTTTTATTTTTACATTACAAAGCTACAATTTTACTTAATCACATATTCAAAAGTTAAACCCATCTGATTAGTCTGATTTTTTTTCAGCGAACATTTTGTCAACAATCTTAATACTAATAGCTTGTTATTCAACATTTTTTTTTTACTTTTTTCTTTGAATTTCAAAAATTTTCTTATATTAAAATCATTCCATCGCTTGGCGAGTACAGACAGTTTGCTTCCTTTTGTCAAGTATTTGCATTCAAAATAAGCCTCTTGCCATGTTAACTTTGTGTCACCCAAGTAGTAACACTCACTACCAAATCGTATAAAGTTTGACGGGCATTTATATACCAGTTTGGATTCACAACTGTATGACACTAAAAGTAAAAATGTAAAAATAATTTTTTTTATTAAGTTATTTCCCGAGAATTGAAGCTTACCATAAAGTAAAATAAAAGTGTTAAAGAGAAATAATACGGTTAATGTGGTTTTATCCATGTTGATAAACTAAAATATAAATATTTAAGCAAAGTAAAAAAAATAATCGCCGATGAGAGCTTGAACAGTTCTGCTGTGCTACTAAGTGCTCGCGAGTTGTAACTATAGTCCATGGGCCGTTCTCTAATTTGTTCTGTTTTTTTTTTATTTGCAATTCAGCCTTCGGTTAGGTTTACCAATTCAATCATAATACATCACTTTGTGTCATTATTATTCTTATAAATTCCGTAAATAAGGAAAAAAGTTCATGGATATTTTTTTCGTTACATAAAAAAATAAACCAATTTAAACAATGAATGTTGTTGATATACAGTAGAAGTAGTATTAATGTTGTTTGGAACAGTTGGCATACAAATTATTCTATACTTATTGCAGATTTTTTTTTAGTTATACATTTTTTTTAACTTATAACTTGGGCCTTGGGGAAATAAATGTTAATGTATACAAATAAATGCTTAAATATTTGCAACGACGTATGCAAGTTATAAGTTCATAAATAAATGAAACATTAGTATACAGTAGTGATGGAAATCCGGATTTTTCAAAAAAACGCTTTTTAAGTCATTTGAAAATCATATAATTGTTAAATACTATTACAATATAAAGATGTGTACCTAAGTACAATTTGTTGATAAATTTTTTTTTTTAAAAACTCTTAACTTTGTCTATAAAATGCTTTCGGATTTCGGATTCTGGATTTTCGGATTTCAACAAATCCGAAACTCAAAAACCGTTTATCTCTTTGGTGTTTTGTTTTATTTTCACATATTTATCAAAAAATTGTTACTTAGATATAGATCTTTATATTGTAAAATAATTTAACACTTATATGATTTTTAAGTAGCTTAAATAGCGTTTTTTTGTGAAAATCCGGATTTTCCGATTCCCATCACTAGTATACAGTGTGTACTTCGTTTTTTATAAATTTAACAAACACAATTTAAACTCTGGCCAGTGAGTTCGAGCTTAAGGTTGAGGAAAGGGTTTCGGCTGTCAAGTTATATATTCATTCGATGTAAGTCGATTTAAAGAAAACAATAAGACAATGTTTGGATTGTCATCACTCATAACCTATAGCTATAAATTGAAAAGTCTTGATTTTTTTTTTTAAAGCCTTCTCAATTTTAGCGTAGGGATACATGTATGTTTTCAATTTTGACAGTTCTAAAGCCAAACAGTTTTTAAAAATTCGTTAGATAAAGGGTTGAAGTGGTATCTTTCGTACCTATGCTAAACTCACTTTCTTTATTATTTCGGCATAATAGGCATTTATAGGGTTATAAGTTATAACTTTTATCAAACAAAAAAAATCCACTTGCTAATGTGAAGAATTTAACGAATTTCCTTCTATATTTTAAACTAATAGTTACTCGAGACCTGCCTAGTATGAGTGTAATGAAAATTAATGCGATTTCACCACTTAATTAAATAAAAAATCCATTTTTTTAAAAATAGCATGTTTTCTAAAATTTTGCTGTGGCTATATTAGCTACACTTTTAATAACTAACGAATTTTAAGTTTTTAGATAAATATAACATTTTACATTAGTTTTATCAAAAGATAAGCCTTATCATGTTTATTTAATTGAAAATATGAGTTAAAACGCAAATATATTTTTCTTCTTTTTTTAAAGTATAATTCATTTTTGGGGATATTTAAATTTTAAAGGAATAAAATAAGCCATATGTAAAATATGTGATAATATTTAAGAGTTTAAAAAGACCATAATTTTCTTAATAGTTATTTTATTGTGTACGTTGCGGGTATACGCCCTTCCTGGATTTTTTGGACAAAATTCATTTATTTCCTGTTCGCTCATACATTAACATTTGTATTCACCACACCTGTTTTGCATTAAATGAGGGATTGACTGTTCAGTATTTCATGTACTAATCTTTGTAGTTCAATGTATACCTCCAATCTCTAATAGCTATTATTATAATTTATAATAATAAATAATAGTACATCAATGGTGTCTTAAAATATATATATTCATAAATGAAATATAATACAATATATAAAGATAGTAATATACGGGTGTACGAGAAACAAATATCGCGCTCTACGGGATGGTACTACATAGAGCGCTTTAAGAATTCGGTTTTTGAAATTTTTTTAATGTCAAAAACTCAACTTTTACAAGGTTTATTTATAAAATCTCCATCAAAAATATAAATAAACCATACCGTGGGATTTTCCAACAAATTTTCTTATAAAAAGAGGGGGGAGTGATGGTACGGTATTTATTTAAAATATAATGTTGTAGTACTACAAATTCTGTACTTATGCTTAGAAATACGTTTACAACAAAAATACATGAATAATCGTGAACTGAACACAACTGCATCTTGCATTTAATAGCAGGCGATAAAATAATAACGATTTGAGTTGTACCCATAACGATATCCTACATAAAAAAGAACCGTCCAATAAACATTTTGAATTTGAAATGGGTATATTTTATCTTTTAGAAACTGTTTTCTCATCGATCGGCTGGGCCAACAAGCCTATATATATGTGTGTACATTGTACATGTATATTATGATACATATGTACATAAATTAATATGTGCTTATGTAATTTCGAAAAGCTGTAATAACGATACATCATCATGAGTATTAGCGCAATGACATCACTAACATAATATAAGAATAACAGATTCTTTCGAGCTGACCTCATATCTCGCCATGTTTTCAATGTCATCAGATTCGGTGAGATTCGAATACCTTCCAAGTCATTGGATATAAAAAATCAAAATTCTTATTTTGAATAAAAACAATTTTTTGATGATTTTGGATTTTTAGTTTATGAATATCCTGTCAAAAGGATAACACAAAAAACTATTAAATAAACTATAAAAAAAAAATATATATATAAACTATAAATATAATTAACTATAAATAAAACAAAAATATATGTTAAAAATGATTTAGGTGTCATTCTTATATACAAACTTGCATAAAATGACTGTTCCGTTGTTTAGTGTTATTCTACTTTTAGATATTTGTTCTATGATTTATGGCGACAGTATGATAAAAAATTACTTTCTGACGTAGAACCTATTAAACGGATTTTAAAATGTTTTTCTTTTATGGACAGCCTAACATACGACATTCTCTATGGGACTAGAAGGCCGAATTTTGGACAAGTTATTAGAAAATTAAAACTAAAATCAAATTTAGTAAAAAAAACTGTAAAAAGTAAAAATGAATTTTATACTTTTATATTAAAAACAAAATCGGTTTTAGCACCTTACACCTGTAAGGTAAGCTTCGTAAAAAAAAAATTAAATCGATTTGATAGGCACTTTGGAAAGTTTTAATTAATGTAGTTATAAAAAAATATATATCATAGTATTATCGCTATTATTGATGTTGATATTTAACTAATTCCTTATATTATTTATTTATATTTTTTATTATAAATAATGATCATTTGACAATTTTATTTTTTTCCTATTCTTTTTTTTTTTAGAGGGAATCTGTAGACTTGGCGTTGAAGTTACTTGATGGTTACAAATTACGTGATAAGGAAATTCACGTTGAACTAGCAAAGTTCACAATGCGTGGTGAAAAATATAACCCTGCGTTGAAACCAAAAAAAAAGAAAAGAAAAGATAAAGAAAAAATGAAAAAAATTCAAGAAAAGTATATATTTGTTTCCCAATATTCTATACTGCTAACATTTTTTTAATTTGGTACAACAACGGTTTTTATACTTTTTGTTTAGGTTATTTGACTGGAGACCAGATAAAATGAGAGGAGAGCGAGGAAAAAACGAGAGTATTGTGATTGTAAAAAATTTATTTGAGAAGGAAACATTCGATAATGATGTCGCATTACTTTTAGAATACCAAAAAGATCTCAGAGAAGAATGCTCAAAGTGTGGTGTTGTAAAAAAAGTAATAGTATACGATGTGAGTAATGTTCCAAATTTATTTATCATAATATATTACATATATTAGCATTTATTACAAATATCATTATTATAATATTTAAAATCAATGATATTAGGTATATTTTTTTCTATTGCAAATGTTTTAATACTTTTATTTATTAATATTTTTAGAGGCATCCGGATGGTGTGGCGCAAATTAATTTTAAAGAACCTGATGCGGCAGACGCTTGTGTTCAATTATTAAACAACCGATGGTTTGGACAAAGACAAATAACTGCAGAGATATGGGATGGAAAAACAAAATATAAGTTAGTTTTTCCCAATAGTACATTTTTTTTTTTTTATACAATTTTTTTTATTTTAGAGTCATTGAAACACCTGATGAAACAGAAGAGCGGCTGAAGAAATGGGAAACGTATTTACTTTCAACAGGTAATACTGAAACAAACGATGCTCACGAATCAGATGATGATTCAGTGAAAACAAAAAGTGATGGAGAAAGTGATGACGAAGTTCAACCAGTTTCTGTTTAACTTTTAAAATTAATATAACATAATTATTCTTTTTAATATAAATTATAATATATTAATGAGAATAACAAATTTTTTTTTTTTAAAGATAAAAAATTAATAATAAATATATTTCACAGTATGTATTAGAGATTATAATATAGATTTTAGTTAGTCCTCGCCAGCAGGTATAGCATCTTCAAGTCTTTTATTGAACTTAATTCTAAGTTCAGTAGCTAAATCTCCTTTAAGTTGGTCTTGTGCAAACCAACATGATACATCCATTTGTACCTTAAGATATTAATGTATTTCAATTAATAATTGTTATTTATTATTATTATTATTTATGGTAATTAATAATATAAAGTTAATTTGTTATTTTACCATTTCACAAGATCCTCTTAATGCACCACACAAAACATTGCTATATTTGAGATTTTGGTAGTTATCTGGCAGTTCGACAAACTCGGTAAGTGGGTTTGAGTCAAACGTCAAAGAAAATTCATCGCCTGCAGCGCTCCAATTGGTCAAAGCTGGGGTTATACCCAAATACATTTTAAACGCATACTATAATCATTAAAAATAACATAAATATATGTTATTGATATTTTAGCAAAGTCTTTAATATAACAGTTAAGAAACCTGAATTTTATCAGCAGTTTCTCGTAAATCATTGCACCTTGCAGAATTAGTACGCGCTAAAAAGTCTTCGACCATACGCACACCAATGTTGTAACCCATTCGATCTAGTTGTTTGTTGACATCCTCAACATTTTCGTAATCCTTCATTAATTGAGATACGATGGCTCCATAAGTTAATGTAAATAATTCGGAGTTCTATTACAATATTTAAAGTCAAACAATTATTGGTTATTGTATTATTTCTAAAAGAGCAGCTAATTTCATTGGCCTAAGTAAAGCTACACTATTTTATTAATTTTGAGTAGAAAAAAGTTGTTCTGTCATTCGAAGGAAAACCCATGAGCAAAGTGTACATAAACTGTTTAACTTATCTTATCTAAATCATAAAAAAAATACTATCAACACTATAACCATTCCCATCAGATTGACTTAACATTTTAGAAAAGTTAAGCATATAATTTTAATATTGTTAAAACTACAATTGATTTTTAAGCTTAACTAGGGAGAACAGCATTATGGGTAGAAATACTTATGCTAGTTTGCCCGAAATTTCAAAAAAGGTTAAATAATTAAAAAACGAGCCCATTAAATTCAACAATTTTATTCGTGTAATCCAGTTAATATTTTTTTTCTGTAAATTGAGAAATACAACAGTCGTTACTTACAACTTTCTTGACGTCCAATCTAGTACTTTGACGAGACATTTTTGGATGAATATATTTTACAGTATGAAATAAAAAAAAATTTTTATTTAAAATTCAAGAAATGATGTTAGTTTAAACCTTTAGAAGTTGTTAAATGTTATTACTCACATCGAATTTCCAACATCTCTAATTCGACATAAATAACACAATCTCTTCAAATTGTGAATACTGATTACCGAATATCGGTTTAGTGATCATGATAGTAAATGGGCATGTTAGTAAATTATGTTATCAATCAATAATCATAAAATGGTTAGGTTAGGTTAACCAATGAATTACTGACAGTCTGCTATATAATATATATATCCCTATAAAGGTATTTTTCGTTATGGGTCTATGGTCTGCTATAAGTTATCAGATTTTTCATGGAAAAATCAAACATTAACTCGTACTTTTTATAGTACCAAGTCGTATCAATGTTAAAGAACAACATATTTGTATATAAAAATACCGGGTAAAACTTGTTCGATATAATATTATGTTTACGTTTTTTAACGTTAATTTTACATTCATATCTTTTTACATTTGACAATATTTAAATATGAACGATTCCGACACTTACAAGTCGTATTTGAAACGTACCGTGTACATAGGGGGTTTAGCTGAAGAAGTGGATGACAAAGTTTTGAGATCTGCATTCATCCCTTTTGGCGATATTGTTGATGTTCAGGTGAATACTAAAAATTGTAGATAATTTTGGTAGTGTTATTAAAAGAAAAATTATAACTGTTAACTCAATTGATAACATTAACTTAAATCAATTTTAGATTCCATTGGACTACGAGTCTGAGAAACACCGGGGTTTTGCATTTGTGGAGTTCGAACAGCCGGAAGATGCACTGGACGCTATTGACAATATGAACGAGTCTGAAATATTTGGCCGGACTATACGTGTTAACTTAGCCAAACCGCAGAAAATTAACAGAGGTTCAACCAGACCTGTATGGTCTGAAGACGATTGGCTAGTTCAGTATGCCGGTAAAACTTTGGAGCCTAAGGTGGACAAGAAAATTGAAGACGATAAAAGTAAAGACGAAGTAAAGAATCCTCAAGTTTACTTAGATATTAAAATTGGCAAAAAAGATGCTGGTCGAATTATCATTATGTTACGAGCTGACATTGTACCACGTACTGCAGAAAATTTCCGTTGTTTATGTACACATGAAAAAGGATTTGGCTTTCAGAACACGACATTTCATCGTATAATTCCTAATTTTATGTGTCAAGGTGGCGACATTACCAACAATAATGGTACAGGAGGCCTTTCTATTTACGGAAAGAAATTTGATGATGAAAATTTTAATCTCAAACATACAGGACCCGGAGTATTATCTATGGCCAATTCTGGCCCAAATACAAATAGCTCTCAATTTTTTCTTTGTACTGCACGAACAGAATGGTTAGATGATAAACACGTTGTATTTGGTAACATAATAAGTGGTATTGATGTAATGAAGAAAATAGAAAAATGTGGTACAAAAGCGGGTCTGCCGACTGAAAAAGTAATTATTGGTTCATGCGGGCAATTAGCATAATAACAATCTTAGTATAAATAAGTCGTGCAACTTTTTTTTTTAAATTTTTAATACAAATACTTTTTTATGTAAAATTTTTGTTGAAAATAATATGAGTACAGTAGTATTCAATGTTTATTGTGTTTACTCACAAACCTCTTATTTTCAACATCCTATTTTAGTTAAAATAGCACGTACACCTATTTTACATGTATGACTGTACTTAAAATGCATACATAGGCAACACTTAAAAAAGCTAAATTTCATTTCAGAACAAAGGTTATAATTATTAATTTTACTTTTATTGTAAAAAATTTTAATTTTATGTGTATCGTAATCATTGTTTTTCACAATTTGTTTAAAGTTAAAGTCTTCCTTAAGAAGACTTTTTTTTTATAAATTTAGTTAAACAATTCAAAGTGTCATTTGTCTAGGAATAGTGATAAACGGAGTTGACTTTTTTTTTGTCGATGTATCGCTGTGTTTTTCAAAAACTATTCTTTCTTTAACATTCAAATAATCTTTGAGTTTGGACCTGGAAACATATTCATATTTATTTAGAGAATGTATCTTAGGTTTCATCAAGACTAAAACTCATTACAAGATAATAGGTAAATGTCAAATTCCATCATGTTATAAAATTATTATGTACTCAAGTAATTTACCCTATATCATTAACAACACTTGGTTCACATGTAGAAATCCAAATTGACAATTTACTATATTGACGTCTATTGTAAACAATGCCACATATATTATCATTATATGGTTCATACATTCCTCCAATCATGCTCATTAACTATACAAAAGTAAAATAAAAATTAGTATTATTACAAATACGACATTTTATAAAATGTAAAGTCTATAAAATCCTTAATAATAAATATAAACTTGCTGACACAATTTTATTTAAAATACCAATGACTAAAATGTTATAAACGAAAGTACTCATTAAACATACATTTTGAATACTTTGCTTTATATTTTACTTAATTTTTCAGTAAGCTACACACAATAGAAAAAAGAACCAGTATAGTGGGGTCGGGTATAATAGGAACAGAGCATATTGGGGAGGGAGAGGTCACATATCTATAGGAATTATTTTAACTGAAAGTGATAAAATATACACTACAATACATGTATGTAGATACATATAAAAGCATAACCAATTATGTATTTAAAATTGTAATTTTAGTATTAGGTTGGAAGCGATTAGGGTTGATGGTCTGGTTATAATAGTTTGTTGTCACTTAAACAAATATATATTGTAATTAACAATATAATTATAATTTGCAGCTCTTAAATTCTATTTCTAACTTTTACCTAATTTTTTTTTAAAAGCCAAAAACTTACATGTCAAAGATAAAGTTTGAAAAACAATTTAATTTCTTTTCCGGCTTTTCCTAGTTTTGGAGGTGAAGGAATCTACTTTTGGCCAAAGAAAGCACCTATCGCATATGATTTCAAATTGATAAAGTTGCTGCTCGAGTAAATCTAACCACAAAAAACAACTTTTTATGACTTCGTACAAAAAAAAAAAACTAAAACCAATACCTTCTCAGCTTTTGCATTGAAGCTAAAACTACCCATATTTTAAAAATTCAAATCTTGAAAAGGGTCTAGATTAATTAAGAAATTAAATCAAAGAAACCTATTTTGATCAGTATAATAATTACAAAAAAAAAAAATTTTAAATAATAAAATGTTTAAATGGATATTATCTACATAGAAACCTTATACTTAAATATTTAAAATAAAAAACAAGCAATTACCAAATCCATCCAATACTGATCCAACATACCGTTGTCCTTTATCAGCCAACGTCCACCATTCTTATTAGATTTGTCTTCCCACATTGGTTTTATATCGGTTTTAAATACAGAATAATCACAACCAATTTTGAGTGTACTCGGCATTTTGATATGATTAAAGATGCTGTGAACGACGACTAAAAGTCAAGCTTTACATTAAGGAGTAATGTATTTGATGATTTTAGTAAAAGTATGAATTGTTGATTTTACGATGCATCGTTTAAACGTAAAATATTTTATTTGTAATAGCTTTCAATATAATAGTATGATCTAAGCAAATAAAATCATATTTACCTCCAAAACTTTTCAACACTATCGAATTCACACAAACCATTTAAATTGTCAATCCAATCGAGCGGTGCGACAGTGTTGAATTTCCAGTACCACAACTTCCAAGAATCTCTCAACAAATGGACATCAATATTACTGTTTTCCGTCATTTCCGCATTTATTTTATTGTTATTACATAGATTTTTCATTACCTATGAATATTTCTGTTAAAACGAAAATATTTTGGAAATGTTCAACACGGAAACTTACGGACAATAAATATAACTAGGTACTTATACTAACTTTCGATAGTTAGTGTTGAGCGAAATTTTATAGAACGGCAATTATTCTTCGAACCTCCAACCTAATTTCTAAAATCTAACTGATTTCCGATTACCGCATGGAAAATAATGATACAAAGAAAAAAATAAGCAACAAAAGTAGAGTGGGGAAACCAGATTTTATTATTGTATATACAAAGACATTTTGTCATCCATGCGGACAGTATATAATATAATAATAATATGTATGCAATTTTAACAAAAATAAACATTTATCACAAATGATAAGCCCCATGTATTTTTATCAATTCAGCATTACGCGTAAAACGCATCACAATATTAACTGTACAAGTATTGTTTTGAAGTACATATTATTTCATTATTATATAGATTTTTTTTTTAAGTTTATAAAGTAAAAGCTGGTTTTGTAAACGATCCTTGTTTGGTCGCCGTATCCGCGTGAGACTCGTACACTAACTTTTCGTTATTTGAACCCAATACTTCTTTAATTTTTTTCCTATAATTAAAAAAATCATAATTGGTTAACAAGTTTAAAATGAACAGTCCACATTATTTGCAAAATTTATCATCTCATTAACGTAATAAATTAAATCTATTTTAGTTTTCATTTTACAATTTTGCTATTTAAAAATTAACAAGCATAGTAGAGGCCCCATTACCAAAATTTAGTAAACGAGTAAGGCATGGATTTGATGCATTTCTCCGCCTTAAAGAGCAACACAGAGTTGGGAAATAATTTGGACTATAAATCAGATTTTTTTTCTCATTTGCCTGTTTCTGCTAGTTAATCAAAAAAAAAAAAAAAATGATTTAGAATTTGCTCACCCCCGTTTTTATGTGGTGTCAGAAACATACCAGATTATTAGATTGGCATTTTATAAATATAATTTCTTTGTTTTTTAATTATCGAAAATGTATTTTAATAGAGGTACAATACCACCCTAAAAAAAAAGTCCTTTGGTACCGAAATAAAATACATTTTTGTCTTTTCAGTACAACATACACACAAAGCATTTGGCACCATACAAAAATTCTAGCTTGTACAGTTTTCATCTGAACCCGATTTAGACAGGTTTTACTGTATTTTTTAGTGTCCTGAACATGAAAATTGCTTAACACTTCCATTGCGGAATACGCTAATTTACCTTGTAAATCGACGTCATCCGCAGAAAACGTGTGTTAAATAACAAAATTGTTTTCAGTTTACTAATGATAAATTATATTTTATTATGAAATAAGAAGAATGAAATTATGAATCATAATCTCTGCAATGTTATATATTTAAGTTAACAATAATGAATATAACCCTTCTAGACGACTAGTCCCAAAAGCAAATTTGTCAAGAAGCCTTCTCATGATGGCAGTGTTAGGCCCATAGAGTAATCTAGAGAAGCCATTCCTTATATCGCCTTAAGAGTATGGTTACATCACTCTATGAAAAGGCCTACAAGACTTTTTATGCTAAATGATGATGAATTAAAATAATAATAAACTGATAAAAAGTCATTCAAAAATTAAGAATAAATATTATATAAGACTGTAGATTTGATTTTATCACTATAACCTTATAAATATAGGAAAGGAATCATTAAGGGCAAGTAGTTTTCGAGAAAAATAAATATCTAAAACCCTTAAAGATGGCCTCAGTGTTTGTTAAGAGGGTTTTCCTTTGAACAATTTAATATTTTTCCTTAAAAAAAAAACTGTTCAACCTAAAACTAGGATTTTAACTTGTACTTCTGTTAACTATAAAAATAAATAAATACTTAATACAGAAGTTAATGATATTAAAATTAATTTTTCATAAGAGAATCACAAAATAGAATTGAGGTAATAGCAAAATTAAAAACAATCACATACACAAGTGGACATTTGGGCCTTAATTTGAGACCAGAAAAATTAAATTATCCTAAACAAATTTTTTTTTTTAATACACCTATGCTGTGATCCTTGGATCATAAATTATTGTAAGTACTTAATAAACACATAATAAAATAAGTCTGTATTTGATGATCTAATAAATTGGTGCGTTTTTACAAATATTTGTTTTTCTTTTGCTATGACTTTCTTTAATTACAAACAACCGAGTTTTCTGCACTTCTATACTTTCTTTCTAAGATTAGGCTTTTTTCTATGTTATAACTAATTGCATACCCTATTGCCATAATGTTATCAGCATTGTCTTTCGATGCATTGTTAGTCCATACAGCTATTTTTGTTCCTTTTTGTCGTACATTTACTATAGCTCCATTAATTTCACGACTCTGTTCGTTGTAAACTTCACCAATTATACTCATTATCTAAAATTATTGAATTTGAATCAAATTAATATTACAAAAATGTTTAAATAGAATAAAGCTAAAGTAAAATGAACTTGAATTTCCATACAATATTTTTCCAGTAATCATCTACATATGGGTTCGATTTCGCCGATGGTAACTGCATGAGCCAACGACCTCCTTTGCTATTTCTATCATCTTCCCACATAGGTTTAATTCCATTCTTGAAATAGTTGTAATCACAGTTCAAAGATAGTTGACTTGGAGGTTTAATGTGATTGTACAAACTAAAATATTTGTATATATAAAACAAATGTATTATTGTAACAAGTAATATTTCCTAAAAATTAATATTTAGCACATTAAAATTAAATTAATAATACTAAGTATAAAAGTATCACTGCAATAGTAAACTTTTTTAATACACTTTAATAATAATTTTATTTAATATCTAGTAAAATTATCCATGATTTGTTTTTATGAATTATTAATCAATTACCACCAAAAATCTTCGACCGTATCAAAACTGGCTACTTCACGAACATTATCTTCCCAAACTTTACTTCTGTTTTCATAAAACCATAATGTCCATTTGTTTTCCAATGGATGTTTCACAACTAATTCAGTAGATGGAACATCTGGTACAGTCTGATCATTTTCTGCTTTTGGAAATTCACTTGTTTGATTTACTGGTTCTCCCTAAACAATTGTACAAATATATATAAAGCCGCGTATAGACTAGTGAGCTGACCCTATCGCGAGCCCGTCCCAATTCGGCCTGGTTCGCGTCAAAAAACCCGTCATTAGATGGATTTTTCCGAGCGGTTCGGCTTGCTGGTTTGGCAGGTGTATGCGCAGCTTAACACATTAGATTGTAAACTAATATTCATTTTATAATTTTCTTTCCTTTCAGCATACACGCTTAACATTTATCCTTGTATCAGTCGCGCGAATTTCAGTCACACTTAAATTAAGTGTGACTTATTTAAAATTTCTCGTCAGTCACACAAAAATTATTTTGTGACTAGAGTAAATTGTTACTCCGTGTGACCGTTGAAAAGTTAAAAAAATATTAGAATATTTAGTTTAAAAAATAAACATAACAAGTACAATGAAAATTCTCTAAGACAAGCCTATAATAAACCAAAACCTGTATAAGCCATTTGTGTATTGTCCAGCCTAAGTACTATATGTATATAATCTGGTCATTTTAAGAAGACACCCAGGTGGCAGACCAAAAGTCTTCCGCCTTTTTGTAGGTTATATCTGTATGTACAGTAGGTGGTGCCAACTCTGACAATATTACGGGGTGGAAACCGGTCGCTGCCAATGCAATGAGGTATCTTCTTAAAGTGATCAAAGTATATTTTACTGAGAAGTGAATAACTGATTAGTATAGTACTTTATTTTGGTCCCGTACAATTCCGTACAAGTTTTACTGTATTGAATAAATAAGAAAGGTATCTTATTCTGAAGTATTTACATTGATAGTTTTACAAATAACATGTTTACAAAAATGATAACTGGTACTATTTTTATAATAACAATAAATATGTTTACAATTCGATTAATACAAGTTTCCCCAAACGGAAAATGTTTCTTTTTTCAAATAACAATAATTTAATAAATATTTGGCTACCCAAATGAAGACATATAGCAAATCATATAAAAACGCCTTAAACTAAAATGAGTTCTGGGGCAACTGCACCTACAGTAGATACGACGTGGTATCAAATTCAAATAGTCGGCAACCATATACGTGATGTAAGTAAATAGAAACTTGTAATCGGATTTCTAATTAATGAAAAAAGTTATTTTATTTATATACTTTTTTTTTATCATAGCCTTAAAAATAAATATTTTAATAAAGTTATACATTAGGCTGTTTAACTTTATTCTTACCTCAACCATACTGGACAAAAATGTTCTTAGTTTGTTAATCTAAATTATATTAAAAAATAAGAAAAGTTTTTACTATAAACTATTCTAATATATTGTAACATAAACGTTTTAAACGAACGCAAAGTTCTCGGGAAAGATTGATTTTGGAATAAAATAAATCACATTTATGTGGATTGTGGAAGTTGGAACATAATTGTTTATGATAACACACCATACATTCATACAGTTTGTCTGTATTTCAGATGAAAAATTTCTCATAGTGATAAATGATAATGTTTAAAATGGAGTCACTGGGCAATTTGTAAACCATGAAGAAATCTTTATGTTGTAGTTTGTAAACACACATCTCAGCGAATCGGCAATCCGCTATCGATAGTCGGCGATATAAAATATATTTTATAATTTATGCTTAAATCTTAATACTCAAGTGTAATATGTGTTAAGTCACTTAAGACTTGATTCTTATGATAGTAAATAGTAATATGCAATTCTATGATTTCTGTGATGATCATAATAATACTATAAATCACTGAAAAAAAATCCATGTTAAAAGTGTTAAGTAGTGATACACTATCGTTTTTATTTAAAACAAGCTTCGTAGGAGTATAAACGGGAGATTATTTCTGTCGTCACGTTCGTCATTGGATTTAAAAAGTTTTGGTCTTGGACTTCAATCTATATTGATTTCAAGTAATTTAAACCTGTAGTTGACTCGATTATTTTGTAATTGCTGTAAGACCTAAATATTATGTCAAAACGTTTTCGTTTTAAGTATTACATTATTCAAGCTACATTAGTGAAGCGCTATAAGATTTGAATAATTTATTTTTCAATAATTGGATACTTGTGTATTAAAAAAACGTAAAAAAAAAAAACAAATCTTTATCATGGATGAAGATAAAAATGGAGTTCTCGAACCATCTGATAAACGTAAAATTGACGATGACATTGTTAATTCTAAACCCAACACTAAAAGAATCAAACTAGTGCGACCTGTGTTTTCTGCTCTGTCTAAACCAGCTGCTACATCAAATGAAACGGCCAAACCTAATGTAGACTTGTCTGAATCTTGTAAAACAACCATTTCAACAGAAAAGCCTTCACAGTTAACCGTAGCTGCAGAATCAAACGACATAACTGTCTCCTCGATCCAACCTGAATCTAACAAATCATCAGATACGAATGAAGTCACTTTGATTGAAGACGAAAAAATTAAGTATGATAAGGATTTAGAAGATTTAAAAGGATTTAGTGACGAAACGAAAAAACAATTAGAGCAATTAAAGAAAACAATTTTTAAAATTGAAGATGATGGCTCATCTTCAGAAAATGATGGTCAACCAAAACGTCCAAGATTAAAACGACCTACATTTATTTTATCAACCACTGAAAAAAAGGAACCTTGTGATGACATCAATGAGAGTAAAACTGAAATTATTTCTAACCCCATCACGGCAAGTAGTAAGGAAATAGAAAAAACTTCAATTAAAGGTTCAAATGATGAAAAAATAAAAGAAATAAATAATGACAAACTATCAAATTCAATAACAGCTAATGAAGTAAATGTAAACAATTTATCAGAAAAATTTTGTATGACTGAATCAAAACCTGTTGTGGACAATGAAATGCATCCAGAAACAGTAATCTTGAGTAATGTCAAAGAACATACAGACGCCAAAAATAATCAAGTAAGTACTGATGCCGAAAGGGATATCAAGAAAGTAGATGAAATAGTTGATAAAGTAAAAATATATGATAAAAAAATTGAAGTTGAATGTATCAATGATACAGTTGAGGATGAACTTCCAAAAGAAAAGAAAAAATTAGTTGAAGTAGTTAAAAAAAATATTGTTAAGATTGAAGCATCTAATCAAGTTACACACGAAAATGTAGACTGCGATGAAAAGTTAAATGAAATAATTGACGAGGAAATTTCAGAACAAAAAGATATTACTTTCAAGACGGGTGAAAAAAATAAAATTGATAAGATAGTTAGTAATATGGAAGAAGAAGATGAAAATGAGTGTGAAATCACACATATTGAAAATAATCATCAAGAAAAACATATATTTACTACAGAAGATAAGGTTTCAGACGATACAACTCATTTACTAAATGTTTCCAATGATATAATAGAAAAGCAAGAAGTTACACAATCTTCTATTAAGGATGAAAATAAATGCAAAATTAATAAAAATAATTTACTAACAAAACAAACTGAAATAAATATGAAGATGGAAGTAGAAGAACAGTGCGAGGAAAATAAATCGGAGCTTTATATGACATCTGACATTCTTAAAGCAGCTCTTACATCAAAAAAGTTACTTGAGCCAGTACAAAATACATCTAAAGTTTGCGATATAAAGTTTGAAGAAGAACTCAAGACAGTCAAAAATGATAACTCTGACATTTTGCCAAAAATTGGTGAAGAAGCTATTATTAATAAAATTGAAATCAGCCTTACTAATATAACAAAATCACAACCTTTGAATCTAAATATTTTGCCAGTCGCACATATAAACAATAAGGCATCAAGTTCTAGTTCTTTAAATGAAATTGACAAAAATAGTGAACCTCCAAAATGGGGCTCAGCTAAAATGAATGAAGTGGAAAAGTTTTTAAACGATTCAAATGTTACTATAACACCAATTTCTACATCTCCAGAGAAGCCTAAACTCAATAAAATAACATTAAAATTACCTAAAGTTGGAAATCCAGAGATTAAGTCTGACAATAAAGTTCGTCCAGATGTGAAATCTGAACTATTAAAAAAAATTACCAATAAACAAATATCTGTTGGGGATAGTCCATTGAAAAATGCTCTTTCTCAACCCTCAAAGCCTTTTAGTGATTTTGCCACTATAAAACCTTCTTCTAAGCCCAGTGCTGAAGAAATTGCATTATTAGAACAACAGATTTTAAACACTCCCAAAAAAAGAGGAAGACCATCAAAATTGCTTGCCCAACAAAAACAACTTTTGTTGCAGTATCAGATGCAACAACAACACACTCCTGAAGGAATTGAAGATGTGAAAAGAAACGAAGATGATAATGTATTTCATGTACCTTTGTTTGATATGGATACTATGAGTAGTGGTAATATGTTTGATTCGTTTGAAGCTTCAACTCCAAAACGAGGTAAAAGTAACATTAGAGGCAGGGGTAGAGGTAGAGGTCGAGGAGGCCGTGAACGACGGGGACGAGAAGAAACTGATATTGATAATCAGTCAAATCGGCATCAAGTAGAAATTGAAGAAAACATTTTTAGTGAAGAAATGATTCAAGACGAAGAAACTAAACAAGTAGCCAAGATGGAAGCTGAACGTGTTCGCAAGGAAGAAGAACGTGAGAGAAAACTTGAGGCAAGAAAAAGGAAATTAAAAGAGCGAAATGATTTATTAAAAGAAAAAAAGTTAAGAAAAAAAAGAAAAGCTGAAGAAAGAAGACTTCAGTGGCATGAAAAAAAGAGATTGATGCAAGAAGAAAAAGCAAGACAAGCAGAAATGAAAAAGTCTTTGCCACCTCCCCAGAACTTTGATGATGAAACACGTATGAGTGCTGATATCAGTTTGACACAGACACCGTCTAGAAATTTTATAATGGGTAGATTATATTTATAATTTTTTTTAGTTTTATAATATATGCTTGAAATAATATAATTTTTAGGAGAAGATGATCTGTCTATAAGTGGTACTACAAATGATAGTATTCGATTGAAAAAAGGAAGAATGGAAGTCATTGATCTTGAAAGGTAAAAATTAGAAAATATTTACAGAACTCATTTAACTTCAAAAATTAAATAATGGTAACAATCATAGACCTTGAACGCCTCAGTTGAGCCTAAAACAATTTGTATTCCTGTATTCACATTGGGCTCTTTAAAATTTGTTTACAAATTGTGTAAAAAAACTTAAATTATGTGCTTTGCATCACCTAAAAGTATCCTTTTAAACTTAAAAAAAGTTTTTTTTAAGACATTTGTTGTTTTTTAACACATTATGAAGTTAGAAAATAGTATAAGAAAATATGCCTCATTAAAATTCAGTAGTAAACAAATTCTGGTCTCCTTCTAACATGTCATCAACATGAACAACAAGCTAAAAATAAGTGCGCAATTGAATAAATATTTAAACAAAATGAATTTCCTTTATGTATTAATATTTAATATTTTTAGTTACTAGTCACTTTGAAGGAAAAATGCCGTAAGTAAGAAATTATATGTTACTTATTATTAATTTATTAACATCAAATATCTTCTATCATAATTTAATAAAAACATTTATTCATAAACATTAAAACTTTAAAAACGTCCAAATAATTTTATTTACATAGTTTTTATTATCATATATAGCATACTAAGAACTCTGTTTCTCCAATCAACATTTTACAGTTTTCTTGTGTAGTCTTTTAATGATGTCTTACTTCCCCGATATTACCCATTTATTTAATGGTTGTACCATTTAAAAAATATTTGTATTAAGCAATAATTTACATAATTTTTGCAGTACAAAATGTATAATACTTTTGAAAAGCAATTTTTTGTTTTTGCATTGCGGCATTTTTCATAGTTAAAATTTTATCACTTACAGTTGATAGTACTACAAACAACTTTTAAATCAACTTTAATAATGATAACTGGTGACAATTTAACAATCCGCTAATTGTAAATGGCCCGTATAATTCTAAAAACTACCTTACTTATATTTTTACTTTTTTGAATAAAAAAAAATATATATATATTTATTAAATTGTCTGTATATTTTATAGTAATAAAACATTGACTGTTGATCAAATTGCCGAATACCAATGGCCTTTAGAAGGTGGAGAGTTGTGCATGATTCAAGAACAGATATCTAATTTCTTGGGTGTAAAATCGTTTAAAAGAAAATACCCATTACTTAAACGTAGAAACGTGGAAGCCGAGGAAAGAACATTTCTATGTGATAGTGGACTTGTTGCAGAAACTCTCTGCGATTTAGGTACTTTATAATGACTAATCTAATTTGATATTTTAACATTATTTAACTTGTTAACTTTTAATTTTTTGTTAAAGGTTTAACAGTTTTATACAGTTCTGAAGTACTAGACGTTATGTACGTTGATTTTCCAGAAAAATACGAAGAATTACGGGAATACATGAGAGTAAAACACGCTAAAGAACTATCTAATCGACAAAAAGGTATTCGTCTATTTATTTTGATTTAGATGAGGAGCTGAAAAAATATTGGTTTAACAATAATGTATTTATAATTTTTTTTTTTTTTTGTATCTGGACCCACAATAATTTTATTAACTACTGAACCAATTTCTTCATGTTTATTTAAGCAAGATTATAGATCAGAAATTGTAATCAAAAGTTATTCTTAAAGTCAAAAATGAAATAGTTTGCAGAAAAATACATTTTAATAATACAAGACACCTTGTTTTTGGAAATTACCATATTTTTGCGAGTTTTTTTTATATTTTTGTTAGTTACTTAAAAATATATATTATTTTCCTATAAACTTTTTATTTATTTTTATTAATAACGTTTTTATGATAAATTAGTCATCCTAACCTACAGATTTATTCTTTTTATTTTGTAAGTGATCCATCGTAAGTATTCCAATAAACTAGTCAGTAGATATTATCCAATTAAAAAAAATTGAATGAAATACACAAGTATTTTACCTACAATTTTCTTTCAAAAAACATATCTTCATTTTTATTTATTAAGGAATACCCAAAAAAAATTAGGCAACTTGGTTATAAATACTTTTATTGTTGAGGAAGTTATCATCTACAATTTTGCATCGATGAGCTTATTTAAAAGTGATTCTATCACTTTTATTTATAATAATTCTCAACGACTTGTGACCTCTTCATCCCTACTATTCTTGGCTTAATTAATACTGTTTGTGTTTAAATATTATTTACCTTTTTAATTTTCAAATTCAGCATTAGTGTCTTTTAATATATCGACTGCTGATGGATCAAAATTGGATTTACGTGATCGAGCAATGGAGGCTGCAGCCAACTGGAATGCCAATTTTAATAAGTCCCGTTCAGAATCAAGAAAATGCACAATGGATATGCAATCTTTTATTGTACATTATCCAAAAAATAAATGTAAAAAGATGGCCAAACCAAAACAAAAAATTGGCGATTATCCTTTGGCATTACTACCTGGACAATTCTGTGACTACTACGCCACGTAAGTATTTAATAATGTAACAACTATTAATTGGTTAAACTTCTGATATTATGATTCAAATTTTAGGTATTCTAATCAAGAACTACGTTATTTACCAATAAACACAGTTATGTATGGTCCTCTAAAGGTAGTGGACAAAGATTTTCCTATATCTTTGAGCAGTCAGTCGGAATCAGATGACAGTTCATCAGACGACTCAAGGTATATTTTAAGAAATTTTGTTTTTATATCCAAAGACCTATTTATACTATGACGGACATCACAAAAAAACCATAAAAACTATTGAAAAAGATAATAACGCGTATTATGACTAGCAATGCTATCCAAAACAAGACCAATACTAACATAAATGTTTGCTATAAGTTAAAAACTAATTTTGCATTTCTACCAACAGTGACAGTGATGAATCAGTTGACGTGAACAATAAATTGACAAAGAACGATTATGAAATGGGACCAAGCGATAGAAAAGGAGCAGAATGTAAGCTATGTATTGGCAATTCCGAAAAGAATAGTAAAGGAACCACCGAACCATTAATTCATTGCTCGAAATGTTTATCGATATGTAAGATGTTATACAAAAGTTAAGAGTTGGGCATTATTCAAATAATTTTTTTTTTTTTTGGCTGGAGCGATAACTCAATGTTAAAGTCAATTCTCATGACATTATTTAATATTCGATTATTTATGACAAATATTATTTATTATTTGCTGAAATAAACAATTATATAAAAAAAAAAATGTATTATTATATTTAAATTTTGCCAAACACTGATGACAGTTATACTAAACCTAAACAAAAGTACTGATAAAAACTAAACTTATTTCAATTGTTTAGATCATCCAACATGCTTGGAAATGTCTTTGGAAATGATACCACATATAAAACGCTACAATTGGCAGTGCAACGATTGTAAGTCTTGTGCTCAGTGCAAAGAGGCAGCAGATGAAGATAAAATGCTGTTCTGTGACCTTTGTGATAGAGGGTAAGTTTTACAGAATGGACCACAGTTTATGTGCAGACCTCACAACAAATCAATTTTTAAAAAATTGATTCCTAAAGTTGACTAATTATCGTGTTAATATTTAGCTAATTTATCAGACCTAACTTTTTTTTTGTTACATCATGACTAATGAAATACCAAAACATTTAACTGGGTACAATTTAGGGTGAAATAATCCTGAGTATGTTACAAAATTAATAATTTATAGTTACTAATCTACACAAAGTTTTCTAGCCAGGCTAACCTTTTGTGACTCAATTTGTTATTTTTTGGTTAATTATTTTTAATTTTCAAAAGCTTAATTTTGAATATATAATATGTGGTTTCAACAAATATTTGGAATTGTTTGTGTTCTTATTAATTATAAATTCAAATAAAATTAGGTTACTATTTGGTCACGTTAATTTATCAATGTTACTAAATTTACATTTATTTTATTATATTACCGTTATAATGCCTGTTTAGGTTGTTGACTGTTAAATTTTTTTTATAGGTATCATATATATTGTGTTGGACTTCGTAAAGTTCCAGAAGGTAGATGGCATTGTCAAGAATGTGCTATGTGCAGCTCGTGTGGCATTACCGATCCCGGTCCAGGAGATTCTAAATGGTTTTATGAGGTAAATTTTTCTTCTCTAGAAAACCTATTTCTTTGGAACTACAAAGAATCAACATTATTTACAATAATCACGGCCCATGGGGGGAGGAGACTATAGCTCTAATAATCCTTGGCTATGTCAGTACTTCTTTGTTTGAACATTATGAAATTATAATTTATTTGTCTTGTTAGTTTAAGAAGGTAGAGAAAAGTGGAACGAAGATGTACAGCCGCACATTATGTACTCCTTGTTCCAGGTAAGTTGATACTGAACATTTTTGCTTACATAATACAATTTTTTTTTTAATAAATATTTTGTATTTAATATTTCTGGTGTACATACAGTTGACCAGTGTTGTTTTTTTAAACAATTATTTTTAACACTAATGTTTTAATCAAAAATAATATCAAATATTATCATTTGCGTGTTGTGGTATGTTGGTCAGGTTGTGGAAAAAAGGCCATTACTGCCCTAACTGCATGCGTTGCTATTCTATGAAAAACATCGAAAGCATGACACAATGTAACAGTTGCGATAGATACTTACACACAGGTATAATAATTGCTTTTCTCTAATAAATATATATATATATATATATATTTCTATAGTTTTTAATTTTTTTATATAATTTCATATATTTTTTTCACGTCTTTGTTATTTTGGTTACAGTTGTATATTTATTTGTTTCGACTCATTGTATTGTATTTAATTTTGATTTAAAAGATCTTCTTATAATATTATAAGAAGGTTAATTTAATAACATAATATTTCATATACTTTTTTAAACGGTTCAAGTTAAAATACAATATATTATTCATAATAGTTATGTTATTGTAAAATAACTCATCATACTCTTAAATTTTTTTTATAATTAATGAGTTTGACATCATTTAAATTGTTAAAATCAGACAAAATATATAGCTTACTTTATGTTTAATATTATTTCTTTAAAGAAAATAATAGTTAATTCATGACTAAACTTGTTTTATCACAAAATGTTGATATTGCTAATTTTTCTTACAACACACATAAGGCAAAGAAAAAAGTTATTTAGACTTTCACTATAAAAAAAAAGTATGAAATATACATTTTTCAATATATTATTGTTATTTATATTTTTTTAATATTTCATAATTTTATACACAATTTCCACTGGACTTTTTTATTTGCATACAATTGCTTAGTATGCAATATTTATTGTAAAAAATGTATACACATTTTATAAGTTAGATATTAATAGATATAATAAGTAAGGTGTAAATATTTTACTAAAACATTTTATTATGTGAATCCCCGGCATGTTATTTTTTGTATTTTGGCAATTTCCTCATTTTTTTGTAGCATGTGTACAGTTTTATTTAACGGCATAATATTTATTTTAGAATGTATCAACAAAAATGATTTAAGCAGCCAAGAAGTATACTGCACCTTGTGTGAAGAAAAAGCTGTGTCCAGGCTCCTCACTACCGTGCCTAGATCTTTAATTAAAGTCTGAAAAAAGTCATAGTTTGTTAAGCTTAATTATACATGCGTGAAAGTATTATATGAATTAAACTAAATTTTATGAATTTAAAACGCATGCATCTAACTATCTTTTGCTTTTTTTTTAACTTATAACCCTCAATTTTTATATACTTATTATTGCATTATATATATTTTTTTTTTCACATTTTATGAACAATAAATATTTGTTTGTATTATGTAATCAATGCACATTAAAATTATCAATCGGACATAAAATAATTGTAAAAGTTATATTTTCATTAGTTAATATAATAAAAATAGAATTTAAAATTGTAAACAAATTTGTAATTTCATTTTTTGTTTTTTAAGCATGAACTTTGTAGAATATTTGTAGAAAAATGTATCGGTTTTAATAAAAATATTCTTAGCGAATTCTTAAGCTATTAGTTTAAATTTGCCTCGAGTTATCAATTGGCTAATTCTATAAAAACGACCAGATTTATTTATTTTCACCATCTATCAACTGTTGATGGTGGTACATGAAAATTTATATTAAATAACGTCTATATTCATAAAGGACTCTAGAGGTAGAATTTATTTTATGGACAAATTTACAAATAGAACACGGACTTACACTGGGTTCGTTCGGTTTTTATCGAGAGTCCAGACACATCTGTCCTAATTTTTTTTTTTTTTTTCGTTTGTTAAAAATGGAATACGAAGTTGTCGAAGGGTTTCGTAAGAATAGTAAGCTGCACCATATTAACGATGGCTTTTTAAATAATTAATGAAATCTATTTTTAGATCGCTTATCGGATCACTGGTTCGGTCTGTGCAATGTAATAAAAATGGTGTGTTTTGACTGAAAAACCCGACCGCATTTGCTCCTTAATAAAAGACGTTTATTATGAAACGCTATATGAGCAATAATAGTCTATTCTGTGGTAAAACAATTAAAATTTGTTATTCAAAGCCTACTACTCAAAACAAATCTTAAAAAATTGAAACATTCATGTGGTATGGTGTACCCCGTACCTATCAAAAGAAATTATTCAAATTAATTTATAATGTAATACGTAAAACGGACAATTTTTAAGTATCTTAATTAATGAGGGGAAGTCATGTTAAAAACAGTTCCCCCTCATTGGTTCTGTATTTAAAAAAAAAAAAAAGTATCTTCATTAAAATGTCAATAAAAAGTTTATGCTTAAATATGGGACCGTGGTGATTATCTAAATGTCGAAGATTAAATAACGGCATTATTGCAAACATTTAATATAATTATTTACATTTTCTATGTTGGAGCTAAGAAAATATTTTGATCCATCTGTCGGCATTATTAAATTTGTATAGGTGCTATATAGAGAAATAACCTATTTTTAATTAAAACCACAATTACCTATAAAATGTATAAATATAATTACTATTTACTATGAAAAATTAAAAACAAAAAAGTATACATTTAAGTAGTAAGAGATGAACATTGTAATACATCTATTCATTTACAGACTAACCTTTATAGTATAATTAGTATATATTATAAATAATATTCAGTACTTAAGTAATGATTATATTTAGTTTTATTACGGTTCAAGCGGATAAAAATCTTTAACTAATCAAACAATTATCAAATTTTTTCTACAAAAATTAAACGTACATTTTGCTCGCATACTGGATAGATTAGATTAGGTTAAGGAAGGTTTTCATCTCCATTGGTCAGTCACACGACTGCTGCAGTTATAAGATTTTTTTTAAGTTTCTAAGACTCGCCTATGTATTTTTCTGTAAAAATTTATTTAGGTGGATCACATTAAGAACTTTTCGTGCAACAAAGTTGACATTCATCGTTTATTTCAAAGCTACATTCCCTATCCAAGAATGTCAACATATTATAAATTATATTTATAGGATTTATAATGGTTTAAATTCTATATCCCTTATATATGATAATACATATCTGTGCTACATAGACAATTACTTTATAATATAATAGATTGACAATTGACACAGATAACTTTAAATTAAATATAACTAGCTCACTTTTCACAAAATATTTAGATAACATGAATACAATTTTTTTTTATGGTTGTTACAAAAAACTGTCTAATTCAAATGTACTTGTAAATAGATACAAAATAAAAATACTTGGGCGTTTGTAAAAATAATAAGTAAAACCAATAACGTTTCTTGTTCTTATAAAGTATTTTTATATAAACTTTAATGATGTTTAAGAGTGCAAGAAACATAACATACTTCAAAATAATATTTTTTTATTCATAAGTCTTGATTTATTTTATTAACATAATTTCATTTATCAAAATTATTGATCAATACATAAAAATATAATTATTAGCCTATAAAATGATCAATAATAGTATTTCAATTCATTTTATAAAGAAAAATACCTATACATTATATTTGGTGATATTATTTCGTTAAACTTTGTTCTACACAATTTAACTGTATGTGCTATTTATACAAAACAAACCGACAAAAAATTATTTAAAAATAATTTACAACTATTACATGAGGAATTTTTAAACTTATCTTTTACTATAAAGAAACAAAGATCGATTATTATTCTACATATTATATATATATATAACAATTATAATAAGCAATGGAATAATCAAGAAGAAAATATCTTTTAATATTATTACCTAGCTTATTAGTAACCTTCTTGCCACTGCTTGGTATCCAACCTCGCTTGAATTATTTCCAATTGTCTTTTTGCTTCACATTGTGGGAAGTTCTGTAGATCATAATATTGTGGTGCATACTTCAATAACCATTCCGCTAAAACAAAAAACATGATAATAACACTATTAACACAACCTTGGGTTACTTCCAATTGTGTACTTTGGCTAGACTGCCATCGTTTCGGAATACTTGCACATTCCATCTTCAGAGCTGCGGTTTGTTGTTGCTCCTATCAATTACAACATCCGTATGGAACGTGCAAGTATTCCGCAACGTTAAAACCTCGGCCAAGTTACTCAAGTCACTCAAGGGAGTAACGGCAAATTGAATACATAGTGTAAAAACATTACACCACTCAAGTTTTGATGATAATAACATTTTTTAATTCAATCAAATATTTCTTTTTTAAACTAAACTTACGTTTAACTTCGCTCACTGTTCTAATGTAATTTTTGGTAGTTAGTACAAACTCATTATAAATGACCCATTCTGGCTTGTGACCCAACACTGTTGATGGATGCAACTGAACTGTTTGATTATCTTTAATAGTTAAATAATGGCCAGTTCTTTCCAAATGTGCAACCTTGGAACAATCATATTATAAAAGGTCAGTAAATAGAATATTTGTAATTTATACTTAACAACATACTTGCATAAAGAACCCAGTCGTAAGTGATTTGCGAATATTCAAGTAATAATCTTTAGAAGTAAACTCTGTGGACGTCCGTTTTAAATTAAATCGATCCATAATTCTCGATAGCTGTTGCCGTACATTATCAGCAGACTTTAACGATCGGTAGTTTATAAAATTATCGTAACACCATTGAGGGTCTTCATTACCTGTTGAATTAATTTGATTTATGCAAATCACAGTATAATAAAATTACATAACACATTTATATATATTTATATAAATATATTTCAGTGTTTATATTTAACACATTGGAGACGGCTGCCGTGTTTAGCGCAGCATGTAACAATGATATAAAAATATCAATCCTCTCCAGTATAAAAAAATTAGACCAATGTGTTAATATCTACTTTAGTAGTCTGCTGCTGTCTGTCAATTCATATTTTAGTTATTATTTACCTGACAGTTCTACACAGTAGATGTCAATGGTAAATACTCTAATGATAGTCGTTGAAAAACATCAGTTCAATTGATCAATAAAAATAATATAAAACAGTGTTACAACTTACTTTGTTTGAATGCATGATAGATGTTCAGCAACGTAAGATGATCACCGTCTATATGAGCAAATCTCATTTTTGCGTCGTCGGATGCTTTCTTTGCTTCAGAAGGTCGTACAAAACACTGAGGGACTAAACAAGACAATCGGGGGAGGCAGGCCAGACGGGTATGCCCGGATAAGGCCATTGTACCTCGTTAAATAACCAGCAACATACACCTATGTAACTAACCTTATGTTAAAAACCCTTCTTGTTACAATTTGGCATTATATAATGAAATTTTTTTTAAAACTGTTTTTGATATATAAAATATTAAAAAGTCTAAAAGAAAAATAATGGAAGACATTCTATACAAACTGAAATATTTGTAAAATGTTAAAATAGTCTACACACAATTAAAAACTTTTAAAAAAAATGTTAAATGCATAACTTGTAAAATATTATAAAAAAAAATCGATAAAAATTGTGAGCAGAGCTTTTTTGAAGAAGGGTAATCTTCAGAGAATTTTGCAAACTATTAATTTTTCATAAATTAATTAGGTATGTTTGTTGTGTTTTTTTAAATAATAAATTAAAAAATACCGTTACATACATATATAAATCAGACCATTCTTAAAATATAGGTTTAGATATTTATAAGATGTTACTGTTGTAAAATGTAATCTTGTAATTCGGATACGTACAAATTACAAAATTATTCTAAAGATTAAGCACTTGATTAGGCATAATTAAACAGCACAAAATTATAAGCTTATAGCCAAAAATCACTCTATACATTTTAATTAAAAAAATATTTAAACCATAATGCCAAAGAGTTTTAGTAGGGTTTTTTACATTATACTTCAAACACAGAACTTAAATAATATAAGCCTAAAAAATGTTTTTCTTTTTAGGATTCTGATATATCTATCTAAGTTTTTTTTTAACCCTTAAGTGCACACTAAGCAATACTGTGTACAGCATTTTCCTACCATTTTTGCACTAAGGGTACAAAACATACTGTTCAAGGTTGCATGATTTAAATTATTATAAAATGTAAGACATATTCAAACAGCTAATAGTAGTTGACACTGATAAATGAAATATATGAATATTTACTACTAAGTTTCTATAAATAAAATAAAAATTATGGAACTCACCTGACAGCATAGCTGTGATTGAAAGAATTTCATTGGAACAACTTAGTGAACAAGAAGCGATTAACATCTTGGCTAATTGTGGATCAAGAGGGAATTCGGCCATAATGTTTCCCAAATCAGTGAGATTACCATCATCATCCAAAGCAGATAAATAGTTTAAAAGCTCCAAAGCTCTCATTAAAGTTTCAGGAGCTAAAAATAAAAACAAAATATAAAAATAACTTATATGATAAAAATCTTAATATTTATCTCTTTTCTTTTAGAATTTGAATTCAATAGCAAATATAAAAGAAATAATGTTTTCAAGTAATTAAAAAAGTAGATTCAAATTATTACCAGGAGGATCCATAAAATCAAAATGAACCAAATCGTCAATACCAAGTTTCTTTAATTGCAGCACGACTGAGCCCAAATTTGATCGCAATATCTCAGGGTAAGTATTTTCCTGCATTTCATTTTTATATGCCTTTTCTGTGTACAGTCTATATTCAAGGGTTTTTAAATTAAGACAAAATAATGAGATAAAAAAAAAACTTTCACAACAAATTTAGCACCTGAAACATTTTCCTGCTCTTGTACGTCCAGCACGACCAGCTCTTTGTTGAGCGGACGCTTTACTTATTGGAGATACAAGTAATGATTCAACACGAATTCGTGGATTATATACCTAATCAATAAAAGTTAATTAGATTGAAATAATATAATTAAAATTATCAATAATAGTAAATTAAACCTTTTGTTTGGCAAAACCAGGATCTATGACAAATACCACTCCATCAATAGTCAAAGAAGTTTCAGCAATATTAGTAGAAACTACCACTTTCCGTCCGATAGCTCCATTTGGTTTATTAGGAGGAGCAGACTCGAAAATTCTTTGCTGCAGATTAGGTGGAAGTGTTGAGTACAGTGGGATGCATTTTAATTCTCCAACGTCTGGTCCCAAATTGTCAATTTCTTTTTTAATTCTTTTACACGCTTCTTCAATTTCCTACAAGATGTAAGATTTACCTACATTACAACTTGAATTGCAACCATTATATTTTAATACTTAAAAATGTTCTTTTACCTCCTGACCAGTGAGAAACAGTAAAATATCGCCGGCGACTTCTTCACACATATGGATTTGAATAACAGTACGAATTGCTGCTTCTAAATAATCTCTTTCTGGTTCTGGGGTGTAAAAAATTTCTACAGGAAATGTACGGCCAGGAACATTCATAAGGGGCGCATTATCAAAATATTGCTATAAATTATAATAATAAAATTAAATAAAACAAAGGGAAATAGTTAGTCATATGAATAAAATTATTACTTGAAATTTTCCAGCATCCAATGTAGCAGACATAATAACTAATTTTAGGTCTTTACGCTGCTTGATCACTTCTTTAAGCACACCCATCAAAATATCTGTTGCTAAGGTTCTTTCATGAGCTTCATCCAACATAATGACTTGATAGGTTTCCAACATTGGATCAGACATACCTTCACGTAGCAACATACCATCAGTCATATATCTAATGAAATTAAAAAAAAAAAATAAGTTAACGATAATATTTGTTTGAAGAATTCTAATTTTTTATTATTACTTTAAGAGGGTTCTAGCTGAAGAACAATCTTCAAATCGTATACTGTAACCAACTTCAGAACCAAGACAAACATCCATTTCTTCAGACACACGTTGAGCAACTGACATAGCAGCCACTCTTCTAGGTTGAGTACATGCTACACCTTTACGACCACAAGTCGATGAGTACTCCACACACCTAGAAAATTAAAATTTTAAAAATATGTTAACTAACAAAAATATATCTATACAATTTTTACCATTGAGGAATTTGAGTAGTTTTTCCAGAACCAGTTTCACCAACTAATACAATACATTGATTGTTTTTTAATAAACTCATAAACTCTTCTTTGTATTCAAAAACAGGTAACTGTATTCTTTTTTTGTGAAGCTCAAAATACCTGTAATATTATAATTATTTATGTCACATTATTATTACTTTTAGATAATTATATTATCTTAATTAATTAGTATCAATACTCACTTTGGAGTAAATGGTAAGCTTGTATATGGATTTGTTTGCAGCTGAGCTGATGTACTTGGTTTGATATACACTTGACCTTCGGCCCTGTAAAATATTACATTATAAATTGTTAAATTTTAAATAATTTAGCAATGCATAATAAGCCAAAGGTAGCTTAAAATTCATAATAATTTATTTGTAACATAATAAAGCCCTAAAGGCCAAACAGGCTTCTAAAAGGAAGGTTTTTTTTTAAATAATTTAGACACCAGTAAGAGTGGATAGTCTGTCGCTAGAGAATGTTAGAAAGCAACTTATTTTCAACAGTACTTATAATAACAGGGTTAACCAAATTTGAGTGATTTTGGAGCTAAGGATGAAACAACCATTCTCTGAAGAATTGTTTCATGCTAAATCTTAATTTCTTCTCAGAATTGCTCCAGCACGTCTAGTTTCTGAGAAAAGAAATTGTTTAATTGTGAACAATATTGAAACATGACATTTCCAAATGAAAAATAAGAACCATGCAGCCTAGTGCATTAATCTTGGTACGAGCATACAGTTTGATTCTCTCAAATAGCAACTACCCGAGAGCATAAAAAACCATGATTAATTGGTAGGAATTTAGAACTAAAATGTAGTATCCCACTACGTAAATTCTCAAATTATCAAATTTAGATCCATTCATTACCGTATAAAGTAAAGGAGACTTATAGAACATCCATTTCTAATAAAAATAACTCATTATAAACAACAGTACCAAACAATAAAATAAATTAATGTCAAAGATCATTCTTACTTTTTATTTTTAGTGATGTAAGGGTCAATAATATCAAGACGTCGTTTAGACATGACGTTTTTTTTTGTTGCCTAGATTTGATCAAGCACGTGATTTGTTTAACTTCACTGTTATGTAAATGCGTTGTTTGATTTGACAATGCTCCTTAGTCATAAACATCAAAACTTAAACGTTTTCATTACATTGATAATAATATTATTTCAAATCTTGTTCAAGCCGGTACTAAGTAACGCACTTTTAAGTAAAAGGTACCCCGTTCTTACACCTAGTAATTACTTACAAAATACTATACAATACCAAAACTTGAGTAAAATATAAATGGAAGACGCAAGTGAAGCCTCGTGAGATATTAAATATTAGATAATGCGAGATTTACAGTATAGCAAACAAAACATTAATTCCCTTTATGATCCGAATATTTTATTTATTTTGGTTTTGACGAAACTGATTATCGCGGCGTCCTAGATAACAGTTATCTGTTACAAGCACGATGTATCTTCTCTACATCGCCGTTACAAGTATTAGGCTGTAATATGCCTAATATTGTTTACAGTTATCTTTTTACTTTTATATTATATTTTTTGGGAATATATATATAATTTATCTGTGCCTACTATATAATACATTATATCATAGTGAATTTAGATAATATCATGTATATTATGTCTCAAATCTTTAAAATAAAAATATGTTATTTATTTGCATTTACATAAAAAGATGCCTCGTTGTAAACAGCATTCAAACTAACAATAAGAAGCGTTGGGTTTCCAAATTACTAAACGTAATATTGGGTCTGTTAATAATTTAATAATTGGCGCATGAAACACTTGGTTGCGACATGGGATATCTTGTGTATGTGTGAGCAAATTTGTGGTTTTTTATTTAAAATTACGATTATTTTTCGCTGAATTAAGCGAACATCAGGAAATCAAACATCAAAAAAAGTAACTAAAATGGAAAAATATGAAATTGTAACTTTTGCATAGGATGCTTTTTCTTATGGGAGACAGTTTATTGAATAGTATTTTTCGTTATAATTCTTAATAGTTTTACTATTAGAAATTCAGATATGTTCGTATTTTCTCGTCATCAGTGTTGCCGATGCCTAATTGATCGGTATTTTAGAATACTAAAGACACTTGATTAACAAAATAGTACCTATGTGAAAAATATATTTATTACCGTGAGTACCTAATTAATAACGGCGCTCATTAACTTTATCGTGAGTCAGCTGTCAGGCCGTCACAAATTTATCAATTTTATTGTGTAAGCACAGAAAACTATGAGTACTAAAATCGGCAATCAAAGCCTAGGAGTCAAACTCGGTGTGTACCAATATTGTTACTCAAAGCCTCTAAAAAATATATGTTTAAAAACCTTAAGCCTAGGATACAAACCATATGAGTGCCAAATTCGGTACTTATGGAATCAAATTTTTTAAAAGAGATACATTGATGTCGGCTATTTTAAGGCGTACAGCGTACTTAGTAACAAATATTTCTATTTTGTTTACTATGAGTTATTTATATAGTTAAGTGATTACTATCGTCATAGAATTCATAAGAAATAGCAAATTATATTAATCACACATTTTATAATGTTTTTCCTTACGCATAAAATTGTTATTCTTAAAATCTTAAATACTACTCAAATGATGTAATATTCACAACTCAAAATTATTCATTCGCATTTTTAAACTCGATTGTTTATTTTAAAAAGTGAAATAAAAATATTTTTTAGGCGTTTTCTTTGCACAAAGTAACCCAACTACATCATCGAAAGTGTAATAGATGCCTAACATTGATCGTTCATAAATTATTTATAATCAATGATGCCTAGTTAAAAAAATATATGGTAACAGCGCCAAATAAAAACATTCCTAAAAATATATTTACAAACCTATAATTTTTCATTGTTTTCAAAAAGACACTATGTATTATGTGAGTATAATATTTCTATGAGAGTATGAGTCATGAGATAATTCACCTATAAAAATTAACATAATATTATCGTCCAACTCATAACCACGGACTTATCACCTTGAGAAGATTTCATTAGAAAAAATCAACTCAATTTTTTTGAGCAATGATATAAAAGAGCATATTACTTACTTTGGATAACTTAAAAATTCTAGTTGAAATATATTTTAAAGTAATAAAAATAACAACAAATCTATAGGTATATCGTACAGATGAACAGATCGCTACTAAAATTTAAAACTGTAGGTATTGAATTTTCTTTAAATTACTGGAGGATATTTAATAAAAAAAATGAATTAATAATTGATTAAACAAATATATTTAAATTATAAATTCATCAGATTTATCTACAAGATTTTTGATTTTTGGATGACTTTTGCAGTTGACTTTATCACCAAGAAAATAATTATTATTTATTTAGAAAATTCATAAGACTACATAATATACAATACTAAAAAGACTATACAATATACTTGAAAACCCATAAGACTATAATAACAAAATCAGTTTGAATGTAGCGCTTAGATATACTAGCTTTATAATTTATTTAAAAAAATTACAAACTTAGATAACTAAACTTAGTTTAGATAAACAACTAAACTGGATTTTCTTTGTATAATTGCTAATTAGCCATCTATATAATGGCTGTACTGTAAAATGCATTTTTACACTTTTTTTTTATATTTTTCTAGTATTATGAATTATGAATTATTTATTGAAAAATAAAACAATGAGGTCACTGTTGAAGTTTTAGGTGTAACATAATATGATGTGAGCTAATTATTAAAGTTGATCAAAAATCACGACTAACGACAACCAAACGAAGTATTTGACCGACGAAAGTTTGTTTTCAAAACTTTTAACCTTTTAATTAAAACCTATCTACTCAAAAAAAAAATAATACAATACGACATCTGTTCACTAGGCAATGCAGCGATGAACGTTCCATCCAACCTACCTATAAAAATATTGTGAACGAGTCGTGACGGCTAGGAAAGGGAATCGGGTCATTACCTCAGCCATTCTCGATACTTCCTACATCCCATCTAGGTCAGTAAATAGGAATGCCGAATGCATTATATATAATTAAATGAACAGTATAGCATTATTTTTTGCTTTAATCTTAGGTTTATACTACCTGAAATTATCTACAATAGCGGCGTTGTCAAAAGTATACTCAAATATCTTACGTTTAATTTGTTTACTTTTTGTTTTGTTATTATCTACATAAAATCACGAAGAACAAACTAATTTTTAAATTAAATAATATGAAATGTATAGAGGTTATCTGTTAACGTCGAAGATTATAATTTTCGATTAAATATTACTTCTATTATAAAAATAATTATACTAATGTTAATATTTTTAACCCAAATTGAAATCCAAAAAAAAAAAAATTAGTTACATTAAAAAAAATAATGTTATAGCATCAGGCTATTTATTTGTCTATCTTTGAACAACATATCTTCATGTTAATAAATTACCAACTATACTTGTAAAATACTACTACTTACTATTTTCAATAATTGTTTTTGTTATTATATGTTCTATTTTATTCATGTAATTTTTGTTTATTTTTTCTGTTTATTATTATATTATTATTAATTTTAATCAATAATATAAAATATAAAAAGTCACTAATAAATAATACCAATGAACAATCGAAATGTATAAGTTAAACTGTTAAATATGAGTTTAAATTACTTTTTAATATATAATTTTTTTTATAGGTTTATAGGCTGTTGTAATGTTTGGTTAATTAAAAATTATGGCATAGTTATGTGTAATGTATTATTGATTTAACGAGTTTTAATTTTTATACTAGTTTACAATAATGTTTACGTTCGCTTGGCAGCGCAGTATTCTTCAATGAATATGATATAGCTGTTGTTAAAGGAGGAAGGATTCACGAGTCAAGTTCGGTGGGGCTCAGTCTGGGTCAGTAGAGTGCCGGACTCGAATGTGTCATCAGGTCAATGTGCTATACACTGAAATCACGGCATTATGACTTCGAAACTATCAAGATATTTAGTAAGTACATCGTTTATTTTTACATAATTTAAAATAATCGAAATGTGTTCTGTATCCTTCTGGCAATCGCATGCATGGGTTAAATATATTTTAAAATAATTTAATAAATAAACGGCACGTGAAGTATAATCTGGTATAAATGTTTTTGTATTCTACATAGTATAATTAACCAAATGTTCATTGCATACAAAATTTATTAATGCAAAATGAAGTCGTCCGATATAGTATAATATGTGAGATCTGTCTAATCGTCTACTGTTTAAAATATCTTGATTTCATTTTTTTTTTTAAAAACATATTCAATATGAAGTTCAATGTCGCATAATATGGATATAGGTGATAAGTAATAAAAATCAGGTATATGTAAAGTTTATGTAATGATTGTGTGTATTACATTTCATTTAATGAAAACTAAAAGGGTACAAGAGACCGTTTTTATTTTCTCCAATACTAGTTTTTGATCACGCATTAGTTAATGGTACTATTTTTTACCTGCAGGTAGAAGTACTTAAAATATAGTAATATACATAATAGATAGTACTTAATTTAAAATTTGTGTTCAATTTTGTAAGAAGTTATTGAAATCAACTAATGAACACAACTCTAATGAATACATTGAAAATTAAATTTGTATGTAATTGCTTACCTGTAAAAATTTATAAATGTCACTTGCATTCTTTTAATTCGCACCTCTTCAATTTTCGAAAATGTATTCTTTTGTTTTAATTAGTTCGTTACTTTTTAATATTCGTCAAAATATGTAACTCAAGTAAGTATTGGGTATAAAATAGATTTCTTCAAGTTTTATAAACAATACATATTTTAGTACTTAAATAGTGATTGTTATAGATCCCAAAACATTTAACAATATTTTTTGCAAAAGACTTAAACGCTTGTTTACAAACTTCAACAGAATTATTGAAAAACTTTTTTTATACACTTGACTAAGTTCAATAATTATACTTGTGGTCAGATAAAAAATAATCGTCTAACTTACAATAGACAATGTATAATTTCGTTCCATAGCGATTTTCTGTGACGATAAGCCACAAACATATTTATGTAACAAATGTAACATTAATGTATGTATATTTATTTACCTAATTACTTTAAAGTCGTACAAAAAGCTATGAGTAAACATTGGACTCTAAACTTAGAGTAATATTAGTAGTAAAATAAAATTATTTCGTAAAGTTTTATTTCAATTTACTAGAATTGTGGTAAAGATTTTCGAAGCTTTTGAGGTATATAATTTTTTGGAACATTAATTAGTCATTAGAATAGATGTTGAAATTAAATAAATAATTAAAGATATCATTTTGAAATCCTAGTTGAATGTTAATGTAACATACATTTTCTTTTACAATTTTATTTAACTATTCATTACTAAATGTTTACAACTATTACCACTGTCACAAATTTTTATCACTAAAAAAATTGTTGGAAGAATGGTGGAATTGGTCAGGCTTTGGTTTTAGACACTCGTCATTTTGTAACTTTATAAAACGGGAATAATTTCAATTTAACGAATCATTACAGTTTACTTGATGTCAGATTTAACACAGATAATAGCTATTTACGGATTAACAGCATTAGTATGTCTAGTGTTACGTCACGGTTTATTTGATTTCGATTTTACGCTGTATGATGCTCTAGACGTTTCTGTTTACTTCAATACCGTTTAAATTATTCGAAATCTACAATTTCAAGAATATTTTGTAACGTTTGAATGTTGTTGAACGTTTGTAATGTTATTGAAGCCGCTCTTTAGGTTGTATTGAATATACTTATTTCATGTACAATGACATAAATTATAAAACAAATTCAAACGTTACAGATTGTAATCGGAGCAATTATACTACTGTTGTGGTGGACGGTGGTTTTCACGAATTTTTGATACTATAAAATTATAAAACACTACTATGTAAAAATATATTACGTAATAATAATCTGAGTTTGTTTGATTAATCAATACTGCATTATACATATCTATTACAATAATAAGTTTGAAAAATGAACCTCTGGTCTAAAAGTACTAATGTAAATTATTAATTATCGGCAAAAACGATCACTAAAACCAACTTATTATGTAAATTTAACTAATTTTATGTTGTGTAAGAAACGACACTCTCGAGACAAAAAAATTAAGTGTTAAAAAAAGTTTATAAACAATTTAACGCGGAGCCTCATGGAAAATACAATATTTAAAACTTATTTTCCAAAATGTACAAAAGGGGAGATTGGCTATTTTAGACCTATGGTGCAGAAATAATCGTTTATTTCTTTCCTTGCATCTTTATTTCGATAGACCATATTAAAATATTCTTAAACATACAAACAGTTTTATTCCACGTTACAATTTTGGGGTTCAGTGTTATTTTTTTGAAAAAGACATTCTTTATGATTTGACAAAACAGAAAAAATTCTACTGATATCAAACCATGTTTTATTATTGACAGAGTTAACAAAAAAATACACTAGGTTTTTTGTGTTACATTTTAGCTTTGACAGAGTTAGCAGTTTTTTCTGAATTTTTAAAATCAATATGCCGTATGCCCTCTTTTGAACATTTGATAAAATCTAACCACGGTTACATTTGTAGTTTGTTACTTTTCTAATAATTGCTTGTTTTAAAAATACACCATATATATGTTTTATTATAACAAAAACAAATTAATTATGTTTCCTTTTAGCACTCGCTTATCCCTCCCCCCTTTATCTCTCTCTATATATATATATATGCATTAAGAAGCTAAACTCATTAACGGTATCTCATCTTCTTTTTGACCCAGTCTTACATTATATTTTCGTGGTCACGCCGTCATGGTATAATACCCATCGATAGAATTAATTATGTCGGAACAGTGTAGTGCATTACCGAATTTTTTTTTATAAAAAACTTGTGTTATTTAAAATTACTTCTCAATTCGCTGACAAGCTCCATTACACAGTTATGACAGCACTTAAAAAACGATTTTATTTTCATCAAATTATATTTTTTATAATAATCGTTTGTTTTCTTTTCAACAAAAAAGGAAAGGTAGGTTTCCCAGATTATATTGCCGCCGAACAATAAGCACTGCCGGTAGAACTATTGCAGAGGTGCCTGCCAATAGTAAATATTATTATACGTCGCACAATACCTAGGCAACGATGACCAATGTACTTTATTCGATGTAGCTTTAAATCCGTTATATAGTAGCGTAGTCGTTGCCCATGTATATTTCTATGTCAATCGCTCGTGTTGTGGATCGTCACACTATAATATATAATATGATGACAATGGACTCATGTTGTGTAGTATTATATTATTTATATACATATAATATATTCCATACATTCAAATTTTTCGTATAACCAATAATACTCCACGGTCAATCATAAAACCTATAGTTAATAGCCGTTTATTGGTACGTGATGGGCGAATAGTGAACACCATTGAACGTCCTAAGTACATATATTTAAGGCTATTTACAATACAACGGTTTCTAAATATGTACGTCTATTGATAATGTATGTGTGTACTGTGTACGTATAGCAATACTTTCAAAATGTAATTTGTTATTTTGTTACACTTTACAGTTTATTTTTGTGACTGTTTCACAAATACCAAGATACCCGGCTGTGGTACATCAACCTCAGACGTATTCATCGACAGATTCAACCGATTCCGGGCAGGAACCTCCGGAAGGATATTATGCTTTCATCGAGGCTCCGCGAATGGACCCGCCACAGGTCCGTCCTCCGCCTTATTTCAAGTCGACCAAATTATGCCCGGGTAAGAATAATATTAGCAGCCTATATACTCGCATAAATAATGTGTAAATTCATGGGTAATAAATGTATACACAATTCATAATATGTACTTGCCAGATGCGAACAATAACACACGCTTAGAGGAATTCACACGATTACTTGCGGTTATGTCTTAAGTCACGCAGTTGTCATAAAAAATAACCGTTCATATACACTTTTGCATTTTTACTATTGTATATGTGCTGTGTCTATTATTATACACTATAATAAATAATAATAAAATAAAACGCGACATTGTATTCTTAAATAGGGGTCAACAAGAATCCGTCAGCGAAAACGCTAAACAATTTATGCGGCGATCTCAATAAAGGTTTTTTACCGTTGAACCCAATGAAACAAAACGTACTAGGATCTCCGTACCCATTGTGAGTATATTTCAGACAAATGACAATTGAATATTATATCATTATAGAATTTCGTCAATAGAAAGTCAAATTCTTTGCGATTGTTGTTGTACTTACACAAATCGTATCTTTTATTGTAGTGAACTTATGAAGAACAAGACACTGGAGTTTTTTAGCAAAACATTGCCAATTCTCAAAGCCGACGAAACCATTCCGAAAGTGGCAAAATATGTTCCACCTGAAGGATACTATCACAGCAGCACTACTACCCAAAAATATTTACAGTAAGTAAACGAAAATTTTTTTAAAATTTTTTTAATGTTTTAGTTAATATTATTAACGCATGTTAAAATTATCTTTTTTAGAGGAAAACCATTTCGACGTAGAGCAAAGTCACATTCTCTAGATGATGTGAGCATAGACGACGACAACGACGCTACTGTAACATCTCAAAACAGTACAAGGCACTCAAGGAAATTCTGTGACACTAGTGGAGGAGTGTAAGTATATAGTAGGATATATAATAGGATTAAAATATATATTAAGTACTCACTTACTTATATTTTGTACAGTGTACACTATATAAATTCCTTCACCAATATTGATGTAAATTTGAATTAAACCAAAGAATAACGACCATAAAAAGTTTACACGATATGATATGTGGTTGGACTCTAGGCATAATTTTATTGAAACATTAAATTATTATACCATATTTACCTATATTATTAATTATCAAAAAACATAATTACACATGATTTTTAAAAAGTTTTAGTATAAATTCTGTGTGTCGTAGACATATTGAGGGCGGGAGTTTATGGCCTCCAAATAGTTATTTCGTGTAAGCGCCTAAGGAATTATTAGGTGACTAAAGATACTGCATGTCTATACAATTCTGGCTACATCACTGGTGTGCACTTTTAATTATTCTGTTTACTTTCCGTTTTATTAATATCGCTAAATTAGAAGTAATAGAAAAGAAAAGTAGTACGTATTACAGGTATTAATACATTATATTTATATAAATCATTAGTACCTACGATATTTATATTTTGATATCTAAAATGGATTATAATCTGCATAATTTTAAACCGAAACGAACAGGTTTGAATTAGTTACCTATTTTTTTACATTTCAGGTATTCCATTAAATGTTATGAATATATTATAAGTAAATAATATTTTTAATGTTATCTGCTTGATTAATTTATACATTCAGTCAATTTAGTACTGGCATATATTAAGTAGGTTCTCATAAAATATAATACAGTATAACATAAATATTTTGTGCGGTATTGTTTTTCAAATTTCTCCTTTACTTCTGTAATACGTATAGATATGAAATATCATACAGTATAGCTGTATCACACACCTGTACACACCTGTACGCGCATACCATTGCATTGTGTGGATAAGTTGTTTGTCCTGTTTGATAAATGAGTGCAGAGTTACTGCCAGTGCCTACACTGGTATCACACAGGAAAACAAGTTTAGTTAAAATTTACCCCAAGAGTATGAGAATAAATAATTTTACGATTCAGATATGTAAAAATATTTTATTGTAGCGATTACTGATTTTTTAATATCTATAGTCTATTTCATTTTTAAGATTTCTTTTTGCTAAGGTAATACGGATTCCGGCCTATACGGAGTGGAGTTTTATTTTAATACTTACTGTAATTTATAAACAATTTACACTGTGTGTAATTTCAAAATAATGTAACATACTGTAACGAGCCTGCTCGCCTAGGGGCCAATCCTAGACCGAACGGTCGCCGATGGGATCGAATAAGTGGATCTCGGCTTGAGAACGGGAAGCTACCCGTCAAGTCTCAACTATTCGTTGGGGTCAGCGCGGAGGCTATTGTCCTGTGTGTTCGCTGTCTCCCCTACCTATTGTCTTATTGATAGATGTCCGGTAAGCGTGTTTTAGGACAAGTGTTAACGGGGTGTCAAGTGTCCCCGTTACAATACGAATTCTCTTCAATAGTCAATACCAATACCCAGTAATCAGTATACTGTTTTATTTATCTCATTTTAAAACAGTGACTTATTCATAAGTTCCATTAAAATCATATTGTTTAAACAAATTATTGCTAAAATACTTTATTTGTATACAACTGTATTATGTATGCCTCGGAAAATTAAAATTTCTTGACTTTAACTTAGGTTCCACTCTATCCCTATGTGAGATTATGTGAAAGATGAAATAGAAAAGATCTAAAATATATTTCTCTAAGCAGATTCTAAGGGCAACACAAAACTCATCATCATATTTTGTAAGATCTTGATAAAACAAATTATCATTACATATATACGTTACTACATCCCATTCCAGTTGGAAATATTGCTTAAGAGGACGTCATACCCCCATTTATTAAGGAGTTATATATAGGCAATATTTTGCCAAACCTTAATTTAAAGGTTAAACTGTGATGTGTAATTATTAGTTCAGTAATTAGGATTCTTTTTAGTAGTTAATGTATTTTTCGCACTATCATAGCATCCTTGACAGCCTCACGGCTGGGGATTGAACCGTGAACCGGTCGCGCTGAACCACTAGGCCATTCAACAGATGTCGCGAAATCGGTTACGACGCAAAAATGTGTGTATCCAGCCAATAACGTATCCACGTTAAAAACTTTCACTCCAGGAAAATAATTGTATTATTTAAAACGAATCGCCTTGCATATAATTTAAAGAACATAATATGTTCTCCAAATAGCTTAAAATTATAGTGTACCTATAGTTTGCTTGCAAAGTTTTTTAAGAAATATTTTGCTAACTTCAGATTTTGTATGCTGTACAAAGCCATTCAAGGACAAGCGTTATCTGGGTTGTTAGCTCAACGTCGAACAGAACAACTGGAGTACAGGACTCGCGATCCGGCTCATGCATCTGCCGCCACCATGGACGGTCCACCGACACCTTGTCCAGCTAAAGTCGAATATGCCACACCGGTGTTCGCCCGAAACTACCAAGGGATGTGGCGTTATGTCGTGCAGATACCATACGAAGGTTACTTCACTCAGACAGTGGAAGTAACTAAATGCACGTAAGTATTCCAAAGATAGAAATTAAGTAACTATAAATTATTTATAAACAAATCTAATATGGAAACTAGTGTTTACGGATAAAAGACAGCACAGTAATAATTTGTAGACAGGGCATTTATTGTTAATTAATTGTAAAATTGTGGAGGGCAAAATTAGAGAAGGATTTAAGAATTGTTCAAAATACTATTTCTTATTGGAAAAGGAATGTATTATTATTTATTATAGATTATCTAGGGAAATTCAAAATCAATGAAAACATGACCATAACTAAAATATTTTTTTTTTGTATGCGATAATAAAACATGGTGTGAGAGGGATGACCGTTTAATAAGTCAAGCATGTGGAATATTTATTATAAAGAGAATCAGAAATTGCATTGTCGAGTGTAGTCCATGCTGTCACATGTCTAAAAATTCTCAGGAATTAGAAACCTACGAATTTTTCTTGTGAATTATTTGGAAAATGAGAGATTTATTAATTAGGATTAAATATGTCTTATTAAACTTAAAATATTAGGATAGTATGTCGGATATATGAGTAATATATATAATTAGTAATAATAATATTTGTGTTTGAAGATTTTCATTACTTTACCCCCTGGGAAAATATAATGGCGTAGAATAACAATTAAAATTAAATATATTGTATATTAATCAGTGTTACTGTTAAGTCAACAGTAACACTGATTAATATGTAAACAATAAATGACAAAAAAATGAGTAAAATAATAAAATATTATAGTAAATATAATATTATATAAAGTGATGTTTAGGGGAAATTGAATGACAATATTTCGAAAAACTTTATTTATGAAGTTAGCAAAACGAAAGGATAGCCAATCTGGCCTATAATTATCCAATTGTTAATCGAATAGAAAATTACACAGCATATAATGCTATTAATACAGAATAATAATAATATTTTATTTCTTTTGTAAAAATTTGCTTACAAAAACTATTATACTGTCAGTAACTACTACATCGAATATAATTTTTTTTCACCCACTTTTGACTTTCTATTACCATTTGCCATCTATAATAATGTATTTATAAACGGTTGTTATTTTCTAGTTCTCAATGTCATAGAATTGTATTCTGCACGTATAGTTATTAACAATAAATTATCATTTCTTATTGTATTCTATTTTCTTTATCCAATCAAATTAATTTTTTTATGTACACTAAAAATAATCAACTTTTATCTTCAATGCGAAGCTGAGGAGATATTGTTTTAGCAATGATATTATATATATTTGTTATTTTTATTTTGTCTCTAGATGTCTGATTGTTTTTAGACACATGATATTTGGACACACGCTGAACGAATTTCTTCATGTAGCAAGTCTATATTGATCAGAAGTTATTAACAAAAGGTTCTTTATTGGCTTACAAATTTGAAACTTGAAGGGGGAGAATGATATAAAAAAAAATTTGTATTTTTTAACTAAAAATTATGGCCTTCTATAATTTTTTAAAAATTGTCTAATTAGTTCCAATTGTGTAAGGGATATTTTCTATATGTAGTACTGTAAGTACGTTGACAAACAAAACCATTTCCCCTAGGAGGGGTTGAACTTTCTTCTTTATTTTACTTTTTTGAAAATAGTTTTAGGACTGAAAATGATAACGGAAGTTAATCTGATTTAGGTTAGTAACATATACAATTTTCTCAAAAATCTGTAGTCAACATAATTTTGTATAAATCAAACCCAAAAAAAAAGGAAGAGATTACACTTTAATTGTTTTTAAATTCCAAATTGCTATCAGCTATGCGTGAAAAAATAAACAGTTAGCTTGAAAGTATGTTTATACTTTTTTTCATTATATTGTTAATTACGATTTATGGGTAACGACGGCAAAAAATTATGATTGACGGATGATCGACTCTTATTGTATTCGGCCTAATACTTAAAGTACTATTTTAAGCATATTATTGCCATAAATTAATTTTTATCGATATTTCATAATAATACCATCTGCGGATTCGCGTCGAGGCATTTTAACAGATATAGTCTCCACTGTGCTGGCTTTTTAAAGTGAAATTTTTAATGTCGTGGTAAGGTAAATTAGGAAATAGGAACGTGATGAAAAGTGAAACGCTCAGGAATGGGGAGACGTTTATCATCTATTATTAGCTGATTAATAATCTCTTACCAGTTATATGGAAATTATCGTTTTTTCCTCATCACTTTCCCATACCCATCACTTAGAGAGGTAGTCCGAAAAAAATTAAATGTGGTTTATAAGATGTTCTTATGGCCAATTTCTAACTAGAAATTTCCTATTCCTATGTCTTAGAAGTCTAACTTCTTACACGTCTGGCGACGCACCGCTGTGTTTTTTTTTTTGTTATTAATTATATTGCTGTAAACGGTTTAGTATTATAAATTATAATATAATTCCATACCTTTAAATCAAATATTTAAAGAGTTAAAAATTGTTTGTTTTAGACAATCTAAATGTCATTACATTGATGGCGGGTGTTTGTCGTCGCCGAGATGGGTGAGTTTATTAGTTGCAGAAGTATATTACCCGGATACGTATTTGCCATCCGCTTCCAACAATATTGGACGACGACCACCACCAGTATTGTCACAAACACAAGGTCATCGAAACACTGACGATCCACCGCCAGTACAGGATTTCCAGAACTTTCAACAGTACTTACAGAAGCGTACCCCCCAAAGTACAGGTGATAATAGTATGTCGCCTTTGCAAGGATCATCTACTACAACACCAAAGAAAAAGTCGCACTGCGACGGTATCGACGAACTTGGATGTTTCCAGGCAAGTTTAACCTATTTACCTATGACGCCAGTTATTATGATCCTGTAAAAAAGTTAACTCTCTTTTTCAATCATTCGTTCTCTTTCATCAAAAACTGATTGATTGTTGTTAACTTTTTATATTGTAAAATACCGGGTGATTGGTTAACTATATAGTCACCCTGTCATTAACTTAGATATTAGACTTTTTAATTTTTTTTTTATACATTTATGGTTATTAGTTGAGACAAATTTCATACATTTTTTTAAAAATATAACCCCATCCCGTATATATTAAAACCGTATGAACTTCAGTTTTATAAAAAATAACGTACATATTTGATCAACTTTTTAAATTATGAACAATTTGCTGAATATTTTGACTCATCGATAATCAGTTTAGGAAAATTAGTTTCAAAGTTATTTAAGTTTAAAATTTAGAACGGGAGGAAAAGTGTGGTTGAATGCTCGCAGATAAAATATATCGCGCAGATAATAGTAGAAATATCTTTACACTCCACCCCTCCTCACGTCCTAAATTTTAAACTTTATCCAAAACTGATTATTGACCAGTTAAAATGTTCAGCAAATTAAATCGGATTGCATGCAGTCTGTTTTTACGTTAGGATATAATATATTGTCCAGACTAGGACTAGCTAAAGAACACGTCAAGTCGTCACACTTACGTAATACTTTTTAAAGCGTTTTTGAAAGTTAATTTGTATATATTTCTTAGGATATGGAGTATCTAGGATACTTTAATGGTAGGCATTTTTTTTAAAGTATCATAGCTTTTAAAAATAATGATTTTTTTTTTATGTTGGTATATTTCAACGTCATTTTGTGTAAGGGAAAAAGATTGTAAAAAACGCTTAAAATAATTACCACTATATTGTATAGGTAGTTTGCAAACAAACGTAACTAAATAACTGATCTACATAAATTAGTCGTTTCCGGCAATCTACCCGGTTTGAAATTTACAGAATGACATTATAATAATTAAGCATAAAAAGTTAAAAAAAAAAGTTAGTACTAATGGTAAAGCGTTAAGTGTGTCACACTTTATAATATCTACACCCCAGAGAGTAGGTCATTACTGCAAGCGGACGCCGATAAAGGGTCATCGACTCGTGTAAATACTTTGAACGTACTAAGGAAGTACACATTATTAAAATATAATCCAATAATAATAATAATAGTTACGAATGTAAATTAACTAAAGATTTTAATGTGTGTTTTATTGAAGAAATGTACAACTCACATTTATCCATTCTCTTCTAGTCCTATCCAACAACAGAGTGATTGTTTAGAAAAACGGATAAAACCTGAATTAAAAAAATATCAACATACTTTATGTCAAACAAATTTTTATATAATTTTAACAAAACTATGGAATTTATTATTTTTTTTTAAATTGTTAATGCCTAATTCATTTTCAGGTAAGACTTTATTACGACTGGTTTTTAATTCCTGGGAGTTGTAAATGTTGGAGACCAGATTACTTTTCCAGATTCATTAAGAGGAAAAATACATCGCCTGAATTGTAAAATATTTTAAAAACTAATATTTTATTTTAGTTTTAATTGTAAATAATAACAAATGTCAAATAGTTACTTAATTAATGCACAATGAATGTACAATTTACCACGTTTTAGAAGTAAATTTGTTTTACTGAATTGTTCTTTTAACGTTTTACTATGTAGTGTACTATTTATAATAACAAAATCATAATTTTTGATTTGCAATAGTATATTGTGTATTCCAATTTCTATGTAGGTTTAAAACATATAATATTGTCTTGCTCAATGTATATTGACAAAATACCTACTATATTTTAAGTCCCTTTATTAAGCTTTGTAAATATTAAATTATTTATTTATAAAATACGTACCTAATTTTGATTTAGTAAATATTGACTGTAATTTATTGCACTTTACTTTAAGAAAATATTATATTTTGTTCGAAAGATAAGAGGGCGTTATGGCATTAAGTATTTAGTAGAAATAAGATTCACTAAACCGTCGTTAATTTCAATATAACCTACTTTTATATACATATACGAGTATATATATATATATATATTGGGACGGTCCTTTAATTTGACATGGGCATGGGCCGTCATTTGGCTCCTAATATTAAAAAAATATTTCTCTAATTTTTTCAGATTTTTATTTCATTCCTTTAGTCTTTCTGTTTGCACATCAAATGTATGCTGTCACGCAGTCCAGCCCAGCGGCCCACGCCAAGTGTACACATTTGATGTGCAAACAGGGAACTCATGTGGATGAAATGAAAATCTGAAAAATTAGAGAGATATTTCATTAATATTTGGAGCTGAATGGCGGTCATCCAACCCAATGTCAAATTTAAGGAGCATCCTATAAATTAATAATGGTGATTGGAGGGACGATAAAAAAATGATTCAATAGTAACAATGTATACTAAAGATTTTTATATAAATAAAAAAGTCAATGAGTTATGGAATTATTGAAATTGTTGCTATTATATCATAATGTCCTTTAAATGAGTTGAATATCGTTTGATGAAAATTAATAGTTTTATATAAAATTAAATGTAAATTCAATTAGATATCATATTTACAGAAGCGCTGTTGTGTGTTGTACTAAATCGTTTTAGTGTTTAACTTTATTCTGTTTAAAAAAAAATAATTATTTAAAAATAATTTAGCGTCTTAACAGCGTTATGGCTGGTGTTAAGATAACCACGCTATGTATGATAATTGAAAAATTGCTTGACTAAATCGTCCATTTGACATGATGTAAAATTAATCTTCGTCTTAATATTATTAAATGAGTGTCACGGAATTGCATCATAATTCATACAAATTTATCTTTTTTGGTCTTTTGATAAAAATCTTAACATTTAATATTAAGATCGTTTTTGTAAAATATTCTAATAAAAACATCATAATAATAACCACCCAAGTATATTAGTAGTATATTGTTTTCCCTCTATTCCAATAATATGATAAATCTTTTTTTTTAAATTATTTAATAAAATTTAGTTACACTTAATTTTTATTTTGTGACTTAAAAAAAATATATGGCTCATCATTAAAACAATCTGTTACAGCTTCGCATGGACGATAAAAGATAATTGTACTGAATTATATTTCAGTAATCTAATAAATTGGTTAAGGTACATAGAATATAATCACAAAAAATTAAATTTATAATTTATTGTAATAACTAAAATTGCAGAAGTCAGAACCCAATAGTAATGGTAGAGTGGGATAGCCCACCGTTTATCTCGAGTTCGAAAAATTGTTTCTCACAAATATTTTGCGGCACTAATATCAGTTGGCACTAAATAGTAGTACAGTTGACGGCACGATGTAGAGAATCTTCTCTACATCGTGGTCGACGGGTTAAAACTTTTCAGTTGGCTGCACTGCATCATTTTCCGATAGCGTTATCATTATTTTATCAGATTAAAATTGCAACATTGGTTATTGCATTTGCATTTATAGTTTACTACGATACTATATTACACAATAAAATGCCGTTGATTAATTGTTTTCTAATCCACGATATACCTTAATAAACCTAATAAATGTTGACTCATTATGAAGTTATTCAATTATGAGTTATGATCATTTTTTAGCACTTTGATATAAATTACGCATGCGAATTAATAGCTAAAATAAATTAAGAAATCTAGTGTTAATAATTTTTTTAATTACTCCCAACTCGTTATAATCTACTTTAGAATGGAGGGAACATTGAGCAAATGGACAAATGTTGTTAAGGGATGGCAATATCGCTGGTGTGTGCTAGATGACATTTCTGGGACACTATCGTATTATACTGTAAGTACAACTCGTTTTCTACAAATTACAACATTAAAAAATCATCAAATACAATTTTTTCCAACTTGAAGAACTATAAAAGTGGATGATAAATACCAATTCAAAGTAAATATTTACTCAGGTTTCTTTTTCTCCTTAAAAAAATTTTTAATTATAGGATTAACTAGGTGTATTGATTAATATTTATAGTTTTAGTTGATAAATATAATGTTTTTGGGGGGGAATTAATAATCCACATTGTCCACAAAAAATGTACAAATATTTAAAATATGATAATTTGTTTAGTGAAAATGTATGACATTTATAACTTCTACCCAGATAGGTAAAATGATTTTAAATTTTTTAATTTTTATTTATCACTTAGCTTAATTTTTTATTTATATAATACCGTGAGTGTAATATACTGCTAATAATATTTCTTACATTTCTAAAATTGTTATCAATAATTTAAGTATTTGTAAACAAACACTATTTTGGCTTTAATCCAAAGCAACAGTTGTCATTGACATTAGACCTTTTCTTCCAACTTATTTTATTCATTGAATTTTTCTAACCTAAGCTTTTGATTTATTATTGAATCTTACATTATATTTTTTCTTAAACAAAGTATTAATATTTAGTACTGAATTTCTTAACTCCTAAGAGACTAAAACAATAGCTATGAAACATTAGTATTTTAAAACTTTTTAGTATTTGCTAAATTTACTATCAAAATGAAAATGGTTTTTATTTAATAACCATTTTTACTAATTTGATTTATTATCAACATGCCCAATAATCAAATGTAGGTGTTATAATATAAAATAAATAAGTATTTCCATAACCTAATACAGGGTCTTATTGAAAATACATAAATTTAAAAAAATCAATTGTATGTTTTTTAAAACAATAAAATGCAAACTTATCATGCACTGATTTAAAAAAAGAAGTACAAGCTAAACATTTAACTACCTATATATTTAATGAATATAAAAACAAAATTTTAAATTTAAAAAAAACATTCAATGTATAATACATTCATTATATATTACATAAGTGTCTTTTTTACGCTATTTTAAACTTACTGTTACAATTTTGTAATATAGCGAATGAAACAAACTAATTTACTATTTGATTTTTAAATTGTAATTTCTAGTTATTAACATATGTGAGTAAACTATTTTTAAATAAACAATGTTTGAGACAAAAGCATACATCTATAACAGTGATGATAACATAACATTATGCCTATATTGGTCTCATATAACGGTTGTAGTTAAATGTTGTTAATTATTACATTACTCTTTTAGTTAATTTTTTAGGACTGTTTTAAGCTTAGTTCTTTAATGTACTTATTTCTATACAATTGTACACTCAAAATATTTTACAAAAAAAGTTTTCACAATTGTTGGCATAACATACTGCAATAAATAATTAAATTGTAAAACAAAAATTATGTGTGAAGTGTTTATATGAAAAAATAGTTACAAATTTATTATAGTTTTTTAATAAATATCGGTCAAATGTGTTACATAATTTTAAAAATAAATTAACTAAGGTAGCATTTTGAATTGATACTTGACTAAGTATAAATATATTACTAGTATCTTAATACAACTTTTTATTTAGATTTTCCTATGCAATTAGATTCTACAGATTTAACTTTATTATCATATGTTTTTCTGTAAAATCTGTAAAAAAGATAGAATAAAACCAAAACGTCGGGTACCATACCATACGCATACCAATTAGGCATAGAACAACTAGATGACGCAGCTTGAAGTGTATGAGCCACAAGAATACCAAACTGAACCTTAAACATATTAAAAACAAAATGAGTCTTACTGCTAAATGTGTATCATTCATATAAACATATTTTAGTAATTACCATTTGTAATATTGTAATATATTTTTTAAATTTCATTGCTTGCTTCTGGTATGATGGACCTAAAGTTGCTACTTGATAATAAGTGTACATAATAATATGCACAATAGAGTTGACCAAAATTGGAAACGAAGCCATGCCACCTGTTACATTAAGCAGTTTTTAACAATTTTACTTTATATTTTAATTAATAATAATTTTTTTTTTAAATTATTGGGCTTATCACAATTATTTAGCATAGTTGCATATAAAATATATAGCAAATTTGTCAGACCATTATGATGCATGGTGTATTGTGATTCGTGTGTTACAAATATTTAAATATTTCTACTTAGTCTTCTTGTCAGATATAAATTTAAAACATTTTTGAAGATAAAAGAATTAAAACATTTTAAATTCAAAGACAAATTGCAAGTAGGACTGTGTGTGAACAGGGTTGTGCTAAAAAAAGACAGACAAATTAGATATTTACTCTAGGGTGGCATAAATAAAAGAGACAACATTTCATAGTAATGATGTAAAGGAAGGGGATGTAGTTGCGGTGTCAGCAAAAAAGTTAAAACATCACAGGGGGTGTTAAATGAGCCCATATTTTTATGTTAATATTTGTTTGATAAAGATTTCAACTTTTTTAGCTCAATGAAAATTTAATTTCACTAACTTAATACTTAATTAAAAATATTGTATTAAGCTTGTCATAACAAAGTTAAAGCACTTAAATAATTAGTTTGCCCAACATTTTAATTTTTAACTAAAATGCTTCTTGTCTTAAGTAATTTTTGTCGTGAATAACCAAAAAAAAAAATATTCAAAATAATTATATTTATGTTCTTTTCATATCATTAAAAATAATTTAAATATTTGAATCCATTGCCTGTAAAACCCAATTTATTTTTGATCTCTTTTTGGATACATAAATCTGTATAGAGTAGAGACAGATTATTTTAAGTAGATAGGTTAATCAATTGCAACTCATTTTGCAATTGTCTCGTAAGTCCTTTGTGTTATGACTTTACAGTTATTTTGAATTTAAAGAAACCAATGATTGGTTAACTATGCTCCAGTCAATATCTTAGAAGATGTACAACTTTTTTAAATAATTATTTTTTATACTTTTGTAGTTAATTAGTTCTCCTAATTTGAATATTTTTTTTATAAATATGTATATAACCCTATCCCATATGTGTTAAAACCTTAAAATATACGTTAACATTTAAAAATCTTAAGTTCATAAGGTTTTAACAAGTAAAAGAGAGGGTTATATTTTTCAAAAATATATATCAAATTTGGGATAGGTAACGAATTATAAAAGTATAAAAAATAATAATTTAAAAAAGTCCATTACCTCGGGTATATCTTGGGTTGGTAAAACAAATTTAAACTTACATTTTTTATTGTGGTCAATATTTGTTTAATAATAACGCAAAAAAATAATCAAAACTACTTAATATAATCTATATAATATATTTATATAGATTATGCTACCAATAATGTTTTTTTATTATATTAAAAAGATAATTGCTTTTATTATGTTATATTTACTTAGAAAATAGTAAAACATTTTCCTACTTACCGGGAAAGAATTTTGTAGCAGCCCAGGCTAAAATGAAAGTAGACGCATGATGATAAACGTGAAGACCAGATACTTGTCTTGTTTTTTTCCGCAGAATAAAAAATATCTATTAACATTAAAAATGTTATTATTGTTCTTTTTTTGAAACAGCGATATTATGTATATCACTAAACAATTTTAGTGTAATCATTTGCATAATAATATTACAAATGTTTACACGTCAAAAAAAGTAAAATAATGCACTTTTAAAAATTTGTTTCTTTGTAACTACTATTGTTCAACATTTCATATAAAATCAACTCAGCAAATTTTTTTCGTAATTAGAATTTTTAAAAAATGATGGATTATTATTTAGGTATATAAGTAGAAACACTATCTCAAGTATTTAACGAAATTTGAACTCATTAAGTGTTTCTTTCATAATATATTATTACTTATCTTAATAAAATAAGAAATATGAATAAAAAACTAAAAATATGAGAATATTTTTTTGTAATTTATTAATTTCGAATTTGACGATTATTAAATTATATGCAATATATTCCAAAAAAAAACACGCAAATTAAATGTTTGCGTGATTACACAAGGATTTTAGCCAACTAAGGTTGTAAAACTATAAATTATAAATGAGGAAAAAAATACATACCGTTTCGGCGAATTCTACTAATTTCAACATGTACGTCCACCAGAATAATTTTGTCAACTATTTAATATATTAAGCAAAATACATGATATACAATTTTATATTTTTAAATACGTATAAAATATGAAAGATAACTTACTCGAGCTGAGTAAGGGTTATCAGAAATAATTGGTTCACATCCCAGCGTATATTGAGTTGTCCACCCAGAAATTAGGATCTATAATATTTAAAATATGTCATTTAAATAGGTTCCAACCCGTATGTATGTTTTTGAGTATATGACTAATCATTATTACTTAGTATATTTGTATTTTAAATCTAAAGTCATAAAATTAATGATAGATATTATTCGAATATTCTGGATTCGAATTATTTAAATACTTAAATTTGATTTAACTCTTTGAAGGGGAAACATTGTGCCAATAAAAGGCCAGAGGCAAGCTCAAAATAATAAAATCGGCATAATGGTTAGATTAAAAAAAAATAGGATACAAGTGAGAAATCAAAATAATAAGGAACAATATGCTCTAATGGTGTGTTTAGTTACTATATAGACTATTTTATGTGATTATCACATTACTTTAACCACTACCCCTAAAGGCCATAACAAAAGTGATAAATATACTAAACAATGCCTCTCAAAGAGTTCAATAATAATAACATTATTTAAGTACAGATTAGGATATATCCAAGTAGGATTACAATTTTTAATTACTTAAATCTACTCTAAAATCTCAACATTTAAACACGAATTATTATTTAAATACTTTCCATCTTTATTTAAAATATAAGAAAATATCAATAACTTACCATATAAAAAATGATTATGCATGCTGTTAATTGCAATACGTTATACACTTTAATAATTGTCATTAAATTATATGGCTTTCTATTTTCCATAAATTTCGGTCCCAAATACAGTACAACATATAAATACACAGCAACACATGTTAAAGTTGGCGTTATTCCTTGAACCAGCGGCCACTCATTTGTTCTTGAATCTGTTAATAAAATGCGTGTGTGTGTTATAGGATATTTATATAAATTATGGACTTTAAACGTTATGGTATTCTATAAGTTTACTTTTGTAACATTTTGCTATAAAATGAAATTTTGTATGATGAATATTAGTTATAATTTACTAGTTCTTCTTTTCCTATCTAATAATTATATAGATGATTTAAGAACTATAAAAATCAATGAGATAAGTTTCCTTTTTGTTTTCAATCATAACATTTTTTTACGTTGCTTATTTGAATAATTATGTTACATAGTATGTTTATTATACTATTAAAGATTGAATAATGTATTTTAGTAATTTTAATGCTAATTTTAATATGGACGTTTTACGAATTAAAATTTAAAATTGAATACTTTTAATTTTGAATTTAATCTCAAATTGACCATTTATTAAGTATAAAAATTGAACGTACCTCCAAATTTATCGCAAAACTCATCAAGGTTTCCAAAAAAATGTTTAACTGCTTCCATTTTAGTCCCGTGTGCTCACTTACAATGCATTTATCCAAATACTATAAAACAAACCGACTTCTGCATTTAACTTTATACTTAATACTTCAGTTACGTACCCGAGTAGAATAACACCTTTTACCACCTACACCAGGACATTGGTTTAATTTATTGTTATACTGAATATATTTGTTCTAAATTGACATAATTTCAGTAGCCCCGCCTTTTATGTTTTGTTAACATAATGTCTACGGAAATTCTCATTTAGGTACGACACAACTTTTATGTGTTGTATAGGTCACACAGGCATAACTAAGTAGGGACTTAAAGCTAAACATTTTTATAATTTACTCTTCGGGAATTTATTTGTGTATAAAAAAAGCCAGTATAGTGGGGATTGAGCATATTGGGGCGGGGGAGGTCGTAGGTCTATATGAATTATTACATTTGAAAGTGATAAAATCACTTCCATATTTAGTATAAGGGTGAATACGATTAGGGTGACCGTCTATATATACTTCTCTATAATAATTTATTGCCGTTGTTACCCTTACATCGTATATAACAATATACCTATTAAAAATATTTTTATTATCTGTGGACGTTGATTCACTTACACATAGCAACCTATCAATTATCTACGGTTAAAGTGTAGTTATCCTTTTTTTTTTTTTTTAATAAAAAAAAAAGTTGACTATAGATTTTCGAGAAATTTGTTTCCGATTTTTCGACTTTTCTATGAAATTTCACTCCTTTTTTTTTTTGTCTAAGCGTTTTTATGGAGAACCCAATTTGAAATTTTTACATAATTTGTAAAATTATATTAAAAATTTCAGAAAGCTGAAATTATTTCACATAAGAATCTAATTTTGAATACATTTTTTTGTTGGCCGAAGATATTATAAAAAAGTAATAAGAAATAAGTGTCTAGAAAAAACTAAAAATACTTTTTACGACCATAACCAAAATAATAGAAAAAAACCATAAAATAAGGATATCATTATGAAACTAAGTGCCTTCTTCTCTATCTACTAAAAGCCTTTCCTTGTCGTTGCAAATCTGGTTATCCAATCTTCTCTGTTAAAAGCCAGTCTTTTCATGTCTACGTATACAGTCCGATTACAGTCAGACATGAAAAGACTGAGGAGCCAACATGGAAAAAAGAGGTGAACAGTCCTCTGACTAAAAAAAGCTTGAATGCCAATTTGTACCCTTATTTTTTACCGTGCTACATTTATACTATACTGGTCTACCAGTAATTTCAAGATCATAAGCATGTCCAAAGTTCTATTACATGTATTGTTCTAGTTTTTCGATTTTTTTTTTTTTTTGTGAAGATGTATGTATATTTGCCTTAAATTAGACATGGCGTTCGATAGCCGTTATTCGGCTCCAAATATTGGAAAAATATTTCTCTAATACTTTCAGATTTTTATTTAATTTACTTGTGCCGGGTTGTACCAAATATTTATACAGAGGTAAACTCGTTTAACTGGAGTTAAAATAAATTCTGTTGCATAAACCATGTTTAAATTGTATCTGTTGTTAAAAATGTACTTTATCACGAGTTAAATTACATGGCCATTTATCGCTGTGTAAAAACGTATGTATAGTTAAATTTTGTTATTAATAAAATTTTGTTTTTCTTAAACATAACAGAAATGTCAAATGAATGATGATTTACCATCAGCTTATCATTGATTAGACCCTGTAATCTGTATGATGATAATATTAACTCCTACTGCTGATACCATTTATGATAACCAGTATACAGGTAATAACCTGAACATAAAACAACGATTGAGTAGCACTCGTAAATTTAATACATGGTAATTTAACAAACGTAAGTTTATTACGGTGGTAAATAATTTACTAATAGATAACGACAAGTTTGGGGCAACCGGACATTGCTCTTCCTCACAGAATTGAAACAATTAGAGAAATATTTTTTCAATATTTGGAGATGAATAACAGCTATTCAACGTCATGTCAAATTTAAGGACCACACCCATATAATACATGTATTATATGTAAATACTTTTTTAGAGACGGGATGTCTGTACTTTTATTGGAGAGGCAGGGTCCAAGTGTAAACTTTTTCCATACAATTTGTTGGCATGTAAAATATTAATTATAATCTAAAAATATAATATTTAATAAAATAATATTTTTTATGTACAGTACAACAAAGTTGAGAGTTGGCAGTATGACCCTTTATAACACTCTTTCCCTCCTCTATTTGCGTCCATACACGACACCAAAGTAAATTTGTATTGACAGAAAATATTTCTTATGCATTTCTTTGGTTCAAAGGTTTAATGAATATTTGCGACAGTTAAGTACAAAACAAATTCTATATCAACAGTCTATTATTTATATTGTTTTTTTATTCGTAAATTATATTTAAATAAAATAAATTATTATGTTTCAAACAAATATCTTAGAACTTCTTAATTTTTATGTACAGCAAAACAAATTAAACGTTAAAGATTATATATATTTGTTTTATTTAACTTTTATACATTAAATTAATTGAATAACAGAAAATGTTTTGAAAGACGTATTACAGTACAAATGTATTTATTAGAACCTTAAGTATCTTACAATGTAAGATTATTAGCACGGCATTCTTAATTATGATAAATCTAAATAGTTATAATTTACATCACATAACATTCCTTAACTAAAAACAATATGTAGTTGTCACGCGAATACAATTTGGTACTAAAAAATATTCTAGAACAAAAAGTACTATTTATATAATTATTCTTTATCAACTTTTTAATGGCTACTTACTTCTACGCTTGTCTGTAAAATAAATAAGTTTTTAAATCTAATAGGTGTACATTTAAAGCATTAAAATTGTATGAAAGTTGTTATCTATGATAATAATAAATATTAATTTACATAGCATGAACTATATATAACTTAATGTACATGTTTTTAACCGGACATATTTAAAAATAAGATTTGATAACATTATATTGAATCTGAAGTACCTAATTTATTCAGCTGTGTTTATTTTTTCAATTACAATACAATAATGAACTACATTTTTTTTATTATAATTATACAATGTATACCTATTTGTTTTTATTAACTAATTAAAAGACAATTATTTTGTTTTTTACGTAATTTTTAAGTGTTATTAACGTTTTTCTTTATACTTGTTACTATTACCGTTACGGTAATCAATAGGTCTTTCTGAATAGGATTTCTTGTAAAAGTTATAAAACATATAGAATACAATAAAAACATTAGGTATAAACACCAAACCGTAAATATTAGGTACGCTGCATTCGGGAGCCAAGAAAAATAACGAATTGACAATTAAAAAACAAAATTGTACCTGAAAAAAAATTAAACAACAAAGGTCAACAACTAAATATGTGTAAAACATTTTTTCTAATGTTATGCCATAAATTATGTAAATGTGTTTGATACAACAAAACTTGAATTAAACGTATATATACACTGCACCTTTACATAAAACTACATATACTACATGATAGTACTTGTGGAGGTCATATAATAAAAAAAAACATTTTCATTTAGTATTTAGCAGTACTATAATATTTTATATACCTTATGATGAAAGTGTAAACTCTAGTATATTGAATATGTGTTGAGTAACTTCCATACGCTCGCATTATAAGATATTATATATTTCTTAATAAATATATATCCGTGCGTTAACCTGATCTATCGAGTACTGATGAACTAATCATTTAAAAATAATCACACAAAAAATATGCAAATTTGTTTAAAACGTTTTTTACTGCAAATTCAAAACTGATCATATTTTTGTTACGTCAACTACAACCCGTAAAATTTGACCAAATATGTTTACAAAGTTTAATTTCTTCGTAGAACCTCAAAATTATTTTATCATTTATCATTTTGAACATTCATGTAAATTAAATTTTAAATAGGTGCCTTAAGAAATCTATAAAAAAAATGTAGAAAAAGATTTTTCTTTTGAATGGTATCCAAATTGTCACATTGCCTTTATAAAATATTATTCATTTTAAAATTATTTTTTAGTTTTTTGTCCATAATTGTAGCCGCTATTACGCCAACTCATCTGAAGATGGTCCCCGGTCCAACTAGACAAAAAATCCTAGTAATTCAAAAGGCCGCCGTTTTTTTTAAATAGTAATTAAAGAATGATACAAGTAGCAATAAAGACCCTTTTAAAATAATGTCCCATAATACAAAAGTTAACTATCCTACAGGTTTGAAACCCAGATTAAACCTTTTCTAGCCAGTCTATTGCTATGTATTGCATTAGATATGTGCTTATTTGATATAATTTTATCTTATATATTATATGTTTGTATAAATTTATTTTACTAAATAATTTCATTTGGTGATTATAATTTAGACAAATTCGTTTTACTTTGGAGTTTTTAACTTTTTTTATAATTTAAATTAAGTTTGATACATTTAGAAAAATAGTCTACATTTCTTAGACTAGGACAAGGAATATTTTTTATTTGAGGTGAATAATACCTAATTTTACTATTTATATTTATATATTTACCATTTGTATAATAGTTATGTACTTCTTGTAGCTATCAATCTTTTTTTGTATTTTCGGACCCATTGAAGATAACATGTAATACGAATACATGACCATGTGAACTATACAGTTTAATATTACTGGTATCCTCACAATACCGCCTAAAATATTTAAAAAATATATATTTATATAATATATACTATGATTTGTACATCTATTGAGTATTAATATTAATAATTCGATTATTATTCACATTTAAGTAGTTATATTAAGTCTCTAATGTATTTTTATTTTATTAATGATAATAATAAAATAGAGAGTTCTGGGGAACAAATCTACTTCACCGGGCACTTTTTTTTTCGATTTTTATATTTAAATCGATAGTACTTTTAATGCTGATTACGAATCATTTTGCCCCGCTCGCACTTAGTTTCGAAGTTACAGACGTTTGAAGATCGCCGATATCGACATCGCGGGTGACCGCCGGACGCCGGTACATATCTACACTTTATTTTTCGATTTTATATAATCGTTATCAGACAAGGGTATTAAGGGGGAAAAAAGGACCCGACAGGCCGAGGAATGTAGACCCATCGGCAGTGCAGGTAGACGTCTACCGCCGGGCGTCCTCGTATGTCGATTGCGGCGATCTTCAAATGTCTATACCTCCCAAACTAAGTACGTCCGGTTCGGTTAGGTTATGTTAGATTCGTACTAATCAGCATTAAAAATACTATCGATTAAAAAAAAATTCGGAAAAAGGGTGATTAGTAAGGTACACTTGTACCACAATTTTTTATTTTAAAATGATTAATCAATTTTTTTCAAAAACATTATTTTATTTGTTACGCTTTTTTCAATATTCAAATTAGTTAACACTACGATTATTTATATTTAATTGTATTTATCTAAGAAATAAGCAATTTTGCATAAATAACTCTTACCTGGGTTTATTTTTGTGGCAATCCATATTAACGCGTATGTGGTTATGTGATGATAAATGTGAAGTGCTGATACTTGATTCTGTTTTTTTCTTAATACGAAGAATACCTGTTTACGCATATAATATTACTGTAGTATTTAATCATATTATTATTTTTTTAATAAACCATAATTAATATAATGAGATAATATCTTACAGTTTCAATATACTCTGTCAATTTTAAAATAGATGTCCACCAGACTAATTTAGCTTGCTAAAAATCACAAACAAAAAACCTGAATTTGTTATACTATTAAGTATATCATTTACATTTTATTATTTTTCTACTTACGTATAATGCATTTGGATTATCAGATGTGTCTAATGGATCACATCCCATTTTTGGGTTGGTTTTCATAAACTGTAAATTCAGTAAACAATTAATTAATAGCACAATATTATTTCTGTTGTTGAACAATAATATATTTTCATTCTTTATGTTTTTCAAACTTTAAATTACCTCTACGCTAAGGTAGATACATGATATTATTTGTGCAGAGTTGTAGACCATCAAAATTTTTCGTAGTTGATAAGGTTTTTTTTTAGCCATATAATTGGGCCCTACTACTTTGATGAAAAGTATATAAATGATACTTAACATTATAGGAATTGCTGTTGTAGACATCATTGGCCAATCTTTCGTTCTCCAGTCTAAAAATTGTGCATTAAAATACCTAGTTGTTAAATTATAATAGATTTATTGATAGAGTTCTCACCATTTCCTAAAAGCTCATCAAAATGTTCAAACCACGACATAGTTATCATTATTAGTAAGAATTTATGTAGTAGTTAACAAATCACTATCATTAATCTGTTTTTTGAACTCCCATTAGGGATATAACATGTAAAATATGATTTAATAGTATTACTTAAACATGAATAAATAATTATAATAATGAAGCGTATTTTATCATCAAATCTAAAAACTTAACTCTAACTTTTAATAGCGTTTACTAACTACTAACATGTTCTATAACAATTCAAGACAATACTATCCATAGTGTACCGAATAAAAAAAGCGTGAAAGGCGTTTAATATATGCAACACTATTCATGGTTCAAGAAGACATTACTTCCTGTTAATCAAAGCTTCATGACTAATGCATGTGATGGGTAATAAAATGCATTAATTAAAGGTCAGAGTGTTGCAAATAAAAAAATGTATTTCCTAAAATGTAAAATGTATTTGGTTTATTTGAGTTCAATTGAAAACCTAATATTTTTACATAGTGACTTTGAATTTAAAAAAATGGTAAATCACTTAAAATGTTAAAATTAAAGTTAGAGTCCCTTGTGGAACATAAATAATATCACTTACAATGTACCAAGTTATACTTATACACTTACTTGATAGTACGACTATGGTTTTACCCTAAGTAAATGGTTTTTTAAATTAACATGCAATTGTACAATAATCATACAAAACCGGCGTTTCGTTTAATAATACGAATTGTAATATTTAATATATTCCATAACTTATTATAAGTTTAAACTCATAAGTACTTTTGAATTGATTTTTGACACCATTGCCTCTAACTATTTTTATGGTTATAGCACAAAGCAAATGATCCCATCGTGGTTAGATACAACTTAACAGGGGCACGAAAAATAAAAGTTCTATCAATGTTTGACTAAATCTGACAATGTAACGCGAAGTTGTAGCGCATAAAAGTTGAAACTAAATAAATCAGTAAAAACAGGTTTTCCTATTACAGAATAAAAAAAAATTAGAAAATTTTTTAATTTTTTGTTAAAAAATTGATATTATGGATACCTTGAATTTTGAATTCCAGTCCTAACATTTCATCTAAAAAAATATTTTTAAGCACTTTTTTAATATTAATTGTAAGTGATAAAAATGGCTATTCAAAATTGTTTTTAAATGTAGACTCCTAAAGTAAAAATTAGAAAATGTATCTGCGAAATTCCCCTTATTTAAGAGGATACACATTGGTTTAAAGCGTTAAAACAAGGCTACGCAGAATGCGTTTTACAAAGAAAACAGCATTTTGGAGGGAATATCCTAAACAATTTTAAACGTTTTAGAATAGTTATTTTTTTTCACATTTTTTTTATTTACACAATATATTAACATATTTGTTATGTTTTTTTGTTGTAAATAAGTTGTAGATAAGCCAAATAAAACACTATAGCTCTATCGGTTTCTACGATATACCGTTTTCATACCTGTAATTCCGCATACCTAACTGCTGAATAATGATTTTTATATTCCAACGGTAAATCGTAATAATATGACTGTGTGATACCGGTATGAAAATAAATACCGCCATGAAACCAAAAATGACGTGTCAGTTCGATTTACTATTAGTTTGTTAGAAAAATCTTCTTGTAAGAATTTTTGTTAAAACCCAATTACAAGCATGCCAAAGATGTCTAGGGAACCACTGAATTTTATTAAAAACTAATTTTTTGAAAAACCTAAACTTTATTAAATAAATAAGAATAAAATTATACTGAAACTTATAATTTATAAAAATATTTTTGTTATTATTTAATAATTATTATAATTTATAATCGATTCTAGTTTAAAATTATGATACATTTTAGTAAAGGAAATTTATTACAGTTTGCTTCATGAAAGTCCCGGACAAAAATCATATTTTACTCACCAACTAAACGATTTCCAAAATTACATATAATTTCAGAATTGGGCAATAATTGTACAGCTTGTTCTCGTAAGACTAACTCAGACAATAAATCTTTGTTTTATTTTAATATGTAAAATAATTGTTTAATTCTAAAAAAAAAAAAACATTTAATTTTGGAAAATTGTTTTTAGCTGACGAGTAAAGTATGATAACATGGAAATTAATTGAGTTTTTGATTAGGAAAGATTAATTTAAAAAAAAAATATCTGGAAATTTAAGTGTTTAATGTCGGATAGCTTGCAAAAATATAATATTTAAAATTAAATTTTAAATATTAGATATATTTCTAAATTTTAGAGAAGTGATTTACTAGTGGTAACTAGGGCATTTGTATCAAATTTAAGATTATTATTTAACTATTTACTATATAAACGTTAATACACGAGCTAGGGCATTGTTTAGTTTTAACTTTGTTAATACATTTTAATTCCGTTTTATTTGTTGTATACTTGTATTTTGTTTGTAAATTATAAAGTAACTTTTGCATTATTTTTAGTCACGTGAGAAAATGGTGCGTGGAGTACGCCGTGGTTGTGTTCGTTTAAAAGGGGCAATAATTGGTATTGACGACGAAGACAATCTAACGTTTACTGTAACCGTCGACGGAAAAACATTCCATTTTCAAGCAAGAACTCGTGCCGACCGAGAGCTTTGGATTCGTGCTTTAGAAGACACTGTACAAAAACAATTGTTTGGCTATACAGCTAACCAAATACAGGTGAATATAATATGTATACAATTAAACTGTTTGTAGTTTAATGTGAAGTATGTGTGTAGTGAACTGTGAAGTATGTAGTTGTGTAAAAACATTGGCGTAATTATGTAGATACAAAATCTCAGGAGGAAAGTATTCGATAACCTGGTTATTAACCAAAAATTACTCGTAAAGACCCGTAGCATAATACATTACACACAATAATAAAGAAATTTCAACAGAAAGGGCTAATCATTAAGGGGCGAATTATAGGCAATATTTGACAAAATTGATCAAAGAACCATTCCAAAAAAATATGTCAAACAATTTAAGATTAAATATAAAGTTTTTTGTTACATAACTTTCAAAGTTATTTTTCTCGTTAGTTAGTTTACTTTGAAAATTGACTTCTCGTTTTAGGTTTTCTTTGTATAAAATTTGGCTCGTTTCGTTCCCTTTATTTTAATACTTCACAAACTATAATAATGTACATCAACTAAATAGTAATCACATTAAGTATATATTTATAATTTGTTTTATAGCAGTCTGTTTTATAGTTTTATAGTCATCACTCATCATCATTCTTATACTATTTTGTTTTCTAGTTTTACTATATACTGGTTTATGATTTAAATAAATTAAGTTTTCTCGTTTTATTTAAAATTATTGGCCTTATACTCCGGGCACTTAAAGAAGGTACCCGGGGAGCCGACCAAAACTCGTCTGCTGCCGCGCAGCTCATATCTGTATGCCCAGTAGACGGTGCCGAACTATGACGATGTCGCGGGGTGGAAATCGGTTGCCGCCGACTTGACGAGGTACCTTCTTAAAGTGTCTGGAGTATAGGCCTAATTTAATAATTACACACAATCATTCAAAAACGAATAACTGTTCTTTATCTTCGCTTTACACTCCCACCACATTTACATGGGGTCGGCCACCCTGGTCCTACGCCTTAGTAGAGCTCGATCTCCTGCATCTCGTTCAATCACCCCAGCTAATTATTTCAATTTCTACTCCGTCTATTCCATCCATCAAGAAAACTTCGGTCTTCCTCTTCCTCTCTTTCCCTCTACTTTTATCTTCATAACAACTCCACTGCCTCTGCCTCATATTTTCTCATAACATGACCGAACCGTCTCAACCTATTCTCTCTCATTTCCTCACAATTTATGTAATTTCTAGACTTCCCCTTATGTATTCATTTCTTATTTTATCCTCCCTAGTCATTCCACTCATGCATTTTAGCATTCTCATCTCCGCTACACTCATTCTCTGTTCAGTTTTCTTCTCTACTGCACAACATTCCGACTCATATAACATTTTTGGCCTCACTACCGTCCTATAAAATTTACCTTTCAATCTTATAGGCATCCTCCTGTAACTCAAAACACCTTTTAATTAAAATTTTGCAAACATTTGCCTATATCTAACTTCTTAATAAATGGGGTATGACGTCCTCTTAAGTATAGGACAAAAGTTGGAAAAAATTATAATTTATCATTGATTATTATTTATTAATAATTATTATTACGATTTACTAATGTATATTTTAAATAGCCTCTAATAATAAGTATTCAGCAAATCTTTATTCTTGAACAGAGATGGGCAGGATTATTAATCCCGGTTTACTGGATTATTTTTATAATTAATCAATAGTAATCCAGAATTACAGAATTATAAATAATAAATTATTCCAATAGGTCAGATTAACGGATTGCAATAAATCCAGTATTTACGCTCATGAATATTTCAAGGTAAAGATTCGATTTTTTACTTTGCACGTGCTGTAAGAGCTTGACGTTCTTAAACTTCTTGGTCGACGAACCCAGGGTTTTAATTTAATTTGAAATCCAGTAACCCATAATGTTTGTTGATTACTGCAATACAAATAAAAATCCGTAATCCAGCTAGTCGGGATTACTGAAATAAATGTAATCCAATTTTTTTTATTAATCCCGGATTATAAGTAATCAGTAATTCCATTGTAATCGATTACGGATTGCAATATATTTTTCAAATCTATGCATATTGCATAATGTGTGTGTGTGTGTGTATAATATGTATATTTTATAAAGTGTGTGTATGTAATATATATTATAATGTGTACAACACTCGTTGCACTAATCCAATTCTGGCTTGAATTACCTTCATATTATTTTATAAAATGTATAAGGTCTCCCAATGGAAATTTGAACCATATAGCGGTTACTAATTATTGATTTTTTTTTTGTAAGTGCTTGTATTCAACCCAGACAAGTATTACTTAATCGTTGTTAAGTTATATTTTATTGCATTGAGTATTAAACCATGTAGTAGGATGCTAATTTAAAAGAATATGCTTCTGACCGATAGTCATATGAAAGTAACTCTGATGGGTGGGTGTTTTAGTATATGTAAACAAAATCATAGAATAAGAAGAAAGGTAAATTTATTATACTTTTTAATTATTAAACAATTTTGCGTATTACATTGTATTTAAATTTTGTGATTTATTCAAAAACTATGATTTCGAATAGGTCAACAATGACTCTATCGTGCCAACACTGGAAGCTTTTGATAAAAAACTAGGAGAAGCTGATGCCTATTTACAACTACTTATAGAACAAACCAAGGTATAGCCTATACTCATGTAACCATTATGTTATGTTATGTAACCTCACGTAAACTTTTGCTTTAAAGTATAACAAATAAATAAGTGATGCAATTTTTTTGTTTCCTTTAATTTTTATTTTATTGACTTAGAATTTGGAAATCAAAATGTGTTCAATGTGTGAAGAAGATAAAGTTCAATGTGAATATTTGTTATCACAAACAAATGTAAGTTGTAGACATAACAAGTGTTATTCATTTAAACCAATATATTCTTTTATTTTCAGAAATTAATGGACCAAGTAAAACATTCAATTGTAATGCTACAAATTGCCAAGGTATTTTAATTTTAATTTTATTAATCTTTTAAATTTAATCACACTTATATTTTAGAACACGGCGTTCCCTATAAACGGTGCGTGTAGATCAACTTCTATGTCTACTGATTATGATTTTCCTAGTTTAGAAGGTAAAGTTGTTCAAATATTGTAGTATAGTTGATAAAGCTTTATTCAAATACAATTGTGTACACAATATTATTATTTGTTAGGTGATTCAGGAAGTATAGAGTATGGAGCAGAATGTGAAGAACTCGAAAGAAGAGATTCTCAACCCATAGATAATGGTAGGGTGATAATAAATTTTTCTAAACTTAACAACGTAATATTATTATTATTTTTTTTAGTTAAAAATTTAGTAAAACATAGTCATTGTGCACACTACACATATTGTTGTTACTGTTACCACTTGTTTTTATGTATCAGATGTGCCAGATGTTTCGTATTCTTCGTCAGAAGACGATTTCTATGATGCTTATGAAGATGAAGAGGAATGGACAAAAAAAAATGAAGTAGAGCCAGTGCCTACAATGCGACGAAAATACAAAAACCGAATGATCACCAGGTAAGAATTGATTAATTTTCATTATTTGGTATCATAATTGGTTTATGTAGGTCTCGATCTTCCAATTATAAAATATTAAAAAATACCCTTCACCACAAAATATTATGCACTTTTCAGTAGTTTACGCATAAATCGGTAGCAATGAGACTAAGACTAACTAGACAATCAGACTAAGCTGAGACCTTATTCAATTTGTTGGGATTCCATTGTTATCGAAATACCTACATGTGTATTCTACTACTGAAAATTGTGGGGAAGGAAGGCATATTTTTATTATTTTAATACTTAACCATATATTAATATAGTTATAATGTAATCACAAGTATTTAGAATTTTAAATAATAATACCTACCAATTGCGAATTTTAAATTCAAACGAAACATTCTTAATAGTTCGATACCTTTTTTTGTTTACTATATAACCTTGGTTAAATATTGTATACCAGTTCTTATCGTATCAGCTGATCTGTACATTAGCCCTGAACTGTTATCATGCATTCAAAGCTCATCCAGTATCCACATATTATAACACGCGTTACTAATGTTATTTTAGTTTTTGTTTTCCAAAAATCGATAATTAGCCCTTTAGCATTATTATATTCAAATTTAATAGTGTAATAATATGTTCGAATGTAATGATTGGCGTTTATGTGTCGTGAAAATATGCTAGTTAACTCGATGAAAAGTGAAGAAACAAATAAGCCTCAATAATGATTTCCCGTTTGTGGAATTGGGCTAACACTTCACCTGGAAGTTCAGAACTTGTGAAAACTAACAATATGGGTCAAAACCAAAGGTTTCTAAATACTTAATTACACCATTTTAAATTTATAGTTAAAATTGAAATTATTATCGGATCCTTGGTAATAATACATAGCAATTACCACAGATTATAATCTCATGTTATCTTTTTTTTTTTTAATATATAAAACTTTAGCACTTGGCAATTCGTGTAATACTAATACATTTGTATAATAAATTATTTGTGTTATTTTGTGAGAAAATTAATCTTTTATTATCCGTGATAGCATTTACTTAATTTCTAGTTAATAAATTATTTGCCTTTATTTAGATTTTATTCTTAAAGCATTATCTTGTTTTTTAACTTTAAGTTAATTAAAATTATATACGTGGCAATATTTAATCAAGTATTATCATTTATAATCGATACAAATAGTATTAATAAATTTATATTATGTATAACAATTCTGTATAATATATTTTTATAATTGATTATCTGAAAAATATTAGCTAATAACTAAATGTTTTTAAGGTTAATCATATATAAATTCAGCAAAGTTATATTCCACATTTGTATTTGAGTAACAAACACTATATAATTGCTTTACATTTTTTATAATTTGTGGTATGAGTTATTATTATATAATTTTTAAATATTTATTTAAACTAACTCTATATAGATTTGCACAAATCAGTAGAAACATATATCAATAAGTTATATATATATATATTTATATAATACTTTTTATCTAATGTTATTTAAACTTGGTCTTTCTACAATTAAAGGCTCTGATATATAAGTTACAGCATAATATGTCAAAACAAATGATAATTTGATATTATAAAAAGCTAAATCAATAAATTAAGTTTTAATAAGCTAATAATAAAGAGTATTTTTTTTTATTTCAGTGGAAATGATGCGCCTACAGAAAATACTAGTCACGTAAGACCAGATAATTGTGATTTAAATGAAACGCCTGTAGATAATATTAGCAGGAAATCTTCTACTATATCAAAAAATAAAGAAACCTATAGAGATACTATGATACCTACTTATCCTGATGGTTCTATAAACTATGATGGTAAAAAATTAAATTTAACTAATTTTTATTTATAAAGTTTAACTTATATATTTTTTCCAGCTATATATGAAGATCAAGATGAGTCTGATGGTATACACAAGAAATTATTAGCTTATATATATTTAATTTCTAAACAATTATTATAATTAGTGTTGTTATATTATTTTGTAGTAACTATGCAGGGTTCAGTTGTTACCCACTTAATATCCCAAGTTAAAATTGGTATGGACCTAACCAAAGTAGCGTTACCAACTTTCATTTTAGAAAAGCGTTCATTATTGGAAATGTATGCTGATTATTTAGCACATCCGGATTTATTCCTTAAGTAAGCTATTTTGAATTTATATACGTACAAATCTGTATGGAACATTTGCCATCAAGATAATCGGCTGTAAAGTTTTGCTAATCAGATTAAAAAAATTAAATACACTTAAACACTAGTCAAAGAGAGATGGCGTACTGAGAGGACAGCTGATTAACAAACATATTATCGTACCAAATGTTCCATTAATATATGTATTTCGTTGGGTGTTAACAAAATTAAATTCAAAGTTATTGACAGTAAAGAAACAATTAATATATTTTATGCCAAAGAACTTTACATAATCACAAACATAATTATTTTTTTAAGTTAAAATTAATTTTCCTTTTATATTGACCTCAAATTACTCTCTTAAACTAAAATTATGTGGCGCACTTATATTATTTAGAAATATGGATCAAATTTCAGTTTTAATTATTCTTTTTTAAAATTTAAATTTAAACAAATTTTTTATTTTCATTATTTATTAAGGTTTTATTAAGATTTAAAAATGTCAGTTATTGAGTTGACTTATGGTAATTAAACATTTTTTTTACTAATTGTATAAAATATATATATGTTTATAGAATTTAAATAAAAAATTAGGTTTGAAGAGTTTAATTTTTATAACTATATCATTTTGTCAATTAATGTTTTCAAAATTTGTGTTTGGTAGAGCAAACGATTTAAATACACCAGAAGAACGAATGCTTCAAATAGTGCGATGGTATTTGTCTTCATATCATGCTGGTCGAAATTCTTCTGTGGCTAAAAAACCTTACAACCCTATTCTTGGTGAAGTATTTCGTTGTCATTGGGACGTTCCTGGCATCAAAGAAGACGACTCTGAACCATCTAATGACATTACTACGTCATCAAATTTGGATGCAATAAAATTTGAAGAAGAAGAATCAGAAGAAAATCCATTACCTTGGACTGATTCAGACCAACTAATATTTCTAGCCGAACAAGTGTCTCATCATCCACCTAGTATGATGCATACTATACTCTATTATAATGTTTTCACTGATTCAAATTAATTTAAATTTATATTTCCAGTTTCTGCATTTTACGCTGAACACAAGAAAAAAAAAGTTTCCCTTTGTGCCAATGTTTGGACCAAATCCAAGTTTCTTGGGTTATCTGTTGCTGTTCACAATGTTGGACAAGGAGTAGTAAGACTTTTAAAACACAAAGAAGAGTATATATCAACGTTCCCTAGTGGATATGGAAGGTACTTATTCAATATTATTTAAATAACTATAGAATAAGAGAAGCACTATTTTTTTTTCTGTTAACATTAACAATTTTGTGTTTCTTTTTAAATTATAATATTTGGTTGGTTATAAAATGCTATTTACTTATAAAATTGAAATGGCAAATTATGTATTAATTTAGCTTATTAAGACAATAATAACCTAAAAATAATAGTTGATTAGTTGATAAACAGCATAAAATAACTACTTTTAAAATTATAAGCATTGAAATGTGGAGGCAGTAGAATAATATTGTAATATTTGTTGTAGATCTATCTTAACTGTGCCATGGATTGAGTTAGGTGGATCTGTAACGATTACTTGTCCACAAACTGGTTACCATTGTGAAATAGAATTTTTAACTAAACCATTTTACGGTGGAAAAAAACATCGAGTTACAGCTGAAGTATTTGCACCGAAAACCAAAAAATCATTTGTTACAATAAGTGGTGAATGGAATGGTTCTATGGAGGCAAAATATGCAGATGGGGTAAATAATTAAGTGTATTATACCCATTAACTAAATTCATTACATACTTATTGTCTATGATTTACAAGTACATTAACACATTAGCTGCATTTGTAGGTTATATCTAACAACACAATATTTTTTAGTGGTACGCTGTCGGCTGTAGCCAACATCAAGCCTGTTCAATTAAATTTACTCTAAAATGTTGATGGCACACAAAAAAACATGTTGCTCTTACACACCCATTTCTAAAATTTTATCAAATATAACCTAGAAAAAACTTAAGCACTTATAGTTATATGTAATAAAATAATAATAAAAACCCTTAACCATAAAAATTATGTACTGTCTGTCTTGAGCGCTGAAGATGACAACATTGTTGCTGAAATACAATGTATTCGCGGACAGTATATAATTTTTATGGTTAAGGGTTTTTATTATTATTTTATCAAATATGGCCTGTTTATATACGTATATATTATATTGAATTTATTTACAATACATGTTTTCTTATATATTTTAGAGCTTATATCTATATAAATAAGCTAATTCAAAATGTAAACAATTCATGTAATTTTAATTGTTTAGTTTTACTTGTTTTAGAGAACCGAAATGTTTGTCGATACAAAAGCCGTTGATGTCATTAAAAAAAGAGTACGTAAAGTAGCTGAACAAGAACCAAATGAATCAAGAGTAATTTGGAAAGAAGTGACATTAGGCCTTAAGTAAGTTAAAATTAATTGAAAAAATTCACAAGTTTATTAGCCTATTTAAAATTAAAGATATAGATAAAATATTGTAAATATAACCATTTAAGTATAAATTAGAATATGTTTTTAAAGTTTTTAGCAAATTTAAATTAAAGCAAGAGACTATTAATTCTAAAATCTCAATAGTGTTTAAGAAAAAAATGTAATTAGGAACAATTATAATTAGGATTAGAGGAAAGGAAATATACCAGAATGATGGTTATTTAGACAAAAAAAAAATGACCCGACATTAGGCCATACAGGGTGACTGTCAACAAAGAGGCAAATACCCTGACTCCTCAAATTACACCACTGAAGATAGTGTAATAATAGTGTATAATAAATGTTCAAATAATAACATGATATTATATGTTGTAAATAAAAAGGAACATTGATCTCTTTTATATTTTATTATTCTAATTAAAAACAAATAAGTTAAAAAAATTAAATCCCATTCAAATATTTTTTTACAGAGTTGACAATGTTGATCAAGCTAGTCAGGCTAAAGCTGACATAGAACAAAAACAAAGAAATGAAGCTGAAGCACGGAGAGAACGCAATGAAACCTGGATACCAAAGGTATGTCATACTAACTATTATTATCAATTATAGAACTTATCCTAATTACTTATATTTCTATCTTAATGAATCCCTAAAACTTATTTAATTTAAAGGACTAATCAATAATTACTATTTTATTTTCAAGAAATCTCTAAATATTTAGAGATTTCTTGAATTCATGTTTTAAGGTCTCTTAAATATATTTTAGTTACTTTTTATTGATCCAATCATAAATAATGTACCAATAATGTTAAAGAACTGTACAAGCTAATTTTTTTTATACCATTTAACATAAGTGCATCTTTTTTTAATTTGATGTTAGATTATTTCTAAGTATTTTCTTAAAAAATAATTAAGTTTTTTAATGCTTTAATTGCATTAAAGCTACTAGGTTTCGATTCCTCCAGCACTGCAAAATAAAGTGTTCTATCACTTAACCCCCCCTCCCCTTACCCAAGTTTACTCAATGTTATTCTGTTTAGTTTATTAATTTTTAAAAAATATCTTATTATATGAATGTGTTTAATTTCTTAATTGATTTTTACTTAATTTATAAAATATGTAAATATGTATCTTTTTACACTTTAAAGTAGAAAAAAATAATGTTGCTTTTTATATAATTATTTAAATGTTTTGTTTTTCAGTGGTTTGTACGAAATGGTGAAAGTTGGGAATATAAGTATCCGCTAGAGAAGCGTGTTGGTGTTACATTTAATTCACATCCTTCTTGACATCCTTGAGTTCATATTAATAAAAGTACTAAATTATCTATATCACTTTAAAAAAAATGTATCGAAGATATTACTATTTTAGAAAAATTTTAATGATCAATATATTTTATTTTTGTTCCAAAAGTTTTTATCCATCGACTTTAAAAAAAAATTGGTTAACAGCCAAAATTTTGTTGCAATCAAACTATATTATTATTGTATTTTGTGTACGTTAAGTCGGAATAGTGAAATTTTGTCATTATTGTTGTTACCTGTGTTAATGTTTAATGTATATTATTCAATTTGATTATGAAACCATTTCATACATATATATGTATGTATTTACTAGCCTATTTAGATCTTTAAGTTTTGGTACTGATTTTGTTATTATTATAATTATAATGCTATGTCCATGAAAAAAAGGTACACAATTTATATTATTTATTACATATTATTATTATAACTGTTTGTATGTGTAGTGCCTAATTTCTTACCTAGAACCTGGAAAGAAAAGAACAATATAATCTTTAATTATTTAACCAACTAAAACGTGATTAACCTTTTTTTTCTTTGAATTGTTAAAATTTTAATTAAATTATATTTTGTCAGCATAAAAATGATTACTTTTTTTATATTTTATAATTTTCTTTACATTTACAAACCACTATCATTGAATTACAGGATATACAATTGCCTATACATTTATTTATTAAATAATAATAACAAACTTAAGTTTGCTTTATTTTTTTGTAATTGTACAATAAATAATAATTGATATTTAGTGCAATCTTAATATGCCTTATGCAAATTTATGAAGAACTACTCTAACATCTTTATTTTTAAAGTAGAGAATGCCGAATGAGTAGAATATTAGCTTATAATCAGAATTAAGTGTTGTACCTCAATCAAATAAAATGCAAGAGGAATTATTTTTATAAAATACATAATATTATAAGAAATTGGTTTTACAACAAATTATTTATTACTACATTAATGCATACATTTTTGGCAACCACCAATGATCTGCATCCCTTTTTCTTAATTTTACTCTCAATATAGGTAAAATATACATATAATTAATAAAACGTTTAAAGTTATGTAGATTGTAGACTGGGTTAATAAGTATCTATGTTTTTTAATAAATATACAAATTTCTTTATAAAATATTATCATTTAATTAGTTCCCTTTACAATGTCATTTTATTTTGATTGAAAATGTCAATGAATAGTTGGTAGCAGTGCGATAACCTGATATATTTAAAACATGGTAATATAGTATACTGTTAACCGAGTTAACTGTTATTTTTTTTAATGTTGTGACTTGTACAAATTTTACAATGAGTCAGCAAATAAAATAAATGTTTAATAATTAAACAGTTATAAATATTCCCAAATGTTCAGTATTGCAATTCAAAGTTCCAGAACTCTAATTTTTTGCTTCATTCTTCATAGGAATTTTAAAAACCATTAAAGTCCGTACCGTGATATTTTTTCCTCAACTCGGTTTGTTCGGAAACAGGCTACAAGATCAAGATTGTGAATCAAATCAATCAAAGATAATCAAATGAATATCGAGAAGATATTTAGCTGATTTTTACGAGAAATTACCATGATACCTAACTAAGCTCTTCAAATAATGCATGTCAAAGTCAGCTTTAACGCTAATGCGGTCAACAACTATAAAGCTTAATAACACATTATGTGTATTTGTATGAGTGTTGCTGAAATGTGTAGATACTAACCACAACATAATTTTTTGACTCAACATGACGGGCCTTGCGTCATGCACTCTATAAGGGCGTGCCCCTCAATACTTCATCTTATTACGGACCCGTATAAATAATTTTTGTTTTTAATTGTAATATTTAATTTTTGTTCATTCGTCAAACATTTTTTTATTGATGTTGTAAATTAGTTTTACTTTTTAGTAGTTATTATTCAACTCTGTACTGTGAAACGTGTCTCGAAAGATGCACTTAATTGAAGAACTGAGCAGTTGTAACTTGTAGTAAAGTATAAATTTAAATTTGGGCATAAGCGATTTTGACTGAAAAAAATGTTGGCCAAAGATATAAAACTTCGAAAATGTATAAAATTCAATATCCTATATAAGATAAAACTCACTTGCAGTTTTTAATAACTATAAAAATCACCAAATAAAGTCAAAACTAAAGTCTCATTCTATAATTTTGTATAGACGTATTTTTTTCGGTAATACCTACTGTCACAGGTTCTCTTAGAAACGTTTTACAAAAATGACTAAACAACTGCGTAGTAATATTCGGAATCAAATATTAAATATTCATATGAATTCCTTTTTGCTATCACTTTAAAAATGATAGCTGAATACTATTAAAATGTACTTATTTTACTCGATAGTTTCACTCATTAATTTAAATTAGCTAATCGTTTAAAAATGATTCAAAGGGAATAAACTACAATTTTACAATTTCAATAATGGCAAAAAATTGAATTATTTTCATCAGCTATAGTTTTCCTGGTCCATCAATCGCGATAAAATACTTATAAGTGTAATACTATACCTATTTATGCCCAAGGCTATGTACTTATATATACTAGTTTGATATAAAGTTGAACAATATTGGTATAAATAAACAAGTTGATACAGACACTAAAGCAGTTACTAGTCTAGTGTCCTACAAATAGGAAATATCGTAGATTTATTATTTTATACTTCATTCCTTAGTCTACACATTTGTCTAAGTTCAGAGAACTTGAATTTTGCTAAAATAATTACGGTTTAAGCACTGAAGATATTATAAAAAGTCCACTTTCCATTATACTTACCTATGGTATGGAACATAAATATTTTTGAGGGTGCTAATTTTAAAACTAGGAGTACTAGTAGGTAACATCCAAGTCCTCCCCCCGCGCAATCTGGGGAGGGGGGAAATTGTACTCCCTCTCCCCCAGTCATGTTACAGCCAAAATAAAAAGATTTTGTCGTTTTCGCTTTTTCAGAACAACACTTGGTCACTGTATATGTGATGTACATTATTTGATTACAAGGTATACAGCGCATATACTGTATAACATTTTCTTTTTCTTAAATAGCACATTTTCTGAAGAAAAAAATATTTTACTCTTTAGATCAGCAGTTTGGTAGATCTATTTACTGGTTGCCGACGATATTATACTACTCGAGAGCACATGCGCCGCACACGCATTTTTCTTAAGCGCTATGCTAATGATTTTGCTATATACTATATTTGTATATACAGGACGGAGAAGGGGCAGAGAGGCTCACGGGAGAGAGAGGAAAGTTTATTTATACCGAGTGAGGCAGTCTTGGGCGGAGCGAAATCCCAGGCAGCGTCCCATTAACGCCAAATCTCTCTTGCTGAATATAATGTATATATATTTTATTATTATTATTATTCGTATCGAAATGGCCTACTAAGTACCAAGTGTAGCTGCAGTAATAATCGGACTTGTGTGATGTGCGGTACCCGCTTGCCGAGTAACGTGCTCGGATGTTTCTAATTATAGCGACAAAACCGTATGTAATCGTTTATACGCAATATTAATAATAATAATATGATCGTGTGCGGTTAAACGATTAAATTATATATGTACAATATATATTATTATATAGTATTTCTTTTTCTCTTCCATTTGTTTTGGTCTTTAACGGGCGCACCGTACACGTTTAGTCGCAAGTACCAACCTACAACGGTTATAGCAACATGCAGCATGTGAAGCCGTCCATCAAAGGCGACCCGCTTTGTCCTCTAGGCTTCCATCCGCAAGTCCGTTGGCCGACCAGATGCAAACGTTGTTACAGGTGAACAGCTTGTACTTGCTGCTAGATAAGTTTTTATAATGTTATAACACTCATGAAAAAAAAAGATAGGTATCAGTATGTCAGCAACATATGAAGATAAAACCACAAAATGTCATTCGGCCACGTGTTTCATGCGGGAGAACACCAGCAGCCATGTTTTTAAATTGATAACACAAGTTCCTGACATACCTACTCATTTATTTTGTTAAAGGATAATACATTGTGTTATTTTTGTTCGTGTCGTTACAATACATAATTGAATAGCGTTATGCAAAAAGCGGCCATCGCAAAAGCTAAGACCAAATTAAGACGCTATTTTCACGAAATTATCTAGAAAAATACCTTTACCATATTTTGTAAATAAAAACGGCCAAGTATTGCAGAGTACTGTACGATATAATGGGTTTAAAAAATCGCCTGAACGGGTTTTTATTTTTAAAAAATATAAAAATAAGGATAAATATTTTAGGGATGGACGCTATTTGCATAAGAACATTCAATTTAAAGTTAAAAGTCGTTAATTCATTCAATATATTTGGGCTTCTATAATATGATATTATAATATAAAATATAATATCATATTTTTAAATAGGTATATACCTACAGAAAACTATACCTACTTACACCTACGACGTCTCTTTATTTATTTGGCAATATACTGCCCACATTTACTACCTACCTACTATTAACAATTGGAAAAGCATATAATATAAACTATATCATAACAGAATTATCATAGCGAGGATGGTTAAAAAACTAATGTTTTTATCCTAATCCAACAGCGGTTAGCTAAAATATTATAGTATATAATAATCTCTTAATTATTGTTATAATTACAATACAAAATCGGCAAGATATTAAAAAATATGAAATGTACCTACGTCCTACCTATACCTATGTTTACCATCACTACCATGTGTACTTTCAGTGTTAAACTTTCTCAAATCCAGTCAAATGCTTTGGTGCATATCGCAGATGTGATAGTAGATCCCAATATTTGTAATAAATAACAATGAAATCCGGATGCTATTATATAGATATCTACCTAATCTATTGCTACATGAATAAGTCTAACTAGAATGCCAAAAAGAAGCATTTATTACACAAGGGTATGCATCAAGATTATTTGACAGACTTGCATAATATGAAATGTATAAAAATCAAAATATCGTCACAACACCTTTATAAACAGTGGAATTTTGGTTAAAAATCGGCCCATTCAATTTCGCTCTAAAAATAATTAATTTTTTATTTCTGCAGTAACCAAAATTTCACAATTTGCATTTTATTTGACGTTTATCAAACTTGTTATATTATCATTAACTTTTGATTTTCAAATGAAAACTTGCATATTATTTAGCAAATTGTATTAATAGAGGAATGTTTAATAAGAAGATGTCGATAACTTTTTGACCACAAACGTCCCAAAAAAAGTTACAAATAAGATAAATAAGGCTTTTTTATATTGTATGGAATAAAAAGGTTAGAATTAGAGAATCATATTATTTTATCGGTATAAATAATATTTGAAGTTTTAAATTTGGCAAACCCCTTTAAAGTAGATAAGTTTTGATATTATAGACAATTAAAATACCTGCATTTTTTTCTGTAAAATAATTTATTCGCTGAAAATTTAAGAATTATCATCGATAGCTTAAAAATTATTTTTCTTATCACCTATAATTTATTTAATATCCTTATTGTTGTCTAAATATTAACATAAGAAAAACCTAATGTATTTATTCGATATTAATTATAGAACTCAAATAATTCTAAGATAAAACTTACATTTTATCTTAGAATTAACTTTTATAAAGAAATAAAAACAGTATTAGGAGGGAGTAACATTCTCGAAGTTAACTTTTTTTCCAATATGCATCAAACTAAAACTCGTTAACAAATTTACTTTTTTTTTAAATTTGATTCTGGGTCCTCGACTATTCATAATCCGGACCTGAGAATAAATGTAAATTGTGTACCTATTAATATTTATTCTATAGTATATTATTAACTGATAAAAAAAGTCTCTGAAAGGATCTATCGGCTATCTCCATCAGTCTTCCGAGACCGTTTCTTCATAACTAATTATAAGCTACTGCATCCATAGGATTTAATAATTAATTAGCTTAAATTGTACGTTTTTTTTATTTAAAAAAAATTGGAAAGTAGGTGAATTATTCCAGCCATGCTATGATGGGTTCCAAAACTGCTCAATTATACACAAACATAACAATTAATATAAAAAAATTGTGTAGCGTTTAAGTTATATATTACCTTTGCTATTTATTATTTTGACATTTTTTACTATATATATCATCAGCAATACTTATATGTTGCTTTTATTTAATACATACTTAAAATTAATGTTAATGTTACAAATATTTCAAAACCCTAGCTATTTTTGGAAATTGAATGTAATATGTAAAGAGTACCTCTCAGGTTTGCATCTTTTGCTAACAAAAATGATAAAATATTACAAGTATAGGTTTCTAATATTTTACAATTGTGTTTTTTTTTAAATAGAATAAAAAGAGCTTCTAATTTGATACATACGTGATAGAGCGTTTGCATAGTAATTATAGTAATTAACTTTTCAGGGACTACAAAGACCATTCCAATAGGAACAAAGATAATGGTAAGCCATCACTTAGGAAAGATGATGTTACCACCGTATCAACTCCTATACTGACGAATGAGTATGTATAATAATTTATTATCATATACAATAGTATAAGTTGTAAAACTATAAAGTGTATACTAACTTTTATTAAATTTTAAGTGAACCTTCACTCAAAAAATCGCCAGATCTGTCCAATAACAGTATTCAACAACAATTTAAAACAGACAAAAGCTGTGGACCGAGTAGTAAGACTTCATCATGGGTATCCTCGCCAGATTTAACAAAACTTTCGGTCACGGTTACTTCTCAAATTGGTAAGCCGTAAAGAACCAAAATATAATACTAGCTGTTAAATTAATCAACATTCATTATATGCTAATAGACTATGATAACAATACAAATACAGATTATAAAGTTAAAAAGAGGATTAATCTTTCACGTAGTGATTCCATAGACAGAACCAGTCCAAGAAATAGTTACAACGGGGACATCGCCCATTATACTCCGGTGCATGTTAATATCATCATAACAATGTTAATATTCACTTAGGGAGTTTAAAGTCTAAAAGATTATATACTGATAAATTGATTTTGAATTCCTAGAATAAACACTTGACAAGCCATAAATTTCCAGCAGACAATCGTGATGACGATGCTATCAGCTTAGCCGATTCTGATACTACTACTGACACTTTTGCTACTATTGTCAACGATGAAGATTTGCACGTATATTTATCTTTTTTATATACATATTATTATACTAAATCCAGTTTCACGAGAACTGTTAACCTCATAAAACATTATTTTCAAATAATTTCTTGCTTTTTATTCAATTTTTGTTATTTTGTATTATTATATTTGAGTGGCTGAAATCAAGGGTTTACCTAGACAATATAGAAATAGAAAATGTTTTATTATTATGTAATATAGGCTAAGAACTCAAATTTACTATCAACATTTTAAAGTTTATTCTTTATCTATGTTTGTTAAAAGTTTAAGTTTAGAACATGCAAGTTTTTACACAAATTAGTTAAAAATAAAGTACTGCTGAAAGAGCCTTCAGTATCAAAACTCACAGGATTAAATCCTGTGAGTTTTTAACTTGTTAGTTTTAAAACAAATTTCTACTTTCAAGACTAAATCTCGTCTTTTCTGGTGTGTTTCGTTAAACCCAGTTTCCCATTTTATGAACAATTTTAATTTCAGCTTATTTATTTATACTAAGCAAAGATTTTTAAAAATTATTTTAATATAATATTTTTAACAGTGCTATAAACTATTAAGTTAAAAACCTTATAATTTGATTGCGTAAATTAAACACTGTACAAAATTGTACACACTTGTGTTTTTTTTAATTTTAAATTTATCTAGTATTTTAACAATTAATATACAAGTGTGTGCTGGATAGAAAATATAATATTTTATATGTAAATGTAAAAATTAAGAAATTGGCGTCAATGATATTTAGTTAATTGTTGTAGGATGAACTGTTAAGTTTAAAAACGGAATTAAAAACTATGAAAGAAAAATGTGAGAAAGCCGAACGTGAAAAAAGTGATATATTATTAAGACGATTGGCTTCATTAGATACAACCCCAACTTCACGTACCACTGCAACTGAAGTAATAAAACAAAACTTACAAAAAAATGAATTATAAAATATATTTAAAAATTATTTTTAATATGAATCTGCTTAGTTGTTAAAGCATCAACAAAAAGTAAATGAGCTGAAAGTGACTTGTGAAAATCTTAGCGACGAGAAAAGATCTCTTACGCAGCGAGTCTGCCAACTTGAAAATGTACTTGAAAAGTATAAAAATAATAAAATAGAAACACCCGATGTACAAATGGTTCGTTCCAAGTTGTTAGCTGCCGAAACTAAAATTGAAGAATTAATAGAGGAAAACAATGATTTAAACAAGGAATTAGCCAATGTGGAACAAGAAATCAGAGACAATTATAGGTATTTCAGTATTTTTATTTATATCTAACTGGTCTTATGAATAAGTAATAATTTTTTAACTACCCTGTAATTATTAAAAACTTGCCCTTATTTTAAGTATTATAATTGGGTGCCAGGCAAAAAATGTTCTAGTTATAAGGATAAAGGAGCCAAAATTACCTTCTCTGGTAACCGATTTAAGAATATTATTTCAAGCAATTTATAAAACTTTTATTTATTTTTTATTTTTAAGTAATCACTAATAAATATTATCATAATATAGTTTAGTCATTTTTTTTTATTTTCTTAAATATTATTTAAATAAATCATACTTAGGGAAGAACAAGATAATGAATTCATTATGTTACGAAGAGAATACGATCAAGTGTCAAAGAATTGTCGTATATTGGCTTTTAAATTAAAAAAAGCTGAACGACGCATGGAAGAATTGGAAAATGAAAAGACTGAAAATGAAAAAAAGAACAAAGAAGTTAGTAAAATAATGATAATAAATAGAAAATGTTTTTCAAATTTTACAAATTTAAAAAAATGTGACATTGATTATACAATTTTTAGTTAATAGAAAAGTTACAAAATGATTTAGAAAAAATGAAATGTAACACCCCTCAAGTTGAACAAAAAAAAAGACCTATGCTTGGAACAATAGCAAAATCAGCATCGGGGGAGGTGAGATATACTTGTGCCGAACCGGTAAATAGTGAGTGTAAAACATTGAAATATCGAGATGCTTGTTTAGAGAATGTCAAGAGAATCTCTTACGCGAGGTGATTCACAAGAAGACCCTGTTCAATTGCAAAGAGATTTACATGATTCCATAGAACGAGAGGCAGATATGAGAGAACAATTACGATTTTCTGAAGAAGAAGTAAGAATTCAAAAATCAATTTCCTGTAGATTATAATTTTTGGATTTATCCATGTTATCTTTAGTTAGCTGAAGTTCCAAACCCATTGCAGGGTGCGACTATACTGATACAATGTAGTCGTGACAGTGGAACAGTGACTATGTCTTTGAAGATGGACACTGCAATGGGTTCGTAACGTCAGTTAATGACGTCAACATGGGTAGATCTGACAATGATAAAACTAATAATTCAAGAAAGTTTTAATACATTCATTCTTTTAAATGATTTCAAATATTATAAATTACACCTTTAGGCAAAATTGTTGAGGAAGAAAGTGGGTCGGTTAGAAGAAGACAATGAATCAATGGTGTTGCAGCTGAAGAAAATGGCTACAAAAACTAGTACTTATACATTTTCATTAAAATTTTATGTATTCTCATTAAAATTATGGATTTTTTCTAAACAGAATATCGTCCGTCGAACATAACTGAGAGAGATGAAGGAATATCTGACGTTGAAGATGCGACGGAATTGAAATTATTACTTGAACTAAGCGAGCAGGTATAAAGACAAAATTATTGAGATGATCAATGTTATAAGCTTCTTAATTTGGTACTTATAAGTAACATATAAACTTGTGTTATTATCAAATTTTAGGAAATAATTGTATTGAAAAGAAAACTAGAAGGTACTGAAATAGAAAAAGATAAACTGAAAGCTAAAGTCGTTGAGTATCAAATGAAAACATCGACCAAAGTCATAAACAAACCAACGCCTAAAACTACACAATCTAAAGTAAAAATATAGATCTGTTGTTTATAGATTCATTTTATATTTAATTATGCATCTGGTTTGTTCTCAGACTAAAGATATCAAGGCAGACATTGATAAACAAACAAAACCTATAAAACAAATGGAAGCTAAAATTTCGGAACTTGAATCTCAACTAAAGGTTTTTTTTTATTATTTATTATTTATTAATTAAAAGTTGTTCAAGTGATCAAATACCTATATGTTAAGTAATTATTATAATATTATATATTATAAATATTTACATGATTATTTTATCTTTAATGTGGAGCTGAGAAGGTGTATTGGTTTATTTTTGTGCCTGGACCTGTAATATATGTCTTTAACCACTGGACTGATTTCTTTATGTAACAAGTCTATGTCTAATGTATAGAGTCTATACTATAGACCAGGGGTCTACAGGGGACCAGGGGCCACAAAGAGGCTCGCGAGCTGCATGCGGCTCTTTAAACCAAGCTTTGAGTAAAATTAATAAATTTTCATTTCTTCATTTCATAAACATCTCTTAAAAATGTGGCTCGCTTCGAATTAGCTTTATAAATTTCCGGCTCTCAAAATTAAGTTTAGTGGCCACCCCTGCTATAGACATTAAAAATCTTATCTGCAAGAAGGTACTTTATTATATGTATATTAAAAAAACAAATCACTGAAAAAGAAGACCTTTTCAGTTGCACATTGAGGACAAAACAAGAAAACTGTACATATCTTAAACTCCTATGACATTTATATTTTAATGGTGAATTGACTGAGAATATTAATCTTAAGTTTGCTTTAACAATCATAATGATAACTTCTATGTTTTGACGTAATTGTTTTTCCTAGAATGAGAGACAACAAATTGAAAACATGAAATCTTTGCATACTAAAGAAATAACTGATAAAGAACAGTATATAATACAATTAAGAGAAAAATCATTGAACGAAGGAAATAAGAAAATAATCGACATACAAAACGAATATGATAAAAAGATAAAAAGTAAGCTTAAAATAATTATTAAAACTTAAAATGATCAAGTAAGCTTGATAATTATAATATCAAAGTTAATAAAGTGAATGACCATTTTAATTTTTATTGTCAAATTGTTTTTAACTAGAATTGAAAGTACTAAGTATTACTGAATTTTAGGGTTGCTATTGATTTTTATACTGATAAAATTTTGTATTTAAAGGTATTGTATGCGGTGAGTTTTGTATAGGTACTATTTAAAGGAAAAAAAGGCTTTAATAAATTTCAACTATGAAAATTAATTTACCAGTTAATTTGTAAAATTTTCAACTTAAATAATTTGTTCTATGAGTAAAAGCCATTTTGGTTTAATTAGACCAAAAATCCAGATAATATTTCGACTACAAAGAATGGTCCAATTTCAATTCTGTAAAGAGATTCCGAGTTCTTTGGCTACTTTACTGTTATGTGGGGAACCGATTTTCATTTAAACATTTTAGTTTCTTATAATTAAATAAATAAAATTTACAATTTTTCAATACTAAATCCAATTTTTTTACATAAAAAAAGCAAAAAATTAAAAATCTGTTTTTTACATAACCTAGTAATGTTTCAAAGAGCTCGTATATCTTGACAGAATTGATATTGGCTTTTTGGTTTTAACGCCAAAAAATCTTCTTAATTAAAATAGTTAAACACTAAGTGTAATTGGCTCTTTGACTTAATTATGTGTTCTCTGCAATCTTTTATTGTTTCCTCATTTATTTTTAGAACTGGAAAACGAATTAACAACCGAGAGTAAAAATTATAAAGATTTGTTAAGTAAACATGGAGTTTTGCAAAAAGAACTAATGGATGTTAAATCTAAATGGGTAGCCGAAAAAGATAAATTACGAAGGTGCTCTAATTAATTATAACATAATATTGTCATACTAAATTTTGTATTTATATTTTTTTAGTCAAATGGAAATAAAGAAAAAAGATATAACAAGAATCGAATTGGAATTAAAAAAATTAAATGATACCTTTACCAGCTCTAAGGATTCATGGAACATAGAAAAAATTAATCTACAAGTAAAAACAAAAAAAACTTAAAATTCAAATTTTTTTTGTGTTTTTTTAATTATAAATTTTTAAAAAAAATTATGGTTAAGCACAAAATAAAAGAAATGGAATTGTCTCACTCTACTGATGAATGGAAAAAAGAGAAAGAAATTATGAAACGACATTTAGAGGAAAATGTAAAAGAAATAAATGCTTTGAACAAACAATGCAGTCATTATACAGAACAAATAGAAAAACTTAGAAAAGAAGTATAAATATTGTATTTGGTGAACTATTTGAGTTACCAATTTGATATAATTTATTTTTTGCTAGAATGAGAATCTTCGAAGAAATCTAGATGACTTTGAAAAAGTGGTTCAAGTACAACACCACATGTCAAAAGAGACTGAATTGTTAGAAAATAATTTAAAAGAAATGAAACTTAAGTAAATGACACAACTATAAAATAATGTGTACTAAAATACTATAATAAATAATTAAACAATTTTTTGTTCCAGATTATACCGCGAAGAGCAAGCTAGAAAAATTGAAATCTCTGCATTAAAAGTACGTTATGACAATCGTATAGCAGTGCTTTCCGAAGAAATAAAAAATAGCCAGTTTCAAACACTTCGGTTCAAGAGAGAACGTGATTCCTTCAAACAAATGTTGGATTCAGCACCAAAAAAAGAAACTAATCAAGATAATAAAAATATAAATCATGTATGATTTTCTTTTTACACATTATACTAATGTCCTTTTTTTGATAAATATATTCTTTAGGATGAAGATTTGCAAATGCTACAACAACAAGTATCTTGCTTGGAAGAGCAATTATCTGAATCCAGGTTAGAGTGTTCCCGGATGAAAACTGAACTCGTGTCAGAAAAGTCATCATGGGAAATAACAAAATCTGAAATGACGTCTCGAATTAACCAGGTATATTTACAGAGCCAACAAATGAACACTCTAAGTAAGGATATACTTAATTTAGTAGTATTTGCAAATAATACTAGAAAGGCATAATGTATATAATTTTCAGTTACTATTAAAAGTAAATCTTGTAATATATATATATATATATATATATATTTTTTTTTTTTAAACATAATTTAATTTATGTTTTTTAATACCATTTGCTACTATTTGTCTAATCAAAATTAATTAATTACATTATAAATTTTAGTTGGAAGAAGAACGACTTCTTAATTCAGGAAGAACTAAACTCCAAGGATTAAAAGCGAAAATGGAATTAGCCTGGCAGAAAGAACGTGAAGATCAGCAACGCCTTTTACAAGAAACATCTACATTGGCAAGAGACTTGAGGCAAACTTTATATGAAGTATAACACAAGTCCTTAAGCTATGACTAATTCTGTTTTACATTCATATTACTTTGATCTATACTCTTAGGTCGAACGAGAACGAGATAAAGAAAGATTAGAAACAAAAAGACGTATTGATCATATAACCCAAAGCATGGATACTGATCAACAAGAAAATAGGAAAAAAGTTAATGAGGTAAATTATGAATAATATGTGTTTATAGTTGATTTTATGTATATAGTATTTTACTATAGAACATAATTAACATAATATATAGCTTTATTAAATGTTAGTTTTATTTTGTTTAAAAATACAAATTTAATTATACTTTAAGTTGCAATGTGATCTTATGGATTTACGCGATGCCCACGCCAAGTTAAGAACATTTAATGAGAAACTACGAAAAGAAAAAGATAAAATTGAACAAGAATGTGAATCATTAAAACTGTGCAATATTCGACTAAGATCAGATCCCCAAATGGAAGTTAAAATAAATAGTTTGTCACAATTAATTAAAAATTTAATGGCTACTTTAAATGATAACACTGATGTGTTAAATAAATCTTCAACATTAAAAACGCCAACACCTCCAATTAGGAAAAAAAATTCCATGTCAAGAGAATCATCTCCAGATATAACTACTAATCATTTAACAAATTACAACACAGAGAAAATAACAATTTTACTTACTAAAGTAAACGATTTAATTAAAGACATAGCCTACACTACAGTTCAAAAAGATGCTAAAAGTAAACGTTCAGTGTTCTCAGTTAGGTAAGCAAATTCCATAAAACATTAGAGTAATTACTCTAATAAGTAATAACTATTCTAATTTGTACTGCAATAGAATTTTCAAAATATCCCATACCTAGTTGAGTAAAATAATTGTTTGTGTACAAGATAAATTATTTGAATAATTCAAATTTTTAAAAGGTCTGCATCGAGTGAAAATGATCCACACGAGAAACCTCCAATTAGAGGAAGTTTATACAGAAAAAGTTTATCATTAGAGCAAAACTTTGGAAACACTGAACAAGTTAGTTTTATAGTTTTATAAATAATAAAAATAATAAAGTACCTATTAAATAATATATAGGATATTTGGAAACAAGAAGAAATTAATCAACCAAAAAAGAAAATTACTAAACAATCAAATAGTTTCGAAAGGTAATTACAGCCATTTACATTTAATCAGCTGTATTAAAGAACAAAGCTAATAACTTTTGCTTAATGTACTAATTTTTAGTCAGCAGTCTCATAGTTCTTCAAAAAGCGATATTGTTAGTGGAGAAAAACCTAAAAAGAAAGGACTTCTAGGAAAATTGAAAAAGTTGACTAAAAGCTCAAAAAGCTTTGATCAAGATAGTGATTCAGTATGTTAAATTAATATAAGGTGACTTTTATAAATTATTATTAGCATTACATTTTATTTTAATTTATTGCAGTCGGTAAAAAGCAACTCTAGTGTTCACAGTATTGATATTACAACTGGAAAAGAAACCAAAGGGAAATTGACTGATATATTTAAACCGTCGACATTACCAAAGTAAAAATTATAATTGTAAAACAAATATAAAAAGATATTTGCATTTTTATTTTGTTATTATATTTAAGCTTAAAAAAGAGAGCAATGTCTCCATCAATATTTAGAAGATCTGAACATTTAAGGAGTTCTCCAGCTCCTTCAGCGCAATCTGATGAATATGAAGAAATGCCTTAATTAGTGATTAAAAAAGTAGCTGTTATGAAAATTGACATATTAGAATTAAAACAAATTAATATTGTGATAGCTTATAGTAAGATCATGTTTTATATGGCCTTAATAATTTTTGTTATTAATTTTACACAATATTTAAGTTTTGGTAATTTTATCATAGAATTAAGGGTTTCAAATATTAAATATTCTGCTAGCATCGCCCATTCCTCCCACAGCATTTTATAATTGTACATTTCATAAATGTTCTTTAGTGAAAAAAAATTAATTAACTTATATGCTAGTCCAGTGACCGTTTTTAAATTTCAAAAGTTTTAAATAAATAGAAATTCATTAATACTACATGGTAAACACATCCTCCTTTTAAAATTAAGTACTCAATTTTTTTTTTAAATCATTGCCATGCTATAGCAAGACTTTATAATTTACTTAATACTACTTCAAAAGCGTATTTATTTAAGCATGTACTATTAAACAATTGTCACCACTAAGAAATGTTCAATTTCAAATTTAAAGATGTGTAGATCTTAACTTATTATAATTAAAAATAACCATGTTACAATTTTGAAACATGTCAAATATATTATGTTTTAATCCTAGTTTGGTGTTTTATTATAATTACAACTTTTAAAACTGTTTTAAAAATCTGCAAGGGTAGTAGTTTAATATACATTTTTAATAACACAATTGTATACTAATGTGTAGATACCTACAATTTCAGCCATAATAACATCATGTATGTTAACTATCAATTTGTATAATATTATTTAGAGTTTCGGATAAATTTCTGCCAGTTGATTCCAGAAGTATTTGGTTCATCTGGCAATGCTTCAAGTCCCTAAAATTAATCATTTAAATTAATATTATTACTAAAGAAATAATTTAAAAAAACTAGTTTTTACTTGTGTTTTGTATGGATGACCAGTAAGTTCCCAGTCTCTTGTATAATATCTTTGAATCCATGGTGTACCAATATCACGTCGGAATTTCTATAAAAAATAAAAAATAACGCTTAACATGTATGAAAAATTATGTTTTTAATATAATTAACATCCAGAGAACGCAAATATTTAAACAGTCATAAACAAAGTCAAAGACATGTTTATTATTTAAAAAAATAATAACCAAGTTCAATTCAAATAATATTCAAGTTCAAGATAAGAATTTTAGAAATATTTGTTTTTTATTTTATTATTAGGTGTTACATTTCTTTAATTATTGTAAACATATTATAGATTAGTTATTTTTAATGTTGTCTTTCAATCTGTAATACAAAATTGCGATTGCGTTGGTTTAAAAGTTAAAGCTACTTGATCTTTGGCGATTCTAATTGTGGAGGTAAGCAAGTTTACCCAGAAATTTGTCCGGAAATCAGTAGAATGTAAATTAAAAAACCCAACACTCTTTCACAAATGATTAAGGAACATTTTATTTATCGTATGATGACAAACAATAATAAACAGCTGGCGTTAGAAGTATCTAAAAGTTTTAGTCATCACTGAAGATGGTTCCTTAACATATTCACATTTCTGAGATGGGTAGCTAATCCACCGCCAGAAAAAAGAATGGTGGCTCCTTTTAAACGTACGCTTATCGCCTAACAAAGTCACCCAAACGTGATTGTTGAACAGGCAACAGTGAATGATAGCATAATACCTCTTCACCATATCTAATTTATTAGTATTTCATTTATTTATTATTTGAAACAATAATGATATTAATCAATTCGAAATTAAAATTTCAAGCATCCAGCAAAGTAAATTTATTCCACTTGATATGAAATACTTACGTTTCCTAAGGCCAATTTGTTAGTAAACGAGCATACTTTGTCTGGAATATTCAATAAAACGAATACAATGACTGCCGGCGGCAAAGCTTCGTACCACATTTTTTATTTTGTAACCTTATGTAAGAAAAAAATGTATTATATACTTTGGTACGATAAAGAATCTAAAAGCCCAATTACCTCTGAACTCTGAAGAAACCGACTAGTCCGACTAGTTAGATTTAAAGCGAAACTTCTGACTATCCCAATCTGAATATAATTATTATAATATTAATTAATTTTTATCTTAGGACTTGTTTTGTGATTAAAAGTCATTGACGGAGGATTTTGTTTTTTCGCAGTCAGCTGATAGCCATTTGCCTGACATCTAGGATCTTGATACATCGAGACCGACCAGTGGTCGTAGACAGTACGTGCAACCCTTGATTTGCAAATTTTTGTGGATCCGACATATCACGCTGGTCGAGTGGCTGCACTGTTTCTTTCAATGGCGTTTGTTTGTTTACTGGCTATTTCTTATTGGCTTCGGATTCATTAGCTTCTCAAAATTTACGGTGCGTTTTTGCGCTTGTTCCGACACCCGAGTCCCGAACGCGGCCGCCGTACGCGTTATGGCCATTTAAATAATTAAGTTGTATCATCGCAATCATAATGTTGTAGAAATAAATTGTTGTTTTATTTTGTCCGTTGCGGTTGTTTATATCCTAAATTACTGTTTATATTTGAAAATTCTATCTTTAACGGCGTTCACTTTGTTGATAAAACGTGTCTTAAGGGAAAAAAGCTGGCCCGCGCTTCTTTTGGCCAACACTACCGCTGCTAGTCAACGTCGTTGCGGTGTCCAATTCATTAATAGCTGTCCTGTCGTCCAAATAAATCCATCATGTCTATAACACCATTTAAGAAACGTGTTTGCTACTACTATGATAGTGAGTCCTTCAAGTATTAAAAAAAAAAAAATGTAGTATTAAAAGTTAAAGAAATGAAATCGGTCTGATGGACTTTTAGCGATTATTTATTATTCTTGTCAAAAGTAGTAATACTCAGCTGGAAAGTTCCTAGATAGAAATAATATTTACCCAATTGGTTGAACTAAAATTTGTTTTCTAGTAGTGTAATATTATGTAAACCATCTAAACCGTAGGATTTCTGAATACCTATACATTTATAAACTAACATTTCCACCAAACTTCACGCATTTATGACCAATATGTTATCAAAAATAATTTATGAAAAAGGTTTGTATTAATTTGCTTAATAATATATGTTATGTACGTATAAATTAAACAAGCCCTATAGTATGCTCAATTTTTTTATTTTTGTTTTGATGTTATTATTTAATAATAATTATATTTTTATTCTAAAAAAAGTACACGCCGTGATGGGCCAAAACAACAGTTCATCAAACTAAATAAGAAATATTTTAAAATGCTTCAAGCACAAAAAATAGTATGGAACAAAATTACTTTACCATGCATCTTTTTTTTACGATTTTTATTGTGCTTTCTTATAGTGTTTTTTAACTGATTACGAATTACAAATTACGTAGGCAAAGAACATTTTTAAAGTTGGCGTCTGCTGCATCATGCAGTTGTTGTCTGCGACGTGACTCTAGGTTGACAATCACAGTATTTTCGTTATCAATAAATTACCATGATCATAATATTATACCAACCCAATTTGGTTGTAGCAAAAAACCACGAAGGGCAGGGAAATAATTAATTTACATACCTACGCTTAATGTGGTAATTTGTTAGAACAGGAAAAAATTCTCAAAAATATCCCATGTTAAAATGAACACTGGCAAATATATAACCTATAAATAAGTAAAACAACTCTCCACGCCTGTCAGTTCCGGTAGCTGACTCCAGCCACTATAGCTCTTCGTTAGGATGGGGGCTTAAACCCTCAAACCCCCAGAAGAAAAAATAACTTGCTTAAAAGACTTAACTAACCTGGTACTACTCTGGAAGCGTTAGCCACCTAACGATACCAAACCTTTTCTTTTTTTGCACATGCATCCATAGTAAACTGGGGAGGTACTTGCCTGTTGGGTCATTACTTCCCCCCAGTTTTCCGATGCCGTTTATTGAAATCAATAAATTTACAACTTTGTTTGGGTGGGTGCTCCACACACCCACTCAACCTTTCACTTAAACCTAAACATTTAAATCTTAAATCAACGAAATCAAACCTAACCTAACCTACCTTTCAAAATAACAAAAAGTAATATGCTCTAATGTAACTGTCTGAACGATAATGTCTGCCGCTGTAGTCACCCCTGCCCGTGGCCTACTGTTATATATGCAGCAAAATTTAAATAGCTATAACTTTTGAACTAGAGGAGTCTACCGATTACTGACTTCAGATTCGCAATCAGTGTAAAAAGAACTATAAGTTGACAAAAAAAAAAAAAATTGTTTGGTAAAGTAAATTTATGCCAAGTTTTCTTTAGCTAAGCATATTTCTGCTCACACCGACTGAACTAAGAAATATTTTTTATATTCTAAATATTGATCTAGCTATCCTCTTTGGAAATCTTATTCTGGAAAGAAATGATGGATATAAATAAGTTTTTATATCAAAAAATATATTCAACCATCATTGTTCATAACAAATGAAGGGGAAAAACAATTATAGTCACTCTACATTTTTTTTCTTCTAAAATTTAGATTAATAAATTTGAGTATTGTGTAATTAAACTTGTCAATAAATATAATAAAAAAACAATATTATTTTATCTGCGTTATACTTTATCTCCGGGTCTTTTTTTAGTTCTAAAACTTCAAAACTGTAATACTGAAAACTTAGGGTATATTGACTATGACTATTTTTCCCCATAGCCATTTATTAAATGTGTAAGTGCAAGGGACTTGAATTTTGAGTTCTTTAATTAAGTTAAATTATTAATAGAATTTTGTGGCCAATAAGAGAAGTGATAGACATATTTATCTATGTATATTTATTTATATTTTTGTTTCCATTTTATTTTAACTATTATGTTAAAAATTAGTTATTTTACAAGATTATAAAATACATCTTTTTAATGTCTTACTTGGTATTTTTATAATGTTATTAAATCAAATTTGTCTTGTGGATGGGATGTTCTTTTTTTTAACTTTACAGGTATTTATTATTTAATGCATTATACAGGGTGAAACTCATTTTCTCAGACACTCAATTTCTCCTAAAATAATTGCAATTTTGTAGTTTTTCTTGTTGAAAACATTTTTGATAATGTTATTTTACAATATTATAAAATATTTACCTTTTTTGTATTTAATAAAACTCTTAACTTTTGAAACTTAAAGAGTATCTTATAAATTTAATTAATTATTTCAATTAAGAATGATTTACTGAATATTTTGACTAGTCGATAACCAGTTTTGGGTAACGACTTTTAAAGTTATGAAAGTTTAAAATTTAAGGCGGAAGGAAGGGTAGAGAGTAGTATGTTTTTATCTATCACATTTTTCTTACGCTCTTCTTGAGTAACATAAAAAAAATTGATTAAAATTGATTAATATTATGTGGATTGGGTTTTTAATAGTAAATTATAATAATTCCACAAAGTTACTCAAGTTTTAATTTAGATTTATTATTATTATATTTAAGACTCCGTTATATTTTGGATTAATATTTTATGGAAAAAAACAGTAACTATTTTAATTTGAATTATTACAAAATAATGTATGCAAACAGTGTGCTTGTTTTCCATGTATTCATTTTTTAAATAATCGCACTATGCCAATGTCCATTGTGATGTAACCCACATAACGTGTTTGTATAATATAAGATGATAATTAATAAACGTTTTAAGAAAATTGTTATCAACCACAAATTTGGTCTAAATACAAGTGTACTAAACATGTAAAACATGTTAAGTTCTTAAGCCTTCCAAAGGAAGGAATGTGCCAGGAAAAGTTTGGGAACTGCTGAGCTAGAATATAAGTTAATTTTTTTAATAAAATGTTTTTTGTAATGTAATTATGAGTTTTTTTTTCACTCGTCCGGGAAAACAGGCCTCAAGGCTACTCTCTAGTAAGAAGGCCTTTGGCCCTTTTAATACTTTTATTAAATATTAACAGTTATATTTTTTCCTAATAGGTGACATAGGAAATTATTACTATGGACAAGGTCATCCAATGAAACCTCACAGAATTCGAATGACACATAATTTGCTTTTAAATTATGGTTTATATCGCAAAATGGAAATATATGTTAGTAACACAGCAAAAAATTGAAAAGAAATATTTTACACAATTTATTAAAAATGGTTTTTTTTTTTAGAGACCTCACAAAGCTACTGCAGAAGAAATGACTAAATTTCATAGTGATGAATATATACGATTTCTTCGAAGTATTCGTCCTGATAACATGAACGACTACAATAAACAAATGCAAAGATGTAAGTTTATTTGTTTCAAATGTTTGTTAAGATTTTTAATAACTAATGTCATTATAGTTAACGTTGGGGAAGATTGTCCGGTTTTCGATGGATTATATGAATTTTGTCAGCTATCTGCTGGTGGCTCAGTAGCGGCAGCTGTAAAACTAAATAAACAATCGGCAGACATCTGTATTAATTGGGGTGGTGGTCTCCACCACGCAAAGAAATCTGAAGCTAGTGGTTTCTGTTATGTTAATGATATTGTATTAGGCATATTAGAGTTGCTTAAGTATCATCAACGTGTCTTGTATATTGATATTGATGTCCATCACGGCGATGGTGTCGAAGAAGCTTTTTACACTACAGACAGAGTTATGACAGTTTCATTCCACAAGTATGGAGAATATTTCCCTGGTACTGGAGACCTCAGAGTATGTTATTTTTCTATTAATGTATATTTAAGGTTCTTATGTGAAGCGAAAAGGGGCCTTATTTTGCAAAACTTAAATTTTGAGTTATTGACTATTCAAAACTTTGCACTAAATTATGAACATTTTAAGACCAGAATCGTTCCCCTATCTTGAAAATTGGCCAAATTAATTTTGAGAAAAAACACTTTAAAATTTTGAATTGTCCAACTAACCTTAACTATACTTCAGAAATGAAACTTAACCAAAACTTAAAATATAGTGTATTAAGCAAATAACACAATTGTTTTTTCTTCAATTTGTTTCGAACCTTGATCGATGTTTTGGCCTCTCCTGCGGTTTGGATTCCGCCTTACAAATGATAAAACATAATAAACAATTACTTATTTTGATGTGTAGGATATTGGAGCGGGCAAAGGAAAATATTACGCTGTTAATATTCCTTTACGGGATGGAATGGATGATGATAGTTATGAATCTATATTTGTACCTATTATTACTAAAGTCATGGAAACGTTCCAACCCAGCGCAGTTGTTTTGCAGTGTGGTGCTGATTCGCTAACGGGAGATAGACTTGGTTGTTTTAATCTCACTGTGAAAGGTAAAATTTATTTGTTTATTCTTTAATAATTTAATTATTTAATAGTTTTAATAATTTAATAACTTAACAGTTTTTACTAATTTTTTTATAATGAAACTTAAAATTCATTGTAGGTCATGGAAAATGTGTTGAGTTTGTTAAACGCTACGGTTTACCATTCCTAATGGTTGGAGGAGGTGGTTATACAATCAGAAACGTATCCCGATGTTGGACATATGAAACAGCAGTTGCTTTGGGGGCTGAAATAGCAAATGAATTGCCTTACAATGATTATTTTGAGTATTTTGGTCCAGATTTTAAACTTCACATTAGCCCTTCAAATATGACAAATACAAATGCTACTGAATACTTGGAAAAAATTAAGAACAGGCTCTTTGAAAACCTAAGAATGTTACCCCACGCTCCAGGTGTTCAAGTTCAAGGTAAATTATCTAAATAAACTAAATGATTGCCTCTAATTTTATTTTGTATGTTTACATGTGTATACTTAATACAACTTAAAACTTTTAAAAAATGAAAGAGCATTAATAAGATAAATCTTACTCAAACTAAATCTAAAATAGTTAAAACGTAATATTTATTTTAAATAAGTTACTATTTTTATCAATTAAAGTATAATAGATACTGAAAAGCTAAGAGGTTTATAGTTGAATTGTTTCTGTTTGATAGTAGATACTTTTTTGTTATCAGCTATACAATCCAATTATATAACCTATTAAAAAAGTACCCAGTGGCAGAGAGTGTTTTAAAAAGTTAAATGATTTTTATATAAAATTGTAATTGGACCAAAATATGTTTGCATATACATTGAGGATTGAAATTAAATATGAAATCAAAATTGTTAAAAAGAGGAGGTCAAAATGGTCTTAAAGTATCTAATAGTAGCACTGATGAAAAAAACCTTATACTATTAATTTATCTTTGAAACTGAGCTTAAAAGGAATATAATTTGTTTATAATTTAAACATACAAAATAATGACTATAAATTATAGAGGCGCATTAGATTATGTTTTTTACAAAATAGTGTTTCTATAAAAAAAATTTGACTTTTATAATATAATTATATAATGGTTTCTGCTTTTTTCTGGTGTCATAAAAAAAAAATTATGTTCTACATATCTTGTAGAGATCTGCAAAATAAGTATAAAAACTGAAAAAATGTCATTCGTAATCTAAAGTTCTTAAAATACGTGACATCTAACCTATTCAAATATCAAATATTAGAAAAGAAACAAAAAAAAATTGAAATACTGATAAAAAAAAGTAGAATAAAAACAAATACCATAAAAGGATTTAATATTGAGCTCAATGTGATTTACTGACACTATTTTTAAAACAAAAAATAGAATAAGAAAAGAAACATAAAAATTTTAAGTTTAGATTAATAACCTATAATTATAAATAATTTAAAAAGCGACAAAGCTTTTTTGATAAGTTATAACATGTCATGATGTCTATTGTCTGATGCCAAACTATCAAAAAGTTGCTTAATAATCTACATAATGGCTAAATAAACTATGGTCAAATCTAGTTATTATTGTATTATAACTTACAAAAAAGTGGTATTTCATTCCAGCTATTCCTGAAGACGCTGTACAGAATGATTCCGAAGATGAAGATACTGTCAATCCTGATGATAGAAACCCTCAATCATTACAAGACAAACGTATTGCTCCTGATAACGAGTTTAGTGATAGCGAAGATGAAGGAATGGCTGCTGGTGTTGGTGGCGGTGGCCGTAAAGATAATAGGTATTACCATTGTTTATTAGTTTTATGTTATGTATGTTTTATATTAGTATTTTATTTTATAATTTAGATCTTATAAATCTGGAACACCTGCTAGAAAACAAGCCCGTTTAGATTCAAATAAAATGGAAGTTGATGAGCCAGAATTCAATATTATGAAAGGTAGCATTACTAATATTTATCAAGCAATATAACTATTATTTCTATATAATAACTTATCAAAACAAATTTTTAATAATGTTTCTACGGCCAATTTCTTCTCTCTTCTTGGCCTTCATATTTTTTAGTTTTAAGACTGGGTACTTTCCTGGGAATGAAAAATCATGGACATTTCCAGAGAAAGTTCCTTAAAAAAATGTTTAACCCAACTTAAACGAACTTATTAATTTTTCAGATGACAAAGAAGATAAGTCTGTTAGTTCTGATGATTCAAATAAAAAAGACTCCGTAAAATCGTGATTGTACAACACTAAAAACAAAAATGTAAATAATAATAAACAAAAACATTATTTCTTGACATTAACTGAACAATGTCGTTCGTGTACATAACACACTTAACTAATATGGCGGTATAATGTAATTTAGTAGATTTGTTTTATTAGTTACTGACTTACAGCTTGTGATGCTGAACTTAAGTGATAATAACAATGATCTTCATTCATTTGAAAAATAAAACAAATTATTAGGCTGCAACGACATTAAAAATTGACATCAGAATTCTTTTTTTTATATATTTATGTATAGTTAAATTTTTATAAATTCTGATAAGTATTTTTTTATGTGTACATTTATTTAATGCATACTGTCAAATTTCACACAGCTAAAAAATGTTTGAATGGATGTTAATATTGTTGGCCTACTAGATATACACCAATGAACTTAAAATATGGTTTTTTAAGGTAAAATTTATTGTAAGATGTAGCTTTTCTTTTGAATATTTTCATTTTTACACAATATTATTATCCAATATGAACAACGTGTGTAAGAACAGACATTATTAAATTCAATTTCTTGTATTATGTTTTAGTAATTTAACGAGTTTTTTTTCTGCACCAGGTGTATGAATTTTACCGCGAAATTTACAGTACAATTTTATGAATCTACTGATTATTTTTTTCATATCTGTAATCTAAATAAAATAGCTTTATTAATAGTAAATTAGTTTTAAAATAAGACCTGATGTAAGATCATGATCATTTGTCAATCCTAAAAATGTATTTTTATTTTGTACTATTATATTATATACAAAAAAATTAAATAACTTATTTATTATTTTACTATAAAATTGGTCAGTTTGTTATTGTTATTAATCATTATTATTGTTTTTTTTTCTAAAAAGAGAAGCAAGAGACACTCGCCGCTTTACATTTAATGGTTCATGTTTAAGCTATTATAGTTTCATTCTAAAGAAAACACCAGTTTTTTTTTCTACCAGATTACGTTAAGTGACTTAGTAATCCAAATTAGCTAAGCTGAAAGTTATTTGAAAAAAAAACCCTTATTATTTTTTAGTAAAAAGTTTATTATACATTATAAAAAAAAAATGGATTTTGTACAAAACAATGACATTTTATTATATTTTTGGACCTGGTCTGTGATGATGCTAGTTCTACATGGTTCAATTAGGAATAACTAAAAAAAAAATTATTTTGAAGACGTAAACCCGACTTATTAACACAGTTTTAAATTGTAGATATTATCTTCTCTTTGTATATAAATTTCTTCTGTCCGTGTGTAAGTATGCAAACTCCTAAATGGCTGGACAGATATTTATGAAATTTTGTGTATGCGATTAAGTTGATTCGAGAAAGGTTTAGATTCACAATTTGATCCCATAGAACATGTTTTTAATTTTTAATAAATTAAAATGATAAATTATGATTATCAATAGTTATTGATACATCACTATGGTTTTTCATACCACAGGGATACAGTGATCCGATCAGCTGATTGTATGTCTATTCTAATACACAGGCAACGCCGGGTCGGGACAGCTTGTTATAATATAAGTTATTAAGTTTAACATTTTAAACAATAATTTTTTGTGGTTACTTGGTTATTAACAAAGACTGAAAAATGAGACTATACAGTAGTCTTATGCTGGACCTGTATACATTTTAAACTATGTATATCTAATATATTTATAATTAACATATTATTAGTCTATTATATTGATTAAGACTATAAAACTAATAATTAATCATAATGTCAATTGTGTTATTCCATAGTTGGTAAAGCTATAAGCCCAAAAGTTCCAAATCTAAACCGTCCAAGCCCCGATCGGTAGGAATAATGGATGTTTACGTAAAAAAGAAGAGAGAAGAACTATAAAAAAAGAATTAAAACCACCAAAATTTGCATCAGCACAGCCGAAATAATAATAATAATAATAATGCATATGGCGTATTGACCGGGAGTGGCTATGGCTAACTTTATGCCAGTTTGGTCACTGGGTTGCATGGCATTTCAGCCATGCATCCGGGGTTGATAGTGTGGGTCGCCGCTAAAAATCCTGGGTGGTCACCCATCTGGGATCAAGCAGCAACGGACACAGCATAACCTCAAGTGCCATGCGGTACCTGAGATGTCCACTGCACCACACCTCCCGGTACAGCCGAAATATATTTATAGTAAAGGAGTTGATTTGGCTAATTTGAAAATACAAAAATAATGTATATAGATATCTCATTTCTAAACGTTTGCTTCAATAAAAATGAGTAAAGAAAAATAATATATTTATCATATTTATATGAATTTATCAATAGAAATTACATAAGTCAAACTAATTAATACATGTTTAATAAGCAAAAAGAAATGGTACAGCCAAATAATTATGGTGTTTTTATTTTTAAACTAAAATGTATTAAAACTTGAGACTAAACGCTGGTGCTGCAGGAATTTTTGATAAATTATTTCCGAGATGGAATCCTTCATCTTCTTTAAGTTGTTTATAGTCTCTTCCTCCAGAAGGTGGTTTTGGACTGGCAGCAGCTTTGCGTGTCCCGCCTTCACTTTTGGCAGGCCATGTTGGAAACATTGCTGGATCTATAGCGAGGGGCAATTCTGAGAAATATTTGTGGCCAAGTGCCTCTTCTGCTGTGATACGAGTTGCTGGGTTATACGTAAGCATCCTATTATGAATTATTAGCAAATATTTAGGGGGAAAAAACCAGCTTTAAAACTGAAAAATCTATACTCACTTTTTAAGAATATCATATCCAATATCAGACAAAACACCGTCTTTCATAAATCTTCCTTTGAAATTTGAAGGAGGAAAATCTGGCATTGACAATTTTGTCACTAATGATAAGTTGCAATATCCAGGCCAAACTTTTTCATTAGGAGTACCAAAAGTAGTGAAGATTTTTTTTAATTGATCATATTCAGATTTTCCAGTGAACAAAGGTTCCATCAAAAGAAATTCAGCAAATATACAACCCACAGACCAAATGTCAATTGGGGTGGAATATTCCTATAAATAAAATTGATATTATTATTATTATTAAGCAAATTACTGAAATTATACAACTCGAATTGTTTACTCACTTTAGCACCTAATAAAAGTTCAGGCGAACGATACCATAATGTTACAACAACCGGTGTATATGCTTTTAATGGCGAACCATATTCCCTTGCCAAACCAAAATCACCAACTTTTAAAACGCCTTTGTGACTTAGAAGCAAATTTGATGTTTTTAAATCTCTATGAAGAATCCAATTGTCGTGTAAATGTTCTACAGCTGCAAGAAGTTGCTGCATTAAACACTTGACTTCAGCTGAAATGTCCAACACACGTTTGATGAGTATTAAAATAAGTATTATGCAAATATCCTACAAAATAAGTGTTTAACTATTAATACCTGCTGTAAAAGATTGTTTTTTCTGTCTCATTGTTTCCATTAACGATTTCATATCATGTTCTACATAATCCATCACAATAAAAATTTTGTCCATATTGCTACCAACAACTATTTCTCTCACAGTCACTATATTAGGATGCTGAGATTTTAGTAGAGTACTTATTTCCCTTAACGAAGTGATTGGAAATCCTTCTTTTTCTTTTTCCATTTTAAGCCGCTTTAAAGCTACTATTTCATCTGTTTGTTTTTCTTTTGCACGGTAAACTACACCATATGTTCCTTCTTCAATTCTGAAAAATATATACTTAAATGATATCTGTTGTTTTAATGATTATTATTGCTATACTCATTTATTTGAACACAATCAAGTACTTGTGCATATTATGGATCTATAGTTAAGTGACGTACAGTATTTATTTTAGATTTTTTGTTTGAGGGGGGTGTATTAAAAATTATCAGGGTAAAAAAAATGAAAAATTTAATTTGTATATCATCTTGGTGCTATATCCTGGAGGGGGGTTTCATTTTTCTCCAGGGGGGATTATCCGGTCACCCTCCTGAAATAATCACTAGCAACATGCAAAAATCAATCCAAACATCCCTTGTTCTGAAATTTGGCACACTATATCCGTTGGGTTACACGTCAAGTTGACAAAAATTAATTCTTTATTAAAATACCTGTTTAAACATTGAAATTCTTCTACACTTCGACATCCTTGCAAAGCCGGTAAATATTCTTTAGGTAACAGTGGCGGTGAAGAATTTTTTTCCAATGGAATATCCATTTGTATTTCAGTGTCAACTTCTGGTGATTTTGATTCTTCTTTTACTGAATTATTAGCACTACTACTAGATCTATCGCCAGATTTTTCTAAACAAAAAAAATATTTGTTTGTATAAATTAAGAAATTGTTTTCTTTAATGAGGTGATCTCTGGAAGAAGGCCCTACTATTGGCTTTTTTTCCACAGACCATAAAGACCCTTTAGTGCACGCTAAGTGGCACTGTATACCATATTTTCCATAAAAGGGTTAATTATGCGAGCACATCAAGATAAATGAACCGCTAACTCTCAATTTAAAATTATATTGAAATACATTTATAATTCCATACAACTTAATAATTATTTATTTATTAATATTTTACCACTAGATTGTGAACTTTTAGAAGAACTCGAAGCAGTTGAACCAGAACTATCAGTTTCATCGCCCGATTCTTCCGCTTCGCTGTTAGGAACTGATTTGGCTTCTTCTAGAGGTGGAGTAAGGGAGTTTTCTTCTGGTTTTGATTTATTATTTTCTTCTTCGTGTTCACCACTTTCTTTTTCAGAATCGGACGAAGATGAATCGTTAGATAAAACCACCAAATCAGGTGCTATATCTGGCCCTATAGCATAGAGAAAGACACAACATGTTATTACTAACAGTATTAACTTTGAAAAACTTGCACATGTAATGAAGGTTAGATTTACATTTTTTAATTATTTCGACATCTCTGTATTAATTGGACAATATTCAAGTAACTAACTTTAATTTGTAATCAATACAATACGAATTTGATATATTTTAATCTCTACTTACTAGGGCGGTCTATCATTTTATAATACTGTTCGATATATTGATCACGTTCTCTGTGTCGACGGGTGTCCCTTTCGTCTTCTTCTCGTTTTTTTCGTGCATCCCTGGATTCATTATCATTTCCCTCTTTTGACTGATGATAATGTTTATGATCTGATGTACGATATCTTTCTTCTTTTTCCATTTTCTTTTTTTGCAACAAATTTCTCAAATCATTTTCCTTTACAAATAAAGAATAGTCATACATATAAATGTATGCTTATATTTATTATTGTTTAATTCCAGTACTCAAATCTGTAGGTACACCAATGACAAATAAAAATATGTCCACAATGTTAAGAAAACAACATCAAAGTACTATAAATTTTGGTCAATGAATTTAAGAACAATATCATATAATTATTTTTTTAATATATGCTAACAAAACCACACAGATCTTTATGTGCCCACTTATAAAGTCACATTCTCATACAACTACTGGTCACTGTTCACTTGTTTAGACCTCTACAGTTTGTTAACTAAAATTAATAAATTATTCATTTGACAATAGAAAGAAACTTACTTTCAAACCCTCTTCTCTAGAGAATTTTTCATGTTTTGAATGTTTATCATGGCTATGGCTACTTCTTTTCTTATAATGATCCCAATCTTCATTCTCAATTCTATCGGGATTTCTAGAATCTAATTTGTAATAATCATCAGGTTTTTTTATTCTTTTACTTCTGTGATCATGTTCTTCTTCCCTGAAATTTTGTTTGTTTTTAGTAACATAATATATACATTATAATCTTATCTAAAAACTTTTTTAAATATTAATTGATACCGTGTATGCCTGTGTTTCCTCTTGTCAAGATGTCTAGATTGATGTTTTTTTGCTGGATCCTAGAAATTATGAATACATTGTAAAAGAGCCAGTACAGTGGGGTCGGGGCATAGTGGGGACGGAGAGGTCACAGGTCTACAGATTTTATTATAACTGAATAAGATAAAATCACTGTTAAATAAACGCTTCGATGCGAATCTGTGGGTAGTATGTTCAAACCAGTTATAGTGGTTTAGAAGATATCGTGGGAATTTTTCAACTTAAAATTACGATGCTCTAAAACTTTGCTTGAAAAAGTAAAATAAAGAAAAAAATTCTATCCCTTCTAGGGGAAAGGGTTTATGATATTTGTTTGGTTTGTTAATGGTTATCAATAGTAACTATGTTTTGTCTATATAGAGTACTATGTTTGAAGAACAATTCATATAAATTTGGAACTTTTTCGACTATTTTTAAAAAAGTTATAGGGCATCGTAATTTTAAGTTGAAAAATGTGTACATTTATTAGGTTTTTCTCGATTTTGATGGGGAAGGGGGGACTTTTTTAAATGTTTGGCCTAAAAAAGTACCTTCCAGGTATGATTTCTAATCTATAGAGTTGCTACACGAAGAAATCAGTTTAGCACTTTACGAGATATCGTGGGTCCAGACACAAAAATAAAAACACATCATTGTAAAAACAATACCTTCTCAGCTCCGCACCGAAGCTAAAACAATTAGTCAATGACTATTCTAATAAGTAATACACTAGCATGTGTAACCAAAGCCCGGTCCACAGGGAATTTTTCAGTTGCTACATGCATTGTAAAAACACTTATTTTAATGTTATTTATGAATGACCTATTCCTCACTTGTAAAACATACTAAATCATTGTTACTTGTAGTAAATAAAACGTGAGTAAAATTTGCTTAAAGTTTGGTAATTTTTACAAATTTACTCTTTACTTGTCTATAATAAACTTAGAATAACATTTTATTAATCCAGCTTATGACATGTCAAGCAATTTTAATGTCTATTAAGTTCATACAATTCCCATCTTCAATCTATATTGTGAGCTAGACACATTCACATTTGGGGCATAAACATAAATACATACATTTGCGCTTATTTTATACATTGTGTCTAGTAGAATGAAATATATATATAAAATATGAGATTTGTAATTCTCATTAATTATTCCTAAGCAAATAACATGATCAAAAATTACAACAATGAGTATAAAAATGTTGTCTTCAACCCCCTCATCCTTAATAAGATGTTTAGTCAACTTAAGTCTAGTCCTGTCACTTAAGTTTTATTTATGTGAAAATTAATGAATTTTATAAAAAATTAAAATCACTTTTGAATGTTTATGATGACTTGGTACTTTGTGTCTTGATTTTTGCACTTTAGCTTGAGGAGGTTTTATAGTTAAAGTATGGTCTAAGGCTGGTTCCTCTTCATCCGTGATTCCACTAAAATAAAAATATTTGTTTAGTAAAAATACTATGTAGTACATAATTGTAAAACCATAATAAAGAAATAAATAATAAACATTATTGAACAAATTAGTTTTACATTTTACTGGCATGCAATTTGTCCTCTCGTGTTTTGTCTTCATGCAATACCCTACATAGTTAACAGGTTAGAAGTTATAAATTTAATAATCTTTATTACAAGCTTTCTAAGACAGAAAGGACCAAATCCATTTATGTTACTTTTTAAAAAAAAATTAAAAAAACTGGAATTATACCTTCATAAACATAAAGTTTGTTGCAGATATACTCGGGTATATTAAAACATTTTTTGAAGAAACAAAATGTAAAAAACATCTAATTTATTTTGAATTTTTGTACTTATGAAATTTCAACTCTCTATTTTCTAAGTTGCAATTTACATAGCACTTGTAATATGTATCCAATCATTTTTGACGTGAATACATTCTAAAATTTCTTATAAGAGTCATTCCAGAAATAAGCATGACATTCTACAATAACAAGTCCTTTTGGAAAACCTTATTACTCAGTCAATTAAAGAAAGGTATATAAGTGAGGCCCGTTAAATACATGACGAGAAATATACCTTCAGTTGGATTACAAAAAAATTAATTTTCTTTGAACTATTTCTAATCACAACTATTGAGTATTATATTAATGCTTATACTGTGATTAATGCAACTGCGTCCTGATACAGTTAATGGACAATAGTTTTTAGTATTTGTTAAGACCATTATAAAAAAAACTGTGAAAATAATAATTATTATGGCTCACCATTAATGATAAATTTTGTTGGTATGTTTACTATTTATTATTGGCATCAAATAAAGAGTTGCAATAGTTATGGAATAAAGTGTAGAAGTTTACTTAGTATAGCATAAGGTATATTATCAAACCAAACAAATAAGCAAATGGCTGCCACCAAATATTAATAACCCATCTGTTAATATGTATGCGTTATTTTCTTTTTAGTACTTATAATAATTATTACCTGCTAGGAGAATTATCGTCCATGATTAAATGAAAATGCCAAGCAATTTAATTTTTAACATATATACACAACAATAAAACTATTTGACTTATAACATTAATATTTTCGTTAAGTAGTGCGAGCCCAAAATACATCCAAATTCAATGTGTTTTATTAATATATTAATTTTTAAATATTATCAAAAAAATGCAATATCAACAAAATTATGATAATATTGATAGCAGAAAAAGGTAACCATGAGGCTCTCTGCACTCGACATTGCAGTGTGCAATTCAAAAGATGCATTGTGCAGCATAGCCAATATAGCAGTTAAAAATGTCGTTAAAGATTGTGTCAATGAAAATTTGTATTAAGACGGGGAAAGAACAACCGGGTAAATAAATTATGATATTTTCTAAACATTTTTTAAAAGTCATTAGCGTAATGAGATTTTTTACAGGTTTTTTTTTTCAATTATTTTATCAACTTTTACAATTTAAATTGTATGAACTAAACGCAAATTCCATTTATTTATAAATTCTTAATATTAATTATTTATTTTTAAAAAATGATATAGATGAACTTAACTGATAACGTTATCAATTTAGGAATTTTCCAGACCACTTTTTTTCTCTTTAAGATTTCTACTTCTCATTAAGACTTGCGTCTGGTCGCGTTCTGTTGGTCTACGGTTTCCTATCTTTAATTTTACAACAACCCGAAGACGACAGCATTTTAGCTCAGACTTGTGTTCACTTCTGGTGCGCCGATCCCGTTTAAGTAAGTTAAAAAAATAGCCATTTGATCGGTTACTAAACTATTGAAAATAAAAACGTTATAAAAACCATCTATTTGTAAAATTAATAATTGGTAATTGACTTGAGTTTTTTTCACATTATAACACTCTGGACTATTAAAATTAGACGTGGCGAATCACTTGTCTCCTTTTCATCCAATATATATATATATATATATATATATATATATATATATATATACAAAATACATATATATTTAAAATAATATATTTTATTTATTTATTTAAAAATAACTTCGCTGTATTTTATTTAGAACTTTCTTCATGATCCAAAAAAATTTTTAATATAATCATTCTTACTAAATTTGTGAAATTTATTTAAAACAATAATATATTGACAACGGGGAGGGGGGTTAGGTAAATTTAAAAAGTAATTTAAGATGTTTAAAAATGATGTATTTATACTTTAATTGATTTGTAGCATTCTTTAACAATCAATAAATGTATCTAATTTAAATTTTAGATAGGGTATTAGTTTAATACTGGGCGATGAGTATAATTAAAATTTGTCAAACAATTAAAAAAATTAAATTGTTGATTTAAAAAAAAAAATATTAATTTTAGAAATAACAATATCTATGTATATTTTATAATATTTTTGTAATTAATTTTTAGTCATATTTTAATATTGTTTTTTTTAAGTTATTAGTAATTAGTAATAATTATTTTAAATATGTACTTGATCATATTATTAAGTTTATGACTAAACCTTATAATTTTGCATTTTGATTGTTTTCATTTTACCAAGTCTTTGCCAATTATTTATGTATTAAAATAATTAAAAAACCTATCATAATATATTTTGTACATAATCCTAGTATACATATATATAACAATGCAAAATATGGCAAAACATTTTTCAGGATCCCGCTTTTCAAATGACTGTTAAATGTTTGATATGCCATCAGAATTTGTTACAAAAACCGAAGTAGAGTTATCTACAAACAAGCACATAGCCAATCGACAACATTTTGCTACTCTCAAGTCCATGGAAGTCTTTCTTAATCATAAATTGTATAACATCATTAGAACTAAAAATTCCTTGGAAATACTACTGCACCAAAACTTACCTGGTAAAAAAACTAGTCAATACTTCAACATACCCATTCTACAAAACAGATGGAAACGAAAAATGGCATTGAAAGCATACCACTGCCAAATGAATCGTCACTGATCAAACCCAAAGACATAGAAAACACAGCGTTAGTTGAAAACCATGATTCATTTTTATCAGATTGTCTTCCAAATAATGTTTTACATGATTTCATACATACTCTTAGACAACGAGCAAAAAGCCCAACTTTAAGAAGACCTATTGTTTTAAACCCTTTGAGGACATTCACAGACATTAATCTAACTAGAACAGGTCTTCGTAATGTGGATCTTTATGAAATCATTTCACAAATTGGAGAGGGTTCTTATGGTCAAGTGTACAAAGCCAAAGAAAAAAAATCCGACACTTTTGTAGCTTTAAAAAAAGTAAGATTAGAAAATGAATCGGAAGGTTTCCCTATAACTGCAATTAGAGAGATAAAAATTCTAAGGGAATTAAATCACAAAAATGTCGTTACACTAAAAGAAGTAGTCACTGATAAAGAAGACATTTTAGAATTCAAAAAAGGCGGAGGCTCCTTTTATTTAGTCTTTGAGTATATGGATCATGATTTAACCGGTTTAATAGAATCGGGTATAGTAGATTTCACAGTAAAGGACAACGCTAGTATAATGCGTCAATTGTTAGAGGGGTTGAACTATTGTCACAAACAAAACTTTATACATAGAGATATTAAATGTAGTAATATACTACTCAATAATAAAGGCGAACTCAAATTAGCTGATTTAGGACTTGCTAGACTGTTTGATAATGAACAAGTTCGTTTGTATACAAACAAAGTGGTTACACTGCGATACAGACCACCCGAGTTACTGTTAGGTGAAGAAAAGTATGGTCCTTCAGTAGACATTTGGTCTTGTGGCTGTATTTTAGGTAAGACATAAAATAATTTTTTAATCATTAACATGGTATTTATTGAACTTGAATTTTTTAGGAGAATTATTTGTAAAGAAGAACATGTTTCATGGGAAAGATGAATTTGACCAGCTTGAATTAATATCGCAACTCTGCGGCAGTCCTTGCCCTGCTAATTGGCCAAATGTTACCAAACTACCGTTATGGCAATTTATTAGTCAAAAAAAATTACATAGCCGTAAACTTAGATATCATTACTCGTTTATTGGAAATGATGCTTTAGAACTATTGGACAACATGTTGACTTTAGACCCTAGTAAGCGTATCACAGCGGAAGAAGCATTGAAATGTTCTTGGTTGACAAATGTTGATAGCAAGACTTGTATAACATTACCAACTTGGCAAGATTGTCATGAATTATGGAGTAGAAAGCATAAAGTTCGACCTACGTCTAAAAATTCATCTTCCAAAATCATGAAAAAAGATAGAAATAAATCAGAGAACAAAACACGAACTTAAATATAAAACTTTGTAATTTGACGAATTTTAATTATTATCAATATAGGGTTAACTTCCTAAATTAATACATGTATAATTATAAAATATTATATTGTTAGGAAATTTGTTAAAAAGTATTTTATGTATCTTGAAAATTTGTTATAACTGTTACATTTGTATAGGGTAATCTAGATTTATTGAAAAAGAGAATGTTAATTTTTGTATGATTATTATTATTGTGATGACTATTATTATTTTTTTTTTTAATACACAATTTTATTTTCAGATAGAAAATTGTAAAAATATATATACATATAAATACCTAAAACAATGATATTATCTATGTTATTGAACCTATTAAGTATTTCTACAATTCTTTTGAGTGTTGTCATGAAAGCACCTCAAATTATACAAATATACAAACAAAAACAAACCAAAGGCATCAGTTTAAGTTCCCTGCTACTGGATCTTATCAAGTAAATAAGTGTTTTTAATATGCTCTTTTTATTTTAAATTTATTATCAGTTGGAGATGATTTTTGCTTATGGTAAGTAAGCAGATATCATGTTTTATTAAAAAGCAATTTACATAATTGCTTCATATTTTAAATCCGTACTTACTAATGGTTATTTAGCTGCTAAAAAAGAAAGCCTTGCATTAAATTGTGAAAATTACAATGTCAGATTTAGCCGACAACCATTTAAGGGTATTAAGTATTTGACTTTATATAATAATTTTCAAGACAATTAAGGAATGTAATTAGTAGAATAAAGTGGCAGCAAGAAATTTTCGTAACTAGTGGAGCCAACAATAACATATGGTAGCAAGTATCGATGGCCGTTAGTTAAGAGACATTTAGAAACGTTTTTGGTTTTATTTTAGATCTTGCCTACTCTGTAGTTTATGTATTTTAAAAATGTATTATGTAAAATAATTAAAGTTTAAAACATTTAGAAAATAAAGTTATTATATTCCTATATTCCAATAAATTCAAAGTAGTATTGACCTTTTATTATTATTGTTATAATTCATTAGGTTTAATTTAACAATTATTAGTCGACACTGTTATAAATTATAATACTTAATAGATGCAACAAGCAATAAGTATTAATTTTTTTAGTTATTAATTGTTTAAAAAGTATCATTAATGATGTATTTTTATAATGCGTAGGAAAACGTTGTTATTATAGCATTACAAAAATCGTAAATTATGTGTATGTCTTTAATGCATATAATATAGGTATTCAGTGTGTTTCTATTTAGACTTCTGTCTATTAGTATACCATTTTTTCATGACTTAAAAATAGGACCATCTATCATTTTTTGTAAATCTCGATTTACAAATATGTCGTATTTCTAATATCTTATAACTATTTTTTTTTTATTTTGCAGTCTAAGTACAACAGCTTGTTACAACTATGTGAATGGTTATTCCCCGATGTCATACATGGAGTATCCGATAATACTCTTACAACAATACATTTTAATCAGTATAGTTCTATTTTACAACAATCGCTTTGATGTTATTACCTTTCTTTCAAGTATAATATACATTGTTTTCTACACATTATTTCTAAACGGAACCTTGCCTGCTGCTGTACTAACAGTTTTAATAGTATGTATAATGATAAACGCAGTGCCGCTAAAACTATATTTTGGGTTGCTTATACTCCTCATGATCAAAAGCAAATATAAAAATGTATCCACCACCATCAATAAATAGAATTGGTGTCACTGTCTTTACATATTTATGCTATTAATTGTATTTTTACATTTTATTAAAACAATTTTCAGCCTCTCTGTACTCCAATATCATTATCGAGCAAAATTTTGCAGCTCCTTGCTATAATGAAACTGAAAAATTCAGATAGCATAAGCTTAACAACTTGGTCTATTTCTGCATACACAAATGCTGGTAATTTATTAGAAAATGTATTATAGAATAAATTTATTAAGAAACATACGAAGTCTAAGTACAATTTTTTAGTAGGAAAATATTTAAACTAATTATAATTCATTCATCAAAAAAAAAAAAACTAATAAAACTTAAAACTATTAATTAATTACATTTTTTTGTTTTAGCGAGAATTTTTACAATATTTATGGATTCCGCTGACAAAATGTTGCTCACCAATTTCTGTTTAAACACTATATTAAGCACCAGTATATTTATTGCAAGTGCCTACTACAAAGAACCCAAAAATAAAAAAAAATTTTAAACTAATGAAAAAAACAATTGTTTTGTCTATAGAAAATATGTGACGTTTTTAAGAAGTTTGATTTATTGATATCATACTAATTTTTAGGCTAGCATTTAATAGTAGAAATAGAAAAATATTTATAAAACTACAGTAATATACCTACTTATACTTATTATTTTGTACACTGGTTATATATTTAAAAACTATTTTGCAAAAACACTAAAACTTCTAGAATAAAATTGCACTTATAAATGATTTAACGAAAATTAGTTAATATATTTCTTATAACCTGGCTTCAAATGAGAAATCCAGTAATTTTTTTTTTATTAAGAGAAACACTACATTTATTGTTATAATCAATATAGCTTATCGTTTATAATAAACAAAATTATTTTAATAATAAATAAAATTAGCAGCTTATTTTCATTTTACTTGGTAAATCGATAGTAAAATAGTTCATTCTTATTACCAGATTTGGTTACAATTTGGGAATTTGTAATTATTTAGCCTGAAAGTAATTGTAATAATAGATCCAAGCGTACAGTATTCATTCTTAGTTTAAATGTTACATAGCTAAAACCATAATAGTTTTTTCCTATAGTTTGTGAACAGAGAAAAGAGTATGAAGAAAAATAATCATAAAATAACTAAAAATCTCCATTCTATTAAAATATTAATATAATAATTTACTTTTTTTTTAATAAATTAATAGAAATATATAGTACGTTATTTTAAAATTATATGAGTGGTTTCATGGAATAACAAAGTTCTACTTATTTATTCTTTAATTGGTCACCAAGGTCATTTTTAAATTGATAAGATATTGAAAATATGATAAGGAAAATTATTAAAAAGTAAATAGGTACATTTGAGTCCATACAATGTAATCTGCAGTATATAATATTATAATCTTTTTGGCAATACGGATTTAGGATTCTGTCTTGTCTATGGATTCTGTTTTAAACGAAGTTATTTTTGTTATAAGCTATTAAACCGTTGCACTAACAAAAACGTATCCAAGATTAAAACAACGTTTACCAGAACATAAAATAAACGGTAAGTTAGTATAAATTGTTTTTTTTTTAATAATCCAATATTGTAGATATAACTTGTTTAACCATTGTTTGGACATAAACGGGCATGGCTCGTAAATGGAATATTGATACATATTGCATAATGTTAATGCATCAATGAATACCATATAGGTAAGTAGTTATTACAAAAATAGAGTACTAAGTATAACTAAATTTGAATATTTATTCAAGTATACTATATAGACAGGTATCAAGTATTTTTACAAGATACTTAAATCTATATGATATGATTAATCTCGTTGGGTTATCTCGGTATTCCTAGTGATATTTTTCAGTCATCAACATATATTATATCTAATTATGTTACCTAGGTGGTATCGTAATATAGATATTTAAATTTTACATTGTAAAAGTTTCAAGTTACACAGTACATTTTATACCTACATATTTTCCTTGCATAAAGATTGTATATTTTACTACATTTCATGTGTTTGGAATTTTTAGGTTTAATAATTATTATTTTTAAGCATTGAAAATTATTCTATTATGCTTTACTTACAAAGAATTATTAACAAAATTACATTTTACGACATTGTGATGACCTCTTAGAAATATTTTAGTATTAAACATTTAAACTCAGTTTAACCTACACCAAAGAAAAATAAATCTGATACAAAACTGAAAGGATAGAAAATTTATATTATATTTTTTATTTCTTTATAATAAGTGGTTTGCCCTATCATAACGTCTTTTATCTGACAATAATATTTAAGTTAAATGTTTTCTACATTTATCATTAAACTAAAATACAAAATAGCTATCATAGGTCTATCAATATGTTTAGCATTTTTTTAGAAAATGTATTTCAAACTATTACATTACTTTAGGGATTATTTGTTACTATTATTATTATTATTATTATTATTATTATTATTATTATTTCAATACCAGTAGTTACCGGTATTGAAATAATTTGGTAGGTATCAAATTCTTTTATTTCCATAAAATATGTTAAATACAAATGTTTGGTCAATTGAATGACATACCAGTTGAATTTCAAGGGCTTTAGAACTTTTGATAGATAGATATTATAAGTAAAACCAAATAAATGATGCTTAAAAGAAGTTAAGTCTACTATATTATAATATAATGAATTATGTTTCAACAAAATAACTGCTCATTACCATTACCTGATATTTTTATTTAATGTATTTATTTATGGATCTACTAAAATATAATTGTTCAAAATATGTTTTTAATCCACAAGGATTCATTGAAAATAGTATTATGATTTATTTTTTAACTATTTGCAACCCACATTATATTTCTGTTGCCAAGAAATGTAAAACTAGTAAATATTTATCACTGTTTCATACTTACGTTGATATTATATTTTTAATTTTTTTGTTTGTATTTTTCAATAATCATTAAATAAAAATAATGGAGTTGCGGTTGAGAAATACACGCACATAAAAATAACTCTACTCTCCACCCTACTTCCTGTCCTAAATTAAAAACTCTAACAACTTTAAAGCTATTTATTCAAAACTGGTTATTTACCAGTCAACATTTTCAAAAAGGATTCTTAATTTAAAAAGTTACAAATATATACGTTACCATTTAAGTTTCAAAAGTTGATAGAGCTCCAGAAAATACTAAAAAAAATAAAAATTTCCTCTATTTTATTCTTTTATATATTTTTGACTATCTTTTTTAGCAACAGTGTTAAAATAAATGGAAAAAAGCTTCGTATGGCATCCCATAATTTTGTTTTTTTTTTAGAACTCGAAGAAATACACCATTTTTTATTATATTATACAATTCTAACTTGCTCAAAAATGCAAATTATTTTGTGTAGAACTTTTCTTTATTATTGTCTATCGATAAAATATATACATTTTTTAAATAAATAATAATAATATAGTAAAACATTTTTAACATGAACAAACTTTATAAAATGATCACCTAAAATGATTTAAAAAATCAATATCTACAGACACAAAAACTCTAGTGGGGTTTTTTTTTTAATTTACGTTATGCTTTGAATATGTTCATACTATAAGTAAAATATATTTCAAAAAAAAAAAACAAATGTTCTACTCGTTTTGTGTTTTGCTCGTTAATATAGTTTTTTATTTTTTTATTTTGCATAAACACAATTATTCGGCTAAAAATATAAATTAAATCTTGCTAAATCTGCAATCTACCGTGTAGAGGAGAACAGTCAGACGTGGTCTGTGAGTTTGGAGCTTGGATTAGTGTCTAATTTTGACACTCCCTCTGACCCGTTAACACGTCACTGGCTGTTTCTGGGACTTGGCACAGTATCAAATGCCTAGAAATAAATCATACTATTCTCTCATAGATTTTTAAACACACTAATACCGTCATAGCTCTGTAAGAAATTTAATAAAAATTTAAGTGTACAAAATTTGTTTCCAATTTCAATTGCTAGAGTGAGTGTAATTTGCGCATTTTTAAATAATAAATATATATATATATATATATATATATATATATATATATATATTTGTTTATTTATTTTTCTTCCTGGCAAATGATTATCTTTTACCATGTTATAAAAAAAAAACCATCTAGCCATTCTAAATATTAAGGTGTGTTAGCATTCCTTTATAAGTCAAAAATAAAACCATCTACTAACATTTTGTGGGTAATGACTCACTTCATTCTATAGACTTGGAAACAAACAGTTACACCAATAGACGATGAGATAAAAATAGTGGTTTTTGTTGTGGTGGGAAGCTCTGTAACATGGTGCCAGTTGCCTATCACACGGTTGAAACATCATATTTACGTGTGACTTACATATTAAGAGGAATATTCCTCTTTGCTGTGTAATTTGATACAATATTTATAGTCTTGTTTTTTTTTTTTTTTTTACAGTTAAAATGTGAGAATAATACTTACTTTCATTGACTGGAACCAACCCTTTTTTGGACAAAAAACATTTATGAACTGACGTAAGACAAAAATCTCATTTTGTTAACATTTAATTTTTTTTAATGTAATTTTTATTATTTAGATCATGGTGAGTGTTATAGAGGATACAGAAAGCGATGACCATGCAAAATGCTTGGTACGGAAATTTGAAAATCCCCATGACAAATCTTTTGATTCAGATAAGTTTGAATGTACCGTTGATAAGCATAAAACTGTCCGTCATTTCATTCATACTGTAGCGCAGTATTATAACTTGGACGTCGATTCATTTTTTCTCACATTAAGTTCATTTAAATCGGATTCGTCAGATTCTACTGAAAAGGTATCAATTATAACTCATATTATACATTAGATGAAAATATAATTTTACAGTTTCATTTATTTATTTGTATGTATTGTTTTAAACATTTTAGCCAGAATTAGTCGAAAGCGATGATCGTAAATTATGTGATATTGGTTTGGTTTTTGGTGATGGTGCCATAAATCGATTTGTATTAACAGACAACTGTCAACACGAAGAATCTGATCAAGCCAAATGTGTGATCAAAATACATAAGTCCATGAAAGTTTATCCATTAACAGTAGAGAAAAACCAAACTGCTGGAGATCTTTTCAAAAAAGTATTTCAATATTGTCAATCAAACGATATCAATACCGATGCTTTTGTTCTGACATTTAACTCTTATGATATTGAAACGAGCACCGAATTACTTAAAGTAAGCTAACAATAAGCACTTAAAATTATATTTAATTAAAAGTATAACACTAATGCATACTGATTTATAATATTTAGCTGAAAATAACAGAAGACGATACCCGATTGCTGAGTGATATTGGCGTAGTGTATCGTCAAGGAGTTAATAATCGTTTTGAGTTGATGACAAGTAGTTTATCGGATAGTATTGAAAATGGTACATCTTCAAAATCATGTTCACCTACTCAAGATATAAAAGCTGATGGACCGTATTCAAAAGTTCATTCTTCAGTGCGTAGAAATGGTTTGGATGTATCTTCTGTTATTGAAAATAATTCACTGGAGTCATCTTCCCCGATGCCAATGCTTGCTTTACCTACAACTAGTATGCTATATAATCGGTCAACTGAAAGAACACTTACAGGTTTAGTTTTTATTTGATTTTTTTATTAGCCTGTGTTTTATTATCAAGTTTTATCTAGTAATTAACGTATAAGCATTTTTTTAGGTTACAGGGGTTTAGTAAACCAAGCAATGACTTGTTATTTGAATAGTTTATTGCAAGCCTTATATATGACACCGGAATTTAGAAATGCGTTATACAAATGGAAGTTTGATTTTAATGCCAACACAGATGAGTCAAAATCAATCCCTTTTCAACTTCAAAAGTTGTTTTTGAACCTACAAGTTAGTTTTTATTTCACGATTAACAATTTTCAAATATTTTTAATTTTATAATATGTATTGATTTATTGCTATTAGACTTCACCCCGCCATAGTGTTGAAACGACTGAACTCACTCGTAGTTTCGGTTGGGATTCAAGTGAAGCTTGGCAACAACATGATGTCCAAGAACTCTGCAGAGTTATGTTCGATGCACTTGAACAGGAGTTTAAAAATACTACCCACGTTGATCTCATAAATCAACTCTATCAAGGTATATAAGAAAATTAGCACCAACCATTTATTATTCTGGGACTGTTTTTCTTATTCTAGCAATAGTTAATGTCTCCAATATCATCCATTTATTATTTCCTTAAAAATTACATATCTATACAATTATCTCCAAGTCCCTTCTAGCTTAAGCTGTTTAATTATAAATAAGTTATGGGAGAATAATTTGAGCGTTAATTAATTTAGGTTATTGATTTTTTTTAGGTAAAATGATAGATTATGTTAAATGTCAAGAATGTGGCATTGAGAAGTCTAGAGAAGATACCTTCTTGGACATACCATTACCTATTCGTCCATTTGGGAGTACTAATGCGTATGGCTCTATCGTAAGTATTTTATATTTGCTTTTGAAATTTGTACTTTTTTAACTATTTAATAATATTGTTACTGATATAGATGGAAGCTTTGCAAGGGTTCACTCAACCTGAAACCTTAGATGGCAATAATCAATATTTTTGTGAACGTTGTAACAAAAAATGTAATGCACATAAAGGTCTAAAATTCAGCAAGTTTCCTTATATCATGACATTACATTTAATGCGTTTTGACTTTGACTACAACACCATGTATCGTATTAAACTTAACGACAAGTAATATATTTAAAACATTATTAAGTAATTTGATTTTGATTGATTTTCTAATTTTGTTTAGAGTTGAATTCCCTTTAAAATTGAACGTCAATGGTTTTATATCGAGTAACAAAAATGGTCTAGATAAAGACGAAGTGCTATCTGAAGGATTTCCTGAGGAATTATTTGGTTCTAATAGCAAATGTGATGATAGCAGTTACACTGGCACTGATAGTTCTTCAGCATTGGACGAAATTGACCAGGTATTTTTTAAAAATAGCCCCAATAATGTTAATTAATAATAAAATAAATAAATGAAAATAGGATGAAGATGAAGGCATTGATTTAAGTCAACATAGGCATGATGACAAACGTATGGCAGACTTAAATTCGGAAAATGATCCACCCGGGCCATATATTTATGAACTTTACGCTATAATGATACATTCTGGAAGCGCTTCTGGAGGACATTACTATGCCTATATTAAAGATTTTAAAACAGACCAATGGTTATGTTTCAACGACCAATCAGTTTCAGTTGTTAGTGTAAATGTCTAAACGAAAAACCATAGTTGTTTATTTTTAAATATTTTTATTTTCTAGATCACTATGGATGATATTGAAAGAAGTTTTGGTGGTGGTCCTGTACGTGGATATTATTCTGGTCAGTACACGTCTAGTACTAACGCTTACATGCTAATGTACAGACAAATAGATCATAGGAGAAATAAAAATGCAATGACGCAAGAAGAATTTCCACCACATTTAAAAGTAATTCGGTTTTATGGGACTTGTATGTGTAAATTTTTAAGTATTTGTGTATTTTTTTAAGGATCTTCATAACTTGATAGAAAGAAAAGCCGAAGAAGATAGACAGATGAAAGAAAAAGAACGTGATATGTGTAAAGTAGCTGTCTATTTAGCTGATTCTGTAGATACTGGTACAGAACCCTACCAATTTCACTGTAGCAAAACCACGAGTGTAGAACAGTTGAAGTTAATGGCCATTCAAGTAAATTACTTTTAATAGTTTTTTGAACATATATAATATTATTATTATTATGATTTGTTTAGCAATTTAAAATCACAAAACCCTGTCAACTAGTTATTTATAATAAACATGAACGTGAAGTAACAGACAATCTAGAAGAGAAAAATAGTTACTTAGTGTGTCATTTGCGTTATAACACACCTAGTGTATTACTTCTCAAAGTAATTGAAACGGTTGACAGCAGCTCCTTAGCATCTCCTGGATGTAAATACATTACTAATGGCACATTCTAACACAGTTATTTGTTTTCTGATTGATTAAAACTATTATATTTGTTTTTCAGTCCTAATCATGAAGCTTTTTATGATTAATTTGGATGACAACGAAGAAGACATTGATGTAATCAATCCAGTCGAAATAGAAATAGAAGAACATAAGTTACTATCGGATCTTGGTACATTGCTGTTTACAAAGTTTGATATATCAAGAGAGTCTAATTTGCATTTCGCCATGCAAAGCAACTCAAAACCATTGAAACTCGAAAATGATAGATCATGTTCTTCGATATTCAATCATTATGTATGTTTTTATAGTTTTAAATTTCATCATGTATGTACGTTTACACTTTATATAACCGGCAATAGGTGTTTGTATTCATTGAACGTCGGATCATGAGTCACTCGGCTATAATGCAGAAGATTAAAAGTATAATTACACGTTACGAAAATACCATCTTATTGCAGTTTGTATTACCGGCTCAGGACACAGGTTTGTTTATTAATACTCCAAATAATAAATTAAATGGGGAACCTTTCGGTCTGCTATTCATTTAAATTGAATTATTTGTTAAGTACAATAATGGTCTGTAAAATGTATTTTCTATTTTAGAACTATTACAAGAATTGATAACAAGTCAAAAAAATAAGACTCTCAATGGCCATGCCGATAGTATATCAATACATTCAGTTCAAAAACATAAAAATCTTAACATATTGTTAGAAGGTACAACTAATGCAAAAAATCTTTATTATCTATTTATAAATGCTAACTATTCTATTCTTAAAGATTGTGTATTATCTACTGAAGATGGTAATTTGGTAACAAGTCCTGAAGATATGTGTGTCGTGGCTAATGGTTGTAGCAGTGGTGATCAAAGCGAAGATAGTAGTATCACTGACAGCGAGAGGTAATTGTTAAGTGCAATGCATATTATTTCTGATACTATTTTGAAAAACACAATTTAATTTGTAGGACAATCAAAGGTGATGAAGACTATCCAATAGATTCTCCTGCTTTTGAAAATGATCCCATGAAGGTATCTATTAATAAAAAAATTTTAAAAAATAAACAAACCGTAAAAACATATTGTTTTTAGGTGTACGAACATAATAAATTGGATGAAAATTGGGATGGAACTGAAGACGATGATGATGATAACGATTTTCAGTTAAACGAAAAGTACTTTTTTAAAACTACAACTTTGCCACAAGAAGACAATGATGGTAAAAATTGAATGTATAATTTAATGTTATTAACCGAATGAGTCTACCCAAGCAGATCAGATTGGATAAAAAAATTGTAATTGTTAAGTTGGCAAAATGTTCGATTTTTAACTGGACACCCCCCCCCCCCCAAATTCTTTTTTTTCTTTTGCTTGTCTGTTCAAATTATTTTTATCTACGACAGATATTTTAATTAATCGTAAAAAAGTTTTTAATTATAAACGAGATTTTATATGAGCCAACTAATTACAATTTAAAAACAATTCCTGCACCCTAAGCCATCCCGTAATAATTGATATTTTATTAAAAAAAAAAATTATTGTTTTAGTTTCAGACCGGATATATGCATATGTTGATAAACGAATGACAGTTAGAGAACTCAAAGATAATTTGTTGTCTTTAGTAAAAATAGAGACTAATTTTTTCATCCTAAGACGATATAAATCTGATACGTCATTTGAAGAATTAGCTTTGCCTAGTAGTTCCTTAGAAGAATTGAACAACTCCGATATTGTGTATATTACAATAGGACAAGCTCTACAAGATGGTGAATATCGTGGGGCCATATTTTGGCCAGAACCTGTTGAACAAACTAGGGTAAATTACGGTTTATATATGTGTAAATACAAATAAATAAACAGTTTAATTTTTTTTTTCTTTATTAGGTTGTTATGAAGAAAATGTTTGACTGGATCATCACTGTCGGTACATCAGTTTTGGATACTAAAAAAGAGTTGCTTGCCAAACTGAGTAAAACTCAAAATATTGATATACCATTAGAAAGGTATGACATTATTTACTAATACTTTATTACATACATTTTTTTCATTTTTGTGGATAAAATACTGAATTTAAAATGTCTTTTCCAGATGTCGATTACGTAAAAAAAGAAGCGAAGCTTTAATGCGATGTTATTTTAATGAAGAAATTTGGAATGAAGATATTGGTCAAGGATGGGAGATGGTCATTTTAGATTTAAAAGATCGTCCTGAATTAGAGTTAAGCAAAACAAAAAGACTTATGTTTGTCAATCACGTTGAAGAAAATGGATCACAACAACGTCTTATCTCAGAAATGGAATTTGTTGTTGACATAGCGTCAGCTACATCTGCAAATACACAACTTGCGAGTGAAGTAAATAATATAAACAAATATAATATTAGGATTCTAATACATTACTAAATATGTTATGTTTTTTAGATCTCAAAAAAACTTAATATTTCCGAAGATCAATTGGAGTTGGGTTACACGCATGGTAACTCAAGTGATATAATATGGAAATCTAGTAGTTCCAATGCTTCATTTAGTTTATCTGATGACAACACTATACTGTTTTGTCGGTGAGTGTTAAAAAATATAAACGTCTGTTTTATCCTATTATAAATTAAAACATTTTTAATTTCTCAGGAGTGGTAATTCCTGTAGCAAAGATGCGACACAAGCTAAATGGTCACAACGCAGAACGCAACGTAAAGAACGTTCACTGAAAATACACACACTGAGCAACGATTGAATTATGATTGTTGAATACTTTGATTATAAAATAATAATTATTTATTTATTTATATTGGAGGAGGATGTCCATTTGTAAACTTTTGCTTTTTAATCTTTCTTATGAAAAAGAAATTAATTTATTATCAAACCATTATACTCCTTCAATAATGCTTTTCAGTTAATTTTTTTTTCAATAAATATGGGCAACTAAGTTATTTAAATTTTTTGTCAATGAAAAATGTATACTTGATTTTTTTTCTGGCTTAAAGTTGTCTTAACTGTCTGTGATACACATAACTAATAATGAAGTATAGATTTTGTATAATTATTAATGAATTTAAAAAATATATATTTTTTCACGCGTCTTAAAATCTAAATTATATTTTCTAAAAAAAATTAAGAAATATACATGTACGTTATACAAATTATTATATATTTTTTTAATCCAACAGAATTTGTTGTTTACAAAAAAAATAATTAAATAAAAATGTAAAGTGTGACTAGTTGCACTCGTCCATTTATTTTCATATAATGTCTTGCTTAATAAACTAGTTCTACTGCTATGAATATATTTTAACTATACAAATTTAAACAAATAAAAAATATTTTTAAAGCTAGTTTTCTTAATACTAAAAACACTAGTTGATATAAAATGGTTACCTTATACATGATATACTATTCTAATTTGTGTTTTTCACCAATAAATTCACTATTAGTTAAACTATTGTTGTAGTTTTTTATAGATCTGCCAAGAACTCTGTACAGTTTTACACAATCACATATTTGTAAATACTACTCAGATTGCTATGTTTATCATGTAAAAAATTGATTGAAAACATATTACTTAATATTGGTGTTTTATATATATACATGCAAAAATTACAAGTATACTTTAGCAAATAGAAAAAAAAAAGTATATAATTTTTATTACTATATATATTATACATATATATTATATTTATACAATACTTTTTTTTCCATTGTTCTTAAAATATACTTGAAATTTTTGCTCGAACATTGTATTTTCATCCCAAATACTGCATTTAAATATTAACAAATAAATTTGTATTCAAGTACTTTCAGCTAAATGTCTAAATTAAACTACATTTTCAGTGTACAAGAAAAAAAAGTAGGTTATGTACAAAAATGTTGTTTCAATCGTTATTGTTTGACGTCATTTTTCCGCAAGCCGACTCTTCATGCTTGTACAAATACGATTTGAGGGCAAACGCTTTGCTGCATTTCTGACAAATGTGCGGCTTCTCCGAAGAATGTGTTTGCAAATGCGCCCGCAAGTTGGACTTGTCAGCGAATGCTTTACAACACTTTTCACATTCATAAGGTTTTTCGCCTAAAATATTTGATTCGTTTTTAATCTTAACTACTGTTGTTATCATTAAAAAAATTATTGTTTAAAGTGTACGTTAAATAAAATCTTTATTGTATCATTTTATACCAGTGTGTGTCCTAATGTGTCCTTGTAGAAGCCACGGTCTTGAGAAACATTTACCGCAGAAAGGGCACTTGCAAGATTGACTGTGCGTTCTCATGTGCATGGAGAACGCCGGTATCGACACGTACACCTAAAAAAAATAAAATCCAATTATTATCAATAATATAAATACGCGTTTAATTTAAATTTGTTAACTCGATAATAACTAACAGTATTTACCTTGTTGCAATGTGGACAGTGTCTGGCTTTGGTGTCGGCAAGCGACCGATGCGTCTGACGGTGTCTGGCCAAGTTACTGGTCGTGCTGTAACACTTGCCGCAGTCTGGACACTGTCGTTCTTTACAAGATGCCGGTTTTTTCGTTTGTGTGTTTTCGACGTTTCTCTAGATCAAAATAATTGTTAATTATTGTCAATGGACGTTGATCATTAACGACCGTTGGCCGAGTGACCGATTACTTTTTCAAATGTTTCCGTTTTTTCGGAACTGGCGTGATTTTTAAAATAAACGATGCTGACTTCAGCCAATTGGGTTAGATTATAAAGTTCATCGCCCACCGACTGTTGTACATCTATAAGTTCGTTCGAGTGTGGCATTTCTGTACAACAAACAACTACAATATTATTTATACGTTTCCATATTATAAAAGGTAAATTTTGAATTTAAGCGGGAAAATGGAAATGTGGAGAAGGAATAGCAACGAGAATTGTAAATATAATTTTTTTTCTACTTATTGTTTTGGATCAGCTAAAAATATCAGGTCGGGGAAATCAAAAGTCTTTCGGAATTATTAAAACTGAATATTTTAAGATTATCGCTTTAAAAATATGAAAAAAAAACAGTGGTGGAAACAATTGGAAAGTATATTTATATGTGTACAAATCTAAAATCATTGTACATATCATTATGTTTGTTAATCACTCTTAAACAAAACAAAATTGTGATTATAGATTTTTTTGATTACATTTTGTTTCTAAGTGCACATACTAGATCTACTATTGGTCTAACTAACTTTCAGACCCCAAGTCCAAAAAGTCTATCCTTTTCGCAGAATGGTAGATAATACATTTTTATCAGTATCGGTATCTGTGGTTGTATATTTAGAACTATTTTAAATATTTTTCAATACGTTTTTGAGGAACATTTTTTAAAATCCCAAAAATATATCATTTTAGTGTTTTTTTTCGATTTTGAGAGGAAAGGCCGAAGTTTTTTGATTTTCAGCCTATCTATGTACTTTCCTTGCGTGTACTATTTCTTATCTACTTTCTATCAATATTCTATACCTACGTAAAGAAATCCGTCTATTAATAAAGTTATCGTGAGACGGCCAGCCAAATTATCTCACTTCACAAATCTCTGTCCATCGCCATTGATCCATTCAATCCACAGATACACCTCTATGCCGTTCATTTCGCCAATTGGCGCACTTCAAGTATGAGCTAAATGTATTCATACCCCTAAAACTTTAAGTTAGAACCGCTTAAAAAGTTTAAATTTTAAGATTTAAAGCTTTCGCCTCCCTTGCCCAACCACTCACACTTCCATACCTCATCTGGCTTCGCTACCGATTTATACAATTTTCCATACAGTATAAATATTACACCTATCCCATCATTCCTGTTGTCTCTATTCACCTCGTCCGACCGCGTCTTCTTCAATTCCACAATTCAAATGCGTAACGGCTGGTCCCAATAATATACTTGTCCATTTACCATTTCCTCTCCAAGCAGTTTTCGAACTCTTTCTAAAATATTTTTTTATTACTAAACTCTAAATATATTATTTTGTCTCGGACTTGAATTGATCCGATTGCTCCAATTGCATAGATGCCATAACCTTTATTATAGAAAATAACCTTCAAAAAGTGTATTTATCCGTAAAAGTCATTATCTATGTTACTATTTTTGACATTAAAAATGATCACAATATATTTATGGAGGAGGGGCTACGAAAATATTTGTAATAAAAGTCCGCCCTCCATAATAGACTTTAATTTTGCGCATTCGAATTTAGGCCTACAAAGGAATCTATCTGTATAGATTTAGGATTATATTATATTTATGTATACAAACAATTGTCAATGATTTTGTTCAGCGCACGTATACGGAGTGTCGAGTGACTTGTGTAGTAAAGTGTAATGGTGTCTTATTTGATTTATTTAGACTTGTACATGTGCCTGCAACGGTATAACGGGACGGCGGCAGGTGACATTTTCCTCCCTCCTTTCGTTTTATATTCACTCTAAATTTATCCGTGATTTATTTTCGTAACAATCGTAGCAGCTAAGCTAAGGGGATTTGTTTTTGTCATCAGCAACTGGAAACATTTAAAAAAAAACTAAACGACTATCGCGAGAAAGGCAAACGACCGCGAATAGGAAGAAGACCAGTCGTCAACGTTTTTTTAATCATTATTTTTTTCTATTCGATACCTACACGGTTGAATGTTTATAACAATTTATTTTTAGTCTTAAACAAAATTGTTTATAGAAAATGAGGTATGACTGATGAGAAATTTTTGTTTTTCAAAGATGTTCAGATATATAAACGGATAAAAACATAATAATTGTATTTTTATAGTATTTATTACAATAACTACAAAGATAATTGTTTAAATGCCTAAGCTTGTGGTGTTTTATAAATAAATACTATTTTAAAGGTCATTTAGTACTTTAACATGCAAAAGCTAAACATTTTTGTTTCTTATTGACTACTGTCATTCATATAACATAATATTATTATGTCCTAATATTTATATTATGACGTTTTATACCTGTATATAATAATTATTACCGAATCTTGCGTCCTGTTGTGGCACTTATAACCGTTTAAATGTACCTTTCAACAAACGGTATGAATTTATTGTCACAATAATTAATAATAGTTCGAGGTAAAATATAAGTATTGATTACATACTGGGAAAATATAATACATCAACTGAATTCCATTTGATCTCGTCTCTACGATCGGTTAACGACAAATAACAAAATATAAAAGTAGTTCATAATATGACTATTGTAAAAATAACCACCGAAAATTAAAAATAACAATATTATGAGAATAATAATATGTTTCTTGGAATTACGTTATCTTGTGGCTTAAACGGTTTGCAAAATATACCAACAAACAAGGACAAGGAAATTATTTATATAATAATATTATGTCGGCACGTTTCATGAACAAAATCGAATAATCATAGACCTATTAAGTATTAACTAATAGGTCTATGAAAAAATATTCCAAAATTCCTGAAGCGTTTTCTACAGAATAATATTATCACAATATTTGTTTTGCGGAGACAAAAAGAGCGATAAACTATAATTACTGTTTTTGGCCAACCACGTATAACATGATTCATTAACTTTTAACCTTACTTACTTACCAATGGCTATCTTCCAGATAAAAAGCTAAAATGCGAATTTTGTTTTTACACGTTTAACCATTAATAACCGTCATAGCTAAATGCCGATAAAAATTTCAAAAGTATTAACAAATAAAAACACCTAACTCAAAGATATTAAAGTCTATTCCACCCCAACTAAGGGTCAAAATCACAATTTATTATTTAAATCACCATTCACTCGATATAAAAATTGAACATTTTCGTATAAAGAATTTATTATTGCCGCGTTTCTATAGTAACAATCAGTTTATTCATTAAATTAAATATTTGTTTCATTAAATTATTTCAAATATTTTTTTACTTGAAATATAAAAATAAATGTTTTGATGCAAAACTGCCAATGTTAAAAACTACTCAGTATGTATAATTGTATATACAATATAGCCAGTACAATGAGGTTGGGAAAGGTAGCAGGTTTGTAAGAATTATTATAACTAAAATTGATTAAATCACTTTCAATTAAACGCTTTGATACGCAGATGGTGGAAGTACAAAAATAGATAAAAACATTATAAAAGCTATAATGTGCTTAAAATTATATTTTAAGTTTAGGGTTGCTTAAAAGGTAATGTACGGTGTACCTCTTTTTTTTTGTTTTTCGATAATTAAAAAGCTTGACTACAAACTTTTAAGAAAATCTTATATGTTATTATGATGCCCCGATCTAAATCAACCTTCAGACATTAAGTGCCAAAACTTAAGCTCAAAAAAGAGAAACAAAAAAAGTTTCTACCCCTTCTAGAGGAAAAGCTTTATGATATAATATGGTTTTCCACGTACACATTTATCGACAGTACTTTATCTTAAGAATATTACATTGGAACTAATTCGACTATTTTTTAAAAAATTATAGAGCACAGTAATTTTAAGTAGAAAAATATGTATTTTGTTCTAGTGTTTTTCTCGATTTTGAAGGGGATGGGTACTGATAACTTATTAAATGTTTGATCAAATGAAGTACTTCCTATCAAGTAGGATTTCTGATAGATAGATTTGCTACATAAAGAAATCGGTTCAGCAGTTAAGAAAAGATACTTGGTTTAGACACACAAACAAAAACATCATCGTGAAAACAATTCCTACTCAGTTAATCTATTTTTTTTTATTATCCTAATTTATAAAACTGTTCCTTAACATAACTCTAGAAATCGACCAACTTTCCACCTCTATACGTATGACTCTCGATAGTTATTTCCCCCCTTAAACAAGGCATTAGCCTCATGTAATAGTATCAATAATAATAGCCATAGCCTTCTAGCGTTCTTTTTTTAATATTTCACAAAAATAAAAATATATATTGTGGTTGTTATTTTTAAATAAAAGAATGTGAAGTGAAGTGAGGTCCTTTTAATTTGGGGGCCGTAGGCGCGTGCCTATCTTGCCTAATAATAAATATGATCCCGCCACTTCCCCAGAAAAAAATTTAAATGTTTAGTCATAGTTCCACTTCCCTACTACACGTCATGTATGTCAGTAAAACTACAGTAAAATCTAACGAGTAGTGCTTATTATAAAATATACAATATTAATACTGGCGAAAGGCTCTTACCGTGTTTTGCAGTTGTTGTACTCGGGTCGGTCATAAAACGTTAAGGCTCGTTGTGCTGTTAACCCGCTCATCGGTGGTTGATCCCTCGGAGGCGAAGGCGCTCATTGCGTTCGCCATAATTTCAGTACCGGAGACAGTGTTGCCGGGGGCATTTTTGTAAGCAAAACCTGACGTTTACGCTTTGTCGTCGAAAACGTTGCGGTGAAACGACGTCCCAAGTTCAGTAGCGAATCCTTTCTAGTTCTATTGTACCGACGACTACGAGGCAGATCTGCTGCGGGCACAGTGCAGGATACTGGAGTGGCGACACCGAGCGTACACCTCAGGGTATATATATATATATATATAATATATACACATTCGTGTGCATACGCGCACGCCGCCGGCAGGCCGGTCAGCGGGTTAAAAATAAAACCCGACGACTTGTGGACTACAAACACCGACGCGTGCCAGCGGTGGCGTCAAAACACGTGCGCCTCCGTTATTAGTACAATATTATATTTATCGCGTCCGACTCCCAGCAAGTGGTCGACGATCCCCCCCGGCCAGCGCACTCGATCATAACGTGTTACTATATCAAGACGCACGCAGCCACTACGTTGAAATAATAATAACGTCAGTAATCTGGTGGCACGACGGCTCATTTGCAACCCCCCAAAACGAGCAGCTCAAAACGTACACGTGCAACGCACATCGAGATCCAGTAAATTATATACATGAGTACATATACATGCCCAACGGTGTAGTGGATCAGCCACTAACTTTTCCACCCCTCCACTCCCCACGAGAAAAATATATGTCTAAATTCGTCTCTATACTGTACTATTATCACTTGATGAACTAAAAATGTTTATTTCATCACCGTAACAGCCAACTTTTTAGATAATAGGTACCTACGTAATGTATGAAATAACATTAATCTGAAATATTTACATGGTTTTCAGTTACATCTATATTTGCATATTAGCTTTGCCAATGTTTCATCTTCTATCTTCAGGGTTGTATTGCGTGCTGGTCACGATATTGTCCGTTCCGGTGCTGCTTGTGGCTACTTATTTGCGTATTATCGTTTGTACATAGTATGTATATATATTATAGAGACGAATACGCAAGAGGTAGCATAATTGTGCCTTCAATAGTGTCCAAAATGTGGGAGAATAGGCTGATATGGTTTGGCATGTTATGGGAAGAGAAGAATTGGAAGTAGTAAGAATGGAAATGAAGATAAACATGGGAGGCAAGAGGTAGACCGAAAAACGATGGTTAGATGCGATTGAGAATGATATAAACACTGCTGGTGTATGAGAGAATGATATGGGACATCGTGTCGAGAGAGGATTACCGATTAGTCATAAGGTTCGGGAGTTCATCAGAAAGTTCAGAAGTTTAAAATAAGCATGATTTACTACTTGAGTCACCGGTATTGTCCGGTTACTTAGAGACCTGAACAAGGGCACCCATTGGGAGAGGCAGGGAGGGACAACTAGCTTCGTTGCAAGTTAAAAAAATGTATATCCAATATTCCAAATTTGTAAAATCGATTATAAAATCATAGGCGGTTCTCCCCCTGAATTTCCACCTGCGGGCGCCTTGGGCCTGAATTTTTAAGCAGGGTTAAAAAACATAATGCACTATCTAGATGTCAATCAGTATATTATAATATTCAATAGGCAAAGAATTTGACAGTGGCACGTGAAAATATAGTTAAGAGAATTTTAATGAATAATTCGAGCGTCTCAATTATGAAAGAATCTAGATGCACCTCTTTCAAGAATTTTACGCAGGGTGGGGACTTTGTTAGATCCGTTTGCACGCCGGAAGTCGGCTACTCATTTTGTTTATAAGGATTTTATTATAAAGGGGTTCCCTAAGTATATTATTGTTATAAGTGATATAAATGTACACGAACATTATTTTATCGATATAATATAAAATATTAAAGATTATATTATATAACATTATTATACTATATTGACTAATTACTGATTTACTATGTGCTTGATTTATACTGTGCTGTTTTTTTTATTATCAAATTTCAATTGTACCTAATAGGCATGGAAACGAAACTGATATGTCCCTACTTTTTTTTATGGGTGTCGAATTTATGTAAAACAAATTTAGGTATTGTAACGGGATTAGGATACAGCTTCTCTACTTGCTACTACTAAATTATAATTCCACTTTCTATATATCTATGTACTCGATGTGGTTTCCTCGGAAACAAAACTAACGTTATTGCACTGTCAAGTAATAATAATATTGTTGTATATAATAATCACGGGAAATCGGATATATTTGGTTAGTTATTTTTATTAATCGAAACTACTTATATTATGGATAGCCTGAACACATTTTTCGATTTGGACCAAAACGAAACAATGTGTGGTACATTATCGTCAGATGATATCAGGTCCCAAACCGAGTTTATCACTCCAACGACATTGGACGATTGTTATTTAATAGATGAATTACTAGCTGTTTTAGAAAACGACCACCACAGCAGTATGTTATCTAATGAGCTTCCGCCAAAAGTCGAACAACTAAATGTACCAAGAAATGAAATTACTGATGTAATTAAAGTTCCTCTGACCTCTGCGATAGATGACAGTTCTGAATCATGTCGACAGTGCCTTAAAACATCTGCAAGTACAGTTGCTTCGGGTGAACAAAAAAACGGATTTCAAATATTTTTCGACGAATTTGTCCATGAGTTGCAAAGTGAAGGCCTCGTCGATCAAGAGAACGAAACATTTAATTTTCAAGAACCAAGTTATGAAACAGTATCGATGACTGAAGCTGATGGGTATTTTTGTATTAAAAATGCCGAAAAAACATCTGCAAGTACAGTTGCTTCGGGTGAACAAAAAAACGGATTTCAAATATTTTTCGACGAATTTGTCCATGAGTTGCAAAGTGAAGGCCTCATCGATCAAGAGAACGAAATATTTAATTTTCAAGAACCCAGTTATGAAACAGTATCGATGACTGAAGCTGATGGGTATTTTTGTTTTAAAAATGCCGGAAAAAAAAACACGTCCACAGAAACAGTGAAAATAAAAATTTAGACTTATGGTCCATCAAATGTACAGGAGTTTTAGGTATACATAAAAGTTATGATGTTAATTATATATTGACTATATTGTTCTATATATGCAATAATACAATTTCAATACCCAGCAGTTAAATTATTTATTTGACTATTTCTATTATCATAAATAGGAAAGTCCATTCATCAAGGTCTGATTAATTAATTAATATTATTAATGGAGGCCAAGAGCACGTTCCAATTTGGGGCCCTAGTCCATATTCTTTTTATCTACCCTACCTACATAATTTGATATTACTCTTTAAAGAACTTCTCTTTCCTCTTTTCAAATAATCTTCAACGGGGTCTATTGAATAGCATCAATATGCCCTAATTATTAAGTTTTTATGTTTTACAAAATTATTTGCTCTGTTACTTACTTTTTACATAATATCTGTTTAATGTTTATAAACAAAATAAACAGAAGTAGGTAAACATCACGTCAACATTATTTCAACTTGCATCCCTTATTATTATCAAATAATAATACATACAAACAAAATTTTTGTCGTACAGTTGTATAGTTTTAAAAAAATCGATTGATTTTGCTGCATTGTGAGGTTGGTTTCCTAGTGTTTTTTGTAGGATAATCAGCATTTCCAGTTCCATGTAGTACTTTTAAAAATGAAACAATAACAAATAATTATATTATAAATATAAAAACTTAATATAACTTTTTCTTTTTACTAGATTAGACTATAATATGCATCAATAAAAAATAATATACACAAATATCATACATAAGTTTATGATAATTTCTTTCTAGCTTTTTGGGGACTATATATGTAACAACTATGAATAAGTGTTTAAGTCGATTTCAGTGATTTTACAGAGGAGCGATTTTAAACTTTAACCAGCTGCCATAAATCCCAACTTAGCAAATAAGTCACATCTCTCTCAAGGTTTTCTTGTTGGTCCTACGAGTTAGATATTTATTCAAGGCGTGCTAGATGCCTCGGACTGTAGTCCGATAGTACTGTAGGATGTATCCTAGCGTACTTGGTCAATTTTGACAAAAATTTGACTTACGCACTTATTCACAGTTGTTACAGATATAATACTGAATATATTTATATAAACTGAATAAAACAAATTGAGGACATGTAGAATAACTCCTTTGGTCTTGAGTACTATGGAGCCCCTACGTTTTGGAGACCAAGTGCACATTCACGGCCTGCACTTGCGTTAATCTGGGCCTGCCAATATTTATTAAAATAATATTTTGAGACACATATTTATTAATTGTCAGTTGATTAGATGATCTGTACACATTATGTATTCTTACGCTCGTTAGACGACTTAGACCTAAAAAGTAAATTGTTTTCTATTCCAATTTTATTTTAATTCAAAATTGTTTTATATAACCTCTTTTCGAATTTCAAATTTGAGGTTTTCAGTAAATACAATTTTATCGGTTATCATAAATTGCTAGTTTTAGGTTTATGTTATTTTAATAATACATTTATATCATATTTTAATAATATAAAATTTATAGATTATTTTTAAATTTTAGATTATTTGATTCATGATTTTTTTCATATAAATTATTGCGCGTTTAAAAAATATAAAACCACATACCAAATTTGAATTTTTATAACCGTTCGAACAGTGAACACTGTTGTGATTTGTGGCACAAATGACGTTATTGTATAACAGTCTATAACCTTGATTTTACCCACGTGTTGTTTAAGTCTGATACTGTTATCATTATTTTCTTAAAATTTTATTCAAAAATCATAATTATTAGTGTAAACTATAAACTGTAAAGTGTACCATACAAATTAGAAATAGAATTTGAATTCGTGAAGTAATAAGTATTATATATCGATTGTCACTTAATTTATAAACTGCGTTTTGTATAGCTTATAGGTATTCATGTAAGTCATACATTTTGAACTCAAAACATACTCGGTAGTCTTATGGAAAAATAATTAATATTTTGCATCATGTATAGTTACAATGGAATCTTGGAAAGCGCTGAATATTCGAACAGAAATCTTGAATGCCATCAAGTTAAAACATTTTACTAAACCTACAAAAATTCAATTGGAATCAATTCCTCCAGCAATTAATGACCAAAGGGATATTCTTGGGGCCGCTGAAACTGGTAGCGGTAAAACATTGGCTTTTGCTATACCTATTTTAAATGGTATTTTGAATGCTAGATTGTCAAATAAAGGATCTGAACCTGATTCAGAATCAGAATCAGACTTGGATGACTCGGATTCTGAAGCAAATTCTCTTAGTGGTGTCGAAGATGTACCTGAAATGATGGAACTTGATGAAAATGGATTAGGCTGTGTTTCAGTTATAAACTTACCATCAAATAATAAACATAATAGTAATAAAAAGCTTTGGGCTATTATACTTGTCCCCACTCGTGAGTTAGCCATGCAAGTTCAAAAGCACATAGAAGATATAGCAAAATTAAGCAAAATTAGTGTAGCAGCTATTGTAGGGGGTCTATCAACTGAAAAACAGGAACGATTATTAAAAAGAGGTCCAGAAATTGTTGTTGCAACTCCGGGTCGTCTTTGGGAATTAATACAAAGAAATGAGCCACATTTAAGTCAAATTAATAAGGTTAAGTATTTTGTAATTGATGAAGCTGACCGTATGGTTGAAACAGCACATTTTCCAGAACTCCATCTCATGCTTGAAAAAATAAATTTAAAAAGAAATTCTAAACGTCAAAACTTTGTGTTTTCAGCAACATTGGCTATGGTCCATAAAGCTCCTTATAGAATGAATATTAAAAATAAAAAAAAGAAGAAAAACCTTACACCTGAAGATAAACTTAAAAGTTTAATAGAATTGATCGGAATGAAAAATCCTCATGTAATAAATCTAACGGAAAATAATTGTGGTATTACTAGTACTGTAAATGAAATGCAAGTATTATGTTCAGTTAATGAAAAAGATTGTTATTTGTATTACTTTTTGAAACAGAACCCGGGAAGAAGTTTAGTATTTTGTAATAGCATAAGTTGTGTCAAACGATTAGCCAGTGTATTTAGTACTCTTAAACTAAATCCATTACCTATTCATTCTAATATGATACAGAAACAAAGGCTTAAAAATTTAGACAAGTTCCGTGCTAATGACCGTGGATTGTTGTTAGCTACTGATGTTGCTTCTCGAGGTTTGGATATTATCGGTGTCAACAGTGTTATACATTATGATGTTCCTAGAACAGCAGAAATTTATGTTCATCGCAGTGGTCGTACAGCGAGGGCTTCAAACACTGGTTTGTCGTTACTCATTTGCACTCCAGAAAAAAAAAATATTTATCTTAATGTATTAAGAACAATGAAAAGGGACAAAGAACTACCTAGGTTACAGGTTGAGCAACGTATTCTTCGAAATTATTTTACTTGTGTTAAACAGGCCCAAGAAATTAGTATGTTAGAAGAAAAAGCAAAGAAAGATACAACTTCAACAAATTGGTTCAGTAAAGCCGCTGAAGAAATGGAAATTTTATTGGATGAAGATGAGCTGCCAAGGAGTATGAGTAAAACTGAACTTGATCAGCATAAAAAAATTCTAAATTCTAAACGTAAGCATTTAGATAAGATTTTGTCAACAATCAAGTAATTCTTTTGTTATTCAGTTATCCATAATAAATGGTTTTTTTTTTTTTAAATATAGTTTAAATTATTAAAGTTCTTTTTAAGTTAAATATATAGGTATAATTATATTAACTATCAAATTAGTATAAGTACACTTTAATGTTCTTATTTTAATATAATCATTTCTTTTTTAAAAATTTGATTTTGAATTACATTGCTAAATTTAATTTATAATAACTATTTAGTAATTCAAAAAGGCTCAAACAACTCAATGATTTACTTTGAAAAGTAGTGCAATATGTGTTTATAATTATCTATAATATGTATGGTAATAATTACTCCGAAAAACTCACAAGGAATAACTAGTTTAAAGTTTTATCTAACCCCCGTAAAAATTGTAATTAAAACATTTTAAAAGTTACTTCTCTCTTAATGATTTTTTTAAAAGTAATTTTTGTGAATGTTATTTTTAATTTAACTACATTTAAACTAGTTTTATAGCTATGTATATATATATATAGCTAGAAAAAAATCGAAAAAAGAGTCATAATTTATTCAACTTCAATCTTAGTCCTTTATTCTAATTTTCTATTGAAGATATTTTAGACAGTACTAAATTTAGGATTAAGCTGCACTTTAATAGATCAAACAATAAACCTTTACTTTGAATGTTGGCATATTTCTTACTGCAAGTAAAAATATATTGACTAATCAAAGATTTATCTTTTTTGATTCACGGCTTGCCAATACCCTTCGTGAGCCCTAGCTGCTACAAAAACTCAAGTATTGAATCCATGTTCTCTCTCTCTTTATAACTTCATCGTTTTACCACTCAGTCTTTTATATTACACACCAATTACCATACTATTTTACTTATAAAATTATTCTTACTTCATTGCTATCATGATTCATGACATTATTATACCTCATTTTCGATTGGTCAACTATAAAGTTACTAAATAATTAAATTCTTAAAGTTGTTAAGATAACAAATTAAAATATTTTATTTGATTAATTAGGCACGGTCGCCTCTATTAAGATGTAGTTATTGTTGGATTTTATTATGAATCTCGTCAGACCAGAGGGCATTGTAAATGAATTAAAATCGTTCAAAGATTGTGCTGGCCGCTGTGAGCTAGTTAAAGTTACGAATACGGATTAGGTATCGAGAAAATTCTAGAATGTTCTCGGTTCTGCACACAACAACCTAGAATATTCTTTACCTATCCAATATCCATAAATATTTGTCAAGACGTCGTAGGACACTGTATCAGCTGTATCAGTAACCAGAAAGTAATGACTGCTATTGTCGTTTGCGTTTAGTGATAAACTGCGAACCTCGACCTTATCATTTTACCGTCAACTTTTTTTGTTTATTTTAATATTTTGTGTAATGTGTATTCGATTTGCTGTTTTCAATGAACTTGTGATTTTATTTTTCTAAGTTTATAAGTGAGCATATTCGAATACAGTTATTTGAAATTCGGATTTTTCAATCATCAGTAAGTATAATTATATTATTGTAATAAGCAGTAACCAAAACAGTCGTGAGTCATGCCATCAAAATTGTTTGAATCAGTTTCTTCATTTGGTATAATATTATATATTAAGTTATGTCAACGCTCGTTTGCACAATTTCACCTTAAATTTCGGGTGTGTTTAAGCACTCGTTTAACTGCATGCATCAACAGACTTTTCTTTATGGCTACAATGGTATTTGTAGATAAATAATATGAACAAACCTTGGGCGCTAAGCACCCTTAGTACCCATGAAATTTGTGTCTATGTAGATACGTCCGTGACAATAATTATTTTCAATGCTACTGGAAATGTATACTTCTAGTCAAATCATTTTTTTTATCTCGTAAGAACTTTGTATAATACTAATTAGTTAGGTACTCACTGACGCTGGTTAGTCACTCAGTCATAGGTGCTCCGTTTGCCGGTGAAAAGAAGCCACTATTCCCCTACCACCGGCGACCCGTCTTGGCTAGCGAATCCATCAGGAAACCTTTTCCGTAGAAGGGGTAGGCAATAGTTCTACATGGGTTACTTATGCTATATTCAATAGCAAACTATTGGATTAGAATTATCTTCTTAGTTATAAGCTCTTTCACTGCTTTGTTAAACTAAAATGTTGTTAATAATGTTTATTTATATGTAGTCATTATGGAAAACGCGGGAGAAGTCATAATGTCTAATGATGATTTTGAGCCTACTTCTTCCAAACAGCACTTAATTAAAATGTTGGACCGTGTAGAATTGCTTGTTGAAAGTATTAGACGAGAAGCTCTACAAATGGAAGAAGATATCGACAATATGTACACAACTATAGACGCTATAAAAACATCAGACTCTTTAAGCTATCTTAACTCTGGTAAGTCTCTCAGTAAAATAATAATAAAACTCACATTTCTTCAGAATATCTGTTTTTATTTGTTTATAATGATTGCTAAATTTGATTATTTGCAGTTGATAAAGATGATATTTATCAGGCTGCTGAACGTATTGTGAACCGTTGCAACACTATTAAGATTACAGTGCATACTACAAGGAGCGAAAGTCAACAAAATTGTTTGGAAGAGGTGAATAATTTAATTGACAATATGGTCAACACATTGAAAGTGGATGCTGATACTGCCAAATCTTACTGTCAGTCTTACTTGGCTTCTTGTAGTTCATCTGAACATGAAGTCGGTAACAAAGTATTTGAGACAGCTATTTTAGGTTGTACACTTGATGATCAAAAACGTATTCATAAACGACTACAAGGACTATTGGATTATATTATTCATAGCACCTGTGTAACTGAGGCTTGTGAAGATCAGTAAAATATAGTGCAATATATACTAGCGTTAAAAAATTGCACTGCTTGATGTTTATAAGACATACATTCCATATTAATTATAACTATAAACATGTATTCCTATTTTATTAAGATTTTGATCATAAATCAAATATCATGTTAATCACATAAAATTAAGTGTTATGTAACTATGTTGTTTATTTTCCTAATATATGATATTACATTATCAAAAATATGTATATTTTGTGTTGATGTAAGCACTGAAATTCAAACATCTAATGCTTATGGTATGACACAAGAGTTTTTAAAGACATTCTTCTTTTTTTGTCTTATTTTTCCAGGTCTCAGTTTTATAGTTGCTGATGCATTTTTATTCCTGTAGGGCACAGCACCAAATGAACCTACAACATTAATAAACAAATATTTGTATTAAAATTTGTACATAAAAATTAATATTTTAAATAGAATAAGTGTAATCAAACTATAATAACAATATTTGATTAAAATCAATTAAGTAGAGCAATATTTTTTATCATTTAAGGCACACCAGCAAACTGTTATGAATAACATGTGTCGTTTGTGCAACATTTTGATAATTGATATAGCTGTTGCAACACGTTTGGAGTTTAGTACCTTACTGTGGATGAGATGAATTAAATGTAGAACTGGGATTCGTAAATATAGTTATTTATGGTTGACATTTTATTTTATATTTTATTTCAGCAATAAACTTTTTTATTACTGAAAATGTTGTTTTAAATTTATGTAGGTTACAATATTTATGTAATATAAATTAAATGTACGTACTTATAGTGTAAGTTTGGTGTAGTCCATTTCCAGACATGTAATCTTGTTCTTCCTTTTGTATTTCAACTAAACATCTTGAAGTCAAGTATCTGAATACATTGTTGACATTTACATCATCTTTGACTGATGTGCGAATTAATTTACATCCTAAGGATCGTGCAAGAATTTCAACTTCTTGTCTGTTAACAGAGATGTCATACAATTTTATTTCAACAATTCAACTTAAAATAAAAAAGATAGTAGTAAATGTTAATACTAACGGATCGACCGTACTGCGTTCTATTAGGTCAACTTTGTTTTGAACTATTACCGTTGGTATTTTTCCACATTCATCTTCTACCTAAAATTTCCAAACGGAAATGAATTATTACTTATTATAATAATATTTTAACTATCTTAAATGCTTAAATATAAGTAACTTGTACATCAACAATTATACAACAATATAAGGTAATTTTAAACAGCATTGCAATTGTAAAAACTTACATAATAAGTGTATTGTAAGCTGTTCATACACCTTTTATAGAATATAGAGCATATTGGAAGAGAGAATCAAGCGAAAAGTTATGACCATACACCCTTAAAGAATAAATAAAGTACATTATTAGGTAAAAAGCATATGTCTGTTGTTTTCATGCATTATTTGTCTACATATACATGGGGCTACTATGATTGTTAAAGAAATAGTAATTCTATAGTTAAATATTTTTTACTTTATTATTGATTGAAAAAAATGTGGTTTGACTATTAAATAATTTAATCCAGAATGATTTATTACAATGTAAACATAATTTTATAATTTATGTAACAAAATCATACCCAATTTTTTACATAAGTAATCATATTTAAAAAAACTGTTTTTTTTTTATATTAACTAAGGCTTTGGCGCAGTTTAGATCATTAGCCTGTCTATATTATATCATTTATGTTATATAAATAAAAGTACATTTTATAAAAAAACATTCATTTAAATTTGTTGCTTTGATGCGAAAGCTGAAAAGGTGTTGGTTTTAATAAGTGTTTTTTTTTGTGTGGGTCACAATAAGTATTTCAGATATAGATCCGAAATCGCATGCAATTTCTACTTAGATGGGTCAAAAGTAGAAAAATGCAACTCCTTCACAGTTCACCCCAATAAATTATTTATTGAAAAATATTAAAATTTGAAATGATAACTTATTTCTTATAAGATACGATATGGTATATGGTTATACATTGTTGATAGACCAATGAGACTTGGTTATGGTTATTTTCTGTTAGTAGTTTTATGGTTGGGAAGTTAGAAAATACAAAAGTATTTTAGGTAAAATAATTATAGATACATACTACATTTTATTAGTATTAATTTTGTAAGCGTTAAGTTTTTTTCAATAAAATGTCAATGAGTTACTGAATAGAAGCCAAAGCTGGGTAAGCTAACAAAGTAAACACCTTTATTTTCCAAGAATGAATTGCTTCGAATGAATCCCTGTCCGTAGTGGAAAATGCTAATACACACGCTTGGGCGCCTCTATAATATGCTTTTGTAATGGCGTCGAATTCTTCTTGGCCGGCTGTGTCCCACAACATAAGCCTGACGTCTTCTCCATTACATCTAATAAGTATAAATTATAACGTATAATTACAGACATCAAGGTCATAATTTGTACATTGTTCTTCAATAAAACCTTGGGTTAAAATTAAAAAAAAATGCCTATATTTCATAGTGGGTACTACTACTATTAAAAACTTACATTATGTCTGTTGTTTTGATGTATATTTTTAATTTGTAAATATTCAAACAAAACAATATATTATCCACTTTAATTTAAACAGATAGATATGCATTTTATTATACATTTGAACTTGGTACAACATTTAATTTATACTTGTACTCGTAGTTGGCAGGTAAGTACTAAAAAAGATACCTAGAGTATTTGTTCATAGTAGAATTAAAACCCCTGAATTATTAGAGGGTAGCAGGGTTGAATTTGCTAAAATCAGGATTTGAGAAAAAAACACGAGCAACTTGAAGTTATGAAATTTTAAAAAAATTGGCCCAGAATAATATTATACATACATATAGAATAAATATATTTCAAGAAGAGTATAAAATTAATAAATTTTAAACTAAACATTTTTTATAAATTGAATGTGTAAATTTACAATTTATGCTTATTAGCGTTAAGGTATGGACTATTTTTTATTGTAATCGCGAACTCACTCTATTTGCCTTTCCAAAAAATCGACACCAATTGTTTTCTTATAGTCCCGAGTAAATGTTCCTCTGCAATAACGCTGGATCATACTCGATTTTCCAACTGCTCCATTTCCTACTATAACCACCTTAAATAGTTAAATACAAATTAAATAGCGTACATAAATATATTATTTACACTTAACGGTTGGTAAACAAATAAGTATACGAATTACTTTTAACGCTATTTCCAAATCCTCTTCCCTCATTACTCATAATTGTGTTATTCCATTGAGTAATGTCCTATAAATAAAAAATATAAATAAAATTACTTTAAACTTAAATGTGGACTTATGTCTAAAACAACGCATCTCTATTTATACATTTTGTGCTTACACGTGTTACCTACAGCATGTAACTCAAAAAGTTACGCTTATAAGTTGTAATTACGAATTGCCTTGTACACGTCCCTAAGTCTGGTAATCTTTTTTTTTTTGTTTCAGGGTTTTCTATTGGTTTGTGGGTCGGGTTAATTCGGTCACAAACCCTTGTTTTTTTTTTGTAGTAAGAGAAGTTTTCTAAAATATTCAATTGTTGTACCCCCTCCCCCTAAATAATCATCGGACCATCCGACATTTTGAGGTAAGGAAATCAGTTATTCCCCCCCCCCCCCCATTTTGTGAGTTGTGCAACTGCTCATATATTAAGAACCGAGCCTTATAGAAGGTAAGTATTATTTTATTTCTGTAAGTGTAATACTAATAAAACTAATTTGTTTGTGACTTATGAAGAATGCTAGCATAAGAAATAATAACAACAATTATACTTTATTAGCCAATAACTTTCCGAGTTGATCAGTTACATTTATTATTGTAAATAAATTGCAATCATTCCTCACTATTTGTGTTGAGAATTTTCAATCATTCTGCATTGAATAAAAGATAATTTCATAATTAGTAGAAAGTAATACATGTATAAAAACGCATGGTACATTGTTATAAATAGGTAATTTACTGTCTTTCTTCTATGTTTTATTTGCAAAAAGTGATTCCATTTCGTAATATATAGTAAACTTCGATATTATATTTTAAGATTTAAATCCAAATTTAAATATTTCCAATGATGCTACATTGTACACGATTTACAATTGGAAGGTTCAGTTCAAAAGTGAACCAAGTCCATTTTTTCACACTGCGGTTTTTTGCTTAAAATAGGCATAAAGGTTATTACCTATATAATATCTTTCCATATCACGGTAAACCAAGTCTTTAGATCATCTCAATACCGCAAAATGGTAACATGTATACGATGTATCACAAAGTAGATTATGCAAAAAAATTTAGGCGCCAATTATTGAAAATCAGCTGTGATGGACTTGGTTCACCACTTTTTCTCTGAACCCTCCAATTGAAATTTTAATGTGAAATAATGTAAAAACAGTAGGTTAAAAATGTTAGTGAAACACTTTGGCTCTGAAATGTAAAAATTGTTTGGTAATGCAATATCCTTACAATTGAAATAGGTATATGTGCGTCTGACTTGGTTTATAACAGATGTGTTATATATATGATCATTAATCTATGGCATTAGGTATTTCAAGACATATAAATAAATAATATCTATATTTCAGTAAATTTAATCTTACTTTTAAGTCGTATAATGACATAAAAAAATCCAACAACTGGTAACACAGCGCAACTGGTAACACTGTGTAGGTTAACAATACTTAAGTGATATTAACTTATTACGTATAAAGTTAAGTATTGAATCTAATAGCGGCTCTAACACTTTACAAAAACAAAAAATATGTAAGCATCATGTATGAAATAAGGGTAACACTATAAGAACAACAGCACAATTCATGTTTTAAATATTTGACCACATTCACATAGGTAACTTTTATTATTTTATTTGTAGATATAACAAATTGTATAATGGGGGAATGTCAGAATCATCATTAAAACGTTTTTATTAAAAACGAAAGCATAAGAGAGTTTACTTGTGTTGGTCTTTGGTAATAGTTTGGAATTTTAAAACGCGCAGGAATCATAAGTACGTATTCTGATAACTGTGTTAATAGTATTACGAATGGATTCAATTTTCAACAATCTCTGTAATTTGTTAATGCGACATAATTGTTTTGATCTTAGACGGTTAACAAAGATTAAGATGAATGGAACCGGATCGTAAGCCGTGACCGATCGTAAGCGTTTTCAATATAGTGTCAAAAATTACTGTGTACATATTATTTTGAGCGACCGTCTTGTTCGCTTATGTGATTAGCCAGTAACACATGTCTGTAAATTGTGATAATTGTAATTTATCCCGCTTGTTTTCTCATTAGACTTTCTCGGCTCATATATACCTCGAGCCGTGTTCGTGACTATCATTCTTCGATTTCCATGGTAATTATTGTTATACCTACTTTGCGAACAGGTTTACCTTTTTATCATGATCCGATGCGATTTTTAGTTATTGTTGTTTTTCCCTCTTACCGTTCAATTTACCGTTGTAAACATACAGTTTTAGGGGCCAACGGGCACATGGTTTAAAATACACGCATTTGCATATAATACGAGCACGACAGGTAAATCTATGTATTATACATAAACATACATACATAATACCCACGATAACTGACTGAACTATAGTAGCAGTGCACTGTGCACGGGGAAGACGTTAATAATAAAAAAATATAAATCCAAACCGTGTAAATTATGTATAATGAAACCACGCGTCGATATCAAGAGTCTTATTCGACTAGCATTGCCCCTCGTGTTCCTCTTCTCTATGAAGTCGTTGACCTTGGTCATTTTTTCACATGCCATCATTTGGCCAAGAACGTTAAGTAAGTTTTAATAAACTCGTCGCAAGGTACGAGAGTTGAATTTATGAGAAAATGTAATCATGTAATTGTTACCTACTATTATTTTATAGGTAGTAGGTACTCGTTTGTACTTGTTTTAGTGCACAGTGGCTCTGCTGTCGGACATTTACATTTCGTTATGCAGCCCAGAAACGTTATATTTGTGTTAAGTCTACGGTAACCATTGCACCGAACATTTTCTTTGTTCAAACGATAATAATTATATTGACACTAAGTTTACAATTCAGACCGTGAAATTGGTCTGTAAAGATTCCGGGACTTAAAAAATATGTGTTTCAATATACAATCACAAATCTGAAGACACTATTAACTTAGCACAGGCTGCTATTTTCTTTATGCGTGTTATCTGAGTAGAATTAAACAAGATATCAAAAACAAGTCCTTAAAAAAGACAAATTATAACCAGCAATTAAATTTTAGAAAACAAACGTCTACTTTAGAGACTCAATTACCGTTTGTAATGTTTACGATTTAAACATTTTATCGGGAACGTCTTTATAAAACAAAAATCCCAATAGTTATAATACGTTTAGAAAAACAAACATCGATCATAATGTTTTATTGTTATGCTTCAGTAATTTGAAGATATTTTGGCTGTAAACGAGTGTAATTATTGTTAATATTTGTTATTAATGTATTTTAATGAAAACATAGGATTAAAAAAAGGTCTCGCATGTTAAATTTTCTATTAATATTTGTTGTGATTATTATTAATTTGTGGCTAACCGTTTGTTAGATTAGGTTAGATTAGCAGTATCATCCTCAAAATATCTAATCATGTTCTCGATTTGAAAGAATTAGTCCATATTTTATATTAAAATATATATTATGTATTTGGACATGTTTATACAATGGACGTATATTTGGAATGTTTTTAAGGAATTCATTTTTTTTCGACAATACGTTTGTTAACGGTACAATTACAATTTCGCACTTTTTTTTATTCGTTTTACATCAGTGGTATCTTTTTTACTTAATACAAATACAGTCAAATGAGAACACAAGTGTAGGAATCCAGAAATAATACCAAATAAGGAATTGTAGATTTTGTTTATTTTGAGTTTATGCCGTTCTGAAATTAGGCAAATATATGGTCAGGTAATTAAATTAATTTACTACCTCGTTATTAGTATAATAGGTACAAGTTTGTTTCCGTTTATACTTTTTTTTTTTCATTAAAAATATATTTACAATCTGTAATATTAAAAACAATGAGAACATTTGTTGAACATTTTATAGTGGTAGGACGACGTGAAAGAAGGTGTCCAGTGACACTATTTCAACTAGATTCAATTACTGTTTATGTTACCTATTAGTTATTAGGTCGCTCGAGTCGTGACCAATTTCGTTTTAAACGACGATGAGGATTGTTAGGAAGAGTAAGAGAAGACATTTTGGATATCAGTGGATCCGTTTATACTTAACACGGATTCGTCGACTGTATTCGTTTGAACTTGAGTGTAAAAAGATACTTTCTCGACGATTGTGAAACCGTAGGTAGGACTATAATTTGTACACGAATAGAACATGGTTACACATGCTTTGTATGCTTTGAGGCACTTTTTTTTTTTTTACTACTCATAGTTGTAAAAAGTAATAGGTATACATAACATGTATATCCTTAACTGCAATCGTAGGTGGTAGGTGACAAGAACAATATTTAAATGCCAATTAAGTAAAGTTTTTACGATTTCACTTATACAGTGGCTTTTAGCGAATTTTTACTATACCTTACATACTTGAAGCTTATTCTTATTAACACGCACTATCATAGTGTTTACGATTATCCACTAATTATTTATTATTACGTTCTTACCTGATTTACTTTATGGATGTAACGGTTACAAAAAATTATTTTAAAAACGTTCACGAAAACTAAATATTTTGTCCTCGACGGTATGAACAAGATTAAAACTTTAATTGGTGAGTACAAAAATATTGAGACCTTCGAAGACACTATTTTATTTTATTGTTTTAATGAACAACAAACACAAAATTACCACCACCCCTTTTTTTCAGGTGCTTATACTACATGAGGACCGTAGGTAAACAAACGACGGCACAACAGTCAACACTAAGTGAGCAGAGCACACAACGGATGTAGAAGATATCAACGCTGGTGGCGAAGATCCAACCATTTACGGCTACGGCGGAATGTGGACAGGCAAACGCCGACAGGTGCAACATCCACCAGGTATTTTCATGGAAGAAAAAAACGTTGAACGTAAAGAAAATTCTAAAACAAATGTTGGAGCCAAACCATAGAGTAATAGATAATACATTCTTGATGACACATTTTTTTTATTAATATAATAAGTTATAATTTAATGAAATACATAAATCGAAGTACCCAAATTTAGTGTTCTGAAAATTACTTTTCAAAAGTAGGTACTCAAATATAAATATATGTGTATATATATTGTAAAGTGTACAAATAACAAACAATAATAAAATAATTTTTGAGTTAACCGGAATACTTAACGATAAAGCAATTAAAAATTACGTTATTAAATAGTGTAATCGTATGATATAAGAAATAATGTCACTCTTACTAGTTAAATAAAATTGTTTTATTATTATTATTTTATATATTTTTTTTTAAAGTGCAATATCCATTGTAGTTTTTGAAGTAAATATATGTTCTAAAATCTTAATAATGTACCGATCGCTTAAGCGCTAATAAATTTGTTTTAGTTAGAAAAAAGTAGGTTGTACACAGCTGTATATTTTTAAATTCTTCCAATCGAATGATTCCAGGGAGGTTTAATAAAGACTATACTACAAACTCCCGCCATAGTATCAACTGGTGCAAAAGTGCTTATCATTTATCACTTGTTAACATATGTTTTGATGTCTATAATAATAATAAAAGTAAAATATTGTGGCGTCGAACTGTGTCAGTGTGTTGCTGTAACTTGTAAATCCAGTTTCGTCTTTAGGTTATCGTCACTGTGAGTAATATTAATTATATTATATCTTATAACACAATCTTGATTGTCTTTATAATTAAAACAATCACTTGATTATAGATTAATTGTCCAGGCACTTAAATGTGCTAGTTTAAAAATGGCACACGCCTAGTTTATTTTATTAATATAATTTATAACTTAAAAAATACATTTAAATATCGTATTTTTCTGAACCAGATTTTTTAAAAATAATTTATACGTTCATTAATGGATAAGAATTAATAAGAACTATTATTTATTGTAGGCATCGGTGTACTTGGCAGATGTGAGTTAGTTTTTTTAAGCGATTGGTGATATATTTTTAATTTTTTAAGGCTTCTAAACTATTATACATCAATGTAGATAACTTAGTATTAGTATTATGTAAAGGGTAGAAGTCTAAAAGTAAATTAATCATGATATATTGATGTTTTACCAAATATGCGTAATCTATACAGACTACGGTCTTAAAAATCAATCGGAACAATTCTAGGTAATAATAATCGAACATGTTATTGTATCTATATTTTGCCTCTTAATAAAAAGTTACGACCAAACTATCCCTAAAATGATAAGTTATAGATTATTAAAAATATTAGTTGGAAAATAAGATTTATTTTTAAAACAATGATGATTTTTTAAAATTAATATTTATTAATATGGTCCTTTGGTGACTTTTGACACAGTTGACAGTTGGTTAAAAAAAGCATCAAGGACACGTTTTATGTAGTTTGTAATTTTTATATTGCTTATCGTTGCCGACTTTAATAATGTCCACGTTGGCCGAATCGCATCATAAAAAAGCATTTTGGTATCAATTATGCGTTCAAGAACGTTTAAAAATGTATTTCGAAAAAAATGTGTCGTGCTTAAATTTTGAAACAGGTATCACAAAATTATTTGTTAGCTGTTGGTAATGTTACAATAAATGATGAATCATACATTGTCAGTAACAGTTCGAGATCGTAATTTGATCCGAAGAGAAATATTTACAAGTAGAATAAAAAATAAACGTTAGGGCTGTAGTGACAGTTGAGGTGTTAAAAGGACTTGCTAAATTAAGAAATTGGTCCAGTGGTTAAAAATATATCGTAGGTCTAGTAAACAAATCTTTTTTTTGTAGACTTCACTAATGCCAAAGAAACGTTTTGTTTTTATTTTAAAACATGTTTATAAAAGAACCCTTCCTTATAAAGAAGGTGCAAGTTTAATATTGTATAATAATAACGTGTATAAAAAACATAAAATATGCAATGCGGGCAATTTGTATTTTATAGAACAAAATAATAATAATAACTATACCATAATTATAGTTATTATTACCTCTATTCAATCAATGTATTTGTCATAAACATTATTTGTCATAAATAAAACAAATGAGGGATATACATATGTTTAACTGGTATGATATTCTGATATCTACTGATTTTGAACTTTTAAAAAAACCATAAAATATCGTTTCGGGAATGAAACACGGTTAGATATATCGTTCTAAAATGATTAAAACTTAATTTTAAAATGTTTTAAATTAGTTCGAAATCAACTGAGCTGTTTGAATATCATACTATAAAATAGTAATAGTTCTAAAAAAAAATTTCTGTAGTTATATGTTTTTAGTAATTTTGCCTTGGAAACGTTTCCAACCCTTGTCCATAATAAGGAAATATGATTTGTATAACTTGACATTTTTAAGTGTTTGAATTACAACTATTCCAATGTAGGTTAAATAATTTAAAATAGAATAGGATTTTTTGAAATTAAAATGCAATTGTTAAATTCCATTACTTAATCAACAATTGTGTCAGTTTTTCAGGTTACTTTTTGTTTTCGAATCCCTTTTGGAAAAATTGGCTTGGGAAACAGTGAAAGTTGGCCAAGAGAGGGAGAGAAGCCACTGTTATGTTTGGGCGCGACTACCGTTCACCTGTCGTGAAAGCGGCGCATGGCCACTGCCGAACGGCGTCGTTGCACATGTCAACTCAAGCCGCAGTCGACGGCCGCGCGTTTAGTTTGCCGCACATTGTCGATAATGGACTGAACAGCCCGCGATAACGACGCTGACATTTGACATTATTTGCAGTTGTAGTCATTATAGTGTTAATAGTTTCTACTACTTTTATTATTGTTATTAACAATACAACATAGTAACGGTGTGCCGAAAGTGTCGGCCGCCAATTTTTGTTAAGATTCTACCACGACTGTTGCGGACGACGATGAGCGAAACCAAACTTTTAATAAGCAACGACATGGTCGCCTCAAAAGATATGCTAAACCCGTTCGTTCATCATCTGGAATTGACATCCACCTACGACAAACTCAAGGTAAGAACAAATTACTGAACTGAATATATTGACTTGAGTAATAAGAACCAAACGAGTACAAGTGGTTTATTTTGTTTCAAAAACAAGATTTTGATCTTGCGATATTTAAGAAGAAAACATTTCTATCTATAGTTTTATTTTATAATTTTTTCTCAATTTTTAAAAAATTCATTGAAGGCAAATAATCAATATCATCTATAAGAACATATTGCAAATATATTTGTAATTTTCTCTCCTGTAAAATTTCATACAATTTCATAAAAATCACTTATATTTTTTTGTTTTCATCACTTCACATTACATCATACCAACGAGCCGTGCAATATCCGCGCATCTACCCCACCACAATACGGGTTGTCGACCTTATCCATCAATCACCACGACAAAGGCCTTCTGTTTGCTTGTTTACTGCCCCTGTGTCTGGAATTAGGTTTTGCTATAAATACAATAATTTTGGGGTGTTATGGGGTTGTATCGTCCCAGTTTATTAATAACACTTTGCTAGGCTGGTTTAGCTCAAAGCAGTAACCGTTATAGTTTCTAAGGCCAAAATTTATATTTTATCGATATGATAATAACAAATGTCGGGCTGCTATTAGATGTGTTTACAGAACTGCTGGAATTTTTAAATAATTGTTTAAACATTATTTGTTTAATCATTAACCAAATCAACATTTCAATGGGATTAAAAAAACCCGTTTAAAGCGTATTATTTATCAGTTGTATTATTATTTGATAGTATAACTGTATCATTAATAAGCTCTAGTTTCGTCGTTTCGTTTTAATATTATGTATATTATTTGTTTGCAACTCGTTGTGCAACGTAAAAAAATTATTATCCTTTGGCAAACAATAAAAACTATTTACGTTTTAAACACTTGTTGTACATGCCAGATGCGGTTTGAGTAATTAATGCCGTTGTTGTGTACATTACAACTATGGAATAAAGTTACCGAGGCAGCTGTATAGCGCTTGTTTTTAAATAGTCCTCATATTTTGTTTTATTTAAATGTATCGTTTTTATGAGCTTGATATTATTGTTTGGAACTGTTTACTTTTATTTGGTTGAACAACTTTTTACTTACTAAAGTATTACATACACACGATTTAACAGAGATGTTATTCGAGTAAATCAGTATAGCAAAAAAAAAAGTAATTGTGTTTTCAGGGACACGCACACATACACATAAAAGAACATTGTAAAATCAACGCCGGAGCTAAAAAACTTACTTTTAAATCCACCATTTTAATATAATTGTTTTTCGATTGTTAATAATTGTGACATCTTATTAAAACCACCGTCAAAATAATTAAAAAAAAAAGTGTGGTCAAAGGGTCAAATATTAATAAATAATAAAAAGGAATATGCACTTATATCGCATGTTATCTTAATATATTTCTTAACTATTTGCCACTAAAAAAGTACCTGACGGTTTTAGCTCAAATGGAGAATACGATTAAATTACACGAATAGAATCAATATATATCTATAAAAACAAATGTTTATAGAATTTTAATATATACACTAGAGTGTTGATTAGCTTATCTACACACAGACATAATAATCGTTTTAACAAATTCTTTTCGAAAGTTTAGAATTGCACGTCCGCGCAAGACGAGAAAGGCTTAAGGAGCCGGCAACCCGGTAGTTTTTTTTTTAATTTTTTCTCGCAATATCAGCTATGACGGTGACGCAATGGATTTCTACGGAAGTGTATTAACGTAGCACATATTATACTAGTATTAGTAGTAGGTATCTGCCTATAATCTAAAAGGTATATAATATGAACGTATGGCGTGCGACCCGTTATTATATATTCAATAGCCGCATCTCGTTGCCGCAAAACGTCGAAGCGAAAACTGTTGTTAATATAAAATATATTTAATTATACTTAATTACACTTCAAAATTAATTCCGGTAAATAGTTCGATGACGTTCGCTTGTATTTCGCGGTTGAACTTACTATAATATAACACACTATCGTCCTTGTAGCAAAAATAATAAAACATTTTTGTCGGACCGGTCGAAGTAGAAGCATCCTCTGGACAAGCGTCAAATAACGTGTTTTTATCGTAGATTAACGCGGAAGGAACAATATAATAATATAATCACTGTTGTTTATTGGTTTTAGGATTGGCTAGACAGTCCTTTTAATTTTTTTTTTATCAATAAAAACATTTTCAAACAACATTAAACATAATTTCGGTTTGAATTGCATTTGTTTCATTCTGTCGATGCGATTATAGCGATATCAAATTATAATATGCTAACTTATCCGTGGTATTTTAAAACACAATATTTACTCTTGTGAAAATACATAAATTTTCCTGTAACGAAATAAATCGCCAACTATGTCCCATGTAACTATAATATATATCAGTTATCTCTGAAAATTTATTTTGGGTGAAAAATCTCAAAATAGTTTTAAATATCCAATAAGTATAGATTAGAAAAAGGTGGAATTTATCTTAAGAGGCATAGTCACTGTTTTCAAAACTTGCTATATTTTACTCCTGTGTTGTTCTGCAGCAACTACTAGATGATTTATTGCCAGACTATATGTAAATGATAAATGTTGAAATCGTGATTGTTTTGTGTATGGTTAGTATTTTTATTAAAAACCGTTCTAGCTTATAAACAAAATATAATTAAAAATATCAAGCCAAAATCGACACTATATGCTATAACTACTACAAACGTTGATTAAAATGATTGGTAGCCTGATAGCCTAACTAATTTTTAACTTGAAAAAAAGTCAATAAAAAAGATTTTTAAGTTAAAAATACGTTTTTGAAACGATATAAAATTTTATTCCTGGATTAAAACGTTTATATCGTTCCAAGAGGTGTCCATGATATTATTTTTGTCCAGTTCAAAATAAATTAAGTTATCAGACTATTATACTACCTACTAATCATTAAAATCAACGTTTGTAGTAGTTATAACAAGGAGTGTACATTTTATCTTGGCAACGTATTCAGTATGATTTTTTTAATATAATTATTATTAATACATTCAAAGTTTAGTTTTATAGTATGTCTAAGTAACTGTCCAAATAAATAGCGTTTTTTACCATGTTATTACACAAAAAAGTTATTTTTGAAATTCAATTTTTCAGATATATACTTCTTTATTTATATTATATTTTGAAAAAGTATAATGTATATAATTTTGTCCATTCTTGTATAATAGGGTAACGATTGTACAAAAAATTTCAGTTTTTAAAATAGTTTAGCAACCAGGAAATAACAAACTCATGCCCTTGAACGCATTACATTAAAATATATTTCTATTAGTTATGACTTATGAGTTATGATGTTTAGTGGTAAGCTAAGTTATATTAGTGTTATATTTTTAAAATATCAGTTAACTTTTCTTTACATTTCTTTCATATAATTGACGAATTATCCGTGAACTGTACACTTCAGCTGAGTTACAAATTTCAGAAGAAAGCGAGAGAATTGTCCGAATATTGTATAATTTGTTCTAATGTTAAAATATAATGTAATAGTTATGTAATACTAGTTTGTATCCAATACAGTTTATAAAAAAAAAAAACAGCAGTCGAGTGTGCTCTAGTATGATCTGATAATTATTACCTGATATAGTATGAGTAAACTTTGTTGTTATTTATTCAAATTCTAACCTTGTTGATCTCCAAAATACTTGTTAAAGCTTGTAAAAGATTGTGAACAGTTTTTATTATGCTCCGATTACATTAATACTAACGTTAATGTGGTGTTTGGCCCTTGTTCTAACCCGGTTCGGGATAATGACCTCGGTGTCAGACATGACATTTTGTCATGTTAAAGTTGAGTTGTCAATCGTTTTTAGTGTGTATTTAAATGGAACATTTGGGGCACAATTTTGCATGTATTATATTATAAAGCGTTTAGCCTGACATATTATTAAGTGAATGACATGTTAAGTGTACAATTCGTTTGAGTTATTTAATTAAAATAAATAAAACTTTTAAGTTGATTTAATTTTTTTAACGCGATATTTTTTATCCTCTTTGTTTTTTAAAAAGTATGGAGTAGCAAAAAAAAGTGTTTAAAAATAGAATAAACAACTTTAAATCATGTCAAAAAATGATTGGGGGACAATGCAAAAAAATGAGTGTATAAAAACAACCTATTACTTGGTTTCAACTACTTTGATATGTTTCATCGGCCGTTGTTATTTGTTTTGTTCATTGTTTAATTTAATATTAATTATTAATATAACTATACTATAGTGGTCGATCGATTTTATATATATTATGTGTACGGATTACGGGCTTAGTAAAAGTTCCATTAGTGCAGTGCGTTCCAATGAAACTCTTAAGTATTAGTAGTAGAGGGTATTCGTGTAATTAATCAAAAATAGAGGTATTTATTTTAGGGTTGGAAATCAAAGGATTATTGATTTACCAGCTATTGCCTATTGTTATGTCTGACGTATATAACCTTGCGTTTATTTTTAATTTTTCCTCGAACAACAGGTAGGTTTTTGGTAAATGTAATAATTTTATACGGAAGTGAGATTGCCGTTGTGTTGTAATAATCGGTATAACTTAATATAATTATTCATTTTCCAATGAGTTGCACGGCGAATTTTCTTATAGAAAAAAATCTACCAATTTTAAGTGTATAATGTTATTGCTTATTATTAGATTTATTTTTTGACCCAGTCGAAGTCATTACCAATTAGAACGCATGGTCCATAGCTATCGAGACCAACCGGAATAGATATCGGACATTTGGGCAGGAGAGATTTTCTCTGTTTTTTATTTCGGTGCTTTTCACACGTGTTAGTTACAGTGCATAGAAAGTCTGTAATGTGTGTGCTTTTTTGCAGGATGAGCTCGACGGCTTTCAACATCAATCGTGTTAACTGTTATTGCCTCTTAAAACGCTACGATACATTATTCAATATTCCGTATTCGTTTCAAAGTAATTTGAGTTTGGAGTGGACATAAAAATAAAAATCATATAAAATATCGTTGCGTCACGGACAGCGCGTGTTAGGTTTTCGAATGAATCTAAATAATAACACTTTCGATTTATGTCTGAACGCTTGGCTGCACAGTAGTTAAAAACGTTATTTTCTAGACAAAATAAATAACTCAGAAATATTTATTAACGTATTTTGGTAATAAGTACCAAGTATGTTTCTACACAGTATAAGTTTCCAATTGTTAATCAAACTATTAAAAGTTCATTCCTTTCCCCTTAAAAAACTGAGAATGAATTTGACAATTTTTCAGTTTATGTAACTTGAAAATAACAGTTAGAAACGAGTCTATATGGGTAAAAATGTTCAAACACTAAACTTTATTAACCAGGGTAATAGTTAAAATTATTAAATATTAAAAAATTAGTAAATTTACATTAGGCTAGTGTGTATAGTGTGTTTCAATCTGTGTTCGAATTTTGCGGTCAAGGTTAATCTCGAGTTAAGTTCGAATTTGTTTTATATATTCAAAGTTAATGTCATGATAAAAATGATAATTATGATTTAAGACATAAATATGTGTTCACAATTGAAGGGGTCAATGGTGTTAACTGACATTTTTGAAATTGTTCAGGAACGCCACTTTTGTAACTAAATATTACACGAAAGCTATGGAACTTTTGTACATTAAATAGATGAAATAACTTATAAGAGGAAAAATATCGGTCTAGAGATCCTCTATACTATACTATAACACTATAACCCTTTTATTCATGCAATAAAATGCATTTTCGAAAAAATGTTAGTTAACACCTTTATTCATTGACCTATTAAATTATGTTTAACAACATTAAGTTTAGTTACTGTACTGGGAATTTTCTCAGTGTAATATTTTATAATGCTTATAAAAATAATTTTTTTTAATTCAACAAAGACTCGGTTTCTGTTAATTTTAATTTTTTTTACAGACTGCCTTCTTTACTATCGTCGTTCTTCCCATAAGAATTGCGGCCATTATGTTTTTATTGACGGTGGCGTGGATGTTGGCCACCATCGGGCTGATTGGAATAAGTCATAACGATTTATCTGAAAAGCCACTCTCTGGATGGCGACGGTAAGTTAAATACGATTTCTTTTAATATTTTTGTTAAAAAAAAAATGTTGAATTAAATGTCATATTTATCAGTAAAATAAACAAATATCTTGGTTAACTGCATTTAAAGTCGAAACCTTCGTTTAAACGGCCATAATATTTTCAATTGTTATGAACGATGATTTGGCAGTTAAAAAAACAAAATCACCTAACCTAACCGATTGGACATTGACCGTATTGTATGTTCTTTTTGAAAGCCAAGGCTGTTGTGTGTTTCTAGCGAAAGGGTACTTGCCATTTATACGGCCACTTAATATTTCCGCTATAGTAATACTTGTCTGTACCTGATGCATAAAATATAATGTGGAATGACATTCGAGATAAAATTTATTTTCGAATAGAATTGGAGCTGGGGGTTCATTTCGATTGTATTATTAATGATAAAATATGATATCGTGCAGATAAATAAACATGGACTTGATGTATCCTTGAAACGAGTTTCAAACATAAACATTTTTGTGTCGTTTCCGGGTTGCTTAAAACAAACTTTTTTAACAATCATTTATATAAATTTATTGTGGGATATTGTATAATTTTTAAAAATATTTTGCTTAAATAAAATAAAACTACATTATTCTTAAATGTCGTTCTGAGTTGTTTTAGTATGCTTTTATAGATTTTCGATTGATATTGTGGTAATATATGGTCATGAATGATTTCCTTGACCGTTAACTTGAACCACAACACATTGTATAATCGAATAAAAACAATTCTGTACAAGCGCACACGTTTAATATCTATGTATGCTTAAACTGCATGTTAAAAATGCAATACATCTGTGTCAGTAAAAAAATCGTTTAACTAGCTTTTTTTAAAATTATTAATTTAAAAATAATTGCAATAAAAAAATTAAAAAAATGTCTCATCGCAAATTTAAACAAAGAAATATTGAAAAAGTTTTGTTTGGGCCTTATTAAGTGCCTAACTTGGGCAAGTTAGGCACTTAATTTAAATTGTATATAATTTCTATGCAAAAGCTTTTTATTTATAATATTATACATTTTCTACTGCTGCGATATGTATACTATATTACTTAGTAAAGTGTAGTGTAATATATGTATGAGGAAGTATGTGTATAGTTGACACAATAACAAACTGCTGTTATTTTTCATGTTCATAATCAGATGAGAACTTATATCTGTTAGTAGTAACAATTATACTCTAGTAAGTAATCTTGTCATGTATGAATAATAGAAAAATCGCGTGACTTAACGCACTAGTTTGGTCGGTTACAACAAAACAGGTAAACCTGTTAGTCAGTTATATTGGAAGTGCGTTGTATAAACAATTGGGTGGATTAAGAGAGACAATACATTTACTTTTATTTTTGTTCTGAATATATACGCGTGTAATGCGTATACGTTCTTTTAAATCAAGTAAATAAAAAAACCCTAACTATTGTATTCAGAATTTAGAGAAAGATTAGTTGCCCTACCAAACTTTACATTTTTAGTAGAAAGTAAAATATATATTTATAACTAACATTTTTTTAAGCATACCTTAGAGATAAAATATGAAGACCACAAAGCAAACTTAATGAGCCGCACATGTAGTTTTAATGGGGGCTCATCTTTTTTGCATTGTGGTCTTCATATATTTTTAATTATGAAATAAACATGTACCCATAACAAACTTATCAGTCAGTACATTATTTAACAATTTCGCGGGCCTATACTCAGTTCAAAATTAGAAACGACCTCGGCGGCTACCTGAAAGCCTCGTAAAAAAACCGGTTTTTAGGTAACCGCCGAAGTCGTTTCTTATTTTGAATACAGTATAGAGCCCGCATTCTTTCAATCGTGCACGCTTCAGGTGTTGGGCTTTTTTTTTATTGCATTTTAGTGGGCTCAGGCGTGCAGTTTACGCGGTTACCCGACTTATGTTCTTCGCTGTTGGGTTTCATCGGATACGCGTGTTCGGCAAACAGGCCACGCGGCAGCAAGCGCCCGTACTAGTCGTGGCACCTCATTCTTCGTTTTGCGACGGTCTAGCCGCAATTGCAGCAGGCGGACCAACTATTGTGGCCAAGGAAGAGAATTCGTCTTTACCAATCATTGGAAGTACGAATGGTCATCATCGCCTGTTTCACTATATCGCATGCATGGCTTGGTGTTTTTCCTCTAAAGCTCTAAAACATAATTATTATAACACTATATAGCACTTTTTTCATACGAAAGTATTATAATATTTTGCTTGCATGGTCACATTTAGTTTTGTTAACATGTTACGCGCAGTTATTATTTTACACATCTAATGAATAACCCTCCACAGATTTATAGTTCTAGTCAGGTCCGAATTAAAACCAATCGAGGCGTATTTTCTATTGGTCTTTTAAACAAAATAAACCCACATCACGTTATGTACATACTTTGGAAGTCTTGTCTTTACACAATAGAAAACTTCGCCCATCAGCAATCAGTTTTATTAGTACAAAACCCGTCGCAAAACGATTATCATTTATCCTTTGTATAGATTTTAAAATTTAGCCCTTTTGCAAAAAAAATTTTAAAGTATATTGGCCAAGTGTTAAGCAATACAAATAAAAGAGCAGTGTTGCTCATGAAAGTAGGAGGAAGTGTGATTATGAACTAAAGAAATAACAGACTTGACCACAATGTAGATATCACTACTTTGATAGGCTGACATTTTTGGGGGTCTGAAACTTGGTCTTTTTTACTGTTAGGTTTTTGTTGGGGATATCATTCCTTTTTGCGGGCTTCAGTATGGTGGGCGAGGTTTTTATTAAGAGTCATTTAATGTATATTGTACGTCGTAGATTTTCTCTTGTTTTTACGTGTTATTATATCAACTACGTAGATATGTACATAATGTATATGTATATATAATGTATATATGTACAAAAATCTACACTTTGTAGTGAAGCTACAATTTATACAAGTAGCCACTTGCATAATGATTAATCATTTAATTATTAATAAACCATGATAGTAATTAAATAAGTCATAGTTAATATATTGTAATTTAATTAATAAATTAGTGAAGCTAGAATTTATTGTAGTATAGCTAGAATTTATACAAGTAGCCACTATAAATCTAGTTTAGTATTATAAACGTATAAACGCAACCTAAACGTTTAGGTGTACAATTACACTTTATAATAAACCACGTGACAAACGAAACAAGAACAAAGAACACTGCTACACTGCCATACATGTGAACACGAATTAACAAAGACACAAACTACGACCAAATGATGGCTGACTAGAGACGAGGGAATCAACAGCGCCCTGTACCGACTGTAGCGCGGCGAAGGTCATTAATCCCCACCTAGCGCATTAATTTTGAGAAAATTGCAATTTTCAGATTTTTCCCTTTACTTATACTATAAGATCCACCTTTGTGCCAAATTTCACGTTTCTACCAATACTGGAAGTGTCTTATAATTTTGATGATGAGTGAGTGAGTGAGTAACAAAAATGCAAATTTTGAAATCCTCCCATTTTAAAACGACTAAATATTAAGGCTTCAATTTTAGACAGTGTCCTAAACTATTTAAGTTTAATTTAGGTTTCAAATTTTAAAAGCCTATCTTAAGAACTAGCAGAGATATAAGATTTAGAAATACCGGGTGAATTGGTTCGTGTAAAGATACACTGGCATTGTTAGAACTTGGCCGGCGCACTACCGTGCGCTCAGATGAATTGGACCATTTATATCTTTGATTTATAATTTGAACTTTAACTTTAAGCGTCGATAGCTGATACTGTTATTGTTCATTATAATGATTATGATGTATTTATTTGTTTTTTTTTTTTATTATTTTATAGTTATTTCCGTCATTGGATATGTATTGTTGGCCGCGCGGTGTACCTGGCGGGCGGCATGAACATAGTTATCAAGGGGGTTAAAGCCTCCCGCAAAGAAGCCCCCCTACTGGTCATTGCTCCCCATTCCACATTTCTCGACTCATGCATAAGTTATGTGACCGGGTTCCCTTCCATCATCGCCAGGATCGAAGACGGACTAAACCCTTGGCTGGGAAGTATGTTAAAAAAAAAAAACAAATAAAAACTATAAAAAAATTATAAATTTGATAGTTTAGAAAAGACACATACAAAATATAAAATCATGACTGGCGAATACTAGACATAATAATATAAAAAGCACAAATATTCGAGTAGAATTAAACATTTTTGTTATACTTAAACGCACTACTTAATGGTGTGTTCAATAATTTAAAAATATGGCTGCTGCATGTGCGTATTACAGTAGTGCTCGTTTGACCAAATGTAGTTGTATTCGACTAAAAGTCTTAAAAGTCATTTTCAGACATATTGAAGCTTGCTTGAATTTCTATAATTAAAACCACGCAGCTGTTTTTTGGCAGTACCTTTTGGAATCGTCTTCGTTTTGAACGTGACCAAACATGTCGTCAAAAATATTGTTAACAGTAAAATTTATTATTTTTATTTTGTCTTTGGCGTATTGTTGTTTGTCTTATTATTATTATGTTTATAGTGGCGCTTAAACAGTGTTTGATGTGTTACAAACGAAACCATGACGTACCGTTAACGGTAGTTTTTTTTATAATGTGTTTCTCCCGCAGGAGTAATCAACTTCACACAGCCTGTATATGTGCGAAGAGACGACCCAGAATCCAGACAGCACACAATACAAGAGATCATTCGCCGCGTGAAATCCGACCAGGACTGGCCTCAGGTATGATATATTATTATGTACTGGCCACAATATTATTAATAGGATTCACAACCGCGTATTAACTTTTGCATCAAATGGTAAAGATTTGTATTGTTGTTATCGGTCGATTTGTAGTAGTGATTTAAAATTGAAAGAATCCAAATATTAAATAGTATGACGATTTTCCCAATTAACTATAATCATAGTTGTTGTATAAAAGCCGACCGTGCTTTGTGCATTATGTTCAGAACCAGAGGCCAATGACCAAAAAAAAACCCAAACTAAAACCGTTTTAATAAAATAAAAATTCTAAAGGTGTGTATAAGTTATATCAGAACATAAAAAGTTGCCTGTTGACACGCATATATGTTTAGTACGTTAATAATAAAATAGTTAATACTTAAAACGTGATTTAAAATCGCTGAGGGTTTTCTTAGCATAATAAACGGCGTATCTACTCAACTTTGAAAAGTGTAAAATAATATGCAGTACATTTTTTCTGTTATTTTTGTCGTAGTTTTATGTGCTACTAAAAATTATTGTTTTTTAATTTTCATTTTAAAAGTTTTTAACCATAAGTTATTACATCCAGTAGCGTATCTTGGATTTTTTCACGGATATACAGATTTTAACAGCCTTACCTATTCAATATAAACATATATTATTTATATTATTATAGTATACATGTTGCATGTAAACAAAAATTTGGATTCTTAACTACAAATTAAAGTCTAATTTTCTTGTGGACAGTGAAAGAATATTGAGTACTTCATCAGGCGTGACTGTAATATGTTTGTGTACTGATAGCATGCAAAGGCCATTTAGCCGATTCTAAAGACAAAAATTTGGAACATTATTACCAACAGCAAGTGTAAAATTATTAAATCTTAAATCATCTTAAATCGTGATTATCAGTGTTACCATTGATTATAAATTATATATTTTATAACCAATGGTGTTACTCAGAATAAAAACAAATTCTTGTAGTGCAAACGCTGTAACATCTACTCGGGTAGAACAAGATTATATTATCTATAATTGAGGGTGGCACAAAGTTTTAATTTGTTATCAAATCATAGTCTTAACTCATAATTGATAAAATTTGTATAAAAAAAAAGTTGAACTACATTTTTTTTTCAATATTGAATTTATTATCGTTCGTTTCGTTCATACAATTATCAAAATTATGTTTCAAATAACCTCCCAGGCCCCGGGGGCGGAGGATATACCCCTCCCCACCCCGTAAATACGGCACTGATAACATCTTTACAAAATTTAGTTTTTTAAACGGTTTTGTTACTTTTTAAATTGAATTTCTGACAAAGCTCCCTGGCTCCGTACAGCTAGAACTGATCCAATTATGTAATGTTATTATTATAAAATAAATGCTAATAAATTAGGAAATACTATAGTATTCATTAGTTATTACTAAGTATAGTATTTCCTGATAGTATTGGATTTCTATGTAATATGGATTTCTTCGGACTTTGATTAATTTTTACAGTCTCATTTTGCTTTTCAATATAATTCTAACATAACAAATTTTTGACAAGGCCAACACTATAAGTTTTTTCACAACTAGTAAACCGAGGTTAAGTTTACGAGAGTAAATTCGAGGTATTACAAGACAAGTTGAATTGATAATTTTTTTACATTTTGATTTAAAATTGGAAACTTAGGAGCTGGTTTACCTTTATTTATGTCTTGTTTTTCAGTAAAACTGTGAAATCTGAAAGACTTTCTAGTTATGCAATAAAGTTTTACTGGGTGCGTTTAAATTATTTACAGTTTTCGGTAACACCTATATTTACATTTGGCTTGGCCGCCTTTGTTAACGTTTCAGAAAAATTTTTTCGGAAGATGAAAAACTTCTGGAACATTAGCAAAGCCAATATGTAAATACAGATGTAACCTAAAACTATGTAAATAATGTCTTGGGGTGTTTTTCTGGAAGGGGAAGTGAACGATTTCTAATCAATAGAATTACTAAATGAAGAAATCGGTTCATCGGTTATAGAGATATGGCAGCGGAAATAAAAAATAACAAATTATAAAAAAATACCTTCTTTGCTCCACATCAAAGCTAAAAAGTTTGTTGTTTTTTTTTTCAGATTCTCATATTTCCAGAAGGAACTTGCACTAATCGTTCGTGTTTAATCACATTCAAACCGGGTGCGTTTTATCCAGCAGTTCCAGTACAACCGGTTCTACTGCGCTACCCAAACAAACTTGACACTGTCACATGGACTTGGGACGGCCCTGGAGCGTAAGTTTCTCCGTTAGCTTCATAACATGACTTAAAATCTGGTTTTTCGTACCTTCGTTCAAAATCGTACATTATATTGTAATCTACCTGGTTTGCTCATCATAACCGTGTGTCATATCTGTTTGTAGGCTGAAACTCTTGTGGCTGACAATGACCCGACCGGCGACAACCGTGGAAGTGGAATTTTTGCCCGTTTACGTTCCTAGTGAGTACGAAAAGCAAAACCCCAAAGTTTTCGCCGAAGGCGTCCGCAATGTGATGGCCAAGTAAACAACCGTGTACAATTGTTTAAAATTTAAGGCTATACAGTATATATAAAACTTAACCATGTTGACAATTTATAGAGCTCTCGCAGTGCCTACAGCGGATTACACGTACGACGATTGTAGAGTGGCCGTCAAAGCGGGCCAACTTAATCTTCCCATGTCCTCCAACTTGATCACAATCGAAAGACTTAGAAGCCGATTAGGGTAAGTGCGACACTTCCGGTGTTTTACCCCTGTTAATCGCGAATATCGTTTTCCGTTTAACAGATTGACGCGCATCAAGCTGGATGATTCCGCTCTGGCAAAGAACATGTTACTGTTCCAGAACCATATGGGCTATCCGGTAGACTTGTCAGAGTTCGCTAAACATTTAAATGTGCCCGTTGACGACAGCTCCCTTGTCGGCTTGTTCAAAATGCACCAAGAGGTAAATAACCAACAAAACGTTCCAAATCTCAAACAAAAGGGGGGGTTTTATTCGATTATAATAATTATTCGGTTCCTTTTTTTTATTCAGGACGAAAATTCGGCGATGATTGATTTCAAAAAATACTTATTGGCGGAATATATCCTACAGAAAGCGGTTACCAAAGAAGACCTAGTAGTTTTGGCGTTCAAGGTATAACGTCGTTTTGATTAATTTGTACTATTGTGAGCTCATCCAATTCATTATGCCTATCACTTTTAGCTGTACGGCGGGTGTTTTAACAAAGAAATGTTTGAGTATGTGTTAAACCTCATGTATAATACCCCGAAACCCGAAGCGTCGGTTCTGTACAGAGAGATGACTAACAAGCCGGACGAAATAAGACTGTGTAAATATTTATTTTTCATATTTACAAACAACAATAAAGAAAGTGAAAGCGTACATTAAATATTTAACAGATAAACATAGCTACTGATGTCGATAAATTTAGATTTTACGAAAAAGTGCCTATACTTTACTCCTTAGAAATATGCAGTGTAGCGTCCTTTTAAACACATTTCAAAAATTATTTTTAAGGCAAATATCAAATAAAATGTTATTTATAACCATTAAGTATAACCGTTAAGTACCTATAGATTGTAATACAAAATATAATACTATATAATCTATACTCAATTATGAAGTATAAATAAATACTTTTCCATAAATTTGGGCATATTTTAATTTCTTTTTCTTTGGATTTTGTAATTTTTTTATTTTGTGACAGATGATTTGAATTTAAAGGAAACATTATAAAATTACAATTTTTATTTTCTATGAAAATTTATTTTTTAGTGAATAGCTAATAAAACAGCTTTTATCTTATGCATACGGTTTTAGTAGTTGTTTATTAAATGTATTGCTAAATTACATATTTGTAAAGAATTTACCTATTTCATAATTTTTAAAATAATTTGTATAATTCTTTAAATAATATCTGTTACTTTTAAATGAAATAATATTATCCGTTAAAAAAGGCTAAATTATGTTTTTTGGCATAACAAAAATTGTAAATTAAAACACTGCGTAAACAGTGAAACATTTTCCAAATGTTTTATAAAGCAAAATTGGCCTTTATAAATATTGGGTAACTATTATTATTAAAGATTGAACATTAGATCCGATTATTTTTGTACAGCTAGTCTACAAATTAGAAATCTTATCCTTAGGTAGTTTGGAAGGCCAAAAATAACTCTTTTTAGTTTAAGGTTAAATTACAAGTACGTTGAGATGTAATTTTTTTTTTAAATTTATAATTTGTGTCGATTTAGCCGATTACATGCAATATGGGAAAAGTCATCCGGACAAAATTGTGCTACTGCAAAACCACAGCATGAGTTCGGCACCTCGGGCAGTGGCGGATTTCTCAGTGCTCGGACACCCTGACGAGGAAAAGAAGTATCAATGACATACGGAAACATCACCGAGTACAATAGTACCTGTCGCAGACTGAATGAAGTTAATTATTATTAAAGGTTTCATCATTTTCCTCGCTCGTCTCACAATAACGTTATTATTATTATTATATATTGTATTATTACATATTTGTTACTTTGTTACGTTGTGCATATAAATGTGTTGCACAGTGTCTAGTGTTTAAGTGCTTAGACTTTCCCAACATGACCGTCAATGCTTTTAGGAAAATTCACGTTTGTCCTTGATATATGTTTTGTACATGCAATCAGCAACTTTTTCTTGTTCTAGCTCTTTACATTTTATCTTTTGCAATGCTGTGTGTAAATATTGTTCACTGTTTATTGAAATTACCATCTCTGGATTTTCTACATAACACCACTGCATTTACATTTACTCATATTTTATACAGTTTTTTTTTAAATGAGTGCTATATATATATATATATATTACAATAAAATTAAAACAGATTTTCCTACGAATTTTGACTTTCTATATGTAAATATATATACTGTGTAAAGAAAAAAGTAACTATCGTGATTATCTTTACTCAATTATATTTGTTTGTTCGTGTTCCTCTTCAGACAAAGTGGATAAATTAGATGTAATCAGATTATATTGTTAATGTTGTTTGAATAATTTAAAAAAGTATATAATAATATTTTGTAATTATAGTTGACAACTAATTACATTTTATCTGTTATTATTAAATGTTGTAAATTTGATTTTGTCTAAATATATTGATTATTTTGTGTTAATCGTCTTTTCCCATAATAACAATACTATATTGTATTTTCACTAAGACAAAAATCTACAAATTTAATAATTAAGACTCTTCTATTAATTTCCCATTCATTGTTATTAAATTATAATATTGAAAAATGTTGGGGTTTTATCACCTATTTTATGGCCCCTCTCTTTAGACCAACCACACGGACTTTACACACTGCAGAAGAAAAACCATTTATTTTCCATCTTGTACAAATTGACTTTTTGGACAGGCCATGCATATTACAATTTAAAATTTTCAAACCCATAACCATGAACAACTATTATTTTTAAATTGTAAGTTAAAATAGTAGTATTTGTAATGGTTTCAATCTTAACTCATATAAGTAATGATTTTTCAGATCTACGGATATTGATTAGACCAAGTTGGAAACAATAAATACTTTTCATAGTTCTACATTATTTATAAATATGCCTAATTTACTCGTTTTACTAATTTTAATTCTTATAAGTTTTCTAACGAAAATAGACATTTAATTTATTTAATACCTTCCTGACGTGTAATAAAAAGTTACATTTGCGACTCACCAAAGTTACAAAGTGACATCTGTTTTTTTTCTGTGTTATTATATATAATGTATGTCATTTTTTATTTTAATTAATTTTTTTATACACTTAAAATATAACTATATAGTTATAATTTTGGCTGCATGCTATGTACTTGTAGGGTTTTAAACAGATTTTAGAAATTCAACTGTATAGGTTAGGCTGCCGGTTAAAAATTAAAATAATGCTGGTTTAAACTGATTAAAACCAAAATTTTTCTAAAAACGGATACAATCTGTAATTTAAGTATTTTAATAATTTATGCATACATTATTAAATATATTTTAAATATTATATTTAAAATGAAAAATTTTAAAGTAACATTCGACAACATTTAAATAAAAACAGAAAATATGATTTTACTAAGCGACCAATTTTACTAAACTAAAAAAGTTCTTTTGTTTTGGTAATATAGTTTTATGTTGTTAAAATATCATAAAATTATTCTTCAAATTTTACAATTCACATCACAAAATAATGTGGACTACGTTAAATACAGTTTATGCGAAATGCACGACCCGGATACAATACTCTATTTTTGGGATCGAAATAAAAGGGTACCTATGTAATTTACTACTATATTATTATATAGTGTAGTATACTACTTAATTAATCCATGTATTTAATGTTATAAAACATTAAAAAATATTATAGAACCAACTATAGTTTCAACTTTTATGACACCTACCTTTTACAATATCTAAACTTTACTGTAATGCTTTAATTAAATATTAAAACCACAAATTAAGTAAAAAACTAATTTTAAAAACCCCAAACAGATAGGTACTTGATAGTGATCATAAATGATTATGATTTGTTTCCTGTCGCTGCTAAGGTGCCTTAATTTAGCTCTAACAGGCAGAGAGTCGTGGGTGTGATCCACTCACCGCACCGCACCCTAACAAACTAAGGTGTCTTTAACAAGTGGTGCGGAAAGGGGACAGAGCTCTACTCTCTAGTCGCCTCTTCCGGATTGATTCTGCTTCAGGTGCGTTCCATCCAACGTCAGATCTCGGAGCAGCTATATTTCCTAACATTTAACTATAATAAACGGGTGAATAGCCTGAACGCAAACACTAACACTGGTAAGAACCTAGAGCCGTACTTTGGCTTCCTCAGAAGATGCGGCCTTTATTACAGTACACATAGTTTTTGTTAGCTTTAAGGAGATGGCTAGGTTTGTTTAAAAATTATTTTTAGTCAATTCATTATTTCAATTAAAAAAAAAATGCAATTTTTAACTTTTTTAAAATGAAATAATAAATTAACAAAAATAATATAAAAATTATGTCACGATCGATATCAATAGGTACAACACCCCGTACAATCGAAAAATGTACAAAAAAAAAATGTTCACGGTTCTTAACACATATGAAAAACCGTGTCATTTGTGCCTATAAAACCAAAACAGAACAATGCGTTTATGTATCACAATAGCCTATACATAACGCCGTTTAGTGTATCCCGATCTGAAAACGAAACGTACATATTTGTTGTTGACAATTTCGTTTTGTTTTCTTGTTGGCTGTATGGCCTACAAGGCTACATTTTATTGCTCATTTTCTTATATACATTTCTCTATGTATTAACTATGTTACAGGATCTTCCTATTATGCCCTTAGACAACAAATCTAGTTTAGCGCTCACGTGTATTGTTCGATTTGTTTTCCTTCAAAATGTGGGTTTTTTACGCTGATGACGGTGACAAAGTCAGATTTGGTCTGTCGGTGGTTACTTTTGAAGTTATACAAATATTTGTAAAAAATACAAATGTTGAAAAAAACCATTTTGAAGTTATTGTACTTTTAAAAAAAAAGTAAATCGAGTTTTTTGCTTATAACGTCCAAAGTAAGGCAGACCGACTAAATATGATAAACTAAATAAACTAATTAGCACCGTCATCAGCGTAAAAACACACACATTTTGAAGAAAAAATACGCGTGGGCGCTAAGATTATTTCACAAAAAATTGTTAATACTGTTGTGTTTTGCATTTTAAAAGGCGCAGACCAAATATCATGAACAACAGTTGGATAAGGTTAGTATATATTAAAAGAACCACAAATTCAAAATAGTTGTACTACTTAAAATAGTGTGAGAAAAAAACCTAGACGTCTAATAATATACATATAGAAAGATATTTTTGCACTACTACATATTTGCATATTATTTTATTGATGCGATACTAATAGTATTAATAATTAATATCAATATTATACTTATATGAGTGAATGTAAAATTTAGGACAAAGGTTAATTATTAGTGTTAGTGATAAAATAACATTGTAACACTCAAATGTACATTATAACAAGTCAAGAAATCAAAAGCGTCGTTTGGGATTGTGCATTATACCGAACGCGATTATTAATTAATAACTATTCCCTGTTTGTGTGTGTGTAATGTGTATTGATATAAAACAATGGACACAAAACTCGTGAACGACTAATTATAAAAATATGCGTTTATTGATTTTGTTAAAAAAAAATGTATTTTATTCACATTACTCCCAACCCAGGACCGATATTGCCTGAAATTTAAAAAAAAACATATCTTTTTATGACAGTCAATGTTTAAATAATAGCGCTTTACCTATAGTGGCACATTGCCGTAGCCAAAATTCGTGACTCTGTCGTGACTTTTGATCAGTCACATTGCCACAAAGATCAACCCACGAGTCATAACTCTTCAAAAATTGTAGTGGTCAAACCATACCACAACAATAAAATTTCTAATAAACCTAACCACAGTAAAAATATACTTATGATTTATGAGCCATCATCAGCGCTACCCGCAGACTAGAAGTTTATTCATAATTGTATAGTTAATTTTTACCGAACATAATAACAGTAAGTAGAATACAAATATTAAGTATCTTCATTCAAAAATATCAATTATGCGTCATTTTAATAGTTTACATGAATATAATATCATATTACATAATTGTATACACAATATTATTAAGCACTTTTACATCTAAAACAAACCTCCGAATACCAAAACTCTTCAGGCATTCCTATTCGATCTGCTTGCGACTAATAACCTTAATATTTTAGTAGATCACTAGAAAAATGGAAATTTGAAATAAACTTCAAGTACTAAAGTAAAGAAAGAGAGTAAACACGCTAAATATTTTAGGGTAAATAGGTTGACCATAGTAAAACGGTATACATACATTTTAACTGTATTATTACTATTATAACTAAAAAATGGTTACATTTATTACACTTCTAAAAGTATTGAAACAGACGTGACATATTATAACAAATTGTTTTTTATTTACCATTTAGACGTCAATGGCCAAGAACGGTCTCGGCCGAGTTTGAAGATTTACAAATTGTAGACTAATCCCTACTTAAATGTTTAAGAGCTAAACGACCATAAGTGGACTTATAATAATTATTGATGTCGGTTTATCCTGGACGATTTACATATCACATGCACACCACTTTACCGGTATCTGTTGCTGTAAAAATAACATATAACTATTGTCTAGATATGAATTTTATTTAATTATACATATACATAAATATAGATTTATCGACGCTTTGATGTTCTTACTTATATGATATGCAATAACATAGATAAGAAAAATATCATAAGTCACATCGACTATGTTGGTTGAATAATGATAATATTGACAATGACTTATTTAGATTTACATCATATACATGCACCGTACTGATGACTACAATATAGCCATTAATAAAATATAAGTATACAAACGTGAGTACCGAGTGTTTAGCATTAATAATAATAATACTATAAAAACACCGTACTTACCTGTATCAGCTATTATTTAAAACTGAAGAAAACTTGTCATTATTAACACTAATCGATTGAATACACTTGATTCTCAGTTATGCGCATTGTAAAAATATAATTAATTATATTTTTTTATTATTATTAAAAATATACAATCTGTACAGTTAAAAAGTCTGGTTTTATACATATATAACTACAAAATAAGTGACACGTTGCCATTATTGCACTGAATTTTGTAAACCGAAAAATTTAAAGACTTACGGCTTTAATTTTTAATAATATAATAATTCATTTTGAATACAATATGTAATTTTTAATTAAAATCAATGATATAATGTATAGACAACAAATGAAGGAACATTGGCCTTGATTCTTGAACTATGCAAGTTCAAGTAATAGTCCTTTAACATTATGCAATTGATTCATGAACCAACCGCGGCTTATACAAGTATAACATTTTCCCGTTGTTGTCCCATCCATCAATCAAGAATTATTTTATTTATTTATTTTTTTTTATAACCCGTTTAGGTTTGATGTTTGCACTGTCTCACTACTAACGGGTACTTACATTTTATGTTATTTATTATTTAATTGAAAAAAAAAACATTTTTTCCTGAAATGTGTATTTTAATCATCTATTAAACTATTAACGAGTAACTCTATCAGTATTGGTAATTTTAATAAGTTTCCCTGTTCAACGGTAATTTAATGTGGTAAACCTCAGAATTTCCGTCCTCTTAAATGAACTAGAAAAATTATATAACTTTATTGTATTTCCTCGTTGAGACATCAAAGTATATTACAATCCAACGAAATCCACAATGTAGGATTTACTATACATATATAACTGTATTTGTCTTTAGAAATGTAATTTGGAATACGACGTTCACGCACAATCAATCATTTTTAAAACATAAACAAAAAGAACATTGCCTGCGGTTTGTCATTAGGTTTTTTGAAATAAATGTCTTAAATAATTTTACAATTTTTCTGTTTTCTTAAACTTAGGTGAATACAAATTAACAACATTAGTATTCTAGAAAAAACTGTCAAGCAAACTTATGGTTAAATATATGGTACAGATATAAAATCTACTTAAACCCTAAACCATAAAAATTATACACCTCTTGCGTACACGTGTTACGACAACGATGTTGTCATCTTCAGCGCTAACAGACTCCATTTTGAAATGTTCGAATGTAACGTTTGATAACTTTGTTGTAAACAAAATTTTAAACGCCTAATGGTAGGTTTCTTTTTTTAGAAAAAATGTCAAGCAGTTGCTGTGATAGTTTGACACAAACGATTGTTATATATCAATTAATAATCGTCAATGTAAGTTAATTAATTATTATACAAACTAAAAGTGTAGTAATAAATTAATTTTCCCTCATGTTATCAAATATTATCTAATAAACAAATAATTATTATTAATAAGTATTGTTTTTGATAGTCGTGTATTTTTAGGGGTTTTCTCAGTAGAAAAAACAATGAACCGACCAACCGACTAACGAGTAACCGTTAGATGTTTACTGATGGACCTGATTTAAACATAATATTTCAATTTGTACACTTTTAACAAGCTTAGAAATATTTTGGAAATTGGAAGATTTTATTTATTGAAAAAAAAATATGAAATATATCACGGCATACATAATTCTATCAAATAACTATAATTGTACGCCTTAAATTCATACAATTTTTAATCTATAATTTTGGATTTTGACTTTTCCAAAATGTTAAAAAAAATTAAGTCATAGCAAAGTACATAATGGTAGCGCCATCTTTTGGGTAAAAAAAAATTTTATATCAAAAACGAATACTATAACATAGTGTTTTGCTTTTTTACAAAATTATTGACTCAATTTTAGAACAAAATATCAGAAAATTAGACTTAAGGATCTACTTTAGATCTAGTTTTATCCGTAAAATAAATTTAAAAAAAAAACAAAACAAAAAAGTCAAAAACATATTTATTTTAATTTTATATAAAAAAAAATATTGACTCAAAAACTATAAATGTGGATTTGAAACTTGAATTGTATTATATTATGACCTAACAGTAAAATAGATCAATAGTGTTATATTATTTGTTACGAGAACGGCATAAACCAGAGAGAAGTTTAAACCAGTTAACTAAGATGGGTCAGACGTAGTAGATGATAGATCAGAGTAAGATCAGGTAATTTCTTACTGTGCTGGTTTATATTGTACTTGGTTTGAGCTGTACCGGCTTAAAGCGAGCAGGATTTTTAAAAAAAAGAGCATCAAACGAGCTGGAGGAAGTTTGTAGTTTTAACTTTAATTTCGAAGAAATCAAATTGGAAATTTTATCAAAAAGAAATAAAAAACGATCAAATATTACTAATTATTTTATTTGGTAAAATTCCCCCCCCCTATCCCCCCGTTGTAACATTATAAAAATAGTAGATTGTTTTTTTTCCCTTGTGCAGTTTAATCGAATGGATTTTTTTTATTTTTGAATAATTTACTGTGTTGCAAAAAGCGTGCCGAATCCGGAAATTATTAAAAATTTCAAATACAATCTAGTCTAGGTAATGATAACCGTCGACCTTCGGACCAACGGCACTATGTACATTAATCATTGGGTGTTAATATGTATAATAATAGTATTCGTGTCGGTAAACTGGCGCCGTATACAATATATTTTGCATGACCTTTTTATTTTTTGTGTACTCCAAACGTTGTTTATACAGTGTATTATACAAATATTACACGTGACGACGGTATCGCGTATCGTCATCGGTATGTTCGGCTGTGACTTGTGCCAGACCGTCCATCGCTGCAACCGATTTAGGACGTTTTAATTATTACTCGGGTGTATATAATAGTAATAGTCATGAATCATGAATCATATTCGTTACTTATCTGAAGCCGACAAATTAATCGGGTCAAAGCGTGATGTGTTATCGACAATAGAAGTCGTGTTCGGCGCTGATGTGTGCGGTTTTTAATTAGCTGAGAAGGTATTGGTTTTACAAGTATGTGTTTTTTTTTGTGTCCAATCCCGCGATATCTTCTAAACCGCCGAAACGATTTGTTGTTCAAAGAAAACCTAAAAAATGTACACATTTTACAACTTAATAAACTTACTTAACTAACCGAATTAGTTAAACATGTGAACATGTGGGACATTCTTCAGATACCACATACCCGACAAAACCGATAAAAATACTCCGAAAAAAAAACTCTTTCTCCTTAGTAGGGGTAGAAAATTTATTTTTACTTGGCTTTTTTATGTGCACTTTCAGGGTTAAGTTTTGAAAAATTGCTTGAAGGTAGTTTTTTGGACGAAGCTATAAAATATTTAATTTTTTTTTAAAATCTATAATAAACATTTTTTTATTAAAGAACCAAAAAAAGGGGGAAATTACACTTTGTCAACTCATATCTCAAAAATAGATTCATTACGTTGTTGATTACAATACACGGGTAATAAAAGAAATGGATTATTATGGAATGACGATTCATCGATATATTTTAATATTACTACCATCTATAATTTATTATTAAGGAAAAACCAAAAATATAAAATGAAAATATTTTTAAATACCTGTTGACTTCAGCTTAGATACTTACAACGGCAAAAGTATAATTTTCCTTTTTTTTGATTTTTCTTTAATTTAGAAGAGTTTTGACTAAATTTTTTTAAGTAAATCGTATGTTATAGGCTATAGCCCCAATCCAGATCTACGTTCAGTCTAATTTTAAGACCTTAAAAAATTACCTAAAACTATGCTCGAAAATTATAAATATAGAAAACATCAATAGTACTTTATTTAAAGAATTATTTTTTTAATTTTTGAAAAACTTTCAGGTACAATTTTCTAATCTATAGACTTACTACATGAAGAAATCAGTTCGCCGTTTAGAAGACATCGAAGGTCTAGACATAAATAAATAAAAACACAATAATGGGGAAAATTACACTTTGATCGCAGTAAATTTCTAGGTTACTATGTTTGATTAAACTAACAGACAATAAGTATCTGTAAACTATATGGTTGATTTGCCTGTAACGACAGTAACAAATTATTGTAGACAGACTATCAATCCTTTTCTTATCCACCCTAATACACTAAAAATTATACAATTATTAATTGTATACACACTTTTGCCATTACAATGATTTTTTCGATACTGAATATTCCCACCATCTACAGATCCGCATCGAAGCGTTTTGTTTTTAAATTTTTTTATAGTCATTCGGTTGCAATCTGTCCCACTTTGCTAGCTTTAGTATGAGTTTTATTTTTCTTATCTTTGCGCTTGATATCAATCGATGGTGGTGGTACCCGACGGATAAAAAGAAGAAAACCTACAATCGACGGGACTAGTGTGTCATTCACACGGGTAACACTCCCTACCTAGGACGTTCTGTCGCGGCAAAGGCATCGGTCGATTACCTTAGGAACACACAAAAGCCTTTGGTTACCTGTTGTCAGATTGTGATTAGCCGAGCTATTATCAATATTTCCGTGGAACACCGTGCTGGCCGTTTTTGTATTCGACGGCGTTTACACAGGTGGCGCCTACAGCTACCTACGTCTAATCCACAGTGTACGGTAATGACTGTTGCGAATGCGCGCAATGTTTTCTACTTCGAATGTTAGTTGCCGTCAGTGCGAATTGCCGTGAATATAAAAAAAAATATTTTATTTACAAAAAGACCTTTCTGAACGAGACCGAGAATTGTAATTAAACCTAGTCACCACCGTCGTCGACCATGGCCCAGAAGGTGGACTCGGAAAAATGTAAGTACTCCAAAAATAAAAACCGAGGGGTTCAAGTTCACCTCTCGTACATTTTATTACTCCATTCTCTCCATGACAATGTGGTTCATGATCTCGATTTCGTCCTTGCTTCTTCTTCTTCTTGTTAAAGAAGCTCTTATTAAGCTACTATAGTCATTAGTCCAATAGGGAGCCGTATTTTAAAGTACCGTTCACACACTAAAAGCGCGGGATTTATTTATATATATATATATATATATTCCGCCAGCAGCTCTTGCTACTTTGTGTGGTATCGCCTCACGGTGGACAGAATTATCAACCGCATATTCATTTGGCCACGACTTTAGGTTTTGATAGCCGAGAGTTGCCTCTGAACTAAAGCTCGTTAGCCCTTTGAAGGCACTATTCTGTGCTCTTGTGAGGTTGACACTGTAACTGTCAACGCATTGCATACTTGCTCACATGATATGACCTTTGTGGAATCTCCTTCTCTCCTTCAACATATTAACTTCTTGCAATTATAGCACACTCTACCCAACATTCTATACACAGGATTTGGATTGAAATAAAATCCCTATAAAAACTACTTGAAATGAGTTGGCGACATTTTCTAATATCTAACTGTCTTTTTACACAAATTATTTAAAATATTAATTCTATTTTTTTCAAAAATTATTGTTTTTTTATCATTTTTTAGAATGGTTTTTATGCAAATAGGCCTAAAATATGTTTTGGAGAAGTCTATAGTTTTGGGGGCTTGAAGGAGTTTTGCTGGGTTGAAGGCCTCTTCTTTCCATATTTGCGCTACTGCTTCATAACCTAATCTTGGTGTTTGATTATCAGTTATCACTATAGTTTAAACACTATTAGACTAGTAAAACGTATCAGAATATTATGAATGCAGGCAAATAAAATGATTTATGACCACTGTGTTGTGTGTTTAACATATGCACTATTAGATAACAATGTACTCGTTTAGGTTTATATTATTTTTATTCAATAATACTTAATGTAAAAACAACATTCTGGTATTTTCAGTTATTTCTTTTACTAAATTATATTTACAACTTTTACTTCAACACTGAACTAAACAAAAAGGCTTTCTTAGGAAAAACATTCGTTAACTCATAGCATTTTAAGTTAAGAGGGCGTCGCACCGCCCAAGTTTTAGGAGTAAAGTATAGGCAATTTTTTACAAAATCTTAATTTAAAGATTAAACTGTGATGTGTAATTATTAGTTCAATAACTAGAACTCTATTTTGGTAGTTAATTTATTTTTTGGACTATCGCAGCATCGTTGAAAGCGAATAAAATTTTTTTTTCATCCCTACATGTTTAAGCTGACTGAAAATAACTCGCTTAATTTTGGTGTTGAGTAAAATCACCCAGTATAAAATTAAAAGAAAACAATATTCCGGAGGGCATAACAGTGCGTTTTTTCAATATTCCAAGTATAACGCTCAATACATAGTTTAGAAATAACGACTATTTTAACATTTTTAAATGACTGTAACTTTTCAAAAAATGATTTTTTTTTAAAAACGCACCGTTTTGCCCTCCAGAATATTGTTTTCTTTTAATTTTATAACGGGTGCTTTTACTCTAAAACCATAATTGAGCGAGTTATTTTCAGTTGGCGTAAACATGTTTTTACCACTGAAAATCACCAGGGCGACGCCCTCTTAAACTTAAGTTAATTTTTATAATTGACATAAACCGATTAAAATAACTACTCGCTTTACATTATTTTAAAACATGTCTAAAATAATGATTATGTACTTTATACATATTGGTTTGTATTTTTAGAATTGCTAAAAGTAATTACTTAACAAAACGACAAATTATCTACATAAAAATAAAATTGATTACAGACTTAAGACTACAGACTATAACTATTACACAAACGAGTGCTTGGACATTTTAAATGTATATTTAAGTTACATTACTAAATATTTTTGAAATTAGTTATTAGTTTTAAATTTTAAAACATAACGACAACTGAACTTTTAATTTGGGGTTTAAACTTATTCAGTTGGAGCAGTGGAGGGAGTGGGCTAGAAGAGTATTTTTAGAAAAAAAAATTCCTGTGAATTAATATTGCTTAACTAGTAATAATAGTGGAACTTTGACCCCTCTCAAAGGTAGTAGCTAATTGTGCAAATAAAGCAGAACAAAAATCAACAAGCGGATCAGTTGCAAATTGTTTAATTACACGTAGCCGTTTAGGTACTTTTGGATTGACAGTTTAATTACCATAATAAATTTGGCTTAAGCGAATCGTATCGTAAAGTGAAGTAATTATTATTGAACATGTGACCTTAGGCACTCGAGATTAATAGAATTTGTACACAAGTTGTCTTGTTTGGCAACCTATATATGGTATTTTATATCTGACACCACGAATAAACCATGTGAGTTGTGAAACACCCTATATTGTAGTTGGTAATTATTATTTTACGTCATAAATAAAACCACACATATTTATTCAGATGTCGAGTTGTAACACCAAAGCTTAAAAATATTTCAACACAATAAACTGCAATAAAAAGCTTTAAAAAAAAAAGAATTAATAATTATTTTCTTTTGTTCGTAAAATATTATTTAGTTCTGCGTTCTTATAAGTTTATATGCGCTTAAAACTATAATACTGTTATTAACATTGGACAATCACAATTTTTCAGAGGACTATAAAAATGCACACTATAATAACATACTACTAAAAAAAATGACACAGTCTACAGAGCCATGCTCACCATTATTAGAACTGTTAGGCAACCCATATCCCCGCCCTTCGAAATTATATTAATTTCCATCATTATTATAAAATGTGGACCCCTTGATAACTCACCCGCATTTGCCCTGCGGTTTTTATCGGTCAAAACTTCTGTGAATAGTTTTTTGATATATATTTTTACTATTTGTATGTAAAAATATACACGGGACTTTAAGACTTGTTAGAACTGTAAAAAATTAAATTTAGAGACTTTCCAATTCGTTGTTCGACTCTAATTATTTTAAAAAAATTATGTCTAAATACATTTTGTTCACAGGGGTTATTTCTCAAAGATGGGTAATGGCTGTGATGGGTATGATGGGCGTGACGATGGCTTACGTTATGCGAGGTTGTTTAGCTATTACCATTACGCAGATGGTAAAACCGGTAGTGAATACGATAGAAAAAGTTGGACAAAAAGATCTGGAATATTGCCCCATGCCATATGTACCACAAAGGCAATCAAACACCACCTCAACACACTATGAAGAAGACACAAGCAGTCGATTTGATTGGGACGAAGAAACTCAGGGTTTGATACTGTCGGCGTTCTACTACGGTTACATAATAACCCACGTGCCTGGTGGTTTGTTAGCCCAAAGGTTCGGTGGCAAACACACCATGGGCCTAGGAATTCTCTCCACAGCCGTTCTTACCATGTTCACGCCGATGGTGGCTCGCATGGGTTCCACACAACTGATGATCTTGCGTTTCGTCGAGGGACTGGGAGAGGTATACATATATATATATCTTATAATTACCTCGATAGCACTGGGAATCCTAATGATATCCAACTCAATTTACTAGCTGCTTTTATAAGTCAGGAATCCCTGTAAGGTTCTAGGAATCTATGACGAGCCTAAACGGCAATACTAGTGTTTTCTCAAGGGGTTCTACTTATAGGGTGTCACGTTTACAGCACTGCACACTTTTGGCTCCATAGTACCTATCTGTTTTCTTCGGTAATCGCACACTAATATGACTACCTATAATTACAGGGTACTACGTTTCCGGCACTTTGCACACTTTTGGCTCAATGGGCACCACCGCTTGAAAAAGGAAAGCTTTCGACGCTAGTTTTTGCAGGTAATACATTTTATTATTCAATTTGTACTAAACCAACACTAGCACACATCGTTGCTACCTCGTAGAATTGATAAAACATACATTTTTAACTGCTAAATCAATTTTAAGAATTGGAAAAATTCATAATACGGTTAAGTACCAACTACGATTACGTTGACATGTTAAGCTTGGTATGGTATGAAATTTGTATTTGATTTGGCTCAAATTATTTTAAACAGATTTTTTTTTTGAAAATTAAGACTTTGATCTGTTTAATAGACGATAACAGGACTTGTTTATGTACTTATCAAATGGTGGTAATTACTTTTATAAAGCAAAAAAAATATCTATTCAAGTGTATTATGAACTAAAATTTTTATCTTATTAACACGGTTACAAGGTAAAATATATAAATACTCATTACTCATTAGGTTATTAATCACATTAAAAAACAAACTATTAAAGATGTAATACATATCTATAAACCACTTTGCGACAACAAGATTCTTAAATGACGTATCAAATATGTTTAGTAAATTTCTTAAATCTACTTATAGATTACAATAAATAACATGTACATTTATCCAACAATGATTTACATATTTTAGTTATTGCTGGGTGCTTTCACCCTCAGTTAGACGCGAATGGTAAAAATTTACCCTAAGGACTTTTACCCCAAGTGCCACACATTGTAGTGTTAAAGCGCGTGACTGAGAATTAAACAGATTGATTAAAGCCAATATATTAAAAATTAATAAGTTGTTCTATCGTGTTCAATAGTGCTGTGCGACAAAAAAGTGTCATATATTAATAGGAAATTTATGACTATTGAAAAGAAAGAGATGAAAAAACAATATTAATAGCCGAAATAGGAATGTCAAGGAGATAAAAGTGTGAAGGAAGTTTGCTGGTTGTGCTTTTAGTAATTATGTTCGATGTTAGCTGACCTAAAAGCACGATATGATGCCTTGGCTTTATGCATATAAACCAAACTGGGTTTTAATACGACAGTATATTTCCTGACTAAGACGTTTTAGATCGACTTGACGGGTAACTAGTGTTAGCTTGACATAACCTAACATGTTACAGGTGCACAATTAGGAAGCATTTTTGCCAACTCCATTAGTGGATTCATCATTCATTTCGTGCCCGGCGGCTGGCCAAACGTTTTCTACTTTTTCGGTGGCATATCCATGGTCTGGTTCGTCATCTGGTGCCTCGTGGTCTATAACGATCCGTTGTCGCATCCGTTTATTTCCGATCACGAACGCAACTATTTACTGCAGAGCATAGGGAGTATCGAGAGGAAAAAGGTGAGTGATATTACTGTTAGGACACTGTGACGAACGACACTTGTGTGTGTTTTAAACTCGGTTTACTTACATTATGTTTTAATAGGACTTGGCACCAACCCCGTGGAGACACATTCTGACGTCCGCGCCCGTTTGGGGGTTGATAGTCGTGGAGTCGGGACACGATTGGGGTGGTTACACTATCATGAGCGATCTACCCAAATACATGAGCGACGTGCTTCATTTCTCAGTGAAACAAGTACTATTTTAAATGCCCGAAATCATTGCTGTTTTCTTTTTAATAATAAAAATGTACACGCGTTTCACAGAACGGTTTCCTGTCGTCCATTCCTTTCATTGCCCAGTGGATAACGTCGATTACAAGTAGCGTGTTAGCTGACTGGACGATCAAAAAACAATACATGAGCGTCACGGCAGTGAGGAAACTTTATGCCGCCATAGGTAAACTACTAAGGGGTTGTGACGTTGTACGGGATATACCGTAAATTTATTTTAGCTTTTTAATCTCTGCATAGTGTAATATTAGGAAACAATTTATTTAAATGGACTATGTTCCAGTATAGAGTGATGTACATTTACCGTACATTCTGTACAAGCTCACCACTGGCATTTACAAATCTATTAGAGTCTTTGCCGTCATCACTACATCCATCCATCTCACTCGATCTTGAACAATTTCCTTCCATTCTTGCACTCTCAAAGCTTTAAAATTATTTTCTACTACGTCTAGCCATCTCTTCCTCGGTCTGCCTCGAGGTCTCTTCCCTTCCGGTTTCCATTACATAACTGCTCTGATGGTTTCTTCTTATAATATAGGCCAACCACTGTATTTTTTATCCTTTAATGTAACTAGTGACTAATGCTAAGCCTAGTTCTCTTGAAGTTCCTTGCTGAACTTCCTTCTCCATTCATTTGTCTTTGTCCTTGTAATAACCCTGTAGAAAATACATGCTAGAATTTTTCTTAAAAAAAAAAATTGACTTTCATATACTTAGGCACCATCGGACCCGGATTGGGTGTAATGTGCGCTTCGTTCGTGGGATGCGACAAGGTCACAGCAACGTTCTTGTTCACGTTGGGAATGGCACTCATGGGGTTCTGCTATCCCAGCATACGGGTCAATGCACTGGACTTGTCACCAAACTACTCAGCCACCATAATGGCTTTGGTCAACGGTATTGGATGCCTGTCAGGAATGGCCACTCCTTATGTGGCTGGACTCCTAACGCCCAACGTAATTACATAAGATGATTAATTTTTTTTTGTTTACCCGTTAAAAAAACGTTTATATAATTTATACTTATCCATATGTCGTTGTAGAGGACGATTTTGGAATGGCGTTTGGTGTTCTGGATCATGCTGATAGTGATGATGGCTTCCTCAGTGGTGTTTACCATGATCGGTAGTGGCGAGTTACAACCTTGGAACGATATAGAAACATACGAAAAAAGAAAAATAGGACAAGAAAAGGACGAGTCGCAAAAAAACTACCAAGACAGTAAACCAACATCTGCATATGACACGTCGTTGAAAAAGCCAAATTGATGTAATGTCGGTTTTCGTCAACTGATTTAATTGTGTGATTTTCTTGTAAATAAACCTGTCTATATAATATTATACATAGGTAATTCTACAGTTGCTATTAATTTAATAGAAACTATGTTCATTTTGTATGTTTGTCAATTAAAATTTTACCTAAACATGTTGAAAAATTTTGTTTCTGTTTATTTTTTGTACTGCTCATACAAATTAATTAAAATGGATAACAGTTTAAAAAAAAAACAATTCGAAGGGCAATAAGATATAATAGATGAGTCTGAACTGAATTGGGATAAGTGCAGAATACAATTTATGAATACTGCAAAACAGATACTTAAAGTACAATATTTAACATAGTTTTACCATTTACAATGCTTTTTATGGATACTAATATTTCTACCATCTACAGATTTGTTTACTTGAAAATGATTTTGTCATTTATACATAAATGTAATAAATCGTTAATCTATAAATATTATTTATTTAATGTAAGTAATGGAACGAATAATTGGAAATTGTTACGAAAAGTTGTTGAATTAAACAATGGGTCGGTCTTGTGGTATGCTAATATCAACTGAATTTCTTTTAATAACATTTTAAAGCTACATTATATCATAACATGATAGCGTCATAGTTTGTTAACAAAAAACACAAATACTATTATACATAAAGAGGTAATATTAAAAATGTAATTTTAATTAAACCGAACTTACACTTATTAGGATAATATTGTCAACTATATTTTTGTAATTAATTAAATGTGTTTATAGTTAAATAAGTTAATACTGTCGACATTAATTTCAAAACTTCAACGCAAACCGTATTTGCACTAATTTTCCGGTTGCGCTTAAAAACGGATTATCCATTTTTCTGTCTATATAAGATCATATATTGCTTTATAGTTTTATTACAATTTATCAAAATAACGATTTCAAGCTAGTAGTGACATAAATTTAATAAACAACATACATTTAAAAAAACATAAAATACTTTCAATTGTAATTTGAGAAATTAGCAAAAGACTTGGTAAAAATCTAGGTTTGACACGAAATATAACTAATAGTTAAAAAATTCATAAATATTTTAAAATTTAGTGACAATTTGAGAATGAAAGTATAAATTGTTTTAGTTTATGGTATATTGTTAATAAATATTTTGTTAAATCTACCGTCATTTTCATTGGACTTTGTGGGGGATGTCGTGTAGTTTTTATCAGAAAGCCTACAAACAAAAACCGGCTTTGCGTGTGGTTTTATTTATTTTATATTTAATATCATTTAATTTTTTTATCTTTGTTGCGAAAAGTACTTGAAATTTCATCGATGGCGATTAGTGGTCGTACCTGACAGATAAGACGAGGAGAACATGCTAACAGCTGGACGCGTCTCATTCGACAGTTAACACTATAACTAAGCCTAAACCATTGCAGCGCACACAATGTTTCTTACTTTATCGGTTAGCTACCATCAGTGCGAATTGATTTCATTATAATACATGCTTTAACATTTCGGAGAAGACCAAGACCGAAATCAAACTCCTTTAGCATCGTCAACCATGCCCCAGAAGGCGGATCTGGGAAAATGTAAGTACTTCAAAACCAGAGTTCGCTGAGTGGCATAAACATAGTCTAACCTAGTATCCACCCATGAAGCTTCCATAGAATTTAGACAATATTAAAAACCTTACAGAAGTTACGCCAATAGCACTGCTGAACATTTCTGATACCTAAGCTTACCTACCCAAACTAAGGCGCATACAAATAATAGTTATTTATTTTTTATTATATACATGTAAAGTTATTGGCATAGCTATATGTTTTTATTGGCGCTGTTATTACAAAACGCTGTTGTAAAATATATTCGGCTGATCTTGACAAAGGATTGGATGGTATAGAGTACGAGTTAAACGGTTATTTGTTAACTATTTCAGAGTTGTAAGCATTAGGGATATTCTGCTTGTTTTTCTGGATTAAACGATCAGCATGTCATTAATATAGTATCCTAAAATCCTTTAAAAAATTAAGGTTGGACTAATTATAATAAATAATTTACATATATTGTTGCACTTTAACAGTTTAACGTCACTAGATGCTTCGTAGTTAGACAATCTAGGTTTCATGCCATATCCAATATTCCAAATAATTACTTCTGGGCTGGCTAAGTGGAATACTTATTCAGCAAACAATATATTACACCAAACCGCTCTATAAAATAAGAAAACTAGAATTACATTTGCATACATAAATTATCATGATATAATACGTTCTAAAATTTAAAATCATAAAATAATTAATAAATGTAGAATTAGAATGAAATGTGACTAAAACATTTTGTATGTCAAAACTTTAAATTATCTACAATTAGAAGTATGTCGAAATACAAGCATACATTATCTAGGTGTTGTTTCTCAAAGATGGGTAATGGCTGTGATGGGTATGATGGGCGTGACGATGGCTTACGTTATGCGAGGTTGTTTAGCTATTACCATTACGCAGATGGTAAAACCGGTAGTGAATACGATAGAAAAAGTTGGACAGAAAGATCTAGAATATTGCCCCATGCCATATGTACCACAAAGGCAATCAAACACCACCTCAACACACTATGAAGAAGACACAAGCAGTCGATTTGATTGGGACGAAGAAACTCAGGGTTTGATACTGTCGGCGTTCTACTACGGTTACATAATAACCCACGTGCCTGGTGGTTTGTTAGCCCAAAGGTTCGGTGGCAAACACACCATGGGCCTAGGAATTCTCTCCACAGCCGTTCTTACCATGTTCACGCCGATGGTGGCTCGCATGGGTTCCACACAACTGATGATCTTGCGTTTCGTCGAGGGACTGGGAGAGGTATACATATATATATATCTTATAATTACCTCGATAGCACTGGGAATCCTAATGATATCCAACTCAATTTACTAGCTGCTTTTATAAGTCAGGAATCCCTGTAAGGTTCTAGGAATCTATGACGAGCCTAAACGGCAATACTAGTGTTTTCTCAAGGGGTTCTACTTATAGGGTGTCACGTTTACAGCACTGCACACTTTTGGCTCCATAGTACCTATCTGTTTTCTTCGGTAATCGCACACTAATATGACTACCTATAATTACAGGGTACTACGTTTCCGGCACTTTGCACACTTTTGGCTCAATGGGCACCACCGCTTGAAAAAGGAAAGCTTTCGACGCTAGTTTTTGCAGGTAATTAATGTTATGGGTTGTTTTTCAAACCATATGCACTTCAAACCAACTCTAACACGCATTTTTGCTACCTTGATGAACTTAGAGGACATCACTCATTTTTATTATAACGAATATTTGTCTTAATGAAATCATGTTCATACACGTACATTTTAAGTACTGAACCAAATTCATATAGTTTAGTACAAGCTATGAGTTATAGTAAGATGTTTCTTTTTGAACTGACCCAAGACAATTATGTACAATTTTGATGTTTTATTTTTGAAAATAAAGAATTAAGACTTTAATATTTGTTTATGTATTTATCTAAAAGTAGTATTTGCTTCTGCTGATAAAACAAATTGATTTAAGTCTATTTTAATCTAATTGTATTTTTATTGATATGGTCACAATGTAAAAGTACAAAGAATTATTAAATATTTATCTCAATAAAAAAAAAAAAGGTTACTCTAGAATTAGATAAATATTTTGTTGTAAATTCGGTGTAGAATATTTAACAAAATATTGATACCTAACATCATGACAAAATATATCATGAGTAGATTGTTAAAAAATAATATGAATACCGATAAAAAATATTATAATATACTTAATAGTTAATAATAAGATTTTCATATTATTAAATAAACTAAATACTAAATAGGTTAAATTAATTTTAGCTATGAAGATTAAAGACGTACAACAATATGTACTTTTCAAAAACAATTTTATTTCATAACAAATTATAAAATGTACTTATTATAATTTTAAACTGTTATAAACTATTACTATATATAAAATAAAAAGTATTTTATATTATACAATACAAATGACAAGATTTTCTTAATCGATTTAACTTAATAACATTTTATAAAATGTATCTATTGACTATTCTAATAATTTTAAACCATTTATAAACTATTTATGTATCTAAAAAAAATTTAACAAATAACAACACTTTATAAAATGTATTGGTTATAATTTATAAGGTTTCAGTCAAATCAATTATTCATATCATATTACAATTTACAAACGGTGTTGCTAGCTGTTGCTACTTTGGCAGATACATTTTTCTTCTTGTACTGATTAGTGATTATATAATTTAATTTAAATGGCCGAATATTAATAACCGATGCCGAATAGCCGATTATAAATTGATCTCAAAATATCGGCCGAATAGGCCGGATACCGAATAACTACCAATTATTCGGTCCATCCCTAGACTCACTAGCGGTGGTTAAATGTTAGCGTATTTCTTAGCACAATATGATGTCTTGCCGTTAAGCACATTAATCAAACTGAATTTTGATACGAAAATGTATTTCAAAACTTAGATTCTATAGATCGGCCTGGGATAAGTGACAATTTTGAACAATATGTTACAGGCGTACAATTGGGAAGCATTTTTGCCAACTCCATTAGCGGATTCATCATTAATGTCCTGCCCGGCGGCTGGCCAAACGTTTTCTACTTTTTCGGTGGCATATCCATGGTCTGGTTCGTCATCTGGTGCCTCGTGGTCTATAACGATCCGTTGTCACATCCGTTTATTTCCGAGCACGAACGCAACTATTTGCTACAGACAATAGGAAGTATCGAGAGGAAAAAGGTGAGTGATATTATTGCAATGACACTGTGACGAATACCACTTAGGTGTGTTTTAACCTCGGCTTACTTATATTATGTTTTAACAGGACTTAGCACCTACCCCGTGGAAACATATTTTGACATCTGCGCCAGTTTGGGGGCTAATCGTTGCGGAATCCGGACACGGCTGGGGCGGTTACACTCTCATGAGTGATTTACCCAAATACATGAGCGACGTGCTTCATTTCTCAGTGGAACAAGTACCATTTTCAATGGGTGAAATTATTGCTGTTTTCTTTGTAATACAGATTTTACACCCGACTCATTTCGTTTTACAGAACGGTTTCCTGACGTCAATTCCGTACATCGCCCAGTGGATAACGTCGATCGTAAGTAGCGTGATGGCCGACTGGACGATTAAAAAACAACACATGAGTGTCACAGCAGTGAGGAAACTATTCGCTATCATAGGTAAATGTGACTGGCTAATGCGTTGTACGGGATGTATCGTAAATGTAAAGTATTATTAGGGTACGGTTTTTTTTTATCTATAGACTTGCTACATGAAGGAATCGATACAGCGGTTAAACAGATTATTTTAACACCAATACCTTCTTTTTCTTCATCGAAGCTAAAATGTGTATTCACAAAATATATTATAGATTATATACATAAACAGTGACATACATTTAACGTACACTCTGTTCAATATATATAAGCATATATATTCAGTATATGCAAGAATTGTTCTTTTAAAAAAAAATACTTTTTCACATACTTATAGGCACCGTTGGACCCGGACTGGGTGTGATGTGCGCGTCGTTCGTGGGATGCGACAAGTTGACGGCAACATTCTTTTTTACATTGGGGATGGCACTTATGGGGTTCTGCTATCCCAGCATACGAGTCAATGCACTGGACTTGTCGCCAAACTACTCAGCCACCATAATGGCTTTGGTCAACGGTATTGGATGCCTGTCAGGAATGGCCACTCCTTATGTGGCTGGACTCCTAACTCCCAATGTAATTACATAAGATGATATTTGTTTTCGTTTACCTGGTAAAAAACCATTTATATAGTTAATACTTACCCGAGAGTTGTTGTAGAGGACAATTTCGGAATGGCGTTTGGTGTTCTGGATCATGCTGGTAGTGATGGTGGCTTCCTCGATGCTGTTTACCGTAATCGGAAGCGGCGAGACTCAATTTTGGGACGACATGGAATATGAAAAAAGAAAAAATTATCAGGAAAAGGACGAGTCGCAAAAAAACTACCAAGAGAGTGAACCAACAGTCGGAGATGACCCGTCGATGAAAAAGCCGGATTGATGTACTTACCTACCTACCGGCCTAATTATCATATTGATGTGTAAATAATTTTCGGATTCGAACAACGCCATAATACTAACAAAAATAATACAATTTATAGGATTAAGTTTATTCTTGACTGTAATCATTTGTATTGACCCTGGTATTGTTAAAAAATAATTTTGCTATTCATTTTTTTCAAAATCAAATTTTTTCCATATTATAACACTAAATTATTTCAACAAAATATTGTCTTAAATAAAAAAATACAATAAATTCGAAACAAGACATTATGACTCATTGAGGTCAACCTATGAAATTGACAACATATTATTTTAATAATATGCATAATTGTATAATAATATGTTTTTATTGTTTCTCTTATCAGTGTAATAATAATTATTTATAATGCTCATTCTCATTATATACTTTTTTTAAAAGACGCATCATAAATACCTATTTCATTAAAGTTAATTTACAAAAACGCAATGTTTTTCAATTATTGTTCTAAAATGGTATTGCCAATTAATAGTATACTTACTAATTTGTATATTAAAACTTCAATGCAAAAGATGAGTATAAAACTGTTGGAGATTAACAAAATACATAATAGTTTCATTAAATAGGAGGGGGTTATGGTGATAAACTATTTACTGTAAAGGTTACCACTATTTAAGAACCTCTAACGTTCACTATACGGTTTTTACTATTATATTATATTGCATGAATTATAACAAAGCGATAAGGTATAACTGTGAATTAAGTTTGTTTCTGGTGAAAAAACGAGATAAGGACTCAAATGACTAGTAGATAAAATAAAATAATAATATACCAGCGCGGTTTACTAGACTTGATTTTACTTAAGTTAATTTTACTATTATTATTTTGTCGCTGTTGATAGTTTCGATGGTTTATAATAACTATTGTACACTGTATCGTATGATTGATTGTATTAACTGTTACCTCCAATCATGAAAGGTACCAGTTTTTCGGAATCGGAACACCCTGGACAGGCTACAACCATTTTAACTTACAGTGAGTACTTGGTTTCATTTATTATTAACATTACTCGTTCGAGTGTCTATAATAATATTGAAAGGTATTCGCCGTTTCGACGAGATTACTACAAAACTAACACAATAATAAAAATTATTTAAAAAACGTGAACTGTATCGAACGTACAGCACACACTTTGAGTGTGTTATATTTCAGACAAACCTTTTGTTGTTAGATAAACATCACAACGCACTAATAATTACAATACACATCAAATAATTGATAAGATTTATTTGTATTACTATTTATTTGTATTTTTTATGTATTACTTACTTACATGGAGTATTTTTTGACAGCAAAAATATAGTAATGTTTTATACACAATGTTATTATTATTATTTTTTTATAATAATATTTTGGCAGGAAAACATATGTTATATTTTTATTGTTTTAAGGAATATTCCCTTAACATTAAACAATAATGTAAACATTTGGAGAATTTAAAAAAAACAAAAATATTTCATTTCCTGCCGAAATCGTATTGTAAAATATTTTTTAAACATTAATAAATATTGTAACAACATTTATAGAATATAAATATATTTTTGTTGTCTGGGATAAATTTTGTATTCAAATAACATATGCATCTGTAGCTTCAAAGGCAAACGAAAATTTAAACTGACTTGTCTAATATAATATAAAACCTACGGTAACAATTTTAAATGTTTTAAACTAATTGTTAAACAAATTTTAAAAACAGTTGTTTTCTGGGGATTGAATACTTCAAAAATTCTAAAATATTTTTTCATTTGTCGTTGAAAATATTTTCATAATATTGTAATAAAATATTACGGAAATGCTTTTAACTACAGGAATGTATTTTAACAACATTTTATAAATTTCCAAAAATGTTCAGGAGGCATACCTCAAAGATGGCTGCTGGCCGTAATGGCCATGTTGGGCGTGACAATGGCGTTTATGATGCGAATTTGTTTGGGCATCACGTTAACGCAGATGGTGAAACCCGTGGAAAACGTGGCTGTGAAAGGCTTAGACTATTGTCCAATGGCCGAAACCGAGTACACCGACGACGGCAACGGTACAAGAACTGCTGTCACCAGTGGATACAATAACGAACACTTTGATTGGGACGAAGAGACGCAAGGGTTGGTGTTGTCGGCTTTCTACTACGGCTACGTGATCACGCACGTGCCAGGTGGACTAATGGCCCAAAAGTACGGTGGCAAACATGTACTGGGCTTGGGCATACTCTCCACAGCCGTACTTACGCTAATCACACCGGCGGTGGCTCGGTTGGGATCCAAGCAATTGATCGCTTTGCGGTTCGCCGAAGGACTCGGAGAAGTACTTAAGTTCTACTCGTTTAACTTGAAAGCGTCCAGCCCTGACAAACCGTATCTTACGGCTAGCAGGGGAAAGGAAATAGAGGAATGGGAATGGGATAAAAGGGAAATCGTTGATTCAATATGAGAAAAACGATGAAATTAATTTTTTAGATTTGTATTCCTAACTCATAAAATATCTCCTTTTACCAAATAAGCAGTGCTTGTGTGAGGCGTGTAGGCGAATACCACAAGCCATGGAAAGAATTTAACTTACCTATTGAATTTAACTAGCAGTTTATAATACCCTAAAATCAAAATAGTATCTTTTTACAAAAAATACAATGTCATTTTTTACTCTGACAGGGCGTGACGTTCCCGGCTCTTTGTGCACTTTTGGCTTTGTGGACGCCACCAGGCGAAAGAGGAAGACTTACGACTTTCGTGTTTGCAGGTGAGGAATAATATCACCAAGAAAACAGATCTAATCTCTTTTTAGAGTGCTGGCTACAAAAATGCAACCTACATTTAGACATTTATAGTGCATAATATTTACTTTTGCCGACAAAATTCACGGAAATACACAAAGTATATAAATTATAGTTTAAATGTCATAAACGGCACTCTAGCTATGCAATTTTGTTACACTGTTGCACTATGGTACACATATTCGCCGTCATAGTATTATTTAATTTACTTTTTGATCGTGTCTCTTTGTCTACAAACATATCAAACACTACACGAACATGAGCTTGATGTAATTAAATTAGATAGATTTGTATAATTTATAAGTTTACAGGTTACTGATCATTGTTATTAAATAACACACGTTTTACTATAATGACCACTCGGTTTAGGTGATAATACACACAAAGTGACTAGTATAATATACCTATGTTCTAAAACAAACTTTTAATTAAAATCTATTTTTTCTATAAAGCGGTATGATTTTTTGTCAAGTTGCCCGAATGGCACTTCTATTAGGTTTCTTGCGTAACGGACCATAAGAGGGATAGGGCTAGGATTCCCAGTTTTTTTTTTCGTCATCATAATTTATTATCAATATTGTTTGTATTAAATGTGTAGTATAATACCTATCGATTATTTTTATTCTGATGGCTTATGCCAAAACAGGCGTACAACTGGGAAACGTGTTGGCGAACTCGCTGAGCGGATACATTATCTATTACACGTCTGGAGGTTGGCCAAACGTTTTCTATTTCTTTGGTTTCACGTCGTTGGTATGGTTCTGTGTGTGGTGTTGTACGGTCTACAACGATCCGCATTCACATCCATTCATTTCTGTGGAAGAACGGAATTACTTGTGCCAAACCATCGGAGGTACTCAGAGAAATTGTGTAAGAGATAAAAACAAAATTATCATTATTAGGTATTAACAGTCGTGACGAATTGAACGCTGAATTGATTTATGTTATGTTGTTTTTGTCAAATTTATTTTTTTTCCCCATTTTCCAACTTAATATATAACTGCACGTTGTAACTTAAAAAAAAACAGTCGAATTAGTTTTCAATATTTGTGTTGGGTATTCTTTAGTTATGATACTACCGATAGTCGATACACTTTAGAAAATATCATAAACCCTTCCCACTAGAAGGGGTGAAAACTTTTTCTTTATTTTAATTTTTCGGGTGGAATTTTGCGAATGAAGTTTTGAAAATTAGAATAGATCTAGAGTGAGGCTTTTATATTATATTATACAATATTATCAAAACACTGCGTTTGACTTAAGAAAAAAAAACCTAGTTATTTTTTCTGCTCCACGGAAAACCATTTAATCATGGATATGATATGTCTTATCTCTTACCTATAATTTAAAGTGAAAGTGTAACGCAAAAATAACGACATGAAATTTCTTATATCCAACCAAATAACATATCAATGTTAGAACTAAAAAAAAAATTAGAAAATTACACTGGCAAACCTTTTTGTTTTTCTATAAATCTTTTTTAGAATATTGTAGTTTCCCCAAATGATAAGTCCTTGTTTTCCATCCTCGGTTTTGCATTGAAGCGTTTATTTGGAAGTGATTAATTTGTACAGTTATACGGTATACCTAATAATTCCTAATGACATATGTGACATCATTGTCTCTACACCAGTATGATGACTTTTTTTTCATTTATATGTTTATTAATTTAGAATTTGGCACCAACACCGTGGAAATCTATTCTGACCTCGTGGCCGGTCTGGGCGTTGATCGCGGCTGAATCGGGACACGGCTGGGGCGTTTACACGGTCATGACCGATTTGCCTAAGTACATGAGCGACGTATTGCATTTCTCGGTAAAACAAGTAGGTAATCTAACTTACTGTAAGGTACCGTGTATTCAAATGCACTGGATTATGACGACAAATGACGGTAATGCTTTCAGAATGGTATCTACTCGTCCGCCCCGTACATAGCTCAATGGATAACGTCTATAAGTTCCAGCGTACTTGCCGATTGGACATTGGAAAAAAAATACTTGGACATCACCACAGTCAGAAAAGTGTTTGCGGCTATAGGTAAATAAAAAACCATCTTTCCCATCTTTTAGGAACGTCAGACCCTTGAAAACATCTTCTTCAGTCTTCGTATCTACCTTTAAATCCTTCCGCATTAATCTCTCTGATCTCACTTTCCTTCTTTCTACCACCATGCTCAAACCATCTCAATTTTTTCTCTCTTTCTTTTTCTACTAGTAGGACCACTCTCGGACCACTTTTTTGGTCTGGCCAAAATACTCATTCTTTTAAAAATGCACTCCTAATGTCTTGATGAACACATTCCAGGTAATGTGGGACCAGCATTGGGAGTGATATGTGCGTCGTTCGTCGGGTGCGACGGTGTGGCCACCATTATATTCTTCACACTTGGCATGGCACTAATGGGATTTTGTTACCCGAGCATCCGGGTCAACACTTTGGACTTATCTCCCAACTATTCAGCCACCATTATGGCATTGGTCAACGGCATAAGTTGTTTGCCCGGTGTAGTATCTCCCTACGTGGCGGGCATCTTAACGACCAACGTAAGTCTTAGCAATTTACAAAAACACAAACAATTTTTTCAACCTTATTCAGGTTTTTTTAGAGAGGTAATGAACTAGTAAAAAATGTTACGACGACTTCCCCTATTGGAATGTGAATGGGATGGAGAACAGTTTTTGAAGGGGTGGGAATGAAATGGTAGTATGAGGAAATCAATATTCCCCGGATAACGGATAATAGATAATCGATAAGAACATTAGCTGATGAGAGACAAGCGATAAGACCAAATCGATGCTCAGTACAATAAAAGTATTTGAAAGCTATCTTGAAGGTGGTGAGGTTTCCAGTGTCTATTTGACGTTTTCTTTTCTAGGTGAAAGTCTTTAGTGGATGTTTTCATATTGGGTTTCAATCCAATCAGGCCAGCGCAGCATTTAGAAGTAAGAACTGAAGGTGAATGTGGAGGTGTAAAAAAAAGAGTGTAAAGTTTTAGTACCAAATTTATCACATGACAAGGCAAAAACCATTTTTGCTTACACCACCTTTTAACATAATATCACAGATTAGTGATTTATCTATTCTGTGGTAATATGGTATACAAACGAAATTAGTTTTCGAATATTTCAGAGAACCGTTTTAGAGTGGCGTGTAGTGTTTTGGATCATGTTTGGCGTGATGATAACTTCCACGGTGATCTATTCATTACTAGGCAGTGGCGAGCAGCAAATTTGGGACAAGAACTACATTCAAATAGAAGATCCGGAAACCCCTAAACAATTACAAAATGATTCTAAACTAAAAGAAACAGACTTCTTACTCCTACAGAAGACATAAGTCCTGCGATAGAGCAAGTTCGATTTTTTCGTTGTTACCCAACAGCCTATAAGGGCGTGTAACCTATTTAAATAATGTTAATAGCCAGAATCCGAAGGGTTTTTTTTTAGATATGTTTACACGAATGAAATGATTCTAAATCGTTAACAGTCATAAACGAAAAAATTAATAACCTGTGTTTTTAAAAAATTGAAAAGCGTAGTAGCTATTAGACAGAGTATAATAAATCAAGTTTATATAAGTCGTAAAAAAAGTTTTGTTTTTAACAAAATTAACATGACCCCAAACCGTGTTTTAATAATTAAATAAGCATTTAAATTGTTTCGACTTTTATTTTTTATACATTAGTTAAGGTCCTTACTAATACGGTATTATTACAATGGAGCTCATTTAAAATATTAGGAATAGCGGCCAATGTTTAACAACGCTAAATTGTAACTATGGTACCTAAAAAAGTGCTGAATAAGTTAAACCTGAAAACGGAACAGTATTATATGATAACGTTTTCCCGCCTAGGCATTTATATTTTGTTTCAGTTCTTATTGTTAAGTGCTTCGAAAATAAATTAAGGTAAGAAAAAGTGTACTATATTTCTGTTTTATAATATACACAATACATTTTAATGGCGATGGTTCTGCGTATAAAAATAATTGTTAAAGCTTAAATTATAACTAAAAACGTTTTCCCGCAAACGGTGGGAAGGTAAAAGACCGGTCAAATGCACGGAGGAATTAGGTACTATAATATAGTACCTAATTATAGGTATTGTATAATTTCATGGAAGTGTCATTAAATACACAACTAGACAAATACTTCAGCCATTACAAATTAAATGCCATGAGTTGAATTTGTTGAAATTTATAGTATGAATAATTTTATTGTAATGATTATTATGATAAATTATTATTTTCGAAAATAATTTGTAAAATTTGAGCAATTTTTATTATTTCTTATTTTTTAGGAAGAAAAATTGAACTTTCCCGTTTTTGACGTGCCTATAGTTATTATTTATACCTGGAAAATATTTTTGATCGCTTGATAACAATATGCTGTTCGAATAAATCAATCAAAATATAGATAACATGATTTATTAAAAATAATCGTACAGAATGCATTTACAAAACAACTATAATGAAATTATTTCAAGAACTTCTATTAGGTGTATATAGAACCTAATTCGAATCGTAAAATAAATATTAAACGCCTATTATAATATAGTAAAATGAACAATAATAATTACCATAGGGTTTTTAGTAATATTTTTCCTCTATTTCTTTAACCGATGTCCATATGTCATCGGATAGAAATTCGGGTTGTTCGAAAGCAGCAAAATGTCCACCATCGGCCATTTCGGTCACTCTAATCAGCTTTGTGTATTTCTTTTTTAAGAACTTCTTTAAACTTAAAGCAATACTCAGCTCGTGTGGGAAATTAGCACAAGCTGCTGGCACCTTGACTAAAGCCCTGAAATCGTGAAAATTATCATTTTAAAATTAAACTGATCGTAAGTATAGCTAAAGATAAAGTCATTTTGTGTTTACTTGTTGTTCGGAAGGGACCGGTATTTAGTACTAGCGTATTCTGAATATAATCGCATTGATGTAGTCATAGAACCAGAAACCCAGTAAATAACAACATTGTCCAACAAATCGTCCAGGTTGTAAGTCGAAAGCCCGCCGTCCGGTATGTGTTTGTGTTTTAATTTGGTCCAAGTGGAAATTTTTTCCAAAATATACGCTGCTAATCCTACCGGCGAATCGTTCAAACCCACTCCTAAGCAAAAGACACAAAACGTTATACCACGATCGTTGTACCTAATATCATCAGTAGTTCACCTGCAGTATCGGGTTTGGTCATTTGTAAGTGCATATAACCGCTTTCTTCTAGAGTGTTCGATAACATTTTGCTCAGAGGATAAGTTCGTTTCTCTTCCATTTCACTGCTGACAGCCAACGATGGCCAATATGAACCCAATATTAGTCGCGTAAAGTCGCATAAATCTAAATTTCCTATTGCAACCGTGCACATGTTAGAATGCATACCAGATAACCTGTAATTCGTAAAAAAATCATTTATATACTTAGTTCCTATAACAAAATGTAAATATAAAAAGAACAGCATTGTGTTGTCGATCAGCAGTTATAAATTATGAAGTCATTCTCATAATATGATAAATTCTATATTTCCCTTGAAGGAAAACATATTGTAAAGCCAAGTGTCCGAAGCTAACATTGTTCAACTATGGAATAGTAGAAATCGAAAATCTCATAAGAATAAACAATATAACTGTTAAGCACCAATCATCGACATTGTGATGTCTCATGCCATTGAATGAGACGGGCATACGTAAACTGAGCCCAAATTACCTTGTTTTAGGTAAACTGCGCCCCGATTATAATTTGGTTCAAAAAGGGTGTATGTAAACTGCGCCCGAGTTTTTATCAAGTAGAAAAAGGTTACATGTAAACTGCGCCCAGCTTCTTATCATCGTTATGAAATACAAACAGCGCCCAAATCAATAAAATCACAGAAATATTAATATTTTAGGGTTGCTACCACTTTTACCAAATTGCATAAATTACCAATGTCCATGCTGTTTGGCCTCAGATAAACTAAAGATACACGGATGTTGCTTCATCTAACACAATCGTGGAATAGAAATATCCAACAAAATGGCTTGAGTATTGACTATAAAAATAAGAACAGTGATATTAGAAGGGTGTTAATTCATGCTACGGTATACCCCATTTTTAAGCCCAGAAAGTTTATCTGAGTATTTTGTAAATTATTTAATGAAATCTAAGCCCGACGATGAAAGAGTGACACGATTTGCGGATTATTTAGTAGATGTATATATAAGTGAAGAGCTCAGTATCCACTTGAAATATGGGCTCAAGCTTCAGCAGAGCCAACTTTAACCATCAATGCATGAGAGTCTTTCCATTCCCACTTTAATTCTAGCTTTTATACAATTCATCCAAATATTTTTATGCTTATAGAAAAGTTAAAAGAAATTCAAATAGAAACATACATTAAATTAAATAATTTAAATGAACCTTTTTGATTTTAAAGTTCTAAAACAAGAACATGAAAAATTACAAAGTTTTCATTGCAGTTTACATAACACCTTTGTTCACTTGATAAGAACTCGGGCGCAGTTTACATGTCACCTTTTTCCACTTGATAAGAACTCGGGCGCAGTTTACATGTAACCTTTTTACACTTGATAAAAACTCGGGTGCAGTTTACAAATATGATTTTGTGTTTACCTGTGCCTCGGGCGCAGTTTACAATCGCCGAATGAGACACGTAGGTAAGGAGGGGGTAGGTTGGTTGACAATTCGGGGTTTTCTTTATTATTGTCTTCGTCTCGGGCAACAAGATAACCTATTCAAGCTTTGCCGAAATTCAACAATTAAATATCTGCATCTTCTGATGTAGTTAGCATACCTAAATGTCTGCAAATCGATGAGTTACTCTGGAAATTTCCAGGTGCCATCACCTTAGCTAACCTAAAATTAGGGTCCAGGATCTTGGGATCCGACTGTTATACAATGATCTCAAAATAGTTTTAAACGTCTTACTTATCCGGAAAGAGTTTGGCCATGGCGTCTACAATAATCGCTCCCCAATCGCCGCCTTGGACGTAGAACTTTTTATGACCTAGCCTCTCCATGAGTTTCACAAATACCTGCCCTATTTGTGCAGGTCCCATGCCCGGTCTCACAGCAGGGTCGGAAAACCCGTAACCAGGCAGTGACGGCGCTATAACTTCGAACACAAAATCAAAACCGTCCCTGGGCTTGGTGAGCAACGGTATGATTCGGTAGAACTCTGCAACGGATCCTGGCCATCCGTGAGCCATCAGCAAAGGTATCAGCCGGTGTTTGGTGGTCGCCGGCTTAGCGTGTATAAAATGAATGTCCAGGCCGTACAAGCGGGTCTTGAATTGCGGCAGGACGTTCATATGCGCCTGTCTGGCAGCCCAGTCGTACCGGTTCAGCCAGTGGTCGACGACTTTTGCCAGGTAATCGTGATTGAAGCCGTACTCGAAGTTCACCGACTCCAACGGTCTGGTATAAGGCCTAGCCGTCTTCAGTCTGTATTTGAGATCATCGATTACCTATGGCAACACAAACGATCAGAACGGTGTTATTAATTCGCAAAGGTCAAGCTTGTAATAAACGTAGTCCTATTAAGAGAAAGTCCCCAGAAGTCCAATCAACACCGTGAGAATTCTTTATTTCACTGAATACTATAACATGACTATTTACAATTATCACACAATAAAAGCAAATACAAATATGTTTAATCCTTCGCATGAAGGATCGTGATGATGGTCGTGTACATGTCTTATGATCAGTTGATTCTCAATAATCAATTATCGATTTACCTACACGACCATTTCATCCTCGTCTCGTTCCTACTTATCACTATTCCGCTCTCATCTTTCCCCTTATCCTTCTTATCTATGATATATTACAGAACCTTTTCACTTGCTCACTATTCCATTAAAGTATCAGAATGTACAGCCAAAAAAATATTATTTTAATTGGATTTGATAATAGACGTTTTTATTTTAAGACGCAAAATCATATTATTTAACCGTTTCTTAAGTTTATAGACCAGTAGTTTTGTTTTACACTTGTTTTTTTTATAAATAATAAACAGACATTAGGCATTACTTATTAACTAAACAAATTTCACTTAATTTAGATCTTATTATTATTTTTACAAAAATTAATTTATAGTATAATTATTATTATATATGTTAAAATAATTTGACTACAGATGTATGAGAAAAGTTGAATATTTTAATTCAGGGCTATATTTTCCATTAGGCAAAATAGGGAATTGCCTATGGCTTTAAATTAAAAGGGCCTCGCCTCATTTACACACTCTTTATGTCAAATAAAAACAACAGTCTATATATTTTTTTGCGAAATATTTAAAAAAAACTGAATTCACCTAACCAATATAGAGAACAGAAGAAACAGAGAGCCAATGCGTTATGTAGGAATGGAAGTTGTAAGTATCCAAATAAAATATTTCAGCTGCAGTTTCCCTTATTGAATACTTATATACTATACAATAAAAACTGTTTTTTATTACTTTGAAATTAGAATAAATTGAATTTGTGACTTAATAGCCGATATTTATCTACAATAACATATTACCTCTAATAATGATTTATACTCAAGGCAAACAGTCGAATGTAAATTTTCATAACAATATAATTCTGTGGCTTGGAGCAAGAAGGGCCAATGTCAATTTTGTGCATAAACGAGTTAGTCCGCTAGATGCAAAAATTGAATCATTCTTTATATACTGTAAAAAAATCACACTATGTGGCCAAAAAATGAATTACTCATGAAAAGTTTGATAAAAAAATTAACATAGAGCCTAATGGAAAATAAAAACTTCAAAGCTCATTTTTCGAAAATTGCAAAAAGTGACATTGGCCCTTCTTGCTCCAAGCCACAGAATTGTATCATTATATATATTTTTTTAATAAACGCCGGAAACATAAAATTAAACTTAAACAATTTTGCCAACTGGGATTTCGTACCTCGTTAGTGATGTTAATGCGAAACGGTCGGATTTCAGTGTTTCCGTCCAAGTTTTGGTCGTACTTAGGTCCCCACCACACGTCTTCGGGCATCACTTCCGGCTGGACTTCCGGTCGGTTGCACTTCAGGTAAACAGCCGCCCCTAATACGGCTATCAAGCCGGGAAAATATATTAATTTGCCCATTTTACGGGACGAAATAAACTAATATGTTTAAGACGAAAAACTTTTAAAAATTATTTCTAGACAGACCACACACCAGCCGTCAAAGTCGACCAACTATCGGCAGTCCACTGAAATACAATAACCGAACATTAACTGGTCTAGTCCTATCAGTTCGAATATAAAACTAATTTTTTTTTCAATGGAGGGGACATCATTTGAACCTAACATAATATTATTGTTACAATGATTACGTTACATACAGAGTGATCGATTTAACGCAAGACACTCGTTTTCTTTAAAAATAATCATGTATTGAATCGGTTATTTCAAAAACAACTCGAGTCGTTGTTTTTTTTTACACAAAAATGAGTGATAACTGCTTAAAACTAAGGCCCGGAACTTGAATCTTGATGACCTATAAATCGTTTAAAAATAAATTAGAAAAAAGTGTTGAGATGACTTAAAAAAATCAAAAGTGATGAGGCTAGAGATACCCCGATGAATGTCACGAAATTTAATCTTATTATAAATCTTTTTAACATTATATTATTCTACTATTTATTATAATTTTATTAAATTTCATGTTCGTATCTTTATAGGTTTTATATGTTTAGGTATTGTGTTATTTAATTTTTTATCTCCAAGTCTTTGTTTTATTTATAATTATCGTTAGTATTATTATTTCCGCCAAGCCGAATACATATACATATTCATATACAAGATAAATATTATATAAAAAAATATAAAAGACTAAAGTTTAGACATTTTCACATCAAATGAATTACACCGTATAGTGTTGTATAGTGACAGATATTATTATGATATCAGCTATTTAAAAATATTACTACCTATTGACGGTTGTATTATATTAGATTTTCATGAAATGTACAAGGTCAATCAACAACGGTATTCTTAAACAAAACTAAACAAAAAACTAATTGGAGATCTTTTCAACATATTTTTAGTACCTACATATTTTAATCTACTATTGCAATCCAAGTAATATATTATATAAAAATGAATATATAAGTGTATATAATATTTAAAAAAAATAACTAATGTACTAATGAAAATATACTTAATTCCCTATTTATATTTTTATTTTTACAGATTATTTAAATTATAAAAAGGCGCCTAATAAATAATCGATTTAACTTTTAAAAGTATTAAATCATGAAGTAATAAAAATACCATTCGTGCAGCAGTTGGTTAAGTAAAAATGATTGAAAAGATAAATCGAATCACAAACTGTAGAAATGGATCAAATCAATTTTAACAACTTTTTTTTTGTAATACAGTTACAATTTAGCCGTAACATACATTCGTTACTGCAGTAAATATTTGAATCATTTATTCTGAAAATGACAAAAAAAAGCCGAGGAATTAATTTATACAGTTATATATATATTTTTTTTATAATTAGTTTTATATAAGTAAGCCAACTCGTGTAATATGATATAGGTAGCTTGGGTAGTAAAAAAAACATTTTGACGATAATAGTTGTTCTAAGGTCTTCTTAAATCTTAATTTATATAATATATAGGTACATGTATATAATTAGTAATATAGCAATAATTGTATTATTTAACTATGCAGACATTAGTTAAACAAAACCTATTATTGTGTTACTTGTCGGGAGCCCAACATTATATTTTTATATTAAGTCGAAGTGACGTCACTTAATATAAATAGGTAGGTACATTTATAATAAGAGATGTTCAAAAAATGTTTTCTCGACTGTTACACAGTGAATGTTTTGTTATTGACCTTGCAATAATGATTTAACCTCAATAATTATACATAATATGTTGTCTGTTTACAGCTACAGTATTACAGCACCTGTATTATAGTATTTAACTGGATCATCACATAGTAACTATTTTTGAATAGTGATCTCATAGTTTAAAACGATAATATCGATACGATATAGACGTCATCGATCATAATATTTTGATATGTTGAATGTTCAATCAATATAAACGCTTTCTTATATTTAGAAAACATGCGATTTTTCATAAAGACTAGAAAAGTATTGGCAATTTTTTTTTAAATATAAATATTAATTACCCAAATTTAAAATATTGGTTTCAAAATAATGGTTTTATTAACATGAATATATATTTCTGTGGCTGCGGTCAGTTCGAAATTTTTTAAATAACGTTTTTCAATTAGATCAAAATTAGTCCAATTAAAACATTATTTTATGCTTTTGTTAGTTTATTTTATTGATTTACTCACTTGCTTAATTTATTTACACTTTTACTCTATTTGTTTGCTTGCATACTCAATTTATCTAGTCGATGTACTTACAAGTTACTCAATTTCCTCAACAATAAGAAATGTGCGAGTTGTGTGAAAAATTCAGTTAAGATTAAGTAGTAGTGGGTGGATGCCATAAAAAAATTCCAAGATTCGAATTTTTCCCATTGAAGGGGAGGAAACTGTTAATTTTTTTTTATTTCTATGTTTGGACCTACGAATCTCCTAAGTCGCTAAGCAGATTTCTTTCTGTAGCAAGTCTATTAATCAGAAGACATACATAAAAGATACTTTATGAAGCCAAAAATGATAATGTTCACACGTTCCCTTTTCATGGAGATAAACACCATTCATTGGTCATTGGCGTTACAAAATCTAGGATGCTAAAGACATAATCGTAGTTGGGTTAGGCATCTCTTTATTATTATTAATATAATTTTTCAGTCTATCTTTTGAATTATGACAATTATGTACAATTAATAAACTTAACTCGTTATATGCACACATTGTATTGTTTTATAAGTATGAGTAAAATAAAAAATTCTATAAAAATAATTATTTAAACGCGAAAACATAATCTTATATCAATAATAATGTACATTGTATTATTACAAAAAGAATAAAATTATCCACATAAGTTTAAGAAAAAAATTAAACAAAATCAATGTATAAATAGTGAGACCATTTCTATATACCGTTATATGTCTTTAATAGTAGCTCATTTAAGTTACAAGGTATATTATATAGAATATAATATAATCGGAGATGACAATGCGTTACTTACACGATCAATCTGACAATTCGGAGAAATCGGTTTCGCTGCTGTCGCCATCGTAAGGTTCAAAATAAATAGGTTCACGCCTTCCCCTACGCGGTCTCAAATCGCGTTTTAAATCGCCGTACAAATCCGTTCGAACTCTACCCTGTCTTTTTAACGCAACTCTAGTTTCTTCTTTGAACTCCGTATCAGTTTCCAGGTAAATTCCTTCTAAGTAAATACCATCCTGATCGCTTATGTTGTCTGCTGAGTTGTCAATTTTACTTTTGTCGTCGTCGGCTCGTTCTACAATTTCATTATTTTCCATTTTTCCATTCATAATAATGGGTTCAGAAATCACACTTTCTGCGATACCTGCGTCGTCTTTCTCAACCCCGTCGTTGGTGACGATCTCCTGTTTAATTGTCGTAATCGCGGGTTGTTCTAGGTCAGCCTCGGTCAGTTGTTCACAACTGGTTTCTTCATTGATTTCTTCGTCTGGTTCACTTTTTATGAACACGCTAGACGGATACAATCCTTCTTCACTGAGTTCAGAATCGTCCGATATGTAAGCGGCGTGATAACCAGGCTCGGGGCCCATCATTTGCAGTTGCCGAAGATAGTCGCTTCGTTGTTGCAACAGCAGTGACAATTGTTCATCTTCTTTGCGAATTTGAGTAATTTTTTTTGCTTTTGTCAACGATTCGTTTTTTTCTCTTTTGAAGTGTAAAATCTAAAAACAAATTGATTTTATCAAACTATTATAAAAAAGTAATTTTGTCGGCATAAGAAAATTTTACCTCATCGTTTACTTTCTCCAGCTGGATTTTTACTATTTGACGACAATATTCTTGTCGGCATTTCTCCCAAAGCTGTGTTAAGTGCTCTTTGTTCATCGCTCTTAATTCAATCAAAGAAGCTTCACATTTCTTTAGCTCTTCTAATACTTCATCGTAATCCTAAAAAAACATTTTAATTATCAAAAACAATAATATATTTATTTTTAAATTTCTCAATTAGGTTACTTCGGAGTTTGGTAACGATAGTGTTGTTGTTGTTGTTGTCGTTACTGGCGGCAGCGGCGGTGGTGTTGGCACCTGTGGCGGCAGAGGTGGAGGAGTAGTTGATGACGGTGGCGGAATTTTAACGTTACGACCCAACAGTCCTAATTTGATTAACTGTTTTCTAATAGATTGTTCTGCGTAAAACTCTGTGCACACGTTGCTCATATCTTGAAGTTTTTCTTCTGAATCTTTAAAATAATAATATATATTTTTAATTTGATATAAATTACCGTTAGTAAAAAAATTTTGCGAAATACCGTCGTAATCTTGTAGTTCTTCTTCAATGTCTTCAAGAGGAATAGGAGTTTCTTCCACAAGCGCCGCTGTGAGCCTTTGCAATAATGGCGTATAACTACAGCCGTCATGACTAAAATATGTTAAAAAAAAAAAAACTTTAAAAATGTTCAAAAATAATCTCTTAAAAATGTTGGGTCTTACACGACATAATTGACTTTGTTCACCAATTCGACCACTTCGGGCGAAACGCGTTCGGCTAGTTTAAGCCTTTTGGCTGGACGAGGTGAACAAGACGATTGACTTTTTTGTAATTCCATTTCTTCTTTGGCCCATTGTTTCGTGTAATGTTCGCCCAACGGTGGTATTTCAAACAAGTTCAAGTTAGAACTATACGATTTTACTAAATCCTCCAACCACTAAAAGTATATGAATTGTAAATTATGAACTGTTAGCAATTAATATATACGATAAATTTTACATTTAGATCGTCTTTCTCTATGGGAGCCACGTAAGGTTCAACAAGAGTCCAAAATTTGTTCGCTGAATCATTTTTACTCGGAGGCAACTCCTATAAAAAAATATTTATAATACCTAAATCAACACCAGTTGTAAATATTTATTATAATTACCTTAGCTGAAGGGTCGATTTCGACCCTCAATTTAAGACATTCGTTTACAGGAGAAATTTCTGCCGCTGCTCTCGGTCTCTGACAAAAAAAAAACATTGATAACTTCGGAATGTCTATCGAAACAATTCATATATGTATAATAATATGTAATATAATATATGTAACTTACAATTTTGGGATATCTCGAACCCTTTGATCTCTTTTGTTGGGAGCGCGCTATTTGTAAGGTTGAAAACGTGACAAGTTCGTCTTTGATAGTTTGCTTCCGCACAATTATGGCGGTTAACATAGATTCTAGATCCCATTGGAGGTGATCTAACTCATCGTCAGTCATTAGGTAACCGGGTTTTTTTTCTTTGGTTAACACTAAAAAAAAGACAAGTTATAAGTACGAGCGGTTGAAATATTCTATAGGTAAACGCTACACTTACATGATAAATACATGGAATTTTCTGCAATATTCGATGGTTTTAATTGAGGTAACGACAGTTCTTTTTCTTCTATAATCTCTTCGATTCTTGGTTTGGGTGACACAACGGGTGATTTTAAATGTTTAAAGGGAATGTCCGTTGATGATTCATCTCCGTCGGCTTCCTCAGCGTTTACGTCGTCAGGGCCCAACGGTTGCCCGTTGTTATTTTGCCCGGTTTTCTTAGTTATGCCCCTGCCACGGCCGCTCCTACCTCCACGCCGCGATCGTTTCCTATGAGATGTTTTACGATCGTTATTATAACTATTCATTTTAATCGATTTAATTGTAAACGTTCAATGTATCATAATCATACTTGGGCGACATAGTGGTGCTTTGTATGGATACACACAAACGGGCTTGCCACTTCAAACGGGCATTCTAAACGAATCTTCACCGTACACGTCAGGAAACATTTGGCGATTACCGTTTAACGTCAAACTATTATGAATTATCGAAGCGCCGAAACGAACAAAAAATAAACGACTTATAAATTTTGGAAAATGCAAAAATACCGTTATCATATAAAATGATAATAGTATAAACAACAGTTGATAACCGACAGTGTGTACACAATAGCGAGCGTGAAATGTCTTCGCTAAAAACGGCCTATGAACATAAATATTATTATTGTTGTAAGTAACAGCTTGTGTCGAGTAAACTTTTATGCTATATCTTTGTCTGTAAATTAAAATTAATTGTGTTTATCATATTTTCGGCACGATGTTGTCGTGTTGTGCTTCGTTGAAGTTTATCAATGGTTACTTGATTGATAAGTCTGACAACGTAAAACGTGATATTGTTATGGCAAATAACGTATCTGCCGGTAATAGTTGAGAGTTGAGACTTAATGTTTTGTACTTAGTCTTTAAAAATTATTTTACTATTGAATTGTTATTAAAATGTTTAAAAGTTGATTCAACTTGTTCAAGTACATAGTACAATATTTGAAAAAGTTACATTCCCTTAAAATTTAACTTGTTTAATTCAGTTTTCTTTTTGAAAAAGCATATAGTTCATACTATTGAATACTTTGTAAGTATACATAACATTCTGTAAAATATATTATTATTCGATTTCCATTTTTGTTGAAAAATAATAGTATTTTCGTTATGATAACTGCTATTTTATTATAAAACTACAAATAGTATGCTTCTCCTGACCACAACATATTATGTAATTTGTAACGTTTAAAATTTCATTATGGCGGTGAGTTTCTATAAATACTGATTTACTTTACTAAATATTTGTATTTTTTATTATATTTAAAAATGAACGAATATAATGTGGGATTTTAATTTTATTTTGTATTTAGATTAATTGTTGAAAAATAAATACAATATGGAGAATACATTAAAATTTGAAGTACTCAGCACTTGCAATTCTACTAGAGCTCGTACCGGTCTAATGCACTTGCCTCATTACACAGTGGAAACTCCAATATTTATGCCCGTCGGTACCAAAGGATCGGTGAAGTCTTTGCTGCCCGATCAATTGGAGAAAATCGACTGTCAAATTATTTTGGGAAACACGTATCATTTAGGTTTCCGGCCGGGTATCGAGTTACTTAAAAAAGTAAACGGACTACATAATTTTATGGGATGGAACCGAGCCATCTTAACCGACTCTGGAGGTTTTCAAATGGTTTCATTGTTGCATTTAGCCGAAATCAACGAGCACGGTGTTAAGTTTCAGTCACCCGAGGACGGTTCAGAGTGCATGTTGACACCAGAAAAGTCTATTGAAATACAAAACGCGATTGGTGCCGATATTATCATGCAACTGGACGATGTTGTCCCAACAACGTTACAAGACAGTGCCAGGATGGAAGAATCGACGTATCGTACCACCCGTTGGTTAGATCGTTGTATAAAATCGCACAAACATCCAGAAAAGCAGAATATATTCCCAATAGTACAAGGAGGGCTCGACAAGGACTTGAGAACGTTGAGTGCTAATCTACATTGTGAGAGAAAAGTGAACGGTTATGCAATCGGCGGACTCGTCGGCGGCGAAGCTAAAGAAGATTTCTGGCGGATGGTTTCGTTGTCGACAGGTTTGTTACCTGAAAACAAACCGAAATACGTGATGGGAGTCGGTTTTGCCGTTGACTTAGTAATTTGTTGTGCGCTAGGAGCCGACATGTACGATTGTGTTTTTCCCACAAGGACAGCTCGATTTGGATGTGCGTTACTGTCAAGCGGCCAAATAAATTTAAAACAAAAAACGTACACAATGGATTTTGACCCAATCGATAAGAATTGTAGATGTTCCACTTGCAAAACTTATTCTCGTGCATATTTACACCAGATTGTTGCTGTCGAGTCGGTGGCATGCAATCTCTTGTCTGTGCACAACTTGACTTACCAAATGGACTTAATGAAAGGCATCAGGAATAGCATCAAAGAAAATAGATTCCCACGATTCGTACAGGAGTTCATGTCGAATATGTACCCTAGCAAAAATTATCCTCAGTGGTGTATCGACGCGTTGCAAAGTGTCAATATAAGTTTACAAGAGGATAATTAGTAAATAGATTTTGTCGTCTTGCTTTGTTCTGTCAATGGTATGACGGTTGAGTCAATAAGTAAACTACTATTAATTTTAGTTAATATAATTCCTTGTTGTGGACTGAACTTGGGTGAATCTAGTTGTTATTTGCGTACCTCATTTTTTATCTTAGGTCTTGTCAATCAATACTAAGACAATAAAGTAAGAAACAGTGTTGTCACGTATATAATTTTAGATTACATTTTAATTGTTTTTTTTTCATGTTTTATTACCTTAATATATTTTCCCTTAATAGGTTTACATAATATATTTTCGGTTTACTATAAAATAAACAATAATAATATATTGTAAAATATATTATGAGATTTATTGTAATCCAAGAAACAACATATTGTCGACGTCAAAGTAAATTTTATTAATGTGAATATTTAGTTTATATTTCGTTTAAACACAAACAGGCATTGAAATAATTACATTCACAATTCATGTAATAAGCACCTTACAATGTTATATTAATTGTTTATGTTACATTATTTGGTACATAATATTATTGTATAAATAACACCGGTCAAGCTCTAAATTTTATGACCTTACATGTAAAAATTGATTAATGTATTTTTTTTTTAAGAATATATTCAATAATTTCACACAGATATAAAGAAAAACACATTTGGAATTTATTTTAATGGAACATTAAAGGTTTTTTTTTTTAAAGAATATATTCAATAATTTCACACAGATATAAAGAAAAACACATTTGGAATTTATTTTAATGGAACATTAAAGGTTTTTTTTTTTTGGTTAAAAATATTTGTGTGATACGAGATGTATAAAAATGTATACGTTAAACAATAAATATAATATTATATTGTTATTAATCGCTGTAGGAATGGAAAAAAATTAAATAATTCGCCGACAGTGCAATATTTTATGTTATAAAAAATTATATGTATAAAATATAAAATCAACTTAACTATTGAATTACAATTTTTTTTTTTAATTAGTTAGAAATAAAAATATATTATCACAGTTTAACCAAGTTAACTTATCGGTCAAAATTAATTAACAACTATCCAATGTGCTCTTAGCTAAATCAGTTTGTTAAACAATGCGCGTTATTTAATATAATATATATATATTTTTTCAGTTTCAGTGCAATTCTAAAAAAAAAAGTCCTACTCTATTTGAATGTATATCATTTTTATCCTTAAACACTCAATTTAATGTACGAATCCAAATGTTATTTAGTCGAATATATACATAATATAGCAATATGTACGCATATTTTTTATCGATTAAATAATACAATTTTGACTATTATTTAATTTGCAAACATTTACTTAGAAGATAAGAAAAAAAAATCATCTGTAAAAATTTTTTTCAGATATTGAATTTTTAGAATGTTTTTAATCATGTCGGTGACCAAGTGGTACAAAGTTTTTGGAAATGATGTAATTTAAAGGTTTTTTTTATTAAATGTTTACTTTTTTTTTCAAAGTATAATTATACTTAATCTACATATTATGTTTTTTTTTTTTTAAAACATTCTTCCTTTAAATTGTATCACAGATTTTTATTTCTTAACAATTATTTATGATGTTATTTTATGTTTAATTAGTGTTGCAAACCCTTGAATAGTATTTTAGTAAAAAAAAAAAAATTAAATAACTTACTGAACTTATTTTGAAGTTTTGATATTGAAAACAAAGTATCATGGTCCCATTGATTTTTTGCAGATAAGTTCGATCAATAATCGTTGCGTTTAAATATGATGTGAAGCAGTAAAATAAAACAAAATTATTTTTAAAGTAAATAAAATGAGATTTGTTTAAGTAAATCAAACTTGTTTTACTCAAAGTGCTTAAAAACAAAAATGACAATTGTAAACAAATTATTAAATAATAAAATATTTCTTACACAAATAATTGGTAATAGTTTTGGGAAATTAACATATTAACGAGCCGTTAGAAAACCATTTATGCAATCCTCTGTTAAGTTATATTTTAAAAATTGTTATTATTATTTTTTCAATACAACATGTAGATTAAATTTTATACACTTAGACTTAGTGAAATATATTTTATTTTAATAGCTTTACATAATTATTTGTTATTTAACCATTTACAAGAGTGTCGACTGAAGTATATAAAATGTTTATTGAAGAAGTTTGTTGTTTTGTATAATAATGTATTTTTAATTGACTATAGAATTATTGTTTTACATAAATATTAAAGTCTATCTAGTTACTGGAGTACAATCAAAATAACCTAACGCTGATTGTGCTTTACCAGTATATGTACTACCAAACACATTAATACACATAAAATACGCTTTCAACATTTTTTCCCCTTAATTCTGAATTTAACAAAAAAAATTGTGTTTAACTAATTTGGAACTCAGTTTTTTTACAGACAAAAAACTTCAATCTAATTAAAATTTATTATAAATCGAATAACATATTTTTATATTTTATATTATTCAACAATTAATTAAATTTTATTTGTTTTGTTGTTATATTTTTGCTTTTAACTAAATTGTTTTTTATCAAAGGTAGAAGAAAAAAATGTTTCATAAAATTATATTTAAGCTTGACTTCGTTTAATTTATCTATTGATTCAATAAGATATTTGCTTTTGATTTTAAAAATATTTTATTATGGCAACGAGATACGATATAATATATATTTTTAATTGACTTGGCATATTATACTTGGGGAATTTTTGACGATGCGATAAAAAATTGCATGGCAAATTTTAATTTTAAACCTAATACAAAGTTAAAATACTTATGGTGTATTTAGATGACTAGTTTCATGTTCGGTTGATGTGTAGTAAACAGTTGTAGCTAATATATTATATTATAATAATAAATTATACGTTTGACCGAATATAGACAATAACAAAATAAAATTTAAACAATGTAATATATATATATATATATATATATATATATATATAAGTAAGTACGTGTTTAAATCGCATATATATAATATAAATATGTATTAATATAAAATCAATTTTCAAATATAATCGTCAATCGAATTATATGTTTATAGTAATTAGGTAGTTAACTATTTAATTGACACCGCATTGTCGCCTCGTACAATTTTGCAGTTCGGGGACATTTTTTTTATTAGTTAAATCATTTATTTCTAAAGATAAAAATTAATAATAATTGTGGACGGGTAACAATATAATGTAATAATATTATTTGTAGTAAGTGGGTCGTTCTCCCGTTGCGATCAATTTTCCAACTTCAAACTTATCCATGAAAAAAGTTTTGTTTTATAATTAAGTTTTCCTTTCAAGACAAGTTACTATTAAACGCTCTCTTTTCTATTAAAATTCCAGTTTTGTTCGTCTTAAAAATATTTCGGTCCTAGCTTTTGTTGAAATAGATAGGCGGTCCTAACGGGACAGAGGATTTATGTGTCATACGTTTTTTGTGGGCAACTGGTGTGAGGTCTCCCTTGAAGTTTAATTGGCCGGTACCCGCCTACAGCAAGCCACGGGTTAGTATATTTATTAGCAGTGTTATTGGGAGAACGACCATTGTATATTAACAACAATGGTTGGAATGTATAGTATGTACTTAAGTATACTTGTAAGTCGTGCTTTTGCGGAATGTGCGCTGAACGGAGATAGTAAAAATATACATCACGCTAATACCTACCCGAAAAGGGGTTGCGGAAGGGGTGGTTGAATTTTGGGGAGGAGAGTGCCATAACGAATGGACTGCATTATATTTTATTATATTGTCCGGGGAACAACGACGTGCCACTAAAGTGCGGAATGCCAAGTTCTAATTTTGTCCGATTGCACACGTCACATCACAAGACCATTGCCAAGCCCATCGAAAAGTCAATTTCCACTTACATAACGGCCGTTTGTGGCACGTTCTAGTCGTTACAACGGTCGGGCCAAGTATTTGTTTGGTTTCTTTGGACATTTCATATAATACTTACATCCCACAGCACAGTCATCAGCTATAATAATTGCATAATTGATTGCGTGCGGTCGGGTTTTAAGGAGTTTTGTGTAGGCAATATTCGAGAAAAAAGTGATTTTAATCAATTTCGACCGTGTTAATTGATTTTACGGTTAATTTGTATAAACTTCGAGGTATTATTGTTAATTTATTACAATTTTATCTATGAGTAAAAGTCGTTTTTGGCTTATTTTGGACCAAAAACCCAGACATAATTTTGACTACTTGGGATAGTCCAATTTCAATTCTGCGAGGAAGTTGATTTTCATTTAAAATCCCTCTACATTAGTGTTGGCAATTTGGTAGATAAAGATAACAGACTAAGTGAATATGTACAGGAAACCCTAATTTTTTGTAATAGCTTTTTTGACTTTTTAATGAAATAAAAAATTCATGATTTTATTTTTTTTTATGTTCAATAAAAAAGTATTGATGAAAAGTATTGACTTTGATGGAAAGTATTCCATCAAAGTCAAATAAGTTAAAAAATCAAAATTCTGTCTTCAACAAGCCGAGTAGGCAGTAAGACTTTGGTGAACGATTTCTGATTTTACTATACTTTCATCGATGACGTTTATCTAGTCATAGATAAAACCTAGAGGATATGTATAAAAGCTAGTACATGGGCAATGACGTGAGGTGACGTAGATTTTACTACTTTGCGGATGGCATTTGTTTTAAAAATATTTTTTTTGGGACTTACAATATTAGAGTTAGTCAAAAAAAAAGTTCGACGAATTAAATTTATAAACATTACAATATGTAACTTGCTATTGTTGAAATTTGGTATTTCGATTTTTATGACTGTTGTTGCCGATATTGTCTGGGGAGGGGAAGGGGGGGGGGTACGTGAGAGCCATATTGATAATATTATATTACTTTGTATTTTTTTTACATGCACATAAATAAAACGGTAAAAATAATCTATTATTACTAATGTGGCACACTGTCGCCGCGTTTTACTGCCACGGATGAGAATATAATAATAATAATAAAATGTAATATTATGGAGAATGAATAGTGATAATTGGTCGTTGGCGAGCATAAAACACACACAAAAGCGCTCATTTAGGCATACATTATTATAATAAATAGACGGTGGCGCAATAAGCTTCCAATTTTTTTGAGATGGTGGGGTTCTTCGGCCTTACTAAAATATCCAAGTATCAACCACTGTAGATTTACAACCACCGCGGTGAGAATCAAAAGGGTACAAGTGAATTTTTTTTTAAAAATGTACAGAAAGACGAAATAAAAATTATATTAGGTAAGTGAGGCAAGTGTAATCGCTAAAATTTTCTAAGGCATAATAAAAAATATTAGATTTTAATTGAACGATTTGGCTCAATCCTATGTTAAAGCATTTTGACGTTCAATAAAAAAATGTTTATTTCTAAGTTTCTAAAATTAAGCAGTTGCACTGCCCTATTTAACTGCATTTACCGCATTGCACCCTATTCAATTTGTCCTAATGGATTATGTTTGTTAGTTTTCACATGAATATATTTTATGGCCGGGGGTCATCTCAATATTAATTGCAGACCACTTTTCAGTAAGATCAATTAAGTCTGTCTCATTGTTGACCTATATTAAGAGATAACAGATGAGCAGTGATAGGAAATAAGGAGAGACGATTTGTTTTACGAAGTGGCGGGGTCCTTAAATCAGTGATTGTACCCTTTTGGTCCTCATCGTTTTCCAATATTAGTAATTTTACTTTCTCGTATCGGTTTCGGATGACTTCAAGTGAGTATTAGTTCTCCTCAATTGCTTCGGTGATTATATAGACCTAAACGCTCGGGAACTAACCCCCGAGTGGCTTTTTTTTTCAAAATATTTTTTTTTTTATGAATAATAGGTAAAAAGAGTATAAAATAGAAAAAAAAAGTCGATCGCCGGATTTTTGTTAAACTCTTAAAGTTCGTACACGTCCCTGCCGTTGGCCCGGGTCCGAGGTCGGTTCTGTACCGGACACGATCCGGATTCCCTGGACCTGGTGGGACTGGTGTACGAGTACATGTTGTAGCCGGGAATGATGTGCACGCGGACGTCGCCGGACGGGCGGCTGGCGCCGTCGCGGGCACGCCTGGAAAACGTCACGGTGGTCTTGCAACAGCAGTAATGGAACAGGTTGACGTAGGCGTTGCGGAAGTGCCGGTTGCCGGCGCAGTACAGCAGGTTGTTGAAGCATGACTTGCTCAGCGCCAGCCACGCCAGGTTGTAGAACATCTGCGCGGACAGCTTTTGCACGGTGGCCAGGGCCAGCACGACGGCGAACGGCGCCCAGAACAACAGGAACATGACGAAGCTATACGCGTTGGCCAACATCAGCGAGTAGTCCCAGTTGAACGCCAGCGGCGGTTTGAAGCTCGGGTTCATCCGGGCTACGTGCACCTGGTACGTGATCCGCAAATAGAGCGCAGCCGTTATGATCAACGGTACCAGCACGATGAATCCAGCCACCAGCGCTTGGACAGGAACGATGCCGCTCACCTGCACCAGACAAACCGTCGTTTTATCATTGTTGTTTTTCTATGTCGGGGGCCCTAATGTTCACTCTACGATTTGAGTTCCACATTCAACCAGTCCAGAATAAATTAGGACTTAAGCTTCTGATCGCTTCACCCATCACTCATGCCCTCCTTATTTAGTTCAAAAACGGAATCAGTACAATTTTATAAACCAAAATTAATTATTATTTCATTTGATATACCTAAATAATCCTGCACAATGGAAACGGCATCTCGAAAAATGTTTCTCACACTTCATATTCATCAATCATTGATCATAAAGAAATGCAATAAAATTTGCAATTGCAACGGGATACCCGATAACGAAGAGGCTTCACGAAGGAAGAAGAGTATACTCACTAGAAAAAAGCTTCTCTGGTCTTAGTTTCGATGCGAAGCTGAGAAGTTATTTTATTTCAAACCGTTCACGCGATATGATTCACGTCAATATATAATATAATATAATATTTAACGGTATATGGTTACAAAATTATAAAAATAATAGTTAGCAAATAGAAAAAGAAGCATCCACGTAGGCGGTACTCATTAATAGGAAAACTGGAGAAAAACGGAGATAATGATAAAAGATCCTGTTGGAAGTACCAATAGGGCGTTGAACTTTTCTGAATGGGTTTGACTGAACGGGTTAAGTGAAACCCAAGTCACGTACTCATAAAAATCCCATATTCATGTTCATTAACTCATTAAGCTTAATTAATTAACGGCAAAAGGACATTAAGGTATGAGGAGATCAAGGAATTCCACAATATACAAACGAACGCTGTAAAGGTCAGGTTGGAGCAGAAGGCAATCGGTGATGGAGCTAATTTGAATGAACAGGTACATACTATCATGCGACTGTTAGGTTAGGTATTACTGTAACTATTACTATATCCTTACTCTTTTGGCACAGTAGTTAGGTCCCATGTGGTATATGAACTGTAGGGTGACCAGTATCGCGCTGAGTATCCAAATGGCGAACAGCAAAGTCGTGATTTTCGTGACGGTCAGCTTTGCGTAGCATTCAGGCGTCAAGCACAGTCGAACGTAGTTTTCGGCCGCTACCGCAGTCATGGTCATCACGGTCACCAGACAACACAAGATGGACAGGAACCATTGAAATTGGCATACCGGAGGCGAGTCTTGGAGGCCTGCCAGTATGACCACAGCCGATGCCGGAATCACCAGACCGCTGATTAGCAAATCGGCCAATGCTACGTTTGCTAGGAACGTATTGCCTGGAATTTTTTTTTTTTAAAAATATAAAGAAACGTCTACTACATGAAAAAAAAAATGTAATTATTTGAATTTAGATTTAAAAAAAATGTATTATATGTGGCATGAACGTGATAAAAATAATAAAACTCCTATCTTTTCTTTTTATTCTCCTTCCCCTCTAGATATTTAATCTCTTATCTCGTCACATATCCGTGACGTGACGCAAATTATGGAATCACTCCCAGTCCAAAAACATAACGTTGAACCATGGCTATGTTATTATAGCATTACTCCATCATATCCCTTCCCCTTCTTAAGCGAGCTGGCCAGGGATCAGCGATAAGAAATTATTGATAGTCTCTTATCACTGACCTTTAGTCAGCTGGTTCTTATCAAACGTGAACAATTTCGTGACGTCAAAATGTACTCGGTGAATTTTGGATTGACCTTCTGGCAAAAAAACATAACATCTTTGTTTAAAATGTAATAAAAAACCATACCTTTGAATATTGAGTTACTTTTTTTGGAATTATTATCCCAAGCTTAAGGATTGTTGATTTCAGTCATTAAAATGCAAACACCGGAAGACGAATATGAATGGTATAAATATCAAAAAGTTACTTTTGATATAATGACAAAGTAAAATACAAAAGCCAAACAAAATATAATATTATATAGACTCTAATGGCCCCTTAATTTTTTACAAAATGGCGACCGTAAAATAAATGTTACTTTTCCGTAATACTTAGTGTAACAAAGTACATACGTTTTATGTGCAACATAAGCAATAATATTATTATTCAGAAACCGTATTGTACAAGAAACGGATTTCTGGAACAATTTTTTTTTCGTAAAATCGACGTTGGGAATTGCTTCCTTTTAAATTCAAGGAACGAAAAACTTGAACGAATTCCATTTTTCACCTTTTATAATTGTCTAAATTTGGTCCTTGTTTCGAGATATAAACTCTTGAAAGTAGATAAATTTGGAATGGGTTAGGTTAAGGTAACCTATATGAACTTTACCTGAATGAAAGAGGGGCTAAATGAGTTTCTGAAATGTTTTCTGATGCATTACATAAATCTTGTATTAAAAATTCTGACAAAACTTGCAAAATGTGTCGAATGTTTCCCCAGTTGAATTTAGACATCTAATGTATTTTACGGGGTAAAAGAATTGGCGTATTCACAAAAAACAGAGCAAGTAACCGTATAAACTATATCTTTTACCGTTTTGACAGAAATAATAAAATATTTTACCTACAGCCAAAAATATATACGGCGTTCTATAAGTTCCGTGCATTGTATAATGTAACGTGAATATGTATTGTGCAAAATTTATTGTCATAATTTATCATACCATCAATTCGGATAAGCTATAATATACAGTAGTATGTTATTATATAGACTATCACAGCGATCGTTTTGAAATTTTATTTTGTCTGGTTTATATATATATATATGTATACATAGAAAGCAGTCATGCACGATTACACCTTTTTTAATGGTGTCTCCCATTTAGTTAACGATAAATAATTCATTTTATTTTCAGGAGGCAAAAAATATAAAAAATTATATTGAAAGAAACAACTTGTTGTTTATTTCCGTGTTTGTAGAAAGCAATCTGTACATTATACATTTACAATAAGTTTTTCAGGTGTATCTTATTAACTAATTTGACACAATAAAATTATGACAACTTGTGCTTCTTTTTTACCAAACCCATCGCTTCTGGATCGTTTTATCGGCTATTAGCTTAAGCGAGGCATTTTACAAATCGTTACTGCGCATTCTTCGGTTATTTGAGTTATAAATTAACGTAAGGTGTTTTGTATGGCAGGAGGATGCCTGTAAGATTGAAAGGTAAGTTTTATAGGACGGTAGTGAGGCCACCAATGTTATATGGGTCCGGGAATGTTGATCAGTAGACAAGAAAACTGAACAGAGGATGAGTGTTGTGAAGACGAAAATCCTAAGATGGAAGAGTGGAGTGACTAAGGTGGATGGAATAAGAAATGAATACATAAGGAGGAGTCTAGAAATTGCATTAATTGTGGGCAAAATGAGAGGGAATAGGTTGAGAGGGTTCGGTTATGTTATGAGGAGAGTTCAGTTTTTACTAAAAATAGACTGCTTCCCGGACAAAGCCAACGTTATGGATGGTTTCGGTGGGAATTTAGGGTTACGGTTACCGACTCCTTAAAAAAATATATCTCAAACCATCTCTACCCTAGCGGCAAATTCATAACTTGACAAGGGAGTGAGGTACCATCGATAGAACACACCTTAAATGTGATCTCTATAGTTTACTGATGATGGATTGCTGTTCCTTCAAAAGCCATCCCTTAGCAGACAACGCTGACTTATTATTCTAATGTAATTTTTTTTTTAAGCGCTCTATGAAAAGGCTTTGGGGTGATTTTGTTACATTTTTTATTGAAGCATATTAATGATACTGGTCGAAGCGTTTTGTTGACCTGTAAAACTGTACATCCTAAATAGAAAATATTTTAGACATGCTAAAAATAATGATAACGACTTATGATTTGCCATGGACACAAATGCACCACTTTCGGTGAAATGACCCATAGACCCGGGGTGACCTGTGATGAAACCCTCCGTCTTTACACAAGTTGAGATTAATTTAACTAAAAAATAAAACCACCATGTCTACAGCACGAAGAAGTTAGCAGGACATTACACAGCAGCGAACTGTGCGTGTGCAAATATTAATAATAATAAAAAAATAAGTTTTAAACAAGACGTGTCCGACAAGTGTTATTTACATAATCGCACATATATTTTTATACCAAAAGGAAACTGCTATTGATTTAATAAACCATGCAGTATTAGTTAGCATAAAACAATCTATTTAACATAATATGGACATGCGCAGATATTCGGGCCGAGACAATTATTACTGTGCCAATCTTAGTTCACAGAGTACAGAGGAATGATCCGCAACAAAGAGAAAAAATGACCCTCTTCATTAACTAAAACAAAATTACATATTTTTTTGTTTATTATTTAAAATATATTTTTACACATTTTTTATTTTGAGTTATTTCCAAAGACCGTACAAAGAGTTCCTACAATTCCCGTTCACTCCACGTTTGTCCTAACCCACTGTTTTTTGGCAATTATACAAACTGCCAAAGCCTCTGAATATGTTTTATTCAAATTTCACCAATGGGCTGGGGCTCTTAAATTTTTTTACAATAGGTATACTTTTATCTAGTCGGCCGATGTTTGTTCGCTTGACGACTGAATGGGACTATATAGTAATAAGATAAATTTAAGGGTAAGTACACCTCGAGTATAACCGTATAAATCCATGGGGTTAGTCGGGTAGGTTTTAAATACGAGTACGGGTAGGTTATAAATATACGAGCAATATTAAAATATTCATGAATATCAAGTTGGATCCGTGTTAGGTAACCTTGAAGTTTTCCTAAATTATTTTCCAGGCCAGTATTAGATACATTAAAGTTATATATATATATATATATATATATACATTCATCGTTGTATTGTATCTACTTTAATAAAACTTTAGGCCGGTCATTATTTTTTTACTCTGTTTGCGCCTAGCGGACTTGTTTATACGGTTATTGTGGGTTTAATAGAATATTCATGAGCCCCGAGTGTGTTGTGAGGCAGTTGCGTTTATACAGCTCATAACACGCGCAGGCGGTACATAAAAAGGTTGATTAGTATTCGAAGTCATTAAATTAAGTAAATTAACGCAGTTCATTATTAAAAAAAAATGTTCAATCTTCCCATCAGAAGGAAGAACCCAACGTTTTTCATAATGCATGTCTTATGATCAGCTAATTTTCTGTCTCGTATCAATCATCCCTTACCAACTGAATCAGAAAAACGAGCGGGTTGAAAAATAAATACATTTAATTTAAAATAATCATCACAAAGCGGATAGGTTGTATAATAATGTATCCAAAGCCGTGGAAACAAAACACTTTTGAGGGACAGGCTAGAATAATATTAATTAACCCTAATTTGCCAGTCACGCACGCCTATGTGCGTGCATATGCGTAGGTACGAGTCATTAAAAAAAAAAAACTTTTCATATTTTTTTTGTCATAAATAATTATTAATAATTGTTGTTATACATTGTGAACAGCCAGTAGACAATAAAATAAAACAACACAGTATTACGTTATTAAAAAATACATTAAAACTTAGCAACGCGCTTTAGTATCCGATAAGGTGTAGACAATAAACTAATTATGAACACATCAAACTCAAAAATGTATTACAGACTAACAAGGGCGTCAGTATGTCAAAATTTTAAGTGGGAGCGTGGCCTTTATTTTTGAGAGGCATAAAACAATTCAGGAACTACAATCATATTAGCAGAATTGTTGATATGTTTTTAGTTTTGTGTGATATAGGGTTAGGCTAGGTTTAAAAATTATAAGGACCCGATAAATACTATTATAATACAATACATGTTATAAATAATTTCAAAATAAAAAATAAATACCATCCCTGCCACCTTTAAAGAACCCTGTGAGGATGGAGTTTTTTATACATATACCCTAACCTAACCTATGCCAATACTTAATGTACATCTAAACTCACTCAAAATTATATTTAACGCAAAACTGTTCTCAATTTGGATAAAATAACATTCGTATTAGCTTACAAGAGAACATTCAGTAAACATCTTCTAATCGTATTTGTCTTATAAACGCGGTGCTGACAAAACGAAAAGCTATTTTTTTGGAAAATAATTGCTAACACAAACGCTGCGATTGTCTGATAAAAAATTAAGTACCAATAAATTATCCTCGAAACTACCTAAAAAAATATCGAAAATCATTTTATCTATAAACATTGATTTGATAAAAATACAAATATCGGTTCAATGTTTCCCTTGAACAAGACATTGGCTTATGCACGCGTCTTATGACCAATTGATGTTATGTCCCATATCAATCAACACTTAGCGGGTTATTTTCATACCAATAACACCTCATAAATTGTTTCTCTTATCAATC